GGCAGGTCGTGGCTATTTTTCCATGTTAGACCCCCCCCCCCGCCGGAGGCCTGGCCGCACTTGGAAGTGTTCGCTGCCAGTATTCAAGCACCTTTGCCTGACATTCCGAGTTCTTTTTTTCCCTCTCCTTCTTTTCATCCAGTTGGTGTTGTTCCGAAAGCCTGCCTTACGTTCCTGCCGTGTCATTGTCTGGGCACCGCATTACCTGCCCCTCCTCGCGGCACCGTACCTTCCACGTCCGGCTGCGCTTGTTCTGTCTCCGCCGTTGGTCCTTCCTGCAGAGTAAAGACAGTTCGAGGAAGTCGCAGCCTTTAATATATGCCCTTTCCTTTAATTGACCAACCTCCCCTGGTCGCTGCCCGGTCTCGGCCAACCATCCATCCATCTCTCCCTCTTGCGTCGCCTCACACAGCAAGCGTCCCCTAAAAGTTCTTTGGTCCCTTCCATATCGTTCTTGACACTTTGCCTCGCCTCTTTCGCAACGGCCCACCCTCGAGCAAGTGTCCATCGTTCCACTCCTGGTCGACCACCACGACCCAAGTCCGATACGGTGCCGCACGATAGCACGCCACGCTCCCGACTGCACCGTCACCTGGATCCTTTCCACTCCCCTAGGTTTTCAGAAGGTCCCGGCTGGTCGGGTCCGGGCTCGTTAGAGAGGGCCGCACTTGGGACTTTGAGAATCAGGAAACATCAGAGAAACCGGGAAAAAAAGTCATATCCGCCCCCTTGAAGGCACAAGGCTCTGGGGTGTTTGACATTTCCGTCCCTTTCTCGGTGTACTTACGGAAACTCTGTACACCCCGCAACCGTCGTGGGAAAAGAAAATCCACCGTTGGAATTTGTCCTCTGTTGCGTGGACCAGTCAGTCGTTTCCGGCACATCCAAGCTGAACGAATCCCCCGTCACCAAACGCCGCCGCCACGCCCGTCGCTACCGAGACTTTCCACAGAGCCGATTGTGTTTGTCCTTGCGGTCGATGGGAAAAGGTTGAGGCCACCAGCTGAATGGGCGGAACTCAAACTGCTTATCACACAGCTTGGTAGTAGATGAGAAGCGTTTTCAAGACACACCACTGCGAAAATATCATCAGCGCGACTCTTGTTCCCGGCCCAGAAAGTGCCAAATCAACCAGACGTCCAACGGACTCGATTAGCCAAAAGGGTTTGGAGTCCACTGACCTCAGCTTTTTGGACAGCTATCCGGTGTCCAGTCTCATAAGCTAGCAAGGTCCGAAGCGGCCCCAAGGATTGACGGCCGACTCTTGCCACCCGAACTGAAGGGACAATTGTTTACCCCAAGCCAACTCGGAGTTGGGACCTCATCACACCGAAAACGCCAACCGGCAACTGTCAAACGACACAATAGACCCATTTCCGCACATCAAGGCTCCCGAGCTCACCCCGCGCCCCTAAACTTACCAACTTCGGCATTTCGAGCGAACGCTGGCGCGAAATCAACTGCGAGGTTGCACAGTGACTTCCAAAAACAGTAGCCGCGGGATCCCCCTGTTCAGGCTTCCCACGACCACTTTGATCGGGTTCCAAAAGTTTTGGGGGTGTGTGCCGAGCCCTCGACGAGGCCGCCAGGAGTCGCCTTTCGTTCCTCTGGTTCCATTGCATTCACCACTTGGTTCGAGTGGTCGTGCGTTGCAGCAAAGCTCCCCACATAGCCATCCCCCCCCTTGCCCCCCGAGACTCGTCCGTCCGGTCATCATACCTTAAAATCCAGGGCGTGCATTCAAAAGCCAAAAAGTCACGGCTGGTTAAGTCTCCAGTCGGAATCTTTCTCCTCGGATCGTCCCCTGAGTATCAACTGCAGGAGCGTGTTTCCATTGGCTAGAGACCCCCACGATTCGCTTGTCGGTTGGCTCAGCTTTTCTTCTTTTCAGAGATCTGCTGGGGTCATTTATATCTGGAGCACGATTTGCCGTGGGTTTGACCCGTCGACGAATTTCAAGCTGACGGTGGCTTCGCCATATTCCTGTGCGTCGAATTCTGAGCGGCATAACGCTGCGACCGTCGAAGAAGCTTCGTGACTCAACGCACACACTCGGTTTATAATCAGACGATTGATCGAGCGGTGCGGTTCACTGTTCTTATTATTTCCCATCTTCTCACTGCCATTTCACGGCGGCCTCCGACCCCCCTGCAGCCTTTCGGCCCTTGCGGGACGACGCCGAAAACGCACCCTTTCCATCATCTTAGGGACTCCATCCGGCACGCCGTAGGAGCAATCCTTTTGTATGGCCGCTGTCGTTCAGCCTTCTTCAAAACCAACCTCGACCCCTCGGACAGCTACCGGCCTTGCCACACCCCACACCGTCCCACGCGCACGCACAGAGCTCATGACGGATATCATGTCTTACCAGTACCCCCCGCCGCCGAACGGCGCTGACCTGGACATGCCATCAGCTGGCTACTTGCCCAACTACACGGTGGCATCGCATTCATCCTCGGGGATGGACCCTGATGCCAGGGATCGGGCGGAGCTGAGGCGGCCGATATCAACATCAGTCGTCGGACCATCACAGGTTCACCCACAACAGCAATCCCCATCGCAACAATCGGGCCCTGCTGGGCAAGATGCCTCCGCTGAAAGGCGGCGGAACAAGCTGGGCTATCACCGGACTTCGGTCGCATGCGGTAAATATCGAGTTGGGTTTCCGGAAGTTTTGGTGGATTTGCGGCTAATACGAATTTGTAGGTCATTGTCGTCGGCGGAAGATTCGGTGCGTTCCGTCTCCGAACGATGGTCAAGGACGTTGCATAAACTGCATTCGCTTGAAAAAAGAGTGCAGCTTCTATCCCGTAGATCAGCAGCCACCCGTGGACACGAGGCAGAAGTCGGGGTCACGATCCTCCGCCAGCACGAAAGTCGCATCCGCCTCCTCATCACCTTCCATGCAGCCGGGCATCCCGTCCGATATCCATGGGCAACAGCAACCCTACCCGCACTTGACGATGCCGTCTGCCCAGAACATGGCCCCGCCCATGAAGCCCACTGGGAGCGATGGCCATTCGACTGACTCCAAAGGTAAGCGCCCTCTTACTTGGAACCAGAACAAACCGCATCATAGGATGGCTCACTAACCTTGTTCAAGTACCTTCGAGTGTACCCAGCACACGGGGATACGAGTACGGACATCATGGAATGTCCAACTGGATGTCGGCGGACACCAGCCCTAGCTCCTCCAAGCCGGGCGACGTGAATGGGGCTTGGCGGTCGTACCCGGGCGACTCGCCCATCACACCTGCTTTCTCACCTTACACCCCTCATGGCCCGTCTCACTCCGCCACTTGGTCGGCATCTGTGGGCTCTGAGCCGTCATCACGAGACGACATCGCGTGGTCCTCGTACCCTGCACCTCCTAGGTCCATGTCGTTTGGAGGCGAAAATATGAACGGCCACCAGCAGTATCCTCCGATCTCACAGCTTGGCCACAATGCTGGCCGCGGTTACGATCGCAAAGCCAGCTCCGTGTCTGCCGATATGTATTCGCCTCCGATTGCCACTACCATCCCTGGAATTGAGACGGTACCCGGCACGACACCGGACCAAAACGTTTCTCTATCGGCGGGCGCCGTACCCCCGTCGAGTTATGCGTCGTGGCAGCAATCGTACTCGTATTCAAAGCCGGGTGAAGCATATGGCGGGTGGTATGGGGAGGCGGGTGAACAACACTCGTCGGGGCATGGACAGCACCCCTCCAACGTTTATTACGGGCGGTAATCGCAAGACCGTCGCGCTGGTTCTCTGTCCGGTGTGCCGAGTCAATTGCTGTGTCTGTTATCGACGGATCTCATTTCACTCTTTTCGCTGGAGAGACTCTCTTGCGCAGGAATCGGAAATTTCTCTTTCCCTCCGCTCTGGTGCCCCGGCCGAGTATTTAATTGTCAGCGGTGTCCCACGAGTTTTCCGGATTGGGCAAAACATGCACGACGCGAGTTTTCGAATCCGGGACGAAGTCTGAGCACAATGTTGCCCAAGAACCGGATTGGGACATTTGCGACAAGGGGCGTGGTAATCTTTGAGTTTGGCCTCGGTCAAGTTTGGTTTGCTGCTGCACGCCGCCCAAAACGATCGTGGCTTCTCCTCAATGAAGACGAACTGGGCAGTATACGGAGGGGCGGCCCTGTGGAGTCTGCGTAACTAACTCACTCTGGGAAAAAGAGGAGGAGATCCGCCTGCCACTGCGAGGCCGATAAACGACGGTTCCCCCGTGTTCCCGACTTGTCGGATGACAGTGGCATTCAATATCTTGACCGGCCTCGTCGGGGAATTTTTTTCGAAGCGCCCAACGTTTTGACGAAATGCGCTCCTCCATGAATTTCCTTTTTTTTCATTTCTTTCTGTTTTTCTTCGCTTTCCCGCTAGCCCTTTCTTCGCAACCTGTCTATTGCTCCACTGGGGAATTGCCGCTTTTCATATCGGTCGCACAAGTGAGCTCCGCTGAGGCTAGCGCGAAGCTCAACAAGGAAACGGGGACGGCACGGCACGGCACGGCGCGGGGCGAGATCGGGAGGGCAATCCCCACCTTTCCCGCCTTCGGCGAACAGGTGGAGACCGGCACACGCCCGAACAAGTGGAGCCAGAACCGCGACGGCGCCGGAGGTGGAGACTGCCACCGCCGACCTTCCGCAACGACACGGATGGAAGACTTGACGAGTATAGAGCACCGCCGGGGCGATTTCGAAATTATGGGCTATGTTACAATGAAACTTTTGGGATAGGTGGGATAGAAGGAGGTGGTCATTTTGCGGGTCTCGGAGGCTTGTAAAACGACACAGCACGGGTAATTTATTTCCTTGATCTGTCTTTTTCTCCTCTTTTGTTTTTTTGCTTACAATGTTTTGTTGTTTGGTTTCCAAGTGGGATGTTTTTCTTCCCCCAAGGTTGCAATGGGCTAGGCAAAAATGGCGGTGTGTTTTTTGGCTTTGGGCGGTTCACGACATGCTCTCCTTTCTAGTCTTCTCTGCATGCTTTCTGTCTTCATCTGTATTTTATCTGTATTTCGGTCTAATAAAATGGTATTGGGCCTGGGAATGACATGGGGACTAATGGCCCTCATGCCAGAGGTTAGAGAGATAGTGGGAAATCAGGGTCCTGAAACCGCTACAACAATGCTTTCCGTTCAATGATATCAGTTCCTCGTCCCTCCAGCTGATGCGAAATGATAATCTCAGCTTATGTCTCGCCCTTCGTTGCATTGGACCTTACAGCCTAATTGTAGACTAGTAATTCTGCACTAATGTCATTTGAACCCCTAGCCGTTGGGGAATATCAACGGCAAAGAATTGCGGGCCTATGGCTCGGACACATTCACAACCAAGCAGTCTGCACCCAACCACCCGTATGCTGCACCCCAGACTTTCAACATGCATGCTTCCAATTATAAACCATTTTCTTGCTAAGTAACGCCGGGCATTCGGCATCTTCCACCCACACCTCTTGGGAGAAAATTGCTCCTGCCTATCTTTTATGTGGTGGTACCTGATGAGGCCGGGTTCCGATTCCCCTGCATGTGTTGTGCTAGGGCGTCCGTGCATCTCTAACAATAATTCGTCGTGGGAAGGGTAATAATTTATCTATGTTGAGTAGCAAAGATACTAGATATCTTCTAGTCATAAAAAAGTTGTAGCCCGTTCCGTTTCGGGTGTCCTGTTACAAAACCCTCTAGCAGAATGTAAGAGAGAGCCCCCTGGCAGTGTCAGGAGTACCCGAATGTAACCTCGGAGAAATATAGTGTATTTCTCTCGCAGCAGCATTGAAATTGAACCCCCTTGACACTCGGAAACATGCAAGTCATACTTTAACGGGCGGATTCCCGCTCGGGTGCGTGGCTTTGGCCGTCTTTGTTTTGTTCGGTTACATTATAGACACTCGGACTGCAGAGGACAAATAATTCGTTTTCCAAACAAGTCCCTTGCGGGACGAAGTACCCTGCTAGAGTTGAAGGTCTTTGCCGCCTACTTGTGCAAGCAAAGGGCACAACGACCCTGAGCGGGAGGAACCTGTAAAAAAAACTCCGGGACCCCTGAACGCAAGGACGTTGTGTTGACGGGGAAGAAGAGGACCCTGCAACCGGAACGTCTCTCACCCGGCATGAATCCCAAGTTAACTTTACCCCTTCATATCGTTATTTTTGTATCTTGTTCGCAGATAATCAGTGATCAGACACAGGCTCTAATTATAATTATTCATTAGTAACTAAAATAGAGAGGAAATTAGAAAAGGGTTAGTAAGAAAAGAAAAAGCGCTCCGAAGCATCGCGTGACGCGCACGGTCCTCTTTCTTTTATTTATTGCCCCCCTTAAACGCAGAATGGAAACGCTTTACACTACACTTAGACCACCTCGGTCCCGAACCCGAGACTGAGACTACTGTTGGCTACGTATGTCTTGAGAGAAAGAGAACAAAACCACTGAGCTGAGAGGCGCGGAGCGTTGAACATTGGGCATCACCGAGCTGAAGCCAAGCTAGGCCAAGCCAGACAAAAGGAAGAATAATAATCAATCGGTTCAAGCATACGTACATCTCAAAAAGCTCATGTTCCACAACGACCCCATGTCCTTCCTCGTCAATGATACCCAACCCAGCGTCCTGGGCCTATGGGAGTTTTCCTCCCTGTATCTATGGGGCGCGCGAGCTTATTTTCCGCCTTGTCTTTTTGTTTGTGGCCTGCAGGCCGGTGGGTGGGTGGGTAAGTTGCAGGTAGGCGATGGGGGCTGACGTACCCCTGGATGCGGAGAGCGTGTGCGTGTACGCTGTACTAGTGTACGTACTATGTAGTACATACGTGGGTTGAAGGGGGGGTGTAAACGCTCCTAGGTGGCGGTCGGGTTATACACTATTGTGGAAAAAAATAAGGAGGTGTGGATGAGCTGAAGCGCAGGGCGGAGGCACAGGGCGCGGGCGGCTGGCGTTGGTTAAAGCCGAGAGGCGTGGATGGGATGCGAGCTGGGATGCGGGTGCGGGAGCGTGGGTTGTGGGTTTGTGGGCGTGGTGCGGGTGCGGGGGATGCGGGCGGTTCTGGGGAGTTGGGGTAAGCATTGCTTAGGGGCTTCTTGGACCTTGTTGGTTTGTCCGGGGAGCCGGGTTGTGGAAGTTGGATTGGATTGGATTGGATTGGTGGGGTTTTGGATGGGGGTACAACGTGGAAAGAGAAAAGAGGGGATTTGTTGGGGAGTTGAGCAAGAGTTTATGTGTATAGAGAGACTCGGGTATTGAGAGAATGTGGGATCAAATTGATCGTTTGAGCGGGACCATGTAACACGACAAGCAAGTCATGGTCGCCCGAAGGAGTGGAATGTTTGGTGAAAAAGAGGTAACGATACTCAGCGCTAATTACTCAACCAAATTCCATAACAACACTATCATCGCAACATAGCTCACCAGGCTCAACCCAACCAGCAACCCGACACTATTCCCACTCGTCCTAAACTTCTTCTTGACCACCATCTGTGGCACCCTCCCACTACTCCGTCGCCGCTGCCGCTGTTCATGCTGTAATCGCCTCCTCAACGCCCCTTCGTCCCTCGCCTGTCTAATCTCCAACCCCCCTTCCTCGTCTTCCTCCTCCTCCTGCTCTTCCTGCCCTCCTTCAACTCTCACCTCTCCTTCTCCATCGGAAGAAGCAGAAGAAGAGGAAGAAGAATCAGCCTCCTCGCTATCAAAGAACTGCCGGTTGCCCTCGTAGCGACGATAGACGGCGACGAGGAGCACGGCGGCGCCGTAGCAGGCTAGTAGGGCGCCAAGGGGGTAGAACTCGGAGGTGAAGATCTTAAGCACGACAAGGGCGAAGGAGAATTGGGAGAGGGCGGTGCGCATGTAGGCGCCTTCGAAAGTGCGTTGGGCGGCGCGGATTTCGACGAGTCTGTGGAGGTTAGTTGCTTAGGGTCAGGTGTGAGAGAATATGAGGTGAGGTGATGGAAGTGAGATGAAACATGGTGAGGTATAATCGATGCGTGTGATGAGGATGAGTGAGCTGGTGGCATGAAGGGAATTGGAATGAGGTGAAGGGAAAAGGGTGACGAGATGCGATGAAAACTGAACTAAATGAAACTGCGCAGAAGAGACGAGATGCCCGCCGAGGCCGATGATACGACGGGATGAGGGGCCCGGCCGATGGAACGGTCTCTTGCCGCCGGCGCTCACGTGCCGGCCCGGTCTCGGCCGGGTCTCACTGCCGGGACACCGAAAGTTGGACAAAAGATGGAAATAACGACAAAAAAATCACAAGATCTTACTCTTGGGTGGTCAAGACCACAGACCGGGCCCGATGCAGGCGCAGGTGAAGGTGGTCTTCAGGATGCGGGTGGAGGGCCTATAAAACGGTGCAAACAGCGGCAAAACACATCAGCTGGTCATTCATCAGAGCGCGGGTGCAAGTGCAAGCGCAAACGCAAACTCATAAAACTCGTAGAATCGCTCATGAAATCATACCTCAAGCATCGACGCCATCATGGCTGGCTGGTGGGCTGCAGACCCGAGTCGTACTCAGCGTGAGGTGTGAGTGAGATGATGTTGGTTTGGTGTCTCTGAATCCAGGAATGCGGCACAATGGCGTGATGCGCAGAACTTGGGTTGACAAGAGACAACCCTAACCCTGACGCCAAGTAAAAGTGGCGTGAGTGGGTCCCGACTTACACGCGACTTCTCCAACTTCACCGGCCGTGCCTGCTGTTTTCGGCCTGCCTCAGACGTACAATGGTTTATTCAATGAATTTGAACTGATATGGTTTAGAATCCCAGTTTTGTAGCAGGACGGCTCAACTTCTGGAGACATTCTTGGCTTGGAACCGGGCCGGAGCGTGAACTTCCTCGACAATTATCCAATCCTGGAGTCAAAACCAATTACTAGCCTGCCCTTTGATACTCAAATCGTCGGTATGTGTTCATTCATTCAATAGGATAACTTGAGATGCAAACAATGGAAACTTGAAACAAACCAACATCTTACCATGCACCTTTGTGTCTCACACTGTTGACATGTGACGCCTTTGAGGACCCGGCGTGAGCCGTGTCTTTGAGCCGCGCGCCTGTATCTGGCGCATGAGAGCTGTATATTTGTTGCCTTAGTCCATTCCAGATGTTTGTGGTGCGGTTTATGCGGAGCTTAAAGATGGTGGCCTCCCCGTGGCGGTTGAATCGTGGATATTTTCTCACAATACACCGCTCAGATTGACTAGCCCGCCGATGAACTATGCTAGCGAAACCCCTTTTCTTTATTCCGCTCCTGACCTTTTGCATTATAATTAGGCTCGCAGAACGAGAACAAGATCAGCTTCCAGCAGCATAACGAGGGCCAAAACAAAATAATGTCCCAAGCAAACAACGGTTCCAGTTCTCCACGAACGACGAGATGGAGACTGGCTGCGCTCAAGGTTTTCCAGACGGCAGCCTAACAACACTTCCCACTCGCGGGAAACCGGGGCTGCTAATCCATCTAGCGAAGACAAATACCAAATAATGGACACCCCACCCCCCATCCGCATCCTCCGCGCCTTCTCTCCCGAGACGCAAATCTCCCAGTTCCGGCCCACAGACCCAGTCTCACGAGCGCCCACACCCCTCCTGACCAACGATATCCGTCACGCCGCAGTCTACCATGCCATGACATGTGCTCTGGCACTCGTAACTTCCAACGAGGGTCCGTCGGGGCTGCATTGGGCGGGGGCATTGGCTGAGGAAGCGTGGTACGGCCCGCAGGGCGGTGAGGATGAGGACTGGTCGACAAAGCAGTTGGAAAGGATGAAAATGGCGGAGGAGGGGTTTATGGGGGCCTTACGGGAGGAAGGGGTGAGCGTCGTTTTGTGGGAGGGAGGGAGGCTAGATGAGGGGTTTAGGGGGCAGGCTAATCCCTGGGAGACGGGTGTTTATGGGGAGGGCGATGGGGATGAGGAGGGAAAGGGTTCAGGTTGGAATGAGGTGTTTGTGAGTAACTTTGTGAGTTCCCTGGGTCCTTTTCCTTCCTTCCTTATTCCTTTCTTCCTCCCTCCTCCCCCTTCATCCTCTTACTATGTCATGCACTAACAATTCAGATGGTCGTCGCCATGATCGAAGCCAAACGCTACTCCCCAACCAGCGCCGACAGGCGCGACGCCTACCCCCGCTTCATAATTGAGCTGGTCCTTACCTTGGCCCACGGACTGGTGTACTGCTTTATTAAATATCTGCGGGAGCACTCCCCTCCAAACCCCCTTAAGCAGCGGCTCCTCCCGAAAGGTCTGGACCAGATGTGGGATCAAGCAGTGTTTCAGGGTACGCTTGTCTCATTGAAGACGCCAGGCCATCCCATGAATAATTGGCAGTGCGGAGTGTTGTGGTTTGAGAAGGATATTGGTGCGGGGGATGGTAGAAGGGGGGATAGTCGAGGCCCTTTGGGGGCGAGGAAGGTGGATTTTACTAAGATTATTCTGCTTTTTAATCGCTGGGATGGTACCGAGACGGATCCGCTGGTGGATCGCAGCGATCTGGGTAAGCCTTCTGATTTCTTTCTCCTTCTTTTTTTCGTTTTCTTGGAATGATCATTGACAGAGATACAGAGTGGGTGCCGAGGTTTCTCAAGAATATCCCTCTGTTGGAAGAAGAAGTCGAGCAGAATATATATTGGGCTGTTCATGGACAGAAGGCGCACTTTCATAACTGTAAGGCATGGACGTGGGGCCTTTAGTGAGGAAGGATAGTGGAATTTTTTGAAGCAACTAGTATAACTGGGGCTTAGTGGTGATCATGCCCCGATGTTGCCTACTTACATCTCAAAGTCGGGTGACTGGCTTCTTTGTCATGGCGCTGACCGACTGGCAAGGTCGTGCGTGTGACCGACAAATATCTTGAACCCTTTGTTCCCTACCGAGTCACACCACAGTTTAGACCATCATGGGGCTGGTCGGGCGAACTGCGATGCCCATTTATAACCAAAGATGGGGGATTAACTGGATTTAGTCTCTTTTCTTCCTAAAGGATACCATATCCGGTCCACGCTCAAAAACGAAGAAATGAATACTTCCTGATCACCAAGCAACCAGGCGGTATCAGCACGGTCTACACTATCCTCAATGATAAAAACAACCAAGATCAGCTCAAAAGCTATGTCACCAAGCCAGTGGGGAGATGAAACCTCCCACGGAAGTACAGCCGGCATGGAAGAGGATCCTCTAAATAAGGCCGCGGACGATGTATATAATTGTGCAATATCGTTGCTGAACAGCGGCGTCAGTATTCGCGCCCTCACCAGCCTGTGCTGGTCGATTTTGGAGTCGAAGGGCGAGGAAGGCCGTTTTCTCTCCTGGATGCCCACGACTGAGGAAGAAATGCGTAAGTGGGTTACAGTTTGGAAACGTCGGGATTACCCTCAGATTTGCGGCTGATCAGAAAGCACCGGTCATTTTTAGATTCTTCCGCCCGACCAGCAAGGAGCGTGACGCGGGGGAGTTGGCGTTCAACAAAAGCGTAAGTGGACGAATTCCCGGTGAATCGTGTTGATTCGGGTTGATAAAACCCCGAAATGATCAATTCTTTATTGACTCATGGTAGATGATGAACTATATTGTCCAATCCAACACGGCTAGGAAAGCGGTAAGCGGCGAAGAGTCGAAACAAAGTAGCGACGCTTACTACGGTCTTATGTTTGACATGGTAACTATGACTGCCGGTCAACTTATTGACTACTTTGTCTTCCACCTTCCTGGGCAAGACAAGTCCCCGTTCTACGAGGACGAGCTCCGGGAATTTGACGACCGTGGCCTAACCTATTGGGGCCGCAACTGGCAGAGAACCGTGTTTGGAGGCACTATCAAAAGCTTCGCGGAGGAGGACCATTACTTACAGCACAAACAAAGCGGGACCTTGGTTCTGTGCATCCCAGACGATAAGATCAAGACTCGAGAAAGAAACTGGATCATCGATAAGAGTGCAATTCAGGAGGTTGTTGACTATAGTAAGTGACGACTCAGCGTTACACCACGTGTCAAAACATGAGCGTGATAATTAATGCTATAATAAAAGAACATGAATTTGACATGCCTTTGGCGCTACCCCTTTCCACAAGAAACATGAGAGAACTGGGGTTCATACCGAGCCGAGACCAGTCGATGGACAAGATCAGACACGACACTGCCATGAAGCGCGTAGAATCCAAGAAGGCCAAGGCGACCAAAACGAAATCAAAATCTTCGGACGGGCACGCCAGTACCAAGGACCGCCAGATGATTGTCAAACCTCGCCAACAAGCGTTATCTGAAGTGAACGAGCGCTCCGAGTTGGTCATTACTCCTCCACCTCTACCTTCTCGTTCCCGCCCTCGTTCCCGTTCTCGTCCCCAGCCTTCTCGCCGTCGCGACGATGGATACGGTCGATCACGAGATCGGTCATCTGCCGGGGGACATAGTGCCATAGAACCGGAGGCTTATATTGAAGCCCAGCCTCCAGTATCGCCGGCAGGAACACCAATGGGCAGTTACTATGGTTCTCGACCGTACACATACATGGCACACCCATCCCACCCAGAGACATATGTCGAACACTCACCACAATCGGCGCCGTACATGGGTCAACCGTATCAGACGGAGGAGTATTTTCCTCCAACTGGGCGTGATTTCCTACCTCGTCGTAGGGTGACTAAACGCTACGGGCCTTGATGAGGCAAGGACAAAAGCAACGGACAAGGAGGGAAGAATTGGATACGTGAGTAAAAAGCAAAGGAAAAAAAGAAAAAAACAACAACCAATGTTATAACAGCCTGGGTTAGGTCATGGGTGTCTAGGTTGGCTTGGCAATGGAAGGAACACGATCAATTATGCTATCCTTTTGAAATGCTGTAGAAATAAAGAATAACAGAGATTGGTGCCGTATAATGTGGCTGTATAATGCAATTAATAGATACCATACCGCGATCCGACTCACTGATTTTCATCTTCAACGCATTGTAATGAAGGCCGGTACTATGGCCCAGGATTTTGGTCTGCTGTTACCCGTTCCTCCTCATTTGGTGTCGCCCTTTGGTGTCATATCCCTATTCATATGCACAGTGTTAATGATGCTGTGACCTCGCTTCTTTGTCCTTATATTCCATCAAACCACTTGACAGTCCGTACATGTGACAACCACTCTTTATCAAAAACCACAGCTGAGAACATCATCAGACCAGGCTATCCAGTGACAGAGATTACCATGACCGTGTTTGTGTTGTATCTGTCCATAGGAGGCAAGTCATGTGATCCGGCCGGCGATAAAGGGTTCAACAACTAAAAGCAGACGACCGTCCCGTCGTAGCCACCAAACTCGCAGCTGAAATCTCTAATTATAAGACATCCATCCCCCGTTTCGTTCCGGGCTCGTATATTGAACACCATCAACCAGTGCCACATCTATCACTTGTAAAAAGTAAAAAGAAAAGAATCCGACAAGATGCCGCTGTACATAGGCGGCAGGGCTCAGACAGACAATGGGAAGCTCATTACTTGCCTGCAACAGTTTGTGTTGAACATGCTGAAGGCTGGAAAAGGCTTTGGTGTATTGGTGGAGCTAGGCGTGCGTGCTTATAAGGAGCGGAACGCGACAATGGCTCCCGAGGGCAGCGTCATGGAGTGGGCGGCGGGGTTTCTTGATTCAGATGGTATCAACATCGTGGTGGACGACAAACTGGCATCCCCGGCGTTGTTATGGTCCGAGATGGGTTCCCATCCAGTGAAACTGAAATTGGGCCACATGGTAAGTACTCAATATGATAAATCAAGTTTATCACTTCCTTGGTGACTTGTATCAAAATCAATGGAACTATTAACCTTTAGACCTAGGCACTAGTCGCAATAGAGAGGAACGAGGCCGTCCGAAAAGATACCAACGGGAGCGGGGGCTATTACAACTCTGTGTTCGACATGGTGGTCATGATGGCGGGCGAATTAGTCTCCGCCTTTGTTTACTTTATCACCAAGGGTCCCAATAACCAGGCTTCGGCGGTATTCCAAACCAATTGGGGGGAAGAGTGGCAGAGGGGCATGTTTGGAGGCGTCATCGTGAACTACGAGATTCCTGGCCACCGTTTAGGACCTCATCAAGGGGGTAACTTGTTGCTGCGGAAGAGCGGGAAGACCTTCAAAATCGGCCGCACGTCTATCCAGAATGCGGTAGATAGAGGTAAGTGGGGTTTGACATGTATGTGGTGAGTTTTCAAAATTAACTAACGAAACATGATAGAGTTTAATAATAAGAATCTGGCTGTGGGTGTGGGCAACGAAACTCGCACGCCTGAAAGAACCCTGAAAAAGGTTCGGACAGCTAAGATATCAGGTCAGTTTGAACGGGGGTCTGTTTGGGTATGAAGACATCTCAAAAAGCATGGGTGTTCATACACTGCATGTAAGCCCAGAAGAAAAGGGAGACCAGCCAAATGGTGTAAGAGGTCGTTATATTGTTGGTAGATAAGAATCAGCAAAACAGTGCTTGTATCGATAAAAGAATAGACGGTAGTAGTTAGTTAGACTCCTGAGCCAATACTGAGCGCGGATGTGATGTTGGAAACGTTGGTTGCCTAGGGTTGTGAGGTTAAAGCATATTGTAGTATATTGTGGCAAGATATTATATTAAACTTAACACATTAACAACAGAGAGCGCCAGAAGAGTATAAAACACCATCTTAGGACACTGTGGTATCACATGCTTGTGACAACCTTTGTCGAGCGCTTGGAAAAGCCTAAGTGCTGCTAAATTCATCCTTTGCGGTTGAACAAATCCCAGCCAGCTGGGCCATCAGACTGGGTACGTCACGGGATGCGGCATGGCTCTAACCACCAGCTACATGTGACTGCGAGCCGTCCCGTACCAGCTTTGAGCTCGAAGTTGGCCGCTGGTATATACGGAGCCATGAACACCGCTGGCAGGCTCGTTCCTCATCTCTCGCTTAACGAAAACATTCACACACACCTCGCTGAGCTAATTCTCTCCTCCCGTATTCACTTCCCTGCTATCCAACAAACCACCAGCCATGCCCCTGCACGGCCAACCTCCCATGCCTCCCCCCAGACGACAGCAGCCGCCTGGCTACCCAAACAACAATTACCATTACCCACGAGACCGGGCACCGAGACGACCGTCCAGCGACTCAAGCATCGACAGTTGGCTGGAAGAAACCCACAACAACGCACCCCCATCGAGGCCCAAATACGATCTTCCCCCAACTAGGGCTCCCGTGCCTGCGAGAGAGAGTGCGCCACTCCCGCCGGGTTTGCCAGTACAGCCGGGTCCGCCACGGAGCAGCGGTAGAGATAACCGTTACCCTCCCGTCGAGCCTATTACACGGGGTAGACAACCAACCAAGGCACCGTTCCCAGAAAGGGGTAGAGATGCTGCTGCTGCTGCGCCGCCGCCGGCAGCGATGGATGTTGTGTGGGGAGGTACTGCAAGACCTCTTCCCCTTCCCCGCCGGGGGGTGAATGATGATGACAACAGGACTGAAACGACAATTGTGCGGGATGTAAACCCGGCTAGGGTGCTTCCACAGCCGCGTGAGAGGCGGCATGACGAGTCGTGGGAGCTGAGGGTGGATGGATCGGTGGGTAATTCCCCCGCGGCTCATTTCATACACGGTAACGGTAAATTTGCTAACCTGTAATTTTTATACGCAGGGTGTTTATGAGATTTCGTATGGTTCCGACGGCAAGCCCCGGCACCGCGGACATGACCTTGACGGCCGACGCGACCGACGCGAACAAGCCAGCTGCAGTCTCGTGTTCGAGATGCCCGGTTGCGATGTGAGGTTGACGATACACCCTCGATCAGATTCCTTAAAAACTCGGAAAGATACGACCCGATCCAGAGGCAGAAGGTCGGGCATCGATGTATACGTGGTGCCGGAGCCGGTGAGGCGCTGTGTCAAGGAGGTGAGGTATTTGTATTACAAGTGAGGAAGACGTATAAGCTAGGACGGCCATTGAGCCCGTGGAAAAGTCACATAATTAGAACAGAAACTGAATTATTTATTTCATAATTAGAGTATTTGAAGCCCTGCACTCCGCGTTCTCTGTATTCGTCTCCATTTTGACTTCCCAAAATTCCTTGTAGCAGAACAGTGCATGAACCTCCCAACAGTCATGCGGCTAGGTCTGAGACAGATGCAACCACAGTGCATTTCACCACTCTTTTTATTGTCCAATTCTACGTCGCATATACCGTCGAGGCCAAGACGACCAGCCCGCGCCGTCCTGTCTGAAGTTACACGTAAGGCCGGGCCAGGCCGGGCGGCCACGTCCGGGACCACCAACGTAGACCCACCGACCGGGTACGTGGGGGCTGATAACAAGTTGTATGTACTTGAGATTTAGAAGCGTGGGATATTGATCCAGCTAGTAGTTTGGGGGCTTTTAAAATCACTGGCCCTGGCTGGGTCGGCCCCGTCTGAAGACATCGTCGACAAAAATACCGGCCGACGTCCACCTGTGGCCGCGTTTCTGGTAGGATGGTTGATCGTCGTAACCAGGGTTGAGACCAGATGCTGATGAGGATTGGGATGATGTTGAGGATATTGTAACGGGGTTTTGGGGTTGGATGGGGTATAAGACTTGGTATATTTGGTAGAAGAAAACAGACAAATTAGATCAGTCATGGTATCCCTTCTCCTCATATACGTTCTATCAACCTCTACGCTGGCGTAGTACCCCTTTTGACACCCCTTTTCACTTTCTCAATATCATGCCTTCTCAGAAACACACGCACCCAGCCACAGCCCACGACAAAATGCCCCCATCTCACCCCAACGGTACGAAAAAAAAGCCACGGGCTGACACGCCCTCCAGCAGCAGCACAAGCATCTCCTCCAACTCCGACTCGACATTTTTCAATCCCCGCTCTGAATCAACAACTACCGCCACTAACAACACATACGACTCGTTAGCCCGTGGTATCTTTGACCCTGCGTTATCCCTGGTAGAGAGCGCTGAAAGCCGTACTATGCTAGCCAACCTGGGCATGGCTGCCGTCTACAACCCAGAAGGCGGCTACGAGTACTACGATCTCAAGTTAGACATGAGGCGTTATGTGGATATCTTTCTAAGCCGGGTGAGGAAGAGGGAGGTTTCCTTGGAAATCATGAAGGACCAGGACGTTGCGGCGTGCGTTCGGCCGTCTGAGTCGAAATGGGAGGTCAAGGTGAAGGCGAAGGAGTGGGAGCCTGCTAAGGCGGGCATGTTTTGTTTGAGTCAGATGGTGAGTTTTGTCGGGTTCTGTTCTTAATTCCTGTCCATGTCTTGTACTAACCACTGCTGCCAGCTGTTACGCCACGCTCTCCGCGTAGAAACAGCTCGTATAAATAGTGAAACAGATCAAGCGGCGGCACGGTACAAAGATGCATACCGTAACCACAAGTTCGAGATGACCATCGGGATGGCCGAGGCGATTGCTGACATGTTTGTTTTGTTCCTGGCGATGGTGAAGGAATCCAACTGGGATATGCCCGACGACTTTGAAAAGGTTCGCTGGGGCGGCAAGTGGAGCTTAGGGGTGTTCGAGGGGACGATCAAGTGTCTTGAGGAGCCGGGGCACAAGTTGGGCTTCTACCAGGGTGGGAGGCCGGTTCTGTACGCGTCGCCTGTTTGGTACGGGCCGCCAGACCAACGCGGCCGTGTCAAGGTCACGGTTATTGATGAGAATCACATCTCCAAGATTGTTCGCGGCAGTGAGTAGTCTTTCCGTATAAGCCTCCAGACCTATGAGAAGACCTGCATCTGACATCCGAGCTAGAATTCGACTGTAGCAAGCCCCTGGTCCGTGTCAACGAACCGTCAACCGATCCGGACAAAAGAATCCGCACAATGGACGCTGTCCGCCTCGAGGAGATCAAAGAGGAGATCAAAAAACGCAACGCAACGACGAAATCCCAAAGCAGCACAGCCGAGCCTAAGACCAAGCCAAATTCCAAGCCCACCGATGCTCTGATTGTAGCCCCAAAGTCTGCACTCATCGTATACAAGCCCCTCGTCATACCCGAGCCTCCCGAGCCTCTCCCCGAGCAACCCCACGTCCCAGTGCCAGACGCGCGCCCATCTTCTACGATCAACCCGTTCGAGCGCTTTGGTTCAAGAGCCCCGGCCTTTTCCCAGCGACGCCGCGAGGACGAGGATGAAGACGTGGCTTCTGTGCGTTCTTCGAGGTCGTTGCCCCGCCGGAATTCAACCTCTAGACCGAGGCCTGACCGTCAGGCCGATGCCAGACACGACGACGACTACATTCCCCGGGAAAGAACCAGCAGACCAGCTTATGAAACAGAAACACGGGACACACCGCTATCGGCCTCTCCACCGCGTATGGACCCTCGCGAGATACCGTATAGACACCTTCGCCGGCCGTCGGTGTCAAGACCACATGCTGGGGATGACGCTGGGTATGCGACACAGCGGCAGCCTTTTTCCCGTCACCAGTCTGAGTACCACCAGGCTGAGTATCATCGAGATGAATACCACCAGTCTGGGTACCAACATCCGGTTCAGCATCCCACCCAACAACAACATCCCGAACCGCCTCACTTCAAGAACCCCTTCGCTAGTAACCTTAACACCAGCCACACTCATCCCGAATGTCCTGATCGCCCTGAGCGTCACTACCCCCCTCGTGCAGGCACCACCAACACTGGCACATCCTACGCACCGAAACGGGATCGCTCGCGCTCCAGTATGAGAGAGTCCGGTTCCGTCCCGCTTTATCGTGGAGAAAGCGATCGACATCGAGATTATGAGCGGGACCGCGAACGGGATCGTGAACGGGAGATGGACCGCGATCGTGACAGAGATCATGACCGAGACCGTGAGCGAGAGCGAGAGCGGGACCGTGGACAGGATAGACATCGAGACAGGGATTATGAGCGAGCCAGAGACCGCGAGCGGGACAGAGGCAGAGACCATGAACGAGACAGCCACCGAGACCGAGACCGACCCTCAGCACGAGAAACCAGACGTGAGCGGTCCCGTCAGCGCGAACATCTAGCAACGACGACAGCGACAGCGTACCAGGCCCATGCCCAGGCCCCGGCACGGAGCACATCCAGACAGCCTACACAGAGGGATTATAGTACAAGCACGGGACCTTACGAGGAGGCACCGTTTCAGGAGGTGAGGGTGAATTCGAATGTGCCGGTGGACGTCAGCAGGGAGGCGGGTGCGACGGTTCTCAATTTTCGTGAGAAGCCGATGAAAGGAGTGAGGAGTGCGTCAAAGGCGAGGAATATGGGGGGACGTGGGAGGCGGTAGATGGGTACGAGTACCTATGTTTAGGTTGATGATGGATCGGGTTATGGACGGTGTTTGGGCGAGTCAGGGGCTCAGGGGCTTTGGAGTAAACAAAACGCAGGGTTAGGGTTATCGTCAACAATGGGAGCATCCTTAACTTTACATTCTAACCGTCTCTAAAAAATGGCACAAACCTTTCGGCTTGTAATTAACATGTCGGTAGTGATACATTTGTAATCTGCCGAGAGGCACATAATGCTACTAGATCGGCGACCGCGCCGCAGTGTAGACGGAATGAAACCGAGCCACCGAGTAACAGCCCATGGCCGTTAATAACCCACCGGCGGGCAGTGGGGGCCTTAAACCGTTAGGGCGACCAAAATCGTGGAGTTTTACATGTTTATTAAATCATAGAAGTAATTTACATGACTTAGTGTTTCCAAAGCTGCAGGCGGCGCCGACCACCGCGGGCCGGGAGCTTGACGACGCCTGGGAGGACCGCACGTTCCACGGGAAGGTGGTACAACCTGCGGGACCCGGATGATCCGCTGGGTGTGAAGCAGGCGGGGATTGTCTGGGTGTCGTGCGGGAGGCGCGGGGCGGATGATAGGTTGAAGCGCGTGGAGGTGCCGGAGGGTTTGGTGGGGATTCCGGCGGAGTGTGAGTTCCTTTCGCTGGCCTTTTCTCTACAGAGTGTCTAGCCTTACCTGGAGCAATGGTACCTGGCTGACAAGGTATATACAGACATCGAGCTACCCCTCAACCATCGGCGCAGAGCAAGACCGTGACAAACTCCTTGCCACCAACGGCCTGCTGCGAGACCCACACACTGTCACCCGCCCCAAGGCCAAACCAGCCGCCACCAACGTCGCGGCCCCTCCCGAAAGAGCACTCCCGCTGCGTCCGGCTGGCACCAAGACGACTACTACTACTACCTCTGCGAAAGCTACGGCCACGGCTACTCCGAAGAAGGCCACGAGTACGAGTGCGAATGCAAGTGCCAATGCTACCGGGGCGGCGCGGGGTACGCAGGGGAAGGGGGCTCAGGGAGCGCAGGCGAAGATGATGACTGCGAAGAGGGGGTCGGTTGAGGGAGAGCCGTCGCGATGAGGGGGTGAACGAAGCTACGGAGGGAAGTGGGAGGTGTTAGTTAACTAAAATGATAGAGATGGTCTCTCCCTGACTTCCATGATGATAATGTTGATGATGGTGGTGATGATGGTGATATTACGAGTTCGAGAGCCGTGATGTTTTTGCAGTTGGGGCTAGCGAGGACGAAGTACCTTCGTACCTCAAAAGACCCACTCAACGACTCCAGAAATGCCCCACTCAATTGACCACCCCTGCACCTGGCCCGTGCAGAACGCCAGCAGGGGTCCGCATGCAGTATGCTTGGCGCATTCATCAATTGAAGCTTCGTGGCCTCCAAGCTCGGCCTTCAATGTTCCTTTAGCATTGCATCGCCAATTCCAACAACATCAACATCAACACTACGCCACCCACCCAACCCCCCCCGCGACACCCCGATAGCCCAACCCAGAAACCGAATAACAACCACCACAATGGCACCCAAACGTAACGCCCAAACCGCCCATTCCGTCTCCCCGATCCCCCCCACCCCCAAATCCACCACCACCACCACAAGCACCAGCACAACCTCAACCACACCAACAATCCCCACCTCCCTCCTCCCAGCCTCTCTCAAATCCAACGCCGGCGCCGGCCCGGGGCCATCAACCACTTCCCAAAGCAGTAGCACTTCTGGTGCGGGTGTACAAAACTGGGACAAGATTGTGCAAAGCGTGTTGGCGCAGTACGTAGAAACCACGCCGCAGCGGACGAAGTTGTTGGACGCGTTCTTGGGGTTTTTGGTGGTGGTGGGGGGGGTGCAGTTTGTTTATTGTGTTTTGGCGGGGAATTATGTGCGTTTTTCTCCTTTCCCTTCCCGGTTTTTTCATTCCTAAGCCTAGCGATGGCGATGTGAGTGTGGATGGAAGAGGGAGGTAGATGCTAACGTGGTTTGGGAACAGCCGTTCAATGCGTTCCTGTCGGGCTTCTCGGCGACGGTGGGGCAGTTTGTGTTGACGGGTGAGTTCGATCCTGGCGCTAGAGAGCAGACTAGTTCTGGATCAGAGGATATGGATAAGAGAGATACTGACAATGACGACAGCATCGCTGCGCATCCAGACGACCGAGGCGAACAAGGGGGATTTCCCGGCCGTGTCGCCGGAGCGGTAAGCCTTCCTCCCCATATATTTCACCTCTTGAGAGACAGGTACTGACAGTGGATTGGACAGTGCATTCGCCGACTATGTCGTGTGCAGCCTGATCTTGCACTTTTTCTGCGTCAACTTTATCAACTAGAACCTCGACTTGAAGATAGATGGATGGAAAAAGGATCTGTTTCGTCGTGTTTCTTTCTTTGCTCGGCTTGCTTCTTCTCTGGTCTATTTCACCTGTATACAACTACCCCGGAGTTATGATGAATACCAAAACACAATACACCCCCTCACGCCTCCTGCTTCGGTGTCCCAGCCCTAGGCGGCCCCCCCCTCGGTGGTCCCCCCTTAGGCGGCGGCGGTAACGGCGAAGCCCCCCGACTCGGCACGTTGTCTAGCTCCCTGCTCTTCTTCTCCTGCTCCTTGAAGTAATCGTCCATGAGATTCGGCCCGCCGTGGTGGCCGCGTTCCTTCCTTTTGCTCCTGGGCGGTGCGCCCCCGGGGGTGGTTTGTACATCGACCATCTGCGCGGGTACGAGGAAGTCTGCTGATGAGCTGGGTGGTGGTGGTGGTTGTGGTACACCTGCGGGCGGTGGTGTCCCTGTACCAGTTACCCCTGGGCCAAAAGTTGCAGGTGATCCAGTTCTCCCCTGACCCCCTCCCACCGACCCAAACCCGGCCGCCCCCGCTCCAGTCCAATCAGAATCCCCATCAAACATCGTCTCCCCCGGCGCATTTACCGGCTCACTCAACGCCGCCGGCAACCTATGCAACGCTCCATAACCCAACACACACCCCAGAGCGCCCTCTCCACCCCAATCCCTACTCGGCTGAATCGTCACCTCCCTCGTGACATCATACTCATTATTATACACATACAACCGTAATGGCCGGCCGATATGGTCCTCCACCAGTTCACTCAGCCCGCCCTCGCCGTGCAGGACGCCCTCGGGTGTGCCGAGGATGTAGTCGCTGTAGGGGAGCAGGCCGGCGGCGTCGGCGGGGGAGTGCGCGGGGACGTCGAGGACGTGCCAGATGTTGGAGACGACGGAGATGGGGGTCCATTGGAGGGTTAGGGAGAGGGAGGCGGTTGTGGGGGGGACGGGGATGTGCAGGGCGCGGGTGCGTTGGCCCTTTTGGTCTGTTAGTTTCATGGCTTGACTGGTAGTAGAATGGACGTTTGGCTGGGAAAGATACCTTTGCGCTCCAGAGACCGAGCATCACAGAGCTGCCGGCGCAGTTGCGCACTTCCTGGGCGAACAAGCCGGGGTCGGAGTCGTCCTATTTACGGTCAATCCCCTCCTTTTCGGGCCCTTTTGTCTCTCTCAATTTGCAAGTAACTCACAATCATGCGCCCATTGATGCCAACGACAAAGTCGAACCACGGCTCGACGGCCAGGTCGGGGTTGGTGTTGCGCAGCACCTGGAAGCCGAAGGCGCCGTGGTTGTCGCGGGATGCCGCCGGCAGCGGCTCGCCGTCGAGGCGCGAGATGAACCGGTTGAGGGCGTTGAACATTGTGGTTTGCGAGAGGTACTTGTCGAGGGATGTACGACTCGGAAAGCTGGCGTTACTTTGACGCAGGAACGTTAGGTGGGGTGGTTGGTCTCACGTTAGTTGGAGCTTAGGTACGTACCGAGTTACTGAGCTCCTGCGTCGGGGTCAGTGCTTGAGTGGGCAAGTGGGGCGTTGTAATTACGTACCATTTCACGCTCCATTTCAATTCATGTCAATGCATTTCAACTCGACGTCTCTCAATCTCAATCTCAACCCAACTTTCATCCCGATTCAATCTAATCCGCCATCATGACACTCCGTCCGGTACAAGGCACCCTGCCGTTAACAGACGAGTGCCGGCACTACGACGACCTCGCCGACGTCCCGCCGCAACTGCAAAAGTACATTCTCCCATTTCATCAACCCAAACACACAAATACACACACAGACACCAGCTAACAGCCAGCAGATACTGGCACCAACGCTACTCCCTCTTCAATTTCTACGACTACGACATCCGCTTCACCGACGACGCCTGGTTCGGCGTGACCCCCGAGCCGGTCGCTACGTGTGTCCTTTCTTTCCTTTCTCACCCCCAATTCCCCCCTTCAGCCAACAACCCACAAGCAAACCCATAGATAGGTAATTAACACCCCCCAGCCAAGTAGCAAAACACATCACCACCGCCTTCTCCCCCCACAACCCCTCCCAGAAACCCACTCCCAACCCCCAGGAGTCTCGTCCAAAACCCACAACGATAATCGACCTCTTCGCCGGCGTCGGCGGCAACACAATCGCCTTTGCCCTCTCCGAGCACTGGACGCACATCATCGCCATCGAACGCGACCCTTCCACCCTCGCCTGTGCCCAGCACAACGCAGCCGTGTATGGCGTACCAGAGGGCGTGATTACCTGGGTGTTGGGGGATAGCTTGGATTTTTTGGGGAGGCTTAAATCTACCTTCCCTTCCCCAACGGCCGGCCAAGGGGGTGAGGGTCAGGGTGAGGGGGGTGAGGAAGGGGGCCTGGATGAGAGGTTGATAGTAGACCCAGCAACAACAGTGTTGTTTGCCTCACCGCCGTGGGGAGGGGTGGAGTACCGCGGGCAGGAGGTGTTTGATTTGGAGACGATGGAGCCGTATGGGTTGGGGGTGTTGTATGAGGCGTGTCGGCCGATGGCGTGTGCGTTGTATTTGCCGAGGACTAGTGATTTACGGCAGGTCGCTGGGTTGGTGAAGGCTCCTGAGGAGGGGAAAGGGGATGGAGACGGGAAGATAGAGGTAGTGCAGTACTGCATGGAGGGCGCGAGCAAGGCGATGGTGGTGTATCTACCCGCTGAATCATAACCCATCTATTATCCTTTTATTTCTTCCCCTCTTCTACTTCCTTCCCATTTCTTCCCTCTTATCCTCCTTCCCCTCTTCTACTTCCCTTTTCTCCTATTTCTTCCTTCTTATTCCCTTTTCCTCTTCTCCTTCGACTTCCTCTCACACAGAGACAGAAACTAAACCCCCCTCACAATACTCCTCTCATCAAAAACATCCCTCACCAGTCCCCCCACACACCCCTCCCAATCGACCGGCGCCATGGCATACGTCGACTCAAACGCATAAATACTCAGCTGCGCAAAAAACGGCCGCAACACCTTCGCCACCAACTCATCCCTCCTCTCCATCCCCACTTCATCTCTGATTCCCCCTGGGGTTCCTAGCAATGGACGTCGTAGGCCGCCTACGGATGTTGTGTGGTGGGGGTAGCTTGTGTTGTTACTGTTGTTTCCAGTGTTTGTTTGATGGTGGTGGTGTTGGTCGGGGAACCCTAACCCTGGCCCTGAACCTGTTCCCGAAACATGTCCAGCAAGACCACCAGAAGACGGACCAGCCCCCAACTCCTCACAAACCTCATCAACCAACGCCACCGGCTCATACCCGCCAGCCCCCCCAAACGACGTCCGATAAACCGCATCCACCGTATCCGCCACAAACAACCAAGCGTGCAACTGAAACTCATCCGGCGCAGCACACACCAACAAATCCAGCAACTTACACGCCTGCAACACCGCGCTATTCCCATACGTGTCCGACGCCGCGCTATGGTCCGCCGCTACCACCGATGCCACCGCGGCGTGTAATTCCGCATTAACAGCCGGCCAGAGCGGAGCCAGGTGCACGGCGCCGTTCCGCAAGAGCAAAGCGCGCAGGAGCATGTAGACCTCTGCGCGGGTGGCTGATGACGGGGAGGAGGTAGACGTGGCGGAGAGGAGTTCGGTTATTTTGTCTGTGATTAGCGGCAAATCAGCGACGAAGGTGTCGGCAGGGCAGGCGAGGACTAATGTGGCGATGCGGCGGAGGTTGAGCTGGGTTTTGCGGTCGGCTTCGAGGCGGGCGGAGGTGGCGCCCACGCCGAAGACGATGCCGGCTGTGGTGGGCGGGGTGAGACGGGAGAGGAGGTCGGGCATGCTGCGGTCTTTGTCGCTGGGGCCGGAGGTGGCGGTCCATTGGCGGAGGAGGGGGAGCCAGCCGACCTCGGTCCCTGGGCCAGGGTGGACGAGGTGCAGCGGGGCGCTGAAGAAACGCGGGTCGTGGAAGGCGTCGGAGACGTCTTTGCGCCAGGACTTTTGGATGCTGTTGCTGTTGCTGCTGTTACCGCCGGGGCTCGGCAGGCGAGCGAGGGCTTGGAGGAGGGAGAGCATGGTGTGTGAGACGGTGTCAGGGAAGGCTTTGGCGCGCAGGGCTGGGCCGATGACGTTGGTCGAGATGGCCGTGGCGGCGGTTAGTACGCGGTCGTGCTCGACGAGGATCTTGGGGAGGTTGGGCACGATGGCGGCTAGGATGGCGACCACGTCGTCGGCGCGCTCGGCGGGGAGTTTGTTTCTTTTTTCGATTTTGTCGGAGGGGGCGGTTGTGTTGGACCCCGACGCGATCTCGAAGCTGCTCGGGCGGGTCGTGAAGATGGCCGTGAGCAGGCGCAGGAAGAGGTCCTGTCAGTAGTTAGCATCTGAGCATTCGCAAACATAAAACAAACAAGAGAGAGAGAGACGGAAAAGGAGAGAAAAAGAGAGAAAAGGAGAGAAAAGGAGAGAGAAAGAGAGAAAAGGAGAGAGAAAGAGAGAAAAGGAGAGAGAAACTCACAGCCAAATCCCTCCTCATCTTCCTCTGCTCCCCAAAATTCGTATTATCCACCTTCTCCCCCAACACCCCGGCAAACTCCAACAAACTCGGCAGCGTCTGCCGATGCGGAAACGGATTCCCCAAGATATCCCTCAAAAACGCCATACAATCCTGCCAGATCTCATCCATCGAATCGTCCTCCAACGAGCGCGTGTAGTCCACCAGGAAAATCACCAAATCCGTATCCGCCAGCTCAATCGTCAGCGTCGACCGTCGCGACGGGTCTAAGACTCCGGGGTTGGTCCGGCTGTAGAGAGCGTTGAATAAGGCGGGGATGGTGTGTTTGGGTCGGGAACCGTCCAGGGCTGGGAGGAGGTTGAAGACTTCGGCTGCGGTGTTGTTGTTGCTGTTACTTGCGCTGCTGTCGGTGTCCAAGGCGCTCCGCCAGATGCCGATGACTGTCTCCAGACACTCCAGCGTCTCGGCCGCAAACAAATGTTCTAACAGTCGCCGGGCGCGGTTGCGCATGCGCAGAGAGGTGTAGTTCCACGAGGCCGCAGAGCTGGGGTCTTGTTTCCCGACAGCACTGCCACTAATAGCAGTAGTACCGGTAGAAGAGGAAGAAGCAGAAACAGACGCAACATCCCCCCGCCCCCACGACCAAATAGTAAAACACATCCTCACCGCATCCTGAAACGCCAACAACACCGTCAACCGATCATTCGCCGTAGCACCGCGCGTCTGGCCCCCAGCTCCCGTCCCACCTCCTCCTGCTCCCCCAGCCCCAGCCCCAGCTGCCCCCGCCGTACTCGACCCCGTCGCAGCAGACGAATCCGAAGCAAACACCCCCGACACCATATTCCCGAAGAACCCCTGCGGCTGATCAGGCCCGCGAATAGCCTGCGCCCTCGCTTCCTCCGCCAGCAGCCGGTCGTGTCCTCGCGCCAGGACCTGCTCGAGGCCGTTGAGCAGGGAGATGAGCGTTGTTTCGGGGCCGGCGCCCTCTCTTGACTCTCCTCCTGCTGTTTCTGTAATCCCCGTGGTCCCCCCCACGCGAAACAGACGCTGCAGACTATAAAAAGTATCCCCAATCTGCCGACACAGCGTCCCGACCAGCGGGATCAGCACCTGGAAGATGGTATTCCCAAAGAGCGGAAGACACTCGGTTAGGAAGCCGACCCAGCTGTCGAGGACCGGTCGACTGCTCGGGGCGTTGAGGCCGGCGAGGATGCATTTCAGTAAGGCCGGCGGTGGGGCCTGCGGTTGTGCATGTCCGGTCGGGTGATGTTGGTTGTGTTGGTAGTGATGTTGTTTTTCACCACCACCACCCACCAACGACACCCGCGAACTTCGAGCCCCATCGAGATGGCCCAGTCCCAGTCCCAGCCCGGATAAACCCGTTCGTTTCTCCTGCGTTGGCGAAGAAGGCGGGGCTTCGGCCGGTGCGGCTAGTTCCCGCAGCTTGAGCGCCGCGTAGACCACATCGAGCAGTAAGACCTGGACGTACGGGTCGGGGCCGGTGAGGGAGTGCTGCAGTTTGGCGATCAGGGCGTGTTCAAGGTGTAGCCTGGCCAGTTGGTCGGCGAAAGGGTTGAGGAGGATTTGATGGAGGACCGTGAGGGCTGCGCGGTGTAGTTGGGTTGCTGTGGCCTCGGGGCCGTCTTCGCCGGGGACTTTGTCGCGGGATATGCATTGCATGCAGACGTGGAGGAAGAATTCTTGGAGCGAAACGTCCGAGTCGGAGCCGGCTGTTGGTAGTGTTAGCAAGAATAACATAGAAGTTGAAAAAGAAAACACGAAGGAAAACAAGAAAAAAAGGGGGCAAAAAAAGGGATATAAAAGGGGGAGAACATACTAATCTCACCCAAAGACGGCTCATAATCCCCCACCCGTAAAAACCTCTTCGCCAACACCCCCCACGCAGCCTCAGGCGCCCACCTTAACACATTCGACAGCGACCGAACATAGTAGAGCGCCAAACCCAAATCATCATCCTCTCCAAAATCCCCCCCTTGCCCTTCACCCCCCTTTTCACCACCCTCACCCCCCTTACCCCCTTCCCCTTCTTTTTCACCCTTGCCCCCCCCCGAAGCGCTAGATTCCAGCCGTTGGCGGCCCCGCCTCAAAAAAGAGAGTTCAGCAAACCTCCCCACAAAAACAGCAAACAACTTATCCATCCCAATCAAATGCCCCAACCACGTCTTAGCCGTCATAAACAACTGCGTCCTCTCATCCACCAGCGCGTCCAGCATCAGAAACAGCGGGCGGGTCAGCATGATCTCGTAGTGTTCCATCCCGGCCAACAGCGGAAAACCCCCCTTTCTGCTATCCCTCCTGTTGTTGTTGTTGTTGTTGTTGTTGTTGTTGTTGTTATTGTCCTTCCCGTCGGTCTTGTCGTTGCCGGGTTTGCTGCTGCTGTTGCTGCCACCACTGCCGCTTCCGCTTCCGCTGGTTGGGCCGTGGTCTTGGAGGGTATGTGTCCATAAGACTGCGAAGGTTCGGCCTGCATCTGACGGCCTACCTCCTACTACACCCCAACTTCCCCGTCCACCCCAACCGGCGGTGTCGCGATGCTTAAGCATCAAAGCACAAACAGCCGCCTCCACATCCCGATTCCCCTCCCCCAACACGCTCTGCAACCTCCACAAACTCCGTGTCGTCTCAACATGGTATTTCGGTTCCGCAGCCGACAGGTACCGCCATGCGTGCTGAACCAAAGGCACGACGAGATCAGAAAGCTGGGCGGGGGAGATGCGCTGGGAGGCGTGTAGGTGGCTGGCGAGGGAGATTATGGAGGTGTAGGTTGTGAATGGGAGGGTTGGACTGCTAGTAGAAGGAGGAGAAGGGGGGGAGAGGCAGTTGTGCAGGGCGGAGAGGAATTGGGCGGTGTTAAACGGCGGGGAGGTGGGTGAGGGGAGTTTGGGGAGGAGGAGGGTGAGGATTCGGCTTTTGGGGGATACCGAGGCGCTTTGGGAGGGACCCCCCGGCGTCTGCTGGGTTAAGGATGCGCAGGTGAGGTCGGAGGCTTTTTGGAGGAGGTGGTGGGCGAGTGTGGACGGGTCGAAGGGCGGTGGTGAGGCTTCGAGGTTGCCTTGGTCTGTGACGTAGAATGTTCGGACTTGGTGGAGGAGGTCGGTGTTGGAGGTCTCGTGGACTTTTTGTGATGGCGTGGGTTTGTCGGCTGTTTCCGTTGAAAACGCCCGTTCTGGGACCAGTTCTAGCAAGTTGCTCGCAATGCCCAGGGCAAATTCCAACAGCGCCGAATCAGGCCGTGTCGATGCGTCTGCGCCTGAGTTCCCACTGCCCTGCTCTTCCACCATGCAGAGCACCGCCAGCGCCGTAAGAGGAGCATGGATAGTGACCATCTCCTCCTCCCTTACATTAAAGCTGCCCAACACAAACCTGACCAACTCCAATTTCTCTCTACGCTGCAACAACGACAGCTCCCCCGGCCCAACAGCCTGCGTCATAAGCGCGAGAATCTCGCCATAAATCAACCCACTCTCGACACCATCAAAGAACACGCTCGCACTCCGCAGCACCTCGGCAAAGTCAGCCCGGCTCGCGGCCTTGGCCTTGAACTCCTTAACGCTATTCACGATCGGTAGGAAGAGCGCCGGCACCACAAGCCCGCCAATCTCCCAGCGGTCCATCAGCGAGAGACAGATGCGGTACGGCCGCGCGCGCTCGGCCGGGTTGCCGCCTGTGTCTAGCTTCACTAGAGCCAGCAGCGCGCGCGTGAGTGGTTGCAGGCCGAACTGTTCGAAGTAGGTGGTCCGCGAGGAGAAGCCGTGGCCGTGGCCGTGGGCGGATGTCGAGGTCGGTGAGTCGGGTGCGCCGTCGTGGTCGCCTGAGGCTGGTGGTTCGGGCCCGAGCAGCCACGACCACAGCCGTCTGTTGAGGCTCATGTCTCGCCGGACCGTCACTCCTGCCGCGGCCCGTAGCAGAAGCTCCAGGTCGCCATTGTCCTTGGCTTTGCCCTGCAGGACCTCGGAGTGTAGTGGAAGGTGGGTGACGAGCAGGTCGAGGTAGCCGCGCTGGATGAGCAGTTGGTCGTCGGCCAGGCCAGCGGCGAAGCAGCGGATGAGCAGCCCGGGTTCTGGCGAGGTGACCAGTTGCGATAGTCGCTTGGCTACTTCTGCGTCGGGGCCCGTATTCGAGGAATCAGACTGCGGCGTTTGGCCGAGACGAGGGAGCGAGCGCAAGAGATACGCCAAGGCCCCCGTTCTCCTGGTCTGCCCGGTGATGGACGCGAGAAAAAAGCACTGCCAAAAGAAATCGTCCCCCGACGAATGCACCTCCGTGATGTCCTCGCTGCCCGCCGGCCGAATCGCAGCTTTAAACCGCTCCACCAGCTTCAATGTCCGCTCAAAGTCCTCACTTGTCTCCTCCTCCAACCCGGGCAACAGCGCAAGAATCACCGCTTTCATAGCCGGCCGCAGCGAGCGGGGATCAAGACCAAGAAAGTATCGTTCGAGCAGATCGAGAAACGGCGCGCGGACGGTGAGCGAGGCGAACGAGAGAACAGACGCAAGGCCGGGGAAGTATAGAGGCAAGTCGCGTGAGAGGCCGTCGTGGCCGATGACGGCAAAGATGAAGCTGTACACCTCGAGGGTCTTTTGGTGGACCCCCGAGGGCAGCGAGGGGTTGAGGCATTGCGACAGCCGTTTTGCGACGGTGGCCTTGGAGGGGATGGCCGAGACGGAGGACGGTCGAGCTTGAAGGGCCTGCGCGGTCAGCCTGCTTTTCTTTATGGTGAAATACAAGAACGGCGAGAATCCCCACCTTGAGCAATCGGTTCAGAAAAGATATATAATCGGCCCATTCCTGCAGGGCCGTGTCGAACAGCGAGAGCGCCCTCTCGACGCCGCTCGCATACTTGCGGTAGTGCTTGTCGGTCGGTGGTGTGTCCTCTACATCCCATAATCGTTAGTCCCGATCCATCATAACACACTCACCACACAGCAACCAGAAACAGAAGAAACGCACCGGCCCCTAGCTGGTTCCTCCACTGGCGCGGTCCAGGCGAGTCGGCGCCAGAGCTGTCGGGCGAGACAGACCGACCCGGCTCACGCGCCATGGTTAAACAGTCGTCCGAGGGTGTAGTTACCGGCCGAGTTCATCGCCGTTCGAGTCGGGTGTTCGTAGGGCAGCTCGAGACAGCTGCGCGACTCGGTATTCGTTCGATGTCGAGTTTAGGGTCGATCCATTTGGAGGCCCAAGTTCGGTGTCGAAGCATACACCTCAATCGGGACGAGAATCCACTGTGTCTTCAGGCCTGCAAACCCCGCCAGCACGGTCCCTGATTGGACCCGCCCCTAAGCTACCCCTGCTGCAGCAGATCGACAAGGCTGAAACCGCTGTTGAGCCGTGACACACGCTGTCGTCATCCACTGACCGCACTCATTCACTCCAGGCTTGACCTCGTCCTCACTCCACCGATCACGAGATCACGAGATCAAGTGCCTAGGTACTTCTCACTTCACAACCCACATCTCACTTCACAACCCACATCTCACTTCACAACCCACATCTCACACTCAATCTCGGCCTTACAAACCTGCAGTAAACCGCCGTGAAACACCATCTTGCAGGAATGTAAGAAACCCGTTTCCATCTCAACGGCCACGGACAATGCCGACTCGCGCCAGCAGGCGGTGTATCGACGACAATGGCCCACGACGCCGAAGTCGAAGGCAGCACTCAAAGCCAAAGCAATGAGGCCGGTTCGAAAGAAATGACCACCTCACCGTCACCCTCAAAACCACCACACCCGATATCAGCATCACCATCAGCATCAGCCTCACCAACACCATCCCCGGCTCTCTCACCTCCCGCTCTCCCACCCCGTCGAAAAATCTCCAGCGAAGGCTTCTCCCATGCCGCTCAACCCACCACAGCCGTCTCCTCCATCGACATCTCCACCCTCTCCTTCCCAGACGGTTCAAGAGGGACCTTTCCCTCCAACGCTCCCGGCCCTGTTTCCGTTCCTATTTCCGGCCCCAGCGCGACTCCAAATCCCAGCGGCTATGGCACGCCCACCCAAAACTCCACCCTCGGCGACGCCAGCGACGCCATGAGCATCATGAGCCTCGCAGCCCCCACCACACGCGCCCAGGGGCACGGCGGGGACCTCGCCAGCCTCGTCGCCGGCGGCCTCAACCGCAAAAGCCGCGCCTGGAACATGCTCCGCTCACAATCCTCCGACGCCGTCCAGCCCTTTGAGAGTATCGAGTTGGGCATCCCGGGGAACCTGGCCGGGTTCGCGCGCGAGTTTGATGATATTCCGGATGGTAATACGGATGAGGTGCGCATGGCGCTGTGGAAGTCGAAGATGAAGCATTATATGATTTTGTCGTCGGCGGGTAAGCCGATTTATAGTCGGCATGGGGATCTGAGTTTGATTAACTCGTACATGGGCGTGGTGCAGACTATTATTTCGTTCTATGAGGAGGGGCAGAACCCGTTGTTGGGGTTTACGGCCGGGGACGCGCGGTTTGTGATTGCTATCGAGGGGCCGTTGTACTTTGTCGCTGTGAGCAAGCTTGGAGAAAGCGACGCACAGTTGCGTAGTCAGCTGGACGCGCTGTACATGCAGATCTTGTCGACGCTCACGCTGCCAACGCTCAAGAGCATTTTTGTGCATCGGCCGTCGACAGATTTGCGGAAGCCGCTGGAGGGGACGGAGTCGTTGCTGTCGTCGCTGGCGGACAGTTTCACCAAGGGGTCACCGTCGACGCTGCTGGGGGCGCTGGAGTGTTTAAGGCTGAGGAAGTCGCAGCGGCATGCGATTAATAATGTTTTTTTGAAGTGCCGGAGTGAGAAGTTGTTGTATGGGCTGATTGTTGCCGGGGGGAAGTTGGTGAGTGTGATCCGGCCGAGGAAACACTCGCTGCATCCGAGCGATTTGCAGCTTATTTTTAATATGCTGTTTGAGTCGGGGGGGATTCAGGCCGGGGGTGGGGAGAGCTGGATTCCGTTGTGTCTGCCGGCGTTTAACAATCGGGGGTATCTGTATATGTATGTCAGTTTCTTTGACAGTGAGCTGGATGGTTCTCAGCCAGGCCCTGAAACATCATCACCACCACAACCATCAGCAGCAACACCACCATCAGCAGAAGCAACCTCAGAAACAACAACAGAAGCAGCAGCAGAGCCGGCAGCAGAACCAACCCCAGCAACAGAACCAACCCCAGCAACAGAACCAACCCCAGCAACAGAACCCCCAGAACCATCCCCACCCCCAAACGACGAAGCAATCGCCCTAATCCTCATCTCCCCCGACAAAGAATCCTTCTACGACCTGCAAGAAATGCGCACCAAACTCGCCGCCCAACTCACCACCCCCAAAACCAACCACCTCGCCCTGATCCGCACCGCCGCCCGCGCCGGCCGTCCCCGCATCCCCTCCATCGCCCCCGGCTCCCAAATCGCCCACTTCCTCTACAAGTCCCGCGCCAACGTCCAGTTCTGCATGTCCCCTTTGCCTTCCCGCCCTTCATCCCCGTCCCAGGACACACTCTCCGACAGAGAGGGGCTAGAAACGACATTAACAACCCGCCGCCGCCTAATGAGCATATACCACGAACTACACGCCTCCGTGCACGCGCGCCACGCTCACCTGCGGGTTCTGCACGCCGTGGCGTCGGACGCGGCGAGTTTGGCGTGGATCACACCGGTGTTTGAATTGTACTGTGTGGCGGGCCCGCATGTGTCGAGGACGGCGATGGCGCAGGGGGCGAATGCGGTGGTGCAGTGGGCGAGACGGGAGGAGGAGAGGTTGTTTATTATTGGGGGTGGGGTTTTTTGATTACTCGGATGTGAACGAGTAAGGGGGAAGGGGGGAAGGGGGGAAGTGTGAGAGGAAGGAGGGTGAAAGGGTATGAGAAGGGAATCGAACAGGTTATATACGGTGATGGAAAGGGGTTGAGACTAGAATATACCATTTGTCTAGACCTATTTATCTACCCATAATCCAAGTGATAGCCGTTGGCTCTGACAAACGATGAACACTTCCATCAACACCAACACTTCCTGTAACACTGAACCACTAACCACCCTATCGACTATCCTCCTCCTCAGTCCCCATCAACACCAACCCTGCCTTTCACAAGTAACCAAAGCTCACCTCCGCCGACCCCAGCGAGACGCAAACCCAAGCCTCAACCCACGTCTGGGCCTAGACCCAAACTTGGGCTTGAACTTGGACTCACACCTATACGTAGACTTCGCCCCTCCCCCCAAAACAACCTCCTTCACCCGTCTCACCCACCCAACCACCCTTCCCTTCAACCTCGCCCCCCGACGAAGCCGTCTCAGATCCCAGTCCCCCTCTACCCTCTCCCCATCATCATACCCCCTCCCCCCAGCATCGTGCCCGACACCATCACCCCCCCTCCTCGCAGCCAAAAACCCCACATCCAAATCAGACATAGCAACAACTCTTCTTTCCAAATCCGGAAACCGGTTCATTAACCTGCGTAGGGCTCGGCCGTTGACTCGGCTGTGGGACGGGGATGTGGTTAGGAGATCTTGGAGGATGAGGTCCTTGGTTTTGGGGGGGTTGCCTGCGTGCCGTTTCTGGGGTTGGGTTGGTTGGTGTCGGGTCCGGGTTCGGAGGGAGGGTTGGTTGTTGCTGGTGATGCTGTGGTGGTGGTGGTGGTGGTGGTTGCGTCGTGGTGTTGGGTAACGGTACCGGTGGGTGTGGGTGCTGTACGAGGTTGAAGAGGGACCAGTTGGTCGCCCGCGTTGCTTGACGAGTGCGCCACGGGAGACTTTGAGTCTTAGTTTTTTCTCGGGGGGTGTATCGCTTGGTGTTTCGCTGCTAGAGTCGGTGGTTCTGGATAGCCTGGGCTCTGAGCCCTGCGAGGGAGAGGGGGATACCGTGGTACATGGACCCGCCTTGTGAGAAGGAGGCAGAGGCCAACCAGCACTCCGTCCTGTGTCTTTGTCAAAAGGCCAATCCAAAGTCCGACCCTGGCCGTCTGTTGAATCCAGGCTCCACGAGGATGACCGGCGCGACGCCCGTTTCCGCTTCTTCAACTTCTCAACACCCAGAGGCAGACTCACGACCCTCTGGCCCCGACTGACCACCGCATCTCCCAACGAGATATCCCTTTTCAGAATCACCGTCCCCGTCACGGAACAGCCCGAATCGTACGCCGTCAAGGAAGATGCACCCCGACGATCCCGAGGGCTGTCGCTGAGCATCCAGTCGTGAGAATCTGTGCTCGTGGATTCGTCCGAGGAAGACGGCTTCCCGAGTGTGGTGGTGTCCAAGAATGTTGGCGTCAACTTCTAGTCTCTGACATCGGACAAATCCCATCTCCCAGCCGGTGATCCGATACACGCTGAAGGCTTCCCATCTGACGGTCGCAAGGGGGTCGAGATCGGAACGTTGGCCATACGACCAAGACGAAGGTCAAGTGGGCAGCTCGCCGACCGAAGGTGCTCCATTGTTCCGTTTTGTACCCGACGAACTCTGGAATTAGACTTGCTGGGAGGGGTGCCGGGGTCGAGGAGAGGCACTGATTCTGGCCGGAGAAAGGGGCATCACTTGTGGCTGGTCAACCGATGTGACGGCGTGGTGGGTGATATCGGCTGTTGATATTAGAGAGATTCGCGATGTTTATTTTCTCTAAGACGGAAAACTTAAGAGGACCCGCTTCAACGATTGGGAAAGAGCGAGGGCGTCCATCTTGCAGAGGAAACCATGGTAGGGAACCGAACTTGGAATGACAAAGGTTGTTTTCTTAAGAAGTCAGAGCATATCAATGAGGTTTACGATGTCAAAAACAAGATATCAAGGAGGGACCGATATCAAGTTTAGCCGCCAAGGAGACCGCGGTCAATCATTCCCCAACACATCTCCATGCCTTTAGAGGACTACTATGCAAGTAGTTAATCTCATGAGTCCACCACCCAAATATATTAAGCCTTCTAATTCATGCAACATCTCATTCACCATCGCAGCGTTTTCTAGATCTCGGAAAAGCTCGCGCGGACCGTCAAGTCCCTGGGGCTCGTTCCGGCACGGGGCTGAACGCCCGCCCTGCCGTGGCCTCGCCGGCTCCCGATCAGGCAAGTCCCCGCCTTGGGGCGGTTGGGGTTTCAGGGGTTCTGGTGCGGAGGTGATTAGTGACATGCACGTGGAGATGTGGCCTTTCGTCCTTGGAGTGGCCAAACAATCCGGCCAAGGGCGTCGCAAGTTAGAAACGGTTTGGATTTGTAATGTCAAAAAGTAGCTGTCGAAGTTGCTGGAGGCTTTGGAATCTCGCTGCCTCGTTGATGATCTGACTGAGCACCGACCATTGTTTCCGCCATGGTGGCTCTCCTCAGCGGCCTGTTTTGGAGAATCGAAGCCAGATTCACGGAAATGGAAACGACTGAGGCGTGGCAGTCGGAGCCCCATTGTGGGGTTGCCGTTTGCTGGAAGGTGGGTCGATACTCAAACAGTGCCAATCCTACTGTGGTCGTCCCTTTCTTTACAAAGTCGTAACAGACTCGGGCCAACTGGCGCCATTAAACAAAGAGAGAAGAACTCGCACAACAAACCGCACAGCAAACAAGTCTGCCAAACTCGAACACCGAAATAATCATCGAATCCTTAAAGGGTGTTCTTTGCGATATCTGGCCAACCACCACCGCTGGATCGACGTTCGGATTCAGCTGCCGCACGCTGTCCCAGTCCCTGAGCCCCACACGGTGTAATCCCCCGGCTTAAGACGGACCGCCACCCCACAGGAAGCCCGTTTCGGCGGTGTGGTTGGCCGCCAAGGCCGTCGAGAGGCTGAGCTGTGCGAAAAGACACCTGTTCAACTCGCCCGCGAATCTGCGTCTGTTGGCAGTGGGAGGATACAAGTAGCCTCAAACCGCTTCTTGCTTTTGACATCTTTGGATATTCTACGACAACTACATACCTTTCTCCCCATACCCATATACCCAACGGCCGATTTGCATACCAGTTTGGTATCGTTTTGGAATTCTATCCATTGGCCTTTCATCTGTCCTTTTTTCTGCCTTTAAGTAGCCCAGGGTAAGTGCTATCACCGCTGTCTCCGCCCGTTGCTGGGGACACGGGGACATTCCTGTGTATCCAACGCAATCCACATCCGCACAACCCCAACTTGCCCCCCAATTCCTCCGTCAACCTACAGTTTTGCTCACGCGCTTCTGAACAGAACAGGACCATCACATCAAAATGCAAAAGATTCACAAGATCGCTCTCGGCCTGCTCGCTGCGGCGGCAGTTGCCACGGCGTCCGACGTTATCCAGTTGAAGAAGGACACCTTCGACGAGTTCGTCAAGGAGAACGACCTCGTCCTTGCTGAGTGTAAGCCGGACTCCGCCTGACGTCCCTCCGTCACGAACCAGACCATCCGTATGCTAATACACACCGGCACAGTCTTCGCCCCGTGGTGTGGTCACTGCAAGGCGCTCGCGCCCGAGTACGAGGAGGCCGCCACCACGCTCAAGGAGAAGAACATCAAGGTCGTCAAGGTCGACTGCACAGAAGAGGCCGAGCTCTGCCAAGAACAGGGCGTCGAGGGCTACCCGACCCTCAAGGTCTTCCGTGGTCTTGACAACGTCACGCCCTACAAGGGCCAGCGCAAGGCCAATGCGTACGTTCCTCCCTCCTTCCGAAAGAGTTTGGACAACAAGTCAACAGTGGCTAACACCCCCGCAGTATCACTTCCTACATGGTCAAGCAGTCGCTGCCCGCCGTCTCGGAGGTCACCAAGGACACCCTCGAGGAGTTCAAGAAGGCCGACAAGGTTGTCATTGTCGCCTACCTCGACGCCGAGGACAAGGCGTCGAGCGAGGTTTTTGGCGAGACCGCCGAGAAGCTCCGCGACAACTACCCCTTCGGTGTGAGCACCGATGCGGCCCTGGCCGAGGCTGAGGGCATCAAGGTCCCCGCCGTCGTCCTCTACAAGGACTTCGACGAGGGCAAGGCCGTCTTCTCCGAGAAGTTCGACGCCGAGGCGATTGAGAAGTTCGCCAAGACTGCCGCTACCCCCCTCATCGGTGAGGTCGGCCCCGAGACCTACTCCGACTACATGTCGGCTGGCATCCCCCTTGCCTACATCTTCGCGGAGACCGCGGAGGAGCGCAAGGAGCTCAGCGAGAAGCTCAAGCCCGTCGCTGAGGCCCAGCGCGGCGTCATCAACTTCGGCACCATCGACGCCAAGTCGTTCGGCGCGCACGCCGGCAACCTGAACCTCAAGACCGACAAGTTCCCCGCCTTCGCCATCCAGGAGGTGGTCAAGAACCAAAAGTTCCCCTACGACCAGGAGAAGGAGATCACCCTCGAGGCGATCCAGACCTTTGTCGACGACTTCGTCGCCGGCAAGATCGAGCCCAGCATCAAGTCGGAGCCCATCCCGGAGAGCCAGGATGGCCCCGTCTCCGTCGTCGTGGCTAAGAACTACAACGACATCGTCCTCGACGACACCAAGGACGTCCTGATTGAGTTCTACGCCCCGTGGTGCGGGCACTGCAAGGCGCTCGCCCCCAAGTACGAGGAGCTCGGCTCCCTGTACGCCAACAGCGAGTTCAAGGACCAGGTCGTCATCGCCAAGGTCGACGCCACCGCCAACGACGTGCCCGACGAGATCCAGGGCTTCCCCACCATCAAGCTCTACCCCGCCGGCGGCAAGGCCGAGCCCGTCACCTACTCCGGCCCCCGCTCCGTCGAGGACCTCATCAAGTTCATCGCCGAGAACGGCAAGTACAAGGCGTCTGTCGCGCAGCCCGAGGCTGAGGAGGCCACCGAGGCGGCTGAGGAGCCCGCCGCGGAGACCAAGACCGCCGAGGAGGCCAAGGAGTCGGACCACGATGAGCTCTAAAGAGAACGTTGACGTGGCGATTATGTCTTGATGTGTATTCTAGAAATGCGTCTCTTTTTTGGGTCATCTATCTCTTTTTTTTTTCCTCGTCAGGGGACTATGGGCACACGGGATGAAGCCCGGGATTCTAGGGTTTGGGTTTGATAAAACGAGCATCCGTGTAATGAAGTCTTTATGATTGATTGTCTTTCCTGTCTTTCTGTGAAATGTTGTCTCTGAAATACTGCAATGTCTCCTGTTCCAACTTGCATGCCACGCGATGCCAAATACATTCTGCCGGTATCTACCGCCAAAATTATCCTGTCTGTTAATTCGTGCCCTGATTGGTCCATCACCCCGGCCCATCGAACATTGGACCCACCGTGACATGCGCACCCCTGCCAAAAGGATGCCCCTCGTTTCCGGCGTGCGCGAAGGAAGGCCAGGCTTGTCTGTCACTCTCACACGAGCACACGCCCGCGCCGTAACTGCCGCTGCCGCCAGCCAGTGAGTGAACTTGTCTGGCTGCGTTGACGCAAATAGATTACATTTTTCCGCCGGCCTGACCTTTTTTTTTTTTAGGTCTTCATTTTGCCTAGGTGTCTGACGCTTACCTACCCTACCCCCTTTTTTACATACATTTCCTCTTCCCTCGCACTTTGATTACTTCCTCTCTTTTTCTCCCCCACCTTCGACTTTCACCCCTCCTAGACACAGACAGGCTCAGGCACAGGCACATAGGTAAAGGCAAAGGCATAGGCAAAGGCAGAGGCATTGTACACATCCCCTCGAACGATACGATACGAAACCTGACGGCCGAATAAACCGACCCGATTCCTACGACCTAAACACCAAAGAAAAAAAGACCGAACAACACCGACCCAAACCAACCCAAACAAACCAAACAACCCGAAAAGATGGCACTCCCAAGGATCCTCGCCACCCGCGTCGGCACAACCGTCGGCACAACCTTCGCCCGCCGCACATTCAACACCTCAGTCCTCCGCCGGGACGCCGTGTCGGCGGGTGTGGCGCCCGTGGTGTCGGCTTCGCCTCTACCAGCGAGACGGCCGGTGGGGGCTTTGAGGGGGGGGTATGTCCTACTTCTCTTTTTTTGTTCCCTCCCTACCTCTTTTTCCTCCCTCGAAATTGTTTAGTTTGCGGAGCGAAAATGTGCAGCTGCTGACGTGATATGAAAAACAGGCTCTTCGGCTTCTTCCTCGGCAGCTCACTCGCAGCCGGCGCGGTGTACTATTATGCGGTGCAGGAGTACAAGACGTCGAATGAGCTGCTGACGGAGGATATTTACGTGCGTGTTGCCATTTAGACTCTCTTCGTTTCTCTTCTTTGCAACTTCCATCCTTCCTTTTTCTCTTCTTTTACACTTCCCTTCTTCTTTTTGATATCGTTATTCTTTGTTTATTTGTTTGCCTACCTGCCTGCCTGCCTGCCTGCCTGCCTGCCTGCCTGCCTGCCTGCCTGCCTGCCTCCCGACACTGCGACCTGCCTACCTGCTGCTCCCCTGGATAACTACCGGCCTACCTGCGTTGCGGTTTTCGATCGATTTGCGGCATGGTTGTATAGATCTCGTGGAATTCTATATTAGATGGGATAAACAGGAGAAACGGAGGAAGATGGAAGAAAGAAAGATCTAGACGGCGGACAACCAGAGAAGAGAAGACTAGAGAAGAAGAAAGAGACTAGACTAGAAAAGACCGGAGGGTAATTATGCTGGTGTATTTCTCAGCTAGGAGGCTTAGCCGGCGAGGGTTGGGCGGTTTTGGTTCTGGCTGTGGCAGGCTGCGTCAGCGCGCGACTTGTTGAGACTCAGCAGAGACGGAAGACGGCTAACTGGATGCGATGGACAGGGCTTGCAAAATGCGGTCGACCGGTTGAGCAAGTATGTGGAGACGCTGGAGGATAAGATGGATGCGTTGGAGAAGAGGAGGAAGTAAGGGAAATTGGTGAGTATGGGTTGGAACTGGGAGGGCGTTGAGTAGGATGGTTGGGTTGGGATATTGTTTTTCGGGCGTGGGATCGGTTCAAGTTGATAACAATCACGGCGTGGACTATGGGTTCTTTTGGTTTGTTTAAATTCATGGGTTTGCAAAAGTTAACTCGGCTCGATCTAATTCTTATGTTGATCTTTAAATTTAGTAGTGGTTAAACTTATCAAACTCTGCTTCTCCTCTTCCTTTCCCCAGCTACCATAAAAACAGTGAAGTACCTAATGTGAACATCAACTTCGACGTCACCAACTACACGTGTAGCTATCCAGGATGCCCCGGCCCGGTCCGGCATTGTGGGCCCGGCTCGGGCCTGTTTTAAATCTCCCGAGCTGCTGCAGCTGCAGCCCACTTCCACACCCCACCAACCTCAGTCCACCGCCATGAACAACTTTGGCGTCATCGAGCTCTCGAGCACCACCACCAAAAATGCACCAGGCTGGGCCTACGTGCCAGACACCGGGCCGGTGGTGCCCTCGGCGCTGCAGCCGGCAAATCGGAAACGCGCGCGCAATCAGCCAGCACTGAGCCTGTCCGACCTTTCGGCGCGCGAAGAAACGAGAATCCGCAAGGACCTGGAAGCGCTCGACCGCGATAGCCACCGAGATGCCAGTATCCCGATACCGCCGCGGCCGGGTGGAAGCCGAGGTGCGTCTATCCTCAGGTCTTAGTGGGGAGAAGATCGTAACTAACCTAGAGCGCGAACAGCCCAGCACAAACACACCCCGAACGTGCGCAAAATCCTGCAGTCGCAAAAGACCTTTGCCAACCACCTCGACGACTACCAAGCGCTGCTCGCCCTCGCCGAGAGCAACCCGGCCGCCGCGGCCGCCGCCAACGCCGCCGCAGCACGAGACAAAGCGGCGACGCCCGTCGCAGTAACAGCAGCAGCAGCAGCATCAGCGGCTTCGAAGAGCGCGTCTCCCGCGCCAGCCCCTCCTGTTGTTAGCAAACGGTCTGCAGCAGCGGCAAAGCGAGCAGCGGCAAAGGAGAAACAGGAACAAGAAAGAAAAAAGGCCCGACAAACTCCCAAAACCGAGCCAGAGGCAGAGACAAACCCCGAGCCGACCGCAGACGAACAAACCCAACCAGCCCAACCCACCGACATCGAAATGACCGATGCGCCAGCCACCACCGAACCAGACTCTACCACCACACAAACCCAAAACCCACCACCACCACAACCACAAGCACCACAGTCACCCCCCCAACCCCAAACCTACCCCCGCGACAGCGCCATCCTCCCCGCCTACGCCCAACCCCCACCACGCCCCCACCCAGGTGACGCCGACCCGTTACTCGTCTCCTACATCCCGCCCTTCCCGACGGACGACGAACTCCGCGCGCTCATGACTGCGCCGCCGTTGAGTTATCTTGAGGCGAGGGCTAAGTGGGATGATGACGGTGGTGCTGGTCTTAATGATAAAGAGGAAGACGGAGGAGGAGGAGGAGGAGGGGGAGGGGGTTATGCACAGCAGCAGCGGTATCCGGTGAGGGTGTTTTGTGCGGTGTGTGGGTATTGGGGGAGGGTAAAGTGTATCAAGTGTGGGACGAGGGTGTGTGCGTTGGATTGTTTGGAGGCGCATCGGGAGGAGTGTGTTACGCGGTATGGGCTGTAGGGAAATAGATATGATACCCAGTGTGATATTGAGGTATGCTCGTCGGTTTGACTGCTATTTTGTGTGTATAGTGGATGCTACCCGTAGGTTGTGTCAAGACAACCATCTTTCTTTCAAGATGCCACAGGCTTTCCAGCCTCTCCTCTCTTATCCTCTTCCGTTTTGTTCTCAGACCAGCCTTTTAAACCAACAACCGAGCCCGCTCTTGTAAACCCAATGCCCAACGCTTAACGCCACCCATGGATCACAAAAGAAAAAGACAGAGAATGAGAAAATCAAACACCCCCCAAAGAAAACCAAACATCCCCCCCACCCGTCGCCACACCCACGCACCGTCCCTCCAGCCCCCCCTGCGGACACTGCTCCCTCGCGGCCGCCACACACCCCATCCACGCCTCCTTGCTCACATTAATCCTCCTCCTCGAGATCCCTTCCATGGGCTGTTGCTGGCCCTCGTCGAGTGCTTCAAGCCGAAACACAGCACTGCCCACCCGACCCTCGGTGGTTTGCGGTAGTAGGGTCTGGCAGTGGCTTGCGTGCCGGCGGCCGGCGATGGAGGAGCAGATTGCTAGGGAGGCGGCGTGTTCGTCGTGGAGGAGGATTGTTCTACTCTGTATTAATACCTTGGCCACTCTCCTTTGCTCCTTTCAAGGGTAAAAGGAAGAACCTACGCAGAAGTATCGACACAGCGCACATCGCGGACAGCGTCGGGGTTGAGATGCACCTGCCGGCGGAGGGCGAGGCCTTCGTAGTAGGACTGGGGGACGGTCACGCGGCGTTGGTGGTATTTTTCGTACCAGGGCTCAGTGGGTGCTGCGTGGGTTGGGGTTGTGAGGGCGAGGAGGAGGGTGATTAGAGCGAGGGTGAGGGAGAGGGAGGAGATGTAGGTTGGTGGGCGGGTCATTGTTGTGGTTGACGATGTTGATCGATCGGGTTGAGTCGAGAGAGTACTGGAGATGGTTGGACGCTTTGAGGGTATTCAGAGACTCGATTCCAGATCAGAGCGTAAGGAATGACAAGGATGCCAGCATCAAACAGAAAAACAGAACAAGAGAGTGAATATGGCGATTAACACCTGCGACAACCCGTCCGTCGGTAATACCAAAGTCTGATTGTACCTAAACCAAGAACAAACCCAAGAACCAAACGGCCCTCGCCATTTCATATAAACAACCCGACGGAAATCCCAACGTCATACCCAAACGAACCAAATCCCCCTCCCGTCGTCAAACAAGGAAGCTGTCAAGGCTGTCTGTCTCCTCCGGTCCGTTTCGACTTCGGATCTCCACTGAGACCAAACAAACCCATCTCAACCCCTGCCAAGCCGGACAGCCGATCACCAATCGCCCCGTGGGGAACGCGGGAATTGTCAGATTGATGGGGCGACTCGGGTGATTGATTGAGATGCAGATTGATGAGGAGTATTCGATCGGCGGGACTCGAAACGAGAGGCCATCAGAAGAACAAATTCATTATCACACCGGCAGGCCGGAACTGTACAATGGAATGCAGCATTCCCAGCTGCTGAGTGGAACAGGCTGATCTGGCAATTGCATCCCCCTCAGTCTCACACCTGCATGTCAGACAACTACCTAACAAGCACCGTCAAGCCAGCTATGAGCCTCAAACAATCCATACATACGTGCAGTGTACAGAGTAAGTGAGACCAATGACGTCGCCTACCAAATCCCCCCTTGATCAAAACCCCTTTGATAAAAAAACCCACCCTTTAGCAATTGGCAGTGGTGTTTCGAAGACATCCGTCTTGTTTCTCCCGTGCAAGCCGAGTTCCCTAACAGGGGATTAGGCAAGTGACAGGGTGCTGAAACAGTACCGAGCCAGGGGTTAAACCAGCATTCAGTGGATGCTAGCGCGGTTGATTGGTTCGTTCAGGGGGTTGAGTGCACTTCAGGGGCTTGACCAAGGTTTGCGGGGAGAACCTGACGTCGTCATTGCGTTTGGTTGTTTCTTTTGGGTCTTTTCTTTTCTGTGAGGGGCATGGGATTTCCGAGAGGAGAGAAAAGTCGCGGAGTGAGACATTGGTGTTTGCTCGTCACCACCGGCGGTGTGTGAGAGCGAGACATTTTGATGTCACTGGGTGAAGCGTACACTAGTGTACTTGCTGACGAGGGGATGGGATACGGGGACTCCGATGAGATGCAGTGAGTCTTTCTCGAAAGTGCGGCAGGTGAGAATGATAGGGGATGGCTTTGACTTAGACGGGGACATCACTGTCCATGGGAGTTGGTCGTTGTCAGGGACTGGCAAATAAACTCTGCAGTCGTATCCGTATATTCGTCGCATTGTATCGTAACGGCATGCAATGAGTCGTTTGGTCCTGCGTAGGAATCCGTATGCTTGCGTAGTGCAAAAGTAAACAAGTGAGGAGATTCCCGCTTAACAAAACACCATCCTCCCAACTGAATACCTTCCTACAGAAAGGCATACCGCCATACAGAGTAACGCCTTAAATGCCCTCAATCCCGAACAAACCCAGATGTCCATACACCGTAAAATACACGACCTCCAACCTCCGGACCATCCAAGACATAAATCCCACCTTCCTCTCATCCCAAGTACACTAGGTAGGTAGTATACCCGTAATATCCCCTCGCCTCATCAAAACACCAACCCGTCTCAACACCCCACAGCACCCAGCATCCCACAACTCATACCTCACACCTCTCCTCCCCCCCTCCTCTCCCCACAAACACCACACACCCCACAGTCCGCCGCATTCCGGTACCCAGCCGCCGCGGCTCCCTGTCTCGCATCCGCACATATCGTGCTTTGGCACGCCCAAGTGCCTTCAAGAGAAAGCGTTTCTTCGCCCCTTGCGCCAGGTAGAGATAGGGTGTTGGAACATATGGCGCAGGTGGTGGCGGTGGGTTCGTTGAGGAAGGTGCAGAGGGGGCAGGCGTGGGAGGGGGGTGGTTGTTGTTGTTGTTGTGGTTGTGGCGAGGATGGTGGTATACTTGAAGGGGGTAGCGGTTTGGTTTCGAGGGTTGGGCGTGGTGTAGAAGCCGGGGGTAATAATGGTTTAGATATTTTCGATGCCGAGGGAATCGGTTTTGCGTCGGGCGGTTTCGTCTCCGACTGTGCAGACGCACCCGGTTCATCCTTCATCCGTTGACCTGCGCCGCTCGAGCCAGACGACAACCAAGACGCCAGACTAAACCGCTGCAGTTCGGCTAGCTCGTCCTGCGCGTCCTGGCCGTTCGGGTTCTCGTCCTCACACACTTTGACCATGTCCCTACCCTTAGAGTCAAGGAACTTGTTGCCGCGTGCATCCACAGCGACGGGGCCGACATCAGTGTCGTTTTCGTCTTCGTCTTCGTCTCCATCACTCTCAGACCCCTCTTCCAGATCCTCGCCTTCCTGTGTTTCCTGCTTCTGCTGGTCAAACCGCGCCAAAGCCGCCGCAGCCCGGAGCTCTCTCCCCCTCGCGCTGCCCGCAACCCGCGGTTTCCCAGTGATAGTCTTCCCCTTCTCCAGCTTGCGCTTCGTGATGGGGTCATCACCGAGCGTGACGCCGTTTGCCCCAAATTTCTTCAAAATCCGACGCTGCTTCTGCTCCTGGTAGGTAAGTGTCTTTTTATTGCTCGCCTTGCGTTTCCGGCTCCGCGACCGATACGTGCCGCCACAGAGGTGCTCGGGCAGCGGCTCGTCGGCGCCGACCGTGTTCCGCTCGAATTCACCCGTGGATAGCAGGGCGCCGCGGCCCCAGAGGCCTTCGCCGGTATACCCGCGCGTCCATAGTCCGCGCATCTGTTCGGCGTAGAGGTTGCGGACTTTCCAGAAGGCGCGGGAGTGGTTCATTTGCTTGCAGTGGGCTAGCCTGGAGCGAGGATCAGTCACGTAACTGACCGTAAGGGGGTGCTGGAAGGGGCTGCAGAACGCACTCGTGCATCATGACCATTTGTACGTAGTTGAAGGGCAGCCAGTGGCCGGACCGGGCCTTGAGCACCAGCTGGATGACCTCGCCGGCGTTGAAGTTGCGGCCCACAAACTCGGGGTTGGGCTCGTACTCCTCGAGCGAGGTGACTGACAGGCTGTGCTCTTTCATGATGGGCACTGGGCTGTTAGTCGGTTTCTTGGAAAAAATAAAAATAAAAATAAAACCAAAAATCAAAATGAATCGAAAACTTAAATCCATGGCACAAGACGGGTTGACCTACAACATTGCGCGGCGATCCTCTCCAGGAAATCCTGGGCCGTTGCCTCGTCTGGTCCCTTAAGCGGCTTGATGAAGACGACGCGGTCATTCGGCTGCGACTTTTTTGCATTGAGCCGCAGGATGTTGAGCGGCATGTCTGAGTGTCGCTGCTCCGATTAGATAAACAGCCGAGATGCAAAATGCAGATATCAAACACTGACGAAGTGGCGAGCATGGATTGAGAAGGTCTTCGAAACCTGGGGACGCGTCGGAGATAAGGAATGCGAAACCCGCGTTGAGTGGTGACGCCTAGTCACGTGACACCATTTACGAGAACAACGACGAGGCATCGGGGCATCGGGACATCGGGACATCAGCCTCATTCTCGGAAGAAAACTCCCCAAAAGGGGCATCAAAATACTAATACAACAAACTATAGAAGAAAATAGGTGGGAAAATAAATAAGAAGCGAAGGATCAAAAGATCAAGGATCAAACCAGCAAAAGCTCACCAGGCTGCCGCCCGGTTACGAAACCCATAGTGCTTGCTCCGTAGACGGCCGCTTGCCTACTAGATCCGCGGGTTTGCCTGAGAGTAGCAAGCTAGAAATCCCTACTCGTTAACCCGCCTTTGCCATGAATTGAACCCTTGACCTCGCAGTCAAGTGAACAAACCCATCGCTCAAGGTAGGCCCTTTCAAGGACCACCGCTGGTGACCGCTAGGCCAGACAACGGTGTGCAATTGTTGAAAAGGTATGCGTTGGACCCTATACATATACCCTCGTCCTCTTGGTCTCTTGCCTGCTTACCTCCTACTTCTTGTCTTCTTGCCCACTTAGAACCGACTGCACAGCACCGCAACACCGCAGTGCACTGTGTGAATCTCAGGCCCACGCCCAAGCTGCCTGCTGCGAACTGCACTTCTTTCCCATTCCCCATTTTGGCTATCTCTTGAAGCTTTGTGATCCATCCATTCCTCACACTTTGGTGTTTTCAAACAAGTATTCACTTCCCACCATGTCGTTTCCGCAACATCGCCCTCCTTCCCAACCTGCACTTGCAACAAATTGCGCAATAACACAGAAAACGTAACACCACCACAGCAACCACAACAATCACAACAATCGCAAAATACCATAAAAAAAACACTACCTCCTCCTCCCACCTCCACCTCCACCACCAGCCCCAGCACCACCAGCGACACCCTCCCCACGATCCGCAAGCGAAACCACCTCCCCAATACCCGAGGCTTCCTGCTCCTCCTCCAGCAGGGTAATCTCCTCGCGGCAGTCCCACCACTTCTCCTCGCTGAGCTCGAACGCGCCGGCCTTGATCTCTTTGACCGACAGCGATGTCTCGGGCTGCACGCCCTTCCAGCGCATGTTGGTCATGAAGATTTCTTGCCACTCGGCCGAGGTGCGTTGGAAGAAGTCGCGGCGGGATTCGAAGGGCTTTTTGGGGACAGTCAGTATCATGTTGGAAAGGGAAGAGAGAAAGGAAAAGAACAGAACAGAAGAAAGAAACTCACCCTTGGATGCGGCAGCCCATCATCCACCGTCTCTGTCGCGGCCGACTCGGTCTCCTCTTCCTCTTCCTCTGTCGGTGCAGCTGTAGCGGGTGCCGCTTCGGAATCATCGCCCTGCTTCTTCTTGCGCTTGCTCGGCGTGTACAGTTGCTGTTTGCCCTGTCCTTTCTCGTCTGCCATCTCCACGTCCCCATCTTCGTCCACCTCCTCGTCCTCGTCTTCATAATCTTCCTCGTCATCGTCGTCGTCGTCATCTTCGTCTTCGGATTCCTGCTCTGTGTTAGCAAAATTACTGTTAAACGACAGAAAGACAAGACAAAACATACCACCCAGTCCTCGACAGGCCGGTTAAACACCTCTTTGCAGCCATCCAACTTCCCCAAGTCAATCGCATACAAATCATCAAACGTGTACTCGCGGTCGCCCTTCTCAAACGTCCCACCATAGATGTACAGCACATCGTCCTGCACCGCCAGTAAGGCGTTGAACCGCGGGTGCGGAAACTCCATGCTGACCGGCATCTCGCGGACCGCTTTCCTCTCGCGCTCCTCTTCCTCTTCCTCTTTCTTCTTCCGCCTATCCACATCCATCTCGTCACCTCCACCCTTACCATCCTCATCCTCATCATCCTCAATCCCCGCTCCCGCTCGCAACGCAGCCAACTGCCGCAACAACTCCTCCTCATTCTCCTTCGCCCTTCCTCTTCTCCCCCCAACCGCCCTACCCCCTCCTTGTTCACCACCGCCTTTCCCACCTGCCCCCCCACCTCCTCGTCGAGTTTTCTTCAACCCCAAAGGAAAAAACCGATTCCTCTCCACATTCCACGCAAACAGCGCATTAAAAAACTCACTCTCCATCCCTTCCTCACTCTCCTCCACATCATGCACACCCCCAAACAAAATCCCCCTCCCCCGGTGTGCCGCCATCGTCGCCCCCGCTCTCGTCGGATCCGGCGCATTAGCCGGCTTCTTGCGCCGTTCCCACCGCACCGTAGGCGGCGCTCCCGCAGGCGCCGAAGCATCAGGTGGCGTAATCCTCAGAAAGAAACAATCCGTGTGAATCTGCGGTTTGAGCACATTTCTCTGCCCACCACCACCACCTCCTCCTCCTCCACCTTTAGAACCCTGCTGCTGCTGCTGTTGCTTGTTGATAGCAGCCGTAGCTTTCACCCTCGAATACCCCCCATACAAAACCGCCCCCTGCTCATGCGGCAACAACGTAAACGACGACCGCGCATCCGGCTTCAACTGCGCCGGCGGCAACGCCGGATTATGCCACACAAAATTCGCCGTATCATACAGCCACAAATCCGCCAAATACCTCGTCTGATGCGCCGTATCCTGGAATCCACCAAACAGCACGACATAATTCTTATAAAACGTCATGCGGTGACCCGACCGCGCAGGCGGGGTCTTCCCCTTCGGCTCTAGCCGGGTCCATTCCCGGGTCGTAGCGTCCAGTTTCCAGAAGTCGTTGTAGTGGTAGAAGGTGCCCTGTTTGGGGGAGGAGAATTCGCCGCCGAAGAGGTAGACGGTATTAGCCTGGTTGCCGCCGCGGGTCCAGGCGTGGCCGCTGCGGGGGAGGGGCGCGTTGGGGGAGGTGATGCTGCGCCATTCGTCGCGGTCGATGTAGTAGACCAATAAATCGTTGAAGAAGGTGGCGAGGGAGCCGTTGAAGTACTCGCCGCCGAAGAGGAGGAGTTGGTTGGTGTTGGCTGGGTTGGCGAGGAAAGTGGCTGCGGAACGGGCACGGGGGGGCGTGGAGATGACGGTTTCGGTGATTTTGAGGAATTTTTCTTGTTCTTTGCGGTATTCTTCCAGGACGGCGTCGAGGTCGACGTCTTCGGCGTCGCTGCCGTCGAGCTGCTTGGAGGCTTTGGCTTTGGCTTTTTTTTCGGCTTTTTGGGAGGCTTTTTGTTTCTTTTCGGCGAGTTTGGCCTTTTTGGACTCGCTTTTGCCTTTTTTGTCTTTGGCCATTTTGAAGTGGTGTTGTTTGAACCTTGTGTGTTACCTAGGTATGTTGTTGAGGGTTGAAAGTTAAAAGTTGAGTTCAAGTGCGGAGAAGTTTGAGTGTGAAAATTGGGTCCACATTGAAATATAAGTTGGGTTGAGTGTACAGAACCTAATACCGTGAATGACGTACGGACTGTATAGATACTCCATACGGATAACTCAAGAGGCCCGGCTGTCTGCATATCGGGCTTCATTCAATCTCCAATTATCTCACATTTAATGATCACTTGGTGGGCTGACTGGACATGGAAGTGGCGTTTCTTTATTCATCTGTGGGCTATGATGCCCCTATTTCCCCCCTGACATGGCCCAAACGGTTTTTATTCCAGTCATCCCAGACCATCTACAACCGATATGCTTTCCGGCCGTTCATTCCCGGCCATGCTTGAGATCCTGACTACTCGTCAGATATCCCGTTATCATCTCATATTTTCAGCAGAATATTTACGAACGGTATCCGTTCTCCTTCAACCATGCGGCCACATCCGCCCGGTCCCGCTCAACCCACGAGATCTTGGAGCGGATCGCATCCAAGCTCTGCGCCAGCGACTGGTCAAATCCGTTGGTGCTCTTGCCCTTGAAGAACGCCTCCACCTGCTCGAGCTGCTCCTTCTTCGTGAAGCTCGACGTGAAGATGGTGACCATGGTGCCTAGCATCGAGAGCGCCGGGGGTAGCTTCTTGACCAGCTCGTCCCAGTTCTCCGTCATCCACGCGAACAGCGCCTCCACGCCCTCGGGGTGTCCACGTAGCCCGCTGGTCGGCATGTAGATATCCTGGTCCTTGATCTCGCCGCTGAAGAGGAGGCCCAGCGTGCGCTTGATCAGCTCGGGGTCCTTGGCCCGGCCTAGGCAACGCAGCGCCGTGTTGCGCTCGTCGCTGTTGGTCGAGTTGCGGTAAAAGTCCAGGATTGCGTCGTACTAATAGTGTTAGCTTGACTGTTTCGTCTAGGTAAAAAAAAAAATGAAAGAAATAAGCAAAAACATACCTCTTCCTTGCCCCCGTACTTAAGCACCATGCTAAAGACACTACCCCGGATGTTGGGGTGCACGGCAGCGCGGTCCCCAGCAATAAACTTCTTGAACTTCTCCTTGGCCGCGTTGATGATCGTCTCATCTCCGCTGAGACCAGCAGTCCCAAACATCATGCCCTTGAACTGCTGCAAAATGTGCCCATCGCTGTCCGAGAACTCCCAGCCCAGCTCGTGCGCCTTGGCGCTCACCAGGTCACGCAGGAACGCATCCAGTGCATCCCGCTCAGCCTTGTCCTCAAAGATCCACGCGCCCTGCACCGACGACACACGCGCAATGATCTCGTTCCAGACGACAAACTCGGCCTCCGAGTTGAAGCCCTTGAGCAGGCTCAACACGCCCGACGTGCTCTGGTAGCCCGAGGTGGCCAGCGCGCCCGCGTCGGCGATCATACCGGCGCGGTCCTCCACGCTCAGCAGGCCTTGCTTGGCAGCGTTGCCCAGCTTTTCGAGCCGCTCGGGCGAATAGGCGGTGCGGTACAGGCCGGTGTGGTTCGCGTTGAGCTTGAAGAACTCCGTGCTTGGCACCTCAAAGGTAGCCTCGCGCTTGTCGAGCGTCTGCGACTCATCGATTCCGTCCTTGGTGCGCAGGCCGAGGAAAACGGGGTAGATGGTCTGGTCCTCCTCGGGCTTGGTGTCGCCGGTGCGGAGGAACCGATTCTGCTTCAGGTGGATGGTCTTGTCATCCTTCTCCGAAACAGTCACCACAGGGAAACCAATGTTCTTGGTCCACACCTGCATGACCTCCTCCACGCTCTTGCCGCTGGCATCCGCGAGCGACGCCCACAGGTCGCCCGTCTGCGTGTTGCCGTACGCGTGCTTCTTGAGGTACCGCCTGACACCCTCCAGGAACGTGTCCTCGCCAAGGTACGTCGAGATCATGCGCAGCACGCAGGAGCCCTTCGAGTACGAGATGGCGTCGAAGATCTGGTTGATCTCGTCGGCCTTCTTCACGGGGACCTCGATCGGGTGGCTGCTGCGGAGCGAGTCCAGACCCAACGCACGCTGGAGGTTGTCGACCACGTACGACTCCCAGACCTTCCACTCCGGGTAGAAGATGTTGCACGAGTACCACGACGCCCAGGTCGCGAAGCCCTCGTTGAGCCACAGGCCATCCCACCAGTCCATGGTGACAAGGTTGCCGAACCACTGGTGCGCCAGCTCGTGCTGCACAACCTCAGCCACCCGCTCCTTGGTCGCCGCGCCGCTGGCCTTTTCATCCAGCAGCAGGTCCACCACCCGGTAGGTGACCAGGCCCCAGTTTTCCATGGCGCCCTGGGCAAAGTCGGGGATGGCGATCTGGTCCATCTTGGGGAGCGGGAACTCAATACCAAAGACCTTCTCGTAGAAAGCGAGCGTCCTGGCCGCGAGATCCAGCGAGAAGCGGCCGTGCTCAATGTTCTGGCCCGGCGGCGCGTACACACGAACGGGCACGCGGAAGTCGTTGGTCTCGATGACGTTCAGCTCGCCCACCACGAACGCTACCAGGTACGTCGACATGAGCGGCGACTTGTTGAAGTGGACAGCCTGCTTGGTGGTGCCGGTCTGCTCCGACTTCACCTCCGTCTCGGAGGCCACGTCCATGTTGCTTAGGCAGGTCAACTTCTTGTCAGCGATGAGCGTGACGGTGAACTCGGCCTTCAGCGAGGGCTCGTCGAAGCAGGGGAACGAGCGGCGGGCGTCGGTGGGCTCCATCTGGGAGACCGCCAGGATCCCTTCACTGCCATCTGGGTTCTTGTACGTCGACCGATAGAAGCCGGCCATCTTGTCGTTGAGCTGCCCAGTGAACTTGATCTCTAGCTGGGCCTTGCTCCCCTTGGAGAGGGAGTTGTCGAACTCGAACTTGCTGACCTGTGTGGCCTCATTGTAGGTAACGGAGGGAGACGAGCTGTATCTCAGTTAGTGGCCAGTCAAAAGTCAGGGTTAAAGAAAAGACGGGGGAAAGGACAAAATAAAGAAAGCTAGCTAACCTGACTGTTTGGCCACCTGATGTAACCTTGGAGCTGTGGATGTCGAGCTCAAGGGTGTGCAGCGAGATGGACTTGGAGTCCTCAGCCACGTCGAGATCGATCACGACCGTGCCGTCAAAGGTCAACTTTTTGAAGTCGGGTTCCAAGGTCACGTTGTAGTGCCGCGGCACCACATTAGCGGGTAGCAGCTCGCGACCCTGCACGTTCACCCCACCCGCCGTGTCGGCAACAGCTTGCGTTCGGCACATGTTGTGACGGCGGTACGAGCAGTGGCGGACTGATGATGGGTTGCAGAGGCGGGCGCTTCTTGGTTGGGAGAACGGCCGTTGGAGATGACGGTTGTTAAGGGAAAAGGAGCTGGAGGATGTTGATGGGGCAGTAGTACTTGAAGTTGAGGAGGGTAGACGGCTTAGGATCGAGTAACTGCGGGGTGTGTTTTGTTAGTGACCGTTTGGGCCCAAAAGGAGGGGCCCTCCTGACCCGAGCTGGAACCTCCATAAGCTCGGTGCAGGTACCCCGCTGCTGGCCGCGCCGCACAGGACTCGAGGGTTGAGCGTGCTTTGCGTACCGTGATGTAAAATTTTTCGGCGTCTGGTGGGCGCGCAACCGCAACACAACTCCTGCTTGTGCAACCGGGCCCTGCCTGCCGCGACAGACTGGGCGCCCAGCAATGCAAGCGCGAAACATTGCGAGAAAACGACGCCAAAAAGTGGTAGAAAGGAGAGCCGGCAGTCATGAATTGGTAGCGAAGGGCAATCATTTTCGGGTATCTTGCATCCCAGACGCTTAGTCACGGCTAAGTACTTGGTACCCTGCTCCACTCTCGATCATAGGAAGAACCTCAACATCCCAATCTGAGGAAGGGATTGAAGAAGAAACCGTATCGACTACTTTAAGCTCTACTTCGTTTTTCGGGAGCTGGGTACATTCACAGAATAGTCCAAACAGCCCATGTGTTATGTTATATCACCCTTAGCTCACCGATCTTTATTAGTTCAACTGATACAGGATACACCGTGTTATTTAGAAGATAGACACGGTATAAACTACATTTAACAGCCTCTGGTTCTAGAACTCTTAAACCAACCGAGCTCAAACCTTTGTTTCTCGAGATTGAGATTTTCCGCCTCGTAACTATTATGGTTTATCGAGGCCAGATTTAAGACCCAGCGGGATGGAGACCCCTTCGAGGTGGAGCCATTGTCACAGGACAGCGCAGGTAAAGACGGTACGGCGTCTGGTATGTACACCTCGCTGCCGGGGTGTGGTGGTTTCAAATAACCCACGATACAACGGGCTAAGAAGTCGACTAGTCGAGGCCCCCAACCGAGTCCCCACTAGACTACCAGTTTCTTCTCGATGTTATATGAATGGAGGGCTGGCTACCGCTCTTCTTACATCCCACCTGATATCCCAAGAACGTGCCCCCATTTCGATCCCTATCAGCTTCCCGTGAATCGTCATGGTACGCCTCACTCAGCGCCCCAACAGGCCACAAGTCAAATTCTGGATGTCTCCCTCCGCCGCTTCCGAGAAACGGGCTACATCATCGGTTCGGTACCGAGGGCTGGCGTGCCTTCTTTTGAGTCCGCGGCCTCGGAGCGAGTCTATCAGGTGTTGTGCCCGTGACTGCAATTAAATTTTATGTCCACGGGAGGATGTCTCGTTTTCCGCTTTGAGCAGGCGGTCAAACACCATGTGAACTGTGAAGTAAGGTAAAGAGCGGATGATTCCGAGCCCGTTTCAAGGCCGTAGGGTAAGAAGAGATCACACTACACGGATCTCCCTTCCCTACCCTCTGGAACCCTCCGTCAGCCAGCGAACAAAACAGCCCGCCATTGTTGTTCATCGGTTGCGTAAATTACCCTTTCGGGCAACGTTACACAGTACGATAAGCTTGGCGATCGAAGCCCAACGACTTGGGACCACTAAATCAACGAGGTGGGACAACCGACGCCTTGATGCAAGAACGAGCGAATCAACGGTATAGGTTAAGAGACTGGTGCGTCTGATGCAGAAGGGAATGGAACAGACAAGAGTTCCCTTCACCGAATCTAGAGAAATCCGATCATGAAAGCGACGGGGCCGGCCCCGCTTCCCCTGGCCGATGACCTGCAACTGGGCCCTCTCAACGGGCAGCTGGACAGGGTTCGAGCTTCCTAAACAGCTCTTGGGCGAGTTTCCAGGACAAGTTTCGATTGAGAAACGAATTGATTCTTTGAGTGGGGTTCTCCCTCGGAGCCGTAGCGGGGTAGGACGCCGTTGCTCGAGGCAGGCACGACTGAGCAACGCTTGGCAACTCAACCATGCGCGCGCCACGCCTCCATGGCGCCATGGAGGGGTCGGGTCGTTGCGGGGCTGGCCGCCCAGTTTTGGAGGGGCAATCGGCGACGGGCCGCGAGAGACTTGAACCTCCGGAGCTCAATGCAGGAAGACGGGCACGGCGGGAGAGCCAATGCTGGAGACACGCCAAAACACGTTGCCGGGGAATTTGGTTCTTTGGGGTGTTGGTCGGACTTGACCGTACTTCGTACGCCCTTGTTGAGATGGGGGGCGCTCCGACAACGGATTCAAGACCAAGCTTTGACCCCCGCGCGCTTGAGAGCTTTGCTGCGCAAAACGGACTCAGCGCGGGTCTCCAGCTCATCCCCCCAACGCGAGCACCCGCCGGCGTGTCTGAGGTGAAATGTTAGAACAGGGATTGGTTCTTCGGTTGCGGATCGATTTGAAGCCCCGATTTGTTGAGAGAATCATAATGGTATGACAGGCGTGTCGTAATAGCCACTAACAGCTTCCATCAAGGTCCCTTGCAGCGCCCGCCTTATCACCCCACCAAAACAAATCCTGCCCCTCCTTGGGTGACTGCATCTTGGCCGCGAGCTTTCTTCTCCCAAGACCGACCAGCTTCTTGATTCCTCCTCCTTCTTCCTTTTTCCCTCCAGCAACCCAACTTTCTATCACACCGTCAAGTCAAGCTCACCTAAGGTATGTTTTTCATCATGAATTTCATCAACTTCATTTAGTTTGTTTCTCTTTCCCCCCTTCGAGTCAATGTCCTCCCCTCGCTCTCGCTTTCTGGAATTCTGGCGCCAGTAAAAAGAAAAAGTCTCCGGATGGTTTAGCTGGCTTGGATGTCGGCGAGGCTTGCGGGAAATCCATTAAACATCGCAATTGAGCGAATTTCACCGCGGCGGACGGAGAATCCCTTTTGTCTCAGACCTGCGCTCAGGTTGTGCCAACTCAAAAGCTCCCGCGTTTTTGTCCCGCAATATTTGCGTTCCTTTTCTTTCCCATCCGACCAACCCGTCCATGCGTAAGCGCCAACTTTTCTCCATAATCCACTGACACTTTCGGCCGAAATAGAATCATTCACAATGACCATCTCCAAGATCCACGCTCGCTACGTCTACGACTCTCGCGGTAACCCCACCGTCGAGGTCGACGTGGTGACTGACCTTGGCCTCCACCGCGCCATTGTCCCCTCGGGTGCCTCCACCGGTTCGTCGCACTTTACTCTCCGGGCGTGCATTTCGTAACCAAGGACCTCCTCCCAAAAAAGTCCCCGACTGACGATTTCGTTACCATAGGCCAGCACGAGGCTTGCGAGCTCCGCGACGGTGACAAGACCAAGTGGGGTGGCAAGGGTGTCCTCCAGGCCGTGAAGAACGTCAACGAGGTCATCGGCCCCGCGATCATCAAGGAGGACATTGACGTCAAGGACCAGTCCAAGGTTGACAAGTTCCTCATCGACCTCGATGGCACCCCCAACAAGACCAAGCTCGGTGCCAACGCCATTCTCGGTGTGAGCCTGGCCATCGCCAAGGCCGGTGCCGCTGAGAAGGGCGTGCCCCTCTATGCTCACATCTCGGACCTTGCGGGCACCAAGAAGCCCTACGTCCTCCCCGTTCCCTTCATGAACGTCCTGAACGGCGGGTAAGTTTAGTCTTTTGATTCTTTGCGCGATTTGCGTGGGTGTTCCAAGTCGTAGGCTCTGACAATAGTTGATAGCTCCCATGCCGGTGGCCGTCTGGCTTTCCAGGAGTTCATGATCGTCCCGTCTGCTGCTCCCTCGTTCTCCGAGGCCCTGCGCCAGGGTGCTGAGGTGTACCAGAAGCTCAAGGCTCTAGCCAAGAAGCGCTACGGCCAGTCTGCCGGCAACGTCGGTGACGAGGGTGGTGTCGCTCCGGATATCCAGACCCCCAAGGAGGCGCTCGACCTCATCACGGACGCCATCAAGGAGGCCGGCTACGAGGGTCAGATGAAGATCGCCATGGACGTTGCGTCCAGCGAGTTCTACAAGACCGACGCCAAGAAGTACGACCTCGACTTCAAGAACCCCGACAGCGACCCGGCCAAGTGGCTCACGTACGAAGAGCTCGCCGCCCTGTACGCGGACCTGTCCAAGGAGTACCCCATCGTCTCGATCGAGGACCCCTTCGCCGAGGACGACTGGGAGGCCTGGAGCTACTTCTACAAGTCCCAGGACATCCAGATCGTGGCGGACGACCTGACGGTCACCAACCCGCTGCGCATCAAGCAGGCCATCGACCTCAAGGCGGCCAACGGCCTGCTCCTCAAGGTCAACCAGATCGGTACCCTCACCGAGTCGATCCAGGCGGCCAAGGACTCGTACGCCGACAACTGGGGCGTCATGGTGTCCCATCGCTCGGGTGAGACCGAGGATGTGACCATTTCGGACGTTGTGGTTGGTATCCGCTCGGGCCAGATCAAGACCGGTGCGCCGTGCCGCTCGGAGCGTCTTGCCAAGCTCAACCAGATCCTCCGCATCGAGGAGGAGCTTGGTGACAACGCCATCTATGCCGGCGAGAACTTCCGCAAGGCCGTGCAGCTGTAAGGCGGGTGGGTCATGATTGCTTAACGGAAAAGGAACGACCCACTCGGGAGGAACCGGTCGCTCGGGAATCGGGCCCGGCCGCTGGGACGAACGAACAAGAGGCGTTACCTCGGATCTCGGAATGGGTTAGAAAACGGAGGTAGTGTGGCTTTAGAAACGAATAAAATACCAGGCCGTAGCTGCCAAACGATTGATGATTCACATCCGTTCCTAGCCGAGTGTCGGGTGCTTCTGGTGCTCTGGTGAAGCGAACAAGGATCCCAGCTGCATGAGATGGAGTGCTTGAGTGGCTTGAGTGGGTCAAGATGAGCGCAGCTCTCTGCCAAGTAAAATGAAGGGGAACCAGCTGGCAATGCCAGGTGTTGCCAGCCGTAAATGGTTGCTACGGTGACAGCCCAAATATTTGCCGAAACGAGCCTAACAAGAAACAGGAAAGTGGGCTTTTTGATTCGTCGCGAGCTGCAACCCCTCAAACTTGACACAACCCTCCCAAAACGCGTCCCACTTTCCGGACACCCAACTCTTGTCACTCCAGACTTGATCAGGTAGGTCAGTGATCTGAGACCTCGCCTTCATTTTGGTCCTTTTTCAAGGCCGCATTCATTTTGCAATCACTGCACTTCTCCAATTTCTCTCTTTTTATTTACTCAATTATTCACCCCGCCAAAGCAAACCCCGCTGCGGGCTCCCCGCAAGCACGCAAAAGAAAAGATGGCGCCCAACAACAACAACGACGCCGTCAACTTCGACATAATCGAAGACCACAAAGAAAACATCCAAGCCCTCCCCAGCGGCCGCTCCGCCCGCAAGCTCGCCGAACTCTATTCCGCCCCCTCTCCCCTCCACCCCCAATCCTCCACCGGCAGCAACCACACCAACCCCCTCGACACCAAAGACGTCCACGACACCATCCGCGCCGAGTTCGAAGCCGAGCTCACCGCCTCCACCACCACCGAATCCGACGACCCCCTCGACATCTACGACCGCTACGTCCGCTGGACCCTCGACGCCTACCCCTCGGCCCAAGCCACGCCCCAGTCGCAACTCCACACCCTCCTGGAACGCGCCACGCGCACTTTTCTCAGCGCGCCGCAGTACCGTAACGATCCCCGCTACGTGCGCATGTGGCTGTATTATATCTCCTTCTTCTCCGATGCGCCGCGCGAGGCATTCGTGTTTTTGTCACGGCATGGGATTGGAGAGACGCTGGCGCTGTTTTATGAGGAGTATGCTGCTTGGTTGGAAGGGGTGGGCCGGTGGGCGCAGGCTGAGGAGGTGTATAAGTTGGGGATTGAACGGGAGGCGAGTCCGGCGGCGAGGTTGGTGAGGAAGTTTGGGGAGTTTGAGCAGAGAAGGGCGGTTAGGCAGGCGGAGGAGGGTGAAGGGGAGGATGGGGATGGGCCGTCGTCGCCGGCGTTGCCGGTTGCTAGGCCTGCGCTGGGGTTGAAGGTTGATCCGTTTGCGGCGGCGGCGGCTGCGGTGGCGGATCCGCAGGCTGCGGCAAGGCAGACTACTTCGGGGTTGGGAGGAGGGGGGGGAGGAGGACGTCCGGCAAAGCCGGCGGGACGGTCGTCGAAGCTGACGATTTTCTCAGATGCGGACGCGGCAGCAGAGCCGGCGGTGGCGTCGGCGATGGGCTCGCGTGGGGCTGGGTCGAAGGGGTGGGATAGCATTGGGTCGCTGGCGGACCGGAAGAAGGAGAATACCGTGGAGCCGAAGCCGTGGGCGGGCGAGACGCTGAAGGCGGGCGGGAAGAAGAGTGGCGCCAAGATGGCGGTGTTTCGGGATCCGGTAAGTACACACACACAGTTCCTGTCTCTCGACCCCAAACCTCCACACATAAACCTAGGTGTTGATCAATTTAGGACTAATGTGTTTTGTGTGTTCCCTTTTGCGTGCCGCCGTCGGCGCGTGTTGGAGGGACCGTTTCTTTGTATCCAGTCTCTGCATCTTCAGTCTCAATCTGTTCTGTCCAAACAACAACAACAACAGCAGCAGCAGCAGCAGCTGTCTCAGTCCCATATCCCCATCCATCATAGCAAGGTGCAAGTTACAGTGAACCCGTCCAATGGGAAGCGCGAGCGTGTGTTTGTCGACCTGCGCGTGGTGTACCCGACGCCGGACGAGCCGGGTACGGAGTTGAGTTTTGAGGAGGTGTGGGCTGCCACGAGGGGGTGGTTGGGAGTTCAGTGGGAGGAGGAGGAGCAGCAGCAGGCGTCGTTTGTGGATGAGAATTCGCCTGTGAGACAAGTGAAAGCCTCGCAGAAGCTGGCGATGCATCAGGATGTGGTGCGACTGGATGAAAACGGAGCGCCGATTTATCCTGGGGGGTCGAAACCCAGGAAGAAGAAGCCGGTAGAGATGAATGAGACGCAGATCAGTACGTCGATTTCCTTATTTTGGTTTTATTCTTCTTGTTGTTATTATTATTATAAGGCTACTGACACTCCCCAGTCAAAGCAAAGTTGGATTCACCATCCGGGCCAAAGATCAAAAAGAAGCGGCGTTCCACGGCCGAGCCGACGATGACACTGCACACCAAGGCGGCCACTGACGATATTTACGATATTTTCAACGCACCGCTCAAACCTAGCGGTCATGAGCTGGGCGATAGCGATGACGAACGCTATGACTCGGAGGACTACACTAGCGGTGGGGAAAGCACTGTGACAACGACGAATATCCCCGAAGAGGACGAGAGAGAAGCAACCGGAGAACCAGGAGATGGTGAGGACGATGATGATGATGATGACGCCAAGAGTGTGGCCAGCGAGTGGTCTGAGTTCTCCACACATAAACATATCCCCGGCTTTGAAAACGAGGCTAGGGAACGGGATGATACCCAGGGCTCTGACCTAATCGATGTCGGCCAAAATGACGGGCAAGAAGACGAGGACGACGACCTAGAGCCTCCTAGAACGAGGACCATGTTTGTGCCGATCCCGCCGGAAGACTATGTGCCGAGCCGGCGGCCGTACAGAGACCCCGTCGAGGCGGCTAACAACCGCCTGCCCTTCATGACACCCATCACGGAGCGGACGGAGACGTCGCTGGACATGACGAGCGAGCAGAGCCGGTACGGAAAGACGCCGTCTAGGAGGCGGGTTGAAGACATGCTTGAAGAGGAGGAGGGTGATGAGGATGATGAGCACAGAATGGACGAGGACGCAGAAGAGGATGATCTCTTGGACTTGGAGCCTTTGAGTAGCCCGCTTAGGGACGTGGTTCTTGAGGACAGCCCAAGAGGCAAGATCCCGCAGCCGCTGCTCCCCAAGGCCAAGGGCAAGCCGTTTGCCCCGAAACCACTCGTGCCCAAGGGGCCCATCATCAAGGAGGCCCAGTGCAATCCCGTGGACGACGCGGTCCGGGCTGAGATTCTGGCGAACATGCACCCTCCGCTGAGTTCATATGACGGCTTCTACGACCATCGCAGCGAAACATATGGGAGGGGCGCCGAGATCCGTAAATTTGCCAAAGCCGCGGGCAAGGGCAGTCGGACGAGCACCGACAAGACGGGCAACCTGGGGACGGCCGTGGTGCTGGATTTCCCGAGGACCAAGTCGCAGTACACGATCCGCAAGGAGCTCGGGGCGGGTGCCTTTGCGCCGGTGTATCTGGTTGAGAATTCACGTCCAGATGGGAGCGGGTCAGGGAATGGAGACGAAGATGAAAACGAAAACAGGCACAAAATCACCCACTACCGCCGCCAAGCCCGCGAAGCCCTCAAGATGGAACACCCGCCAACCCCCTGGGAATTCCACATGATGCGCCTCGCGCACACCCGACTCGGCCCGCAAGACCGCGCTACAGCGTCCCTCTCACCAGCCCTTGAGATGCACCTCTACCGCGACGAGGGGTTCCTCTTCCTGCCGTACCACCCTCACGGCACGCTCCTCGACGTGGTCAACCTCTTCCGCGGCGAAGCCTCAGGGGTCATGGACGAGCAGCTGGCCATGTTCTTCGCCATCGAACTGCTGCGCACTGTTGAGGCGCTCCATTCCAAGCAGCTGCTCCACGGGGATATCAAACCGGATAACTGTCTGCTGCGTCTCGACGATCTCGAGCCGTCATCCCCTTCTTCTTCTACCTCTGATCACCAACACAGCCAAAACCATAGTCTCTCCCCCCAATACAACCCCTCCGGCGCAGGCGGCTGGTCCGCCCGCGGCCTAACCCTCATCGACTTCGGCCGCGCCATCGACATGCGCGCCTTCACCCCCGACGTCCGTTTCATAGCCGACTGGAAGCCCACGGCCCAAGACTGCGCCGAGATGCGCGAGGGCCGGCCCTGGACCTGGCAAATCGACTATCACGGCCTGGCCGGCACACTTCACGTGCTCCTCTTCGGGAAGTACATCGAGACTGTCCGATGTGATGACCAAGGGCTGGCTACGAGTGGAGTCGGCGGGAGGAGGTATAGGGTCAGGGAGAGTCTGAAGAGGTATTGGCAGACGGAGATTTGGGGGGAGTGTTTTGAGTTGTTGTTGAATCCCGGGGTGCATGTGGAGGGGGAGGAGGGGGGCAGGATGCCGGTTGTGAGGGGGTTGAGGGCGGTGAGGGAACGGATGGAGGGGTGGTTGGTGGGGAATTGTGAGAGGGGGGTTGGGTTGAGGGGGTTGATGGGGAGGGTGGAGGGGTGGGCTAAGAGGAGGTAGTCTTTTTTTCTGTGTTTTTCTTGCTGTTGATTTATTGTGTTTTCTTTTTACTTCTTTTCTTCTGTTTTTTTCCTGTAGATTTGTGATTTGAGTAAATGATATCCTTTGGTCGCCGAATATAGATACACGTTTGGCCGGTATTTTGCTTGCTAGCGTCTACCATGCTTCGAATGCCTGGCTTAGATCCCGCATTACCCCCGTGAGTGATGACAAGAGAGTTTTCAAAAAAACGGCCGATGTATGGCGGATGTGTTTGATTCATTATTATGTCTGATTTACACAGTTCTGAAGGCCTGCCCAAATCCCGCTTAGCTTTAGGGGGTATTGTACACATTATACAGTACAATATCTCATCATACACAAGCAGCCCTTCAGCAGTGGGCTACTCACTCTCCCCACAAGAATCACACGACTCCTCCTCATCCTTCTTCTTCCTCCCCTTCCCCTTCGCAGCCGGCCACTTCAAAGCCGTCTGCTTCGCACCCCCCTTCGCACCAGCCGTCCCCTTCCCCTTACCCCCCGCCCCCTTCTTCGCGTCCTTCCCGGCCTTCTTATCCACCTGCTCCTGCACCCTCTCCCGTTCCGCCTGCCCCTTGACCTGCAACGCAGCCGCCTTCTCCTTGAACCCCTCACTCTCCGCATCCATCCCAATCAACCCCTCCAACAACTTGATCTCATCCGCCCACACCTGCTTGTTCTCTACCATCTTCCCGTTGGGGCCCTTCTCCTCGATCGGCGTCTCGAGAACCATGGGTAGGTTCTGAAGGGATTCGTGGTTCATCAGGCTGTGGAAGGCGCGCAGGCCGAGGAATCCCGTGCCAATGTTGGCGTGGAGATCGCGGTGGGAGGCAAAGGGCGCTTTGCTATCGTTGAGGTGCAGGGCACGGAGGTATGACAGGCCGATGATGCTATCAAAGTCGGCGAGGGTTTTGGTGAAAGTTCCCGGGGTGCGCATGTCATACCCCGCGGCGAAGGCGTGGCAGGTGTCGAGACAGACGCCCACGCGCGACTTGTCGTCGACTTGGGCGATGATGTCGCGGAGTTCTTCGAAGCGGGAGCCGACTACGTTGCCGCTGCCGCACATGTTTTCGAGGAGGATGACCACGGAGGAGGTGGCGGCGTGCGCGCGGTTGAGCTGGGAGGCGATGCGGCTGCAGGCGGAGGCCATGCTGGCGCCGCCAGTTGAGCCGGGGTGGAAGTTGTATAGGGTGATGCCGAGGGCTTCGCAGCGTTGGAGGTCGTCGAGGAAGCTGTCGTAGGCTTGTTGGGCTTTGGCTGCGTCGGCTTGGGCGAGGTTGATGAGGTAGGAGCCGTGGGGGACGATGTGTTTGGCCGCGTCGTATTTTTGGGTTTGGAGCCCGGCATGGAAGGCTGTCTTGGTCTCGTCGGCGAGGGGCGGGCTCACCCATTTGCGTTGGGATTTGAGGAAGAGGGCGAAGGCGTTGGCGCCGATGTTGCTGGCGTTTTGCACCGCGTTGTGTACGCCCCCGGCGGCCGAGACGTGGGCGCCAATGTACATGGCGCGTGGGAGCGAGGACACGGCTGTTCGTGCGGCGAGCGCCATCTCGTCGCTGGTTTCCTTCTTGGAGGCGGCTGTCTTGCGCTTCTTGGGCGCTGGTTTCTTGTCCTCTTCCTTTTCCTCGGCCTTAACTGGTGCTGTGTTTTGGGTGTCCTCGTCGAGTTCCGACTCATCTTCCTCTACCGGTGCCGGTTTACGCTTTGGTGCCGCCCTCTTGGTCTCAACCTTGACTTTTGATTTGGTGATAACCGTGGTGTCGACTTCCTCCGCAACGACCTCCTTTTTTACGCGGGTGGACTCAGTTTTGACTGCTTGTGCCTGCGCTGCCCTGCGGGCAGATTGTCGAACCATGGTGAACGTCAGTTCCGTTTGTTAGTCAATCGATGATATTACCGGCGGTGGCGAACACAAAAGTTTATTCAGCGGACATGAGTCGAGATTCGCGTGGCAAAAGGTGATGGAGAAGCTTGTCTTGGCCAGGGCGCGTCACAACGCGCCGCGAGATCACGTGATGATAGGTCCTCATTAAGCTCCCTTCGTACTCTGTCCAATCAGAACTCGAGAATGGCGGCTTGCCCGGGCGTTCACTACCGGTGGTCAGGTGACCTCAGTGCAATGTAGTGTCCTACCCTAGTAAGCAGATTGACTCTCTCCGCGGACCACCGTATCGTTCAGCTTGCATTGATGAGGATGGGAAGGATCAATGTGCCCAGAGCTCCAGAACTCAAGATGAACTCGTCTCCCCCACCATCCCGCCGTCCGAACAGGGAGCGGCGCAGCGCATCACTCGAGACGACGAAGCAGCAGCAACAGGATTCAGCCACTTCAGCTGCTGATGCGGCAGCACACCACATTGTTTTTGCCCTTTTCGGGTATGCTGAGACAATTGAGAACTCATCTCCAGAGGGGCTGTTTTTCGTTTGCATTGATAATTCATTTCGTTCAAGAGAAACTAGCTCTAACTCCGAACAGCAGACTATTGATTTGATGTTGACTTGACGATGAACAGGCAGCCAGATTTCAAGATGGGTGAGATCCGTTTGCTTGGCGCGCCGCACGGGTCGGTTTCCTTTCCGAGCCAACGGCCGCCGCGGAATTGAGTCCGTCACCAACGTTTCTTCAACACCATGTTTGACCAGGTAGCATTCGGCTCCGTCCCTCGGATTCCTTGTCGCATCAAAGGCTGGTCAAGGCCGAGAGTGCCTCCGACCGTGCCTGGGGATGGGCCCCTGGCTTACCGGCAGAATGATAACTCTTGACGACGAACATGCAGTTGTGGACGCCCAGGCCAGAGGTGAGTTTGGTCTGGCTTTGGAATCTCGAGCATGGGACTGCCGAGTCCATGTAACAAACAGATGCAACATGCAACCTTTCAGGGAGGCTTCAGGGCTCCGGTTGTGTTTTTAGCCCTTGACCGTGCACCCGGCCCATGCAGCCCTTTGTCGAATGTGTCCAATGGGAAAGGTTGGCGGGGACTTTATAGTGGGGCATTATGCTATTTTTGTCGCTCTTTTCTTCGCTGGGCCTCTCATCAATCAGCAACGATGCAAGGCGCAATGGGTTACGCAGTGTCCGAGTAGCGACAGACTACGTCGAAGAGGAGCAGACTGAATCGAGAGGTGGATTTCATCAGTATTCCCCAAGGGCGGTAAACCCTAGGCTGCGCTTCAAGGTCGCATATATCTGTCCGCCGGCGGTTATTTGGGCGTCTAACATTCACCTCGAGAAACTCTTGGAGGTCACTTTATCCGCGACATCTGCAGGGCAGAAAACGAAACATTTCGGCAGGGGAGCCCTCATCCCCAGCCAAGGTTGCCGGCAGTGGCTTGCGCGCAAACCAGTCGGCTGGAACCGACCTGTGAGTTTGTTGCGAACGTCAACTGCCAGGTTGTTCGGTTTCGACGGTTTCGAACTATTTCGAGGCTGGGACTCCCTGGCTCATCGGCGGCGGGCGACGGGAGCCTCGGTCGATCGGTGAGCGTTCCAGAAGACATCTCCGGGCGGGGCCTTGGACCGGGACCTGGACTGGGGATCCGTCAGCTTTGTGCCCGTATTCAGCACGGAGCAAACGCCCTGTTGAGAACGAGTCAACAAGAACAGGTCGGGAAATCGGTGTTTCTCGCATCTTGCAGCCGCGGCTTGTCGATCATTTGCATGGTTTCTGCAAGATTCGCCTCCCGCGTATATGTGGGCTTTTGAACGAGAGCCCCCTGAGCCCCAAGAGGGAAACGTTCAGGGTCAGACGGGACGGGAGGCAAGGGAAGGCGCAGCTGGCGTACGGATGGAGGGGTAGTTTCCACGTTTTTGGTTGAGTTCCTCTTCTTGGTTCTCACTCTGTTCCCGCTACTCTCACTGCTCTCACTGCTTTCACCTTGATATTCACGTTTCGTCCCGAGTGTTTCTCCAGACCCTTTTCGGCAATTCCCGAGCTGGCGCCTGGCGGTGGCTGACACCCCGGGTCTTGGCGTCGTCGTCGTTGCTTTCCAATTCGGCCAGTGTGTTCCAGTGAGGGAAGCCCCCGAGATTGAGGCCTGAGCCCGGGTTCATTTTCAGCCCGTTCAAGTGCTTGAAAGCGTTGCATGGAGTTTCCGTTCGGGCCCGTGCCAACGCCTGCGCCCCCAAAAGTTCCCGTCTCGTTGCGGCGCTGCGTTGGAGCCCTTGTAGCACCTGGAGGTGCAAGCCCGCAACGCAACGCATGAAGTGGTGCAGAAGGGCATTTCCAAATTGGGCACTGCAGGGAATGGAAAGACGGCCTCTTCTCTGCAGCTTTCCCGTTCGTCCATACCTACACTACATGCACAGATCCATCCGGACACCTCCCTCGATTCACCTCCCTCCCGTCTGAAGAATCCGACTTTCGGCGTGTTTGAACACACCACCAACAGAATAACAACACCCGATCACCCCAATCGGGCAGTTTGCGTACCGCCCTGCAGTCGCATTGTGTGTGCCATTCGACGACAAAGCGCCAACTGCAACCGAACAGTGCCCCCAACTGCAGAAGCACCAACAGCCCGACTTCCTTCCTTCACCACCTGCAGCATCAATCTCGCAGCCCAGCCGAGCCTGGCCGAAGCGGTGACTTTTTGTCCGCGTCAGCGCGAAAGGGAAAAGGCAGATTGCGAAAAAAAGACGCCAACGCTTTTGGGCGCATTTCTCGAGGGGCAGCCTCAGCCTCATTCGCCCACTCACGCCCGCCCGACGACTTTCTTCTCTTGCGTGTCACCCCAAGACGGCAACACAACGAAAAAGAAGCACGAGAAGAAAAAAAAAAGGGCAAGAAAAAAGAAGAAGACGAAAAAGAAAATAACCCGATGGCGAGCCCCAACACCGACCCATGATTTTCCTGGCTCGACGACAACCCGGCCCCCCTACGACCGCGATCGCATCCATTACGGGAACGGGGACAACCTGAGGTCCTTTGGGAGTGGACCTGACGAGTTGAGGGCCGAGTAGGAAGGAGCATAACCCCACAGTACAGACGAGATGTCGGACATCGAGACGTTCGAGGTGGTCAGCCACGTCGACGCGGGGGTCGTCGATGTCGCTGTCGATGTCCCCAACGAGGTCGACACCACCACACCTGTCGCTGCGCCGGACGCTGCGACAATACCCACGGGGGAAGGCCGACGACCGTCGATTGAGAAGAAACCGATTTTGATACCCGACGACGAGACGGCGTTTGAGCGCTTGCCCGATGAGATTATTCAACAGTACGGTGTTCTCTATAACTCTGTCTATTCTAATGTCCCGTTTTCTCTATCTCGTGTTCTCTATGTATTTGAGCTTTATATCTCGACTCCCATACTTACACTTTTAGAATCCTCGAGGCCACCGATGCAAACGGGTTCGCGTCGCTGGCGCTGCTCAACTCAAAATGGCGAAGCGTCGCGCAACAAGCGCACCTCTATGCCTACCACCTCGCGCGGTGTCCGTCGTATGCGATGAGCCACAAGACAGCCGCAACAGCACTGGCCAAGGCCGGCAACGACGAGGACGACCTGCCCCGGCTGCGACGACTGTTTGCGCGCGAGGTCAAGCGCAACCTGTTTGAGGCGTACCTCCGACCCCGGCAGACCACCATCAAGATCATCTCCAACTCGATTAGCTCGTCGTCGTGTCCGGGCGGGGAGGGCATCCAGTTCAGCCACTCGCCCAAGGGCCACCACATGCTGGCGTACAACTCGTCGCGGATCCACGTGCTGGACATGCGGGGGGGTACAGATACCGACGCGGAAGGGGAAGCAGAAGAACAGGCGCCGATCGAGGTCAAGCGGGAGTTTAAGATCCTGCGGCGGCCGGCAGCGACGTGTATCAACGACGAAGGGACGACGCTGGCGGTGCTGGTGACGGAGATGGAGGTGGACATTTACGATCTGCGCCGGCAGCCGCCGAAGCGGACACACTCGATGATCCTGGACCACAGCCCGCGGGCGATCGCGCTGTCTCCCTGCGGGTCGGTGCTAGCGGCCGCGTACGAGGGCGGGATCGAGGTATCGGCGATCCACGCGGGCGCACTATCGACGGACCGGCGGGCGGTCAAATGCGACGGGGTGGACGCGCTGGCGTTCTCATCAGACGGCACGCAGATCCTGGGCACGACGGTGCAGGCGTCGTCGCAGCAGCCCAGCACGGTGGTGCTCACGGCGCCGTACTACGACCCGGGCAGTCACGGGGCAGCTGACGATTCTACCGACCTCAACATCAACGGCAACAACATCAGCGCGCTGTGGACGACGTCGATCCTGTTTCCCAACACCAGCCGCGACTGCAGCCATGCTGTGCTGATCCAGAACGGCCGGCGGTACGAGGAGGCCGCGTGGGCGTTCACGTACGACCGCAGCTTTGAGACGTTCCGGGCGGTGCGCATCGACGATCTGCGGAATGGCACGACGTATTTCACGGGGCCCGTGCCGAACCCCAATCCGAACGCGCAGGCCCGGCTGCTGCCGTGTACGCTGCCGGCTGCTTCACACTACGGGGACCTGGTGGCGGCCGGGTTTCAGGGCAAGGAGATCTGGCTGTATGGCGTGCCCGAGGACTTGGATGCCATACCGGAGCCGCCGGTCGAGTACGGATTAGACGGCCTGAACACAGGCACAAACACCACTAACACAAGCGGGAGCTCGGGCGGGTTATCACGGCAGGGCAGCGGCCCGTCAGTACGGTCGAGCATGCGGCTTCAACCACAAGACACGGGCAACGGCAGCAACGGTAGCGGCGAGGCAGCAGCGCGGGTGCCGCAGTGGCAGATCCTGTGCGACAAGCTGCGCAACACGTTTGTGGCTGGGAGTAAAGTGGGCGAGCTGGAGGGGGTGCACACGGCCAAGTTTGTGGCCGATTTTGGGGGAGTTCCGGCTAGCGAATGGAGCATGAAAGAGCGGCTGGTGGTCGGCGCGCGGGGCGTCACGCCGGGCGCGGCCAACGGCGGGTTGACGGTCACGGTTACCGACGAAGAGGCGCTCGACATGGACTTTGTCGACGGTGGGCGTATTACGATCCTAGACTTTGACTACGGCGTCTCGGACGGCACGGCGCGTGAGTTCACAATCGAGGTCGGCAACCAGGAGGCGCCTGAGGTGCTGGAGGAGGAGCACCGTGATATGGCGACAGAGGTGGCCATTGTGCGGCGGCGGACGGTGGCCCAGAGCCGCGGGGGTAGGGGCGGTGCTGGTGGTCTTTCCCGGGCGCCGGCCATGCCTCTTCTCCCTGCGCTGCCGACGATACAGACACAGACGCAGGATGGGGATCGGGACGACGACGATCCGCTTCTGCCACGGCGGATGGGCGGTCCCAACAGCAGCGGCGGTCATAACAACAACAGCAACAACAGCGAGAATCACAACAACAACGCTGACTCTACCATCCCCTCCCCCGAAGAAGCCGAAACAGAATCCATCGAAGAACAAGAGGCCCTCGACGCCCCCTACGCCCACGCCAGTCCCCGCTCCGGCACCACCCTCCGCCGCGCAGCCACAGCAGCAGCCAACAACCGCCGTCTACACCCCTCCGCAGCCGCCGCGGCCAACGAACATATCGTCTACCGCCGCGCCGACGGCCGGGCCGAGCACCCACACGAAAGCGACGCCGACAACTGGGTGCCGCCGCCGCCGCCGTATCAGAAAGAGGACCCGGGGGATCTCCCGTCGTTTTTGAGACACGCTTCTATTGCGCCTTTGCCTTCTTCTGTTACTGGGAGTGGTACTGGGAATCGGAATGGGACACAAGCCTCCCGCGGCAACGGGGAAGAGACACCAGACAGAAAAGCCATGCGAAACTCATCTGCCTCAATGCATCATCAGCATCGGCGGGCACAGACCGCCGGATCCGGCTCTGGCTCCGGGTCGGGAATGAACCGGTTCTCGTCGCCTGCGCCGCCTGTTCCGCCTTTGCCGAGTATGTCCATGGGGGGGGATGTCCCGCCTGTTCCTGCGGTTCCTCAGGTTTTGGCTGTTCCACCTGTCCCAGCTCTCCCGGCTCTCCCGGCGAGTGCAGCGACTACCCCTACCCCTACACCCAGTGCAGCACCATCAGCAGACTCACAATCACAAGCAGCAGAAACGGGAGAGGGAGAGGACTCCCCCCTGCCGGACCTGGCTTCGCTGGTTCCTGTGTCGCTTGGGCCGGGGTCGTTTACGCCTGCGCAAGGGAATTTGTCCGTACAGAGCTCGTCAGCCCGGCCGGACTCGAGGGGCTCGCGGTTTGTGCACGGGGATAATATCTATGATGTGTCGCCGCCGGATTCGCCGGCTTTGGGACCGACTTTGGGGAAGGCTAGGAGTGCTAGTGTTGGTGGTGCGAGTGCCTCCGGTGCTACCGGTACTGGTGCGAGTGTCGGTGATGGTGTTAGTGGGACTTATGCTAGGAGTGCTAGTGTTAGTGCTGCTAGTGGTAGTGCCGCTAACACGGGTGCTGGGAGTGGGGCTGCGAACTCTGTTAGTGCGGGTATTGTTGGGACTGGGGCTGGTACCTTTGGTGCCGCTGTTGCTGGGGTTTTTGGTACTGCTGGTACTACTACTGCCGCTGTTAGTGCTGGTGCTATTCCTGGTACTGGTGCTGGTGCTGGTGTTACTGGGAGTACCGCCGAGCAGTACCAACAGCAACATCCCCCTCAACAACAGCTTGAGCAACATCACCCGCAACACTTTGAGCAACGCTCTGAGCAACAACCACAGCACTTGCAACACCCTGAGCAACCGTACCAGCAACACCCTGAGCAACATTACCAGCAATACCCTGGGCAACACCCTCAACAGCAACCTCAACAGCAACCTCAGCAGCAACCTCAACACTTGCAACAACACCCCGAGCAACCTTACCAGCCATACTCTGAGCAACGTGTTGAGCAACACCCTCAACACCCAGCTCATAGTGGGGTTACACTTGCACCTGTTGATACGAGGGTAACGGTGTCTCACGCCCCCGATGTGCCTCAGCCCGTCGGACAACACGGTCACAGCGGCAGCATCAACTCTCTCGAACCCGCCCCGGTCGTGCGACGTCTGTCAGTCTCGCGGACGTGGCCTATCCAGCCCATGCCCATCAACACCGGGCCAGTCCCCAATGCCCCCAACACCAACCCCGGATATCCCTACTCGGCCCCTGCGCATGCCAATCACGCTCAGGCCCCTCCGTTTGTTCCGTATCCCGGCCAGACGCCGGTTCACCAGCACCAGCACCAGCAACCCGCACCAGCACACCCCGTGCCCGGCATAGCACACGCTTCGACAATGCCTATGCCCGGCTTCCAGCTCCCGAACGGGCCTCTGCCGGGGCCGTTTGACCCGCACGCTCTGCCCGTTCCCGGAGAAGGCCCCGGCTGGCGACGCACCTCGTACCAGCGGCCGGTGTCGCAGCAGCAGCACTACTCGTTTCCTCGCCCGCGCGCCGCGTCGAATACGCCAGCGCCAGCGCCAATGCCAGCGTCACTCTCAGTACCAGCACCAATGCCAGCTCCCGTACAAGCCCCCGCATTCTCCGCCTTCCCGGCCCGCGCTACCATCCACGAACCACAACCGCGCCGGGCCCCGCTGCCCCCCGCCGAAGACATGCCCCTCATCATCAGCACCCCCAAGGGCGTCTCCGGCGCCTTCGACACCCCGGACCAGCAGCACCACCACAACCACCCGTCCGACGCCCGCGCCGAGACGCCCATCTACTCGCCCGTCCCACGCCATCCACGCCCGCAAACCCAAGCCTCCATCCTCCGCCCACCGCCTCAAATCCTCCCGCACGACCCCGTCGTCGACTCACCATCCTCCGCTCCGGGAGTCTACCACGGCACACCCACCAGTCTCCACAGCCACCACACCCACCACAGCTACTTCCCGCCCGGCAGCCTCCCCGGCCCAGGCGGTCCCGGCGGATCAGGCGCATCCTCCTCCTTCCTCACCATCCCCCCACCTCCCCCCATCCCAGAATCCTCCACACCCCCCGGCCGCTCGCGCTCGTCCCGTCCCACCTCCCTCGCTACCTCCTTACTCTCCCGCCGCCTACCAAGTCTCAGCCGAAAACAAAGCCGCGCCGAGCGATCGGCAGCCAAGAACCTGGCCGACGCCAAACGAAACGGGTGGAGCGGGAGTGTCAGTGGCCGACATGGTTCGACGAGGGGGAAGAGTAGACGCGGGAGGAAGGGCGCCGGGAATGGGGGTTTGGGGGTGGATGATTTTAATGATGCGGCTAGTTCGGCCGCTTGGACGGATGTTACTGTTGGTGGTGGGGGAGGTGGTGGTGCGTATAGTGTGAGGAATGGGTATGCGGGGAGGAGGTATGGGGGGTTAAGTGGACTAGGGAAGGGGAAGGGGAAGGGGAGGGTGGAGGGGAGTGTTATGGGGCTGGGAGAGGGAGAGGCGGAGAAGAGGGAACGGAGGGGGAAGTGTGTTGTTATGTGAGGGGGGGTTTTATTTACACGGAGAGAGGGAGAGGCCAAACAGACACCCATACACCGATATACACACCTACACCGATACAAGCGCACACGCACACGCACACGCACACGCAGATACGGTTCTTTACACACAGCTCTCTACACGGTTCTTTACACACTCGAACACTCGGATATCCACACACATGCCGAAAGAAACACACATGCGCTCAAACCCTCGGACACATACCGAGACATACACACACACGTACCGAGTTACACAACTCATATTTCCTTTCTTACCTTGTTATGTACTTTGACTTTTTGAAATGGACTAGGCGGAGGTATACAGCGCGGGATATTCAGGCGCGTGAATGGAACTGGGAGTTATTTACAGGACGGAAGGCTGGAATGGGAGTTGAGAGGGGAATTGATATGTATGTACAAGTCGGACAGGGACCGCAAGGACAGGGGCCGCAAGGACTGGGAAGATAGGGACGGAATCGGAATCGAAATAGGGATCGAAATCGGAAGCGCGAAATCTCACTTTCATTTCTCACTGTCACATACACTCTCTCTCTCTTTTGGTTCCCGTTTCTATGCCTCCAATTTTTGACCCGTTTCTCTACCCATTTAAACACATGTCGTCCATCCATCCATCTATCCATCCATCCATCCATCCATATGTCCATCAACCAACGACACACAAGCAAAGTCAACCTTCCAACGTGGGGGATCGGATGGGGGGGGGTTATTATCATGGGCGATAGTGTACTACTGACTGAGCGTGGGAAAGAGGAAGAGGAAGAGGGGGCCAGGTAGGATGAGCAGGGAATAAATAACATAAATAACCAGACGGGGGGGGAGACAATATGATACCACTTATGATATCACTTACGATAGGATACGGCTGACTTGATTTGAAGAGCTGCGGGTTGGTTAAGGCGAGTGTGGGTTGTGGGGTGGATGTGTATGTAAGGTTGAGAACGGTTCTGTGTGTGAGAGAAAGAGAGAGAGAGAGGCGGATAGACTAGATAGATGTTACAGAGGTGGTGGGTCAGAGTATTAGTATAGATAGTATAGAGTTAGGCAAACGCAGGTGTAGATCGATGTAAATTCCGACACAGAATCACCGTTTTTTGAATGAACCCTTTGTAGGTATGGCCGTGGCCAGTGAGTGGTAATGGGGATTTCTCTCAAGACGAGAGCCAACCAAGAGCCCGACCGGTGCGGGCCAATTGCAACAGGTTGAAACAGTTTGATGTTGGCGTGACTGTTGATTGACAAAATTATCTATGGGAATCGTTAGAAGAAAAGGGAATGGAACCCCGGCTTGACGAAAATACCCTTCTGTCTTAGGGGCTTGGGTGGTTTGTTGATCGTCGCTGGCTGACTGGGTTACAATGACGGTGGTCTACTTTGCAGGTTAGGGACAGTGGCTTTTATGAATTAAGCCCGAGAATAGTTAAGGTTGTCACCGGATAAGAAGCAAAATAGTTGACGATTGTTGGTTGTAAATGTTGATTCAGTGGAAGATGTTACTCGCAATGGGGGACCCTGTAATCTCAGCAGGTTGAACGTTTGTTGTAGTGTCATGGAGTTAGTTGTCTGTTTCCCCTCTTGTTAATGATATCTCAGTCACGAATAAGTTTTACAGGCCGCTTTCATCGTCTACAATTCAACTGTTCGAGGCAGCGATCAACTATTCCACCAAACAATATCAATCTCTCTCCTTTCTTTCGCAAGCGAGGAGAGAATCAAATTGATTGACCAGGAGCAAAAGCAAAAGCTCACCACCAAGCCCTATTCCCATCCGGGGGAATAGAGGTTGGCAGCTACGAAAAACCGATGTTTTTCTTCGCTGGTCCCGGGGATCGAACCCGGAACCATTTCGATTTACGACGGTAATGGCGAGCCCAGCGCCCCTCCCAATACCGCTGCGCCAAACACGCTGTTTGGCGAATTGGGAGGAGATGGTGACTGGAGCAGTGGGAAGGGGACTTATATCCTGGCGGAGGGGGGAAGGTGCGGTTGTTGGTGAGGTGTATTTTTCCTCTTGGGTCGGGTGTATTTTGATACAAAGTTTGATACATATATGCTTATGTAAGCATTATCAACCTCTTCCGATTCGCTGCACATTTCACATTTCAACCACCAATACCATTCACTGTCGATATTTCACACAATACCAGAACGACCCCGATTCTCAACTCAAACTCAACTCAGCAGTTAACATCACATCCCATCAACCCTCCCACTCGCGTCTCAAAATGGGCACCTTCCCTCGAGGCAAACCCATCCGCCCCCCCAAAGGCAGCTGGCGCGCCAAGCGTCTAATGCCCGCCATCGAACACCGCGTCCCCGGCACCTCCGCCGCCCTCACCATCCGCATCCGCAGCCTAGCCCCCAACTGGCAAACCACCCCGCTCGCCCCCAACCTCCGCGACTTCGTGCTCAAGCGCATCGCCAAACGCATGGGCGCCGCCCCCCGCCCGGAAGAGGCCGAGGACGACGACCAGGACGCCGCTGTCGTTTTGGTATCCCATTCCCTGGCGCGCTGGGTTGATGACGAGGAGTTTTTGACTGGGCTTGTTGGGTCGGCGGGGTTTGCAAGGGATAAAGGAAGGATTGTGACGGTGTTGGCGGCGGCGGTGCATGCGATTCCGGCGACGGATGCGAGGCAGAGGAAGTATGCGTGCGGGGAGGGCGTGTCGATTTTGAGGGGGAGTGTTCATCGGATGTTGGCGGATGTGTTTCCGACGACGGAGGAGCCGGGGCCGACTGCTGCTGCGACGGGGGGTGGTGGTGCGGTGGTGGCTGCGGATGAGCGGTTTGGGGTGCCTGCGCTACGGTTTGAGGTCCCGCCTGTTGTGCGGCTGGGGCAGCGCATGAGTGTGCATTTGCCGTTGGCGAATACGTTGTTTGCGACGGGGAAACCGGTTGCGATTGCGGCTGGCAGGTGGACGATTGACCGGCCCGGGGGCAACTTCAAAAGGATTGGGAAGCAAATCTTGGGAGAACAGGGGTCTTCTGCCGCGCGGGCTGCAGAGAAATGGGGGAATAAGGAGGATAGAGAAGGGGAAGGAAAAGGGGAAGGGGCCGGGGAAGGAAAAGAAGGAAAGGAACCGCCTGCCATCGTGATCTCACGCCGCGAACTAAACCGCTTCAACGACGAGCCGAGTTTCCTCACCACGCGGCTCATCCCCCTGACCCCGGCGCGCCCCATCGCCCGCAGCTTTGGTAATATCCTCTCCCAAGTAACGGTGGAGGGAAAACCGAAGCCGGCGTCCAAGGAGCTGGAGAGCGTGATCCCCACGCTGATCGAGAAGCGCAAGGCGTCGTTCGAAGTCCAAAAGGCGAAACTGCGGTACAGAGCGGAGGATCAGGACCACTTGGATTTGAAGGTGGACGTCTGGGCCATGATCACGCCCGCGGCTGATCAGCCGGAGGTGGGTTCCGTCGCGGACGTGCCGGTGCTGGAGACGCTGGATTGGAAGAAGGGGGAGCATAGCTTTGAGCGGGAGGCGGCGCTGGCGTGGGAGGTTTCGGATGCCATGCCCTCGCATCTCGCTCGGGGGGCCAGGCTGTTCAAAGTTTGTAAGTTGCGTCGGTCCCCTTCATCTATATACACACGTATCCTAACTGAGAACAGTAAGCGGCGGCGGCGGCTGGGGCGACAAGCAAGGTCTCCTCTCCCTAGACCCCAATACCTCGCTCTCCCAAACCGACGACCAAAGCTTCGAGTCCTTCATCGCCTCCTTCCACAGCAACACCTCCACCACCTCCTCCTCCACCCCTCAAAACAACAACTACGCCCTCCCCCCCGGCTCAACAGTCCAATTCCTCACCCCCGCCCACTTCCCCATCCACACCAACCCCTTAGGCCGCAACCACAAGATCCGCACCCAACTCAGCATCGTCTTCGGCACAGACCACCTGCAACCGCACCAGGCCCTGACCGACGCAGCGGCCCGCGGCACCGACCCGTCTAAGCCGCCGGCGTATGATATTAATCAAGGCGCGGCGTCGGTGGAGGATTATCCGGGGAGGTTCGGAGGGGTGGCGAGTCCGTTGGGGGTTCATCATGTTTCCAATGATGGTGTAGATTCCGAGAAGGGAAGTGAGAATGGAGGGGAAGGGAATTATGGGGGGATGTATATTGGTGCGTCGCCGCTGAGGGAGGGGGAAGGGGAAGCTGTGGAGCCGTTCAAGGTGGATGCGCCGGGGACGTATGTGGCTACGAGGTCGTTGGATCGGCCGAAGAGGGAGGGGGAGACGGAGGATAGGGATGAGTGGCGGGATGATTGAGAGGAGGCATGTCGAGGGCGAGGATGTAAGCGACCAAGGGGAGTGGGATATGTATGGGGTGTAAGATGGGGGTTAAAAAGGTAAAGGGACTGTGATGTGGTCGTGTACGAATAGATGAATGCACCGGGTCATGAACGGCATTGTATGATACAAAAGGGACGAATAGGAACGGAAAGGAAAACAAATACGATGAAATAAAGTAGCATCGTTGACTTCCGGTTCTACGACCTTGGGAGGCATCGCGTGGCCCGATGTGCCAAAACCGGCATCTTGATCGATTCAAGCTCGACTGTCGGGGTTCTGGTTCTGGGAGATGGTGACGATTGGGAGATCCTGGAAGAGGGGGCAGCCTAATCAGCGCAAATGGAAGTGGGTGAACAGCGTGTCAAAGTTCCAGAGGTCGTCTAATCCAGTGCGTGTTACCTCCCCGTCTCAGCTAGTAATTACATATTACCAACAATCCCACCTATTCCCCTTCGGGAGACCCCCGATGCGACGGCTCATGGAAAAATCTTTGAAACCGCTTGCCGTGCATAATTACTTGCTAACCTGAATGACCTATTTTTTAGGTACAGAAAGCCGACACCGAGCTCTCCGTCCAAGAGTGTATGACGGTATGTCTAAGGGAAATAGCTGAGAGATTCGAACCTCTTTGCTTCTTCAGGTAGGCCACGATTCACAATTCCTTCTCAACCATTTTCCCCTCCCTACATCGAATATGCAGCCACTTCAGACAACGAGATTATGCTCACCATCACCTCTCCTAGGAAGCAGGGCGGCCCCAACGGCCAATTGCAGTGGCGGTGGGGACGGGAGGGTTACAGGCCATGCGATGTTTACGAGAAGCTCTGGATTGCCGCTAAAGCGGTCTGGAAACACTTCCCTCGCATCAAGACTTAAATGAAGTTAGGAGTTGGCCTGCGTTTTGACGGTTCCGGCGGCGGCTGGAATGAGCTTTTGTTCTTCCATTTGACTCATGAGTTTTGTGGTGAAGAACGATGAGATGGTTGTTCAAACTTTGACTCATCGAGTCCGTTGCAGATCTGTCAAAGCTTTGTGATGAATGGGAAGCGACTCCCTATCTAGTAGCTAAGATCGAAAATGATAACAGGCGCTGCGGATCCCGTGCCATTTATGGAGAAATTAGACCTTGGTGGTCCTTGTCATGTTGCCTAGGTTCTCCACTGCTGCTCAATCCAGATGCAATCTTTGATAGATCGGGGTTACAGACAATGTAAAGCCATGGCATTCGTGTTCGTCACGACTGAAACATGTTTTCTGGAGCCCAACTCTGCTCGGATGACATGTAAACGCCAAAGCCTGAACGAGGGGTAAGAGGGCTAGGAAGGAAAGAGTAGAGCCGTAAGTTGGGAGAGAAGGGTGGTGATTGCGAGACGGCGGTCGGCGTCGATGCGGGCGTTTTTGCTAGGGTGGGTGCCCATGGTCGGGATGGTATCGGGAGGAGGGGGAAGAGGAAGAAAGGGGGGGTACAGGGTGATGTGAGTGAGGATGGCTTGGAGCTGGGTTGCAGTGAGATGGGCGAGATGCGAGAGGAGCTTGAATAGCAGGCGCAGAAGGGTTTGTTTGTTGAGTTTCAACGGCCGAGCTCTCAAAGCCAGGCGGGTCATGTTGATTGCAGCGAACACGAGGTCAGAGAGATCGAGAACGGGCAGGATATCTTAAGCACAGAGGATAAGTGAGGCTGAGAATGTGACTCGTACACGAATCAATGACTTGTCAGAGTTTCGAAGATGAACTTCAACCTAAGAAATAGTTACTTGCGAACTGGTAAATAATAACTAATACAAAAAGGATTGTTAATTTACCCCAAGTTCAGGGGTCTGAAGCTGAGTAAGTCTTAGCCGAATGGATGGCTTGCAGTCGACTGGGCCGCTTTGCACCACTCGTAAAAACAGTTCAAACTGGAACTAACTATTCAAATAAAGCTAACGGACTAGTAGTCCTCCCTAGGTAGGGGGGTGAGTCATTCCATAATAAATGGTTGTTTGATAATGGCATATACTCCTATGCCTGTAGGCGCACCGGTTTCTAGGCAGATAAACCCACTGTAACAAGAAAACAGAAAGAGGAAAAAACAAGAAAGAAATAAAATAGACAACTCTGCAACGTTTCGAATAACCAGGTCTCTGAGGTAGGGTTTAATTCTTTCCCCGCGTGACTGTTCGCGTTCGTGTGGACCTGCGGGTGACGGGGGGAGCAGTTTTCGTTACTCTCGTAGCCCTGCTGCTTGCCTTCGCTGGCCGTCCGCGCCCACGTTTTGGTGCTTCGTTCTTCGCGGCTTGTGATTCCGATGGGCGGTCTTGGGCTCGTAATGATATGCCCTCAAGGTTTTGTCGGCGAGGGAGCTCTTCACGAAGCTTTCTGTTGCGTTCTCGTGTCTGCCTCACTTTGTCCTGTCTGGCTGTCTTCGACTCTGCTTTAAGGCGGTACCACATCGGAGGCTCCCAATTGAGTTCCTGTTGCCAGTCAAGGTCCCCATAGTGGAAAGAAATGCTGGAGCTGTCAGATTCCCCGCTGGTTGAGTCTAATTCCGAGTCTACTTCGTCGGAGTCGCTTAGGTCCATATTCTCGATTGCCTCGCATGCTGTAAAGAATGCATCGGGAAGGTATTCTTTTGCGTCCTGAGACTTTTCATGCCGAGTATGCCATGCCTCTAAATGCTTCATGACAAATTCACGATGATGTTTGGCAGCGTATTCGTGTATCTGGTCGATTATACAGATCAGATCGAATGCGCGGCTGAACTGTTTGACATCCCCTTTCCATATCGTCTCGACAAACTGCCATGGATATTAGCATAGAGTATCCACTGATAAGGGATTGAGATCACTATTTAGACTTACACAGTCGTCTAGGAACTTCCAAGCTACATAAACCTCCCAATAGGAACCGCAAGATGTGAATGCGAAGAGTTGATACTTGGAGCTTTCTGTGGTCTGATATTCGGCCACGTTGTCTGGATTGCGGGCTAAGTCGTCCAACATGGCGAGGTAAGTCTGGCAAGCGTGATGGATCTGACTCTCGGCAGCTTCAATTTCATAGCTGGAGGCTCCTTTTTTTGCCTCGTAAACCGCAAACGGGAATACCAAATCGGTCTTTCCCCACACGCCATCAACAATTAGAGCGCACTCGGGATTGAGCATCATAGCTCTTAACCGGTCCTCTGAAAGTCTCTGGTCGGGTTTTTTGGTGCTATGGTCCTCTTTGCAGGCAGGAACAGTGCAGGGATAACCGCGTTTGAGGTCGTAGTCGTCATATGCTCTCAGGCCTAGCGTGCCATCTGGAATTCGCGTTTTCACGGTGATTTGTCCGCTGTCATCCTTTTCCACATACTCATATGGCCTCTTGTCTCTATAGGAAACAAGCGTCAGCTGTCATGGGTCTAGAGAACCTTTGGGAATCGCAGATGTACTGACATCCTGAGGCCTTCATCCTCCATAATCAAACCGAAGGCATCGTGCCAGGCGCACACTTCCCAGCGGAACTCGGAAGACTTTTGAAAGTGGTTACGAATCGATCTTCTCCACAACTTAGTTGCCCTTTGATCCAGCTCCGTTTTCTTCTCTTCGCTCAAAGTCTCCCTATATTGTGGAATGTTGAGATTCGGGCAAAATCGGGCCCATGTCTTGGCCATAGTCGAGTCACTACCCAAGGAAACCGCCTGCCTCGATATGACCACACTTTCGAACGGCTCGGGAACTAGCGGCATTCTCCGTTTCCTGGGCGCCCTACCGAAATACCAAGGTAGAATAGTCAGTACCGAGGCAAGTTCCTTCACTGCAAGGTCAACTTACGACATGATCGACATCTCGAATCGCGCGGGAACAGGGAATACTCTGGTATGGGTTGCACAGTTTAAATGGTGGTTGAATGGAGTCGGCCCTGATACGAGTGGTTTCTTCTTTTTGGCGAACAGCGGAAGTTTCTTTGTCCAATATATATATCTTTTCTGAGACAAGGCGGCAGTAGGCTGACTACGAGGCTCCAATGCAGGCGGCAGTAGGCTGACTACGAGGCGCCAATGCAGGCGGCCGCTGCGATGTGACAACCAATCAAATCGCCCAGACAAGCCACCAAAGCGGCCGCCGAAGAGGGAGAGGGTGGTATGCAGTAACGTCCTAGTAAGCCTGGTCGGCTGGTAAGCCTGCTCGGTTAAGGTACCAGCCTGGTACGGCCCGGAACGGCCCAAGAAAGCTACGTAACCGAGCAGGCTTCCCAGCCGACCAGGCTTGCCAGGACGTTAACATGCCAGCTTCACGGCGATGGAATATATTGCAGTATATCCAGTATGAGAATATATAATAACTAATAGCATCTACTAATATAATATTACCAGACTTCCCCCTCCTAAACCAGAGCATTGCAGAAGAGACCGTGAGTTTTAGTAAATTGGGTGCGTTTTCGTTAGTTAACATGAATACTTTCCGCGTATGATTTCCACATATGACGAACGGGCTCTACGATGGACCCAACCTAATCCAAATTACCTCATTCAAAGCACATAACTATCTTCGAACAAAGCCAAACAAATCAAACAGATAGCCAGTCAGTCACAAACATTGCTCCTTTTCACCTTTTCCTGCTGCAACAGTCTCTTGCCGTATCCCACCGGTATATGCCATGTCTGTTTACCTAGGATTAAACGACCGATTTCAACCTGCGTGCACTTGGTCCACGCTTTGTGTCTCAAACAGTCTGGTATAATATAACATCGGCATCGGCTAGCAACTACATTATTTTTCTTTCCTTTTCTCAAGGACCAGTAAAACAAGAGGTTGTCCTAGTCAAGCCCAAGGTCCTCTCATAGCTGCTCTCTCGGCATCCTCCTCACTGCTCTTCGATATCACTTACACCACACCACTACTGGATCATATCAATATCCTCCCCCAAATCCTGCTGCGGAGCCTGGGCAACAGCCGCAGCCGCCTCTCCCTCACCAGCACCCGCCTGCTTACTACCACCCGCAAAATAATCCTCCATCTCCGCGTCCAACTCCTCCTGCGTCTTCTTCGGCCGGGCACCACCTCCACGCTCTCCACGCTCACCACCGCCTCCACCCCTTTCACCCCGACCTCTTCCTCCACCTCCTCCACCACCACCGCCATCACGCCTCCCACCGCCCTGTCTACGACCCCCATTATCCCTACGCCGGCCACCACCACCACCCGCATACGGACTCCTCGACCGGCTCAACCGACCCGATTCACGACCACCACCGCCACCACCACCCCTAGGCCGATACCGATCCACCCCGCGCCTCGCAGCCTCCTCATCCGACTCCCTGTCCCCCCGACGCGGCGAAAGCGACCGGGACCGGCCCTGGCCAGGAACGGTAATCCGCTCTGCTAGCGGTCGACCGGCACCAGCACTAACACCGGTGGAGCCAGAATCGAAGGGATTGCTCCTGTCGCCGGCACGACGCGATGGTCCGCTGGGAAGGAGGGTTAGACGGATGGGCTGGCCGGCGGCGTTGGCGCCGTCGAATTCGCGAATGGCTTGGGTTGCGTCGCGTGGGTGTTCGTACGTGACGAAGGCTGTGCCTTCGGAGCGGCCGGCGCGGTCGTATTTGATCTCCAGGGAGATGAGGGGGCCGATGCGGGAGAAGAGGCCCTGGGTGTTGTTGTTAGTCAGGTTGTGGAGGGTTGTGTGGGAGAGGGAGAGGAAGGGGGAAAGTACCTCGAGGTCGTCTTGGGTCAGTTCGTAGTGGATGTTGTCGACTCGGAGCTTGCTTGCTCTGGTATCACTGTGGTCGAAGCATGTCAGAGCCTGCTCTTATGTACAGGGGAGAGTTTGTGTGTGCCCTACCTTGCCGGCTCAGGGGAACGTCGTCTATGACTGGAGCGGCGACTACCATAGTCCTCGTATCTGTCGTGCACCCACTCGCTACATCCGCCAGTCAGTCAATCACCTCCCCAGTAACCCCCAAGCCAAGACAGGGAAGAGTACATACGAGTCAAGGTTGCGCGGCGCGTCATCTCTGAAGGACTACCCAGAGCAACAACGGAATCGGGAGCGCGTTAGCCGGTAAAATTCAAGTAGAAGCGGATACCTCTCCTTCTACTCCTCCTCCTCCCTTCGACTTAATCGTAGTTGCCAAGATTCGATTCGATTCGATTCGAGCCGTTACGCATCGCCATATCGAAAGCCCATCGCTAGGCCGAGTGCAGACCGAAGAACGAGATTCTCGTGCGAGTGGCTGCGGTGTGTCCGAGCCAAGAGTTTGGGTATGAATGAATGATCGAGGGACGAGACGCGACGCGACACGGGGAGGTGGAGAAGGAGGAGGAGAAGTAGGAGGATGAGGAGAGAGAGGGTTCAATCAACCTGTTCGAGTCTAAGTAAGCAATTGTCCTCGTGTGTTGTCAAATCTCAAAAAGAGAGGGAATCCAACTGATTTCTATCTCGCGAGGAGGAAGAGGATCGAATTCGGCACGCACCTTTCTGCCGCCATCTCGGGGATAATCAGATCTGTTGTCGCGACGACGGCCATTGCCACCACCGCGAGGACCTCTGCTGTTGTTCTGCAAACTTCGTGTTAGCCATCTGCGAATGTCGATGTCAAAGCAATGTCGTTCTCTTTTGAAGAAAATACAGATACGAAGGGGTTGACATACCTGCTTGCGATCCCCAAGGATATCGTCAAGGCTACGGTCAAGGCCTTCCATGACTTCGGACTTTAGAATGTATTTGGCGTTGAGTTTGCAGTTGGGAGATACGCGTTGTACTTTTGGCGGCGGTGGGAGAATTGGAGGATGGAGGTCGAGGCTTTCCAGTTGAATCGAGCAGCAGGAACTGACAGGGTCGAAAAGAGCCCCACATTAGTCTGTATGTTTCAGGTAATTTACCACCCATTACATGACGATTACCTCGAGCCATTTTGCATATGTAAGCCCTTCACATCACAGCAAACATCAGCCAACCACAGCACCACACGACGACATGCACTTCACTCCCTCGTGGTTTCAGTCTACGTTGCATTTTGGTAACCTCCCTGACTCTGCATACACGCGGCACTGAATGGCCCAGAGAAAACCCAGACGAGAGAAAAAAGCAAACCAGCCGTCCTTGGGCGGGCACCAGGGCACACCGGGGCACTTGCACCGTCTGCCCATTAGGGTGCATGCGCCCAAATCTACCCCCCATCAACCCCCCCATCACCTGTCAGAGCTTTTGTGGATGTCAACGAGATGCCACGCCCCCACAAAAAGGGCGAAAAATAGAAAACCCAGAAGCCACCCAAGCCCACTCCCACTCCTAGCTCTTTCTCCCTTGAACCCACAAGCAACACCGTGTCCCCCCTTTTTCAGTCCTGCGTGAAAATGCCGATGCCGATGCGTGGAGATTTGTATTGAGAGATGGATATGTCGGGAGAGAAAGAGTATGCGATGTCACGAGATGAGACAAGAGGCCACCGTTTAGATCAGGTCGGCCACGTTCATCGGCATCTCCTCGATCTGGGTGCTGTAGAACTGCTCAATCTCACGCATCATGCGCACATCGTCGGCAGTGACAAAGTTGATCGCCACACCCTTACGACCGAAACGGCCACCACGACCGATACGGTGGATGTAGTTCTCGCGGTTGGCCGGCAGGTCGTAGTTGATGACCAGCGAAACCTGCTGCACATCGATACCACGAGCCAGAAGGTCAGTGGCGATCAGGACACGCGAGGAGCCGGAGCGGAACTCCTTCATGATCAGGTCACGCTGGGCCTGGTCCATGTCGCCGTGCATGGCCGACACGGTGAAGTCGCGCGAGGTGAGCTTGTCGGTCAGCCAGTCGACCTTGCGGCGGGTGTTGCAGAAGATGACGGCCTGCGTGATCGTGACCGTCTCGTACAGATCGGAGAGCGTGTCGAGCTTCCAGTCCTCCTTCTCCACGGCGATGTAGAACTGCTTGATACCTTCCAGGGTGAGCTCGTCCTTCTTGACGAGAATGCGGACGGGGTCACGCATGAACTTGGTGGTGACCTCGAGGACGTCCTGGGGCATGGTGGCAGACAGAAGGACGACCTGGGTGGACTGAGGCAGCAGCTGGAAGATGTCGTAGATTTGCTCGGTGAAACCACGCTACCAACAGTCAGATTTCTTTTCAATCCTTTTAATTTTGTGTCGCAAAAAAAGTCGCGCGGGATCGGCACTTACAGAAAGCATCTCGTCGGCCTCGTCGAGCACGAACATCTTCATGGCATCGGTCTTGAGAATGCGGCGCTGGATCATGTCGTGGACACGGCCGGGGGTGCCGACAATGATCTGGGGGCCCTCCTGGAGGGCCTTCATGTCGTCCCGGACGCTGGTGCCGCCGATGCAGGCGTGGCATTCAATGTTCATGAAGTCACCAATGGCGACAACGACCTTCTGGATCTGCTGCGCCAGCTCACGGGTAGGGGCGAGGATCAAAGCCTGGACCGACTTGATGTTGGGGTCGATCTTCTGCAACACGGAGATGGAGAAGGTGGCGGTCTTGCCAGTGCCGGACTGAGCTTGAGCGATGACATCGTGGCCTGGTGCGAGGCGTTAGCGGTGAACTGTCCAATTTTTGAGACGAAATATTGTTTTGGTGAAATCGTACCCTTGATGACCGGCATGATGGCACGCTGCTGGATAGCAGACGGGCGCTCGAAACCATAGGCGTAGATGCCTTTTTCCCAATCATGTTAGCGGGTGATGCCCAATTGCCACCGGAGTCGGTCCGTCGTGGAGCTCTTACCGCGGAGAAGCTCCGACTTGAGGTTCATCTCGTCAAAAGAGTCGACGGTCTCATCGTAGTTAGACTCGATCTGTCCTGTGTCGCCGAGTAATGTTAGCTTTTTGTTTTCATCTTTCTGAATACTGAAGGCACTGTGTGCGCTAGAGTGCGGCGGGGCTCGCTGCGACCGCCAGTCTCAACGCGCCCCGCTGTCATGGTCGCATCATGTCGCTGAGCGTGTCGGAAGAATAACAGGATGGAAAAGTGATAACTCACCCTCGGGGACATCCTCAAGGCCCTTGTCGGTAGCCATGATTGCGGTGTTGGTTTGCAAAAATTTCCAGATCTAAGCCCGGCTTAGATCTAGAAACAGAGAAGTGGATGGTGGGGTATCCGAGCAAAAAAAAATCCGCAGGCGACTCGCGCGAGTGCTGCAGAAGTCTCGAGAGAAAATGGAGTACCAGAAAAATTAATATAGACTCAAGGTTCTCAGTGCTTGACCGAGAACGAGTGAATCTATGAAAAGGACGTGTATTTGGATGTGGTGGTTCCGGAAGTTGTGGTGATCAGGAGAAGGAAGAACCTAAAGGTGGGCGGACGCCGATAAAAATTCCTTTTGGCAGGAGAATTTGCAGCCGCCTCAGGCAACAACCCCGCTTGGGGACCAACAATGCCAGCGCCCGAGCAAGCGTGGGGTGAAAGCCTGGTGGGGCATCTTATCGAACTTTTTTTTTCCGCTACAGTGGCGGACGGCGCACTTGGGGCAAATTTCTATCGGCCCAGTCACTTAGACGTGTTATTCGCGGTTTAGTGTACTGTTTCCTATTCGGCACAATTTGGGCTTTCCCTGTGAACAGAAAAATTGAATCATTTTCTATATCGTGATCAAACACCGACTGTTTCACCACAATAACCTCATTACTACGAGCACCTCTGTGACAGATCGTGGCCGATATTCTTTCTCTCTTTTCCCCCCTTATTCTCCCTTCCTGAGCCTTGTTCAGTCCCGCGGGGCAGCTTGCACCCCGCCATAATGATCCCATCCTCGCACCAACGGCAAACTCGGGGCTGCGCCTCCCATGAGAATGGTAATGGGAGTCAGCCACTGAGTCACCCACCATTCCCAATGGCGACCAACGGCACGCTCGATGACGATGGCCTCGACTCGGCCTCGATCCCATCACACCCTCTCGGCATCAGACCGCTAGGCAACAAGTACTTCTCGGGCGGCGGGGATGCCCGGCGATCTATGGGAGTGTTGCAGATTTTGCCCGACGAGATGCTGATGCAGATGTTGGAGTATTTGGATGAGAGGACGTTGAGATTGTTTGGCTACACGTGCAAATTTTTGTTTGCGTGTTGTGTATCTGACGACATCTGGAAGACCATCTTGTTAGAGTAAGTTTTTTCCTCGTAGTTCCCAAGTGAGGTGAGGATAAGTCTGCGGTAGTGTGTGGCACGGCTCGAACCAATGGTATGTTCACTTTTCGCCTTTGTATGGTACATCTGAGCTGTTTAGTCGGTCGGCGGGTTTGTCCTTTCAACCCCTGTGATTCCATTCGCTCCAAGCCACCTTTTTAGTATCGTGAGTCACGATAAATATATGTTAACAAACACTCTTACTCTAGAACGGAACTTGGCAGCAAGTGCTCCTTCGAATGGCGGGGATCTTGGAGAGCTACGGTACTGGGTTTGTCCCCTGAGCAAACGGCCCGTGTAGACTGCCGGAATGTCTTTTCCGATGTGCTGCATCGCCCGTTTGTCTGCAGTCACATCTCCTTGCGCCACTACACCAAAAACATCCCGCTGGCTAACGAGATTGACCGCTTCGAGGATCTCTCGTTCGACGAGTTCGCGGAGAAGTGGAGCAAGAAGCCGTTTGTCTTGACCAAGTGCATTCAGCCTTGGCCAGTCACCGGGTCATGGACGCTGGGGAGTCTGCTCTCTGACTACGGCGACGTCGTATTCCGGGCAGAAGCGGTGGACTGGTCATTCGCAACCTACCACCAGTACATGCGGGATAACCAAGACGAGAGCCCGCTCTACCTATTCGACCGGAGGTTTGCCGAGAAGATGTCACTCAAGGTGGGTAAAGAGGAGCCGGGGGCGGCATATTGGAAGCCGGAGTGCTTTGGCCCCGACCTGTTCGAGCTCCTGGGCGCCGAGCGGCCGGCCCATCGATGGCTCATCGTCGGCCCCGCGCGCAGCGGGTCAACCTTCCACAAGGACCCCAATGCGACGAGCGCGTGGAACGCCGTGATTGAGGGCGCCAAGTACTGGATCATGTTCCCACCGTCTGCGGCGGTACCGGGGGTGTACGTCTCCAAAGACAGCAGCGAGGTGACCAGCCCGCTCAGCATTGCGGAGTGGCTGCTGGAATTCCATGCAGAAGCCCGCGGGCTGCCGGAGTGCCGGGAGGGCATCTGCAAGGCGGGCGAGATTCTCCACGTCCCGAGCGGCTGGTGGCATCTCGTGGTAAACCTCGAGGACGGGATCGCGCTGACGCAAAACTTTGTCCCTGAATCCCATCTCGGGGGTGTTCTGTCCTTTCTCAAGGACAAAGCGGACCAGGTGTCCGGATTCGAGAAGGATGTCTCTGATCCGTACGATCTATTTGTCAGCCGGCTGCGGGAGGAACGGCCCGAGTTGTTGGAGGACGGACTCAGGCAGCTGGCCGAAAAGAAGCGACGGTGGGACACGGTGGTCGGCGAGGATGGTGATAGTTCCGGCGATCAACCCCAAAAGAAGACGGCTGGTTTCAGTTTTGGCTTCGGGGATGGGGACGAAGACGACGAGATTCCCTGATGTTACGGGATCCCGGCCGCGGGGGGGCACATGGCGGTTTTACCTTACTGCACGTGTTTCTACGTGTACATACTCCGTAAAGTCGGGTTGTCCAAGGATATGGGGGTCGGGGACACCTTGGAGAGGTGAAGCTACTGTATGTAGTGTATGTAGCAGCTACTCTTCCGGTCCACCTGTGTCATACACGTGTACATAATGTATCGCTTCTCCTCTTTTTAGCATGAAGTCATGAATTTTCAGAGATGAGATTCAGCGTTTCTGCTTTTGCTTATCGGGTTACAAATTTCGAAGCCATCGACATTGCAGAGGCGAGGTTGTTGAGTGTCGCCAATTAAATCCACAGCTTCTTTCAGCTACGCCCGAAACGGGATTGGGCTGACGGCCTGGACACAGTGTAAAGACTTGGCACAATACGGTAATCCCCAGAGATTTTGTGAGCAATCACCTCCTGTTCTCACTTTGTACCACACTGTGTAGCGACCTAGTGCTCCACCCGTCAGATCGCCGGTCCCCGGCAGCTGGCCAGCTGTGCTCCCCGCTGTTCCGCCGCAGCTGGACAACCTCCCGTCCACTCCCTGACCTCCTCGAATGCTCTGACAACTGCCTCGCGCTCAACCACCATCGACGTCTATTTCTGTCACTTGCGTTGTTTCCTTCTTTTTCTTCTGCAGGAGCGATCCTGCCGCATACTTTCTTTGGCATATATCTAATCCCTACTCCGTACTAGCCACGGATTCCATTGTGCCGAACCTCTTTCCCCGCTCCAGGGCCGAGAGTCACTCGTCAACAAACGGCCACAGCAACCCCCCGTTTCTCGATCCCTGCCCGCAATTGCAACTCCCCCCTGAACGTTCGCGATCCGGCACGCACCCCCCGGCGACAACATGCAACTTGACAACCGCCAGTGCCGCCAACTCTCTGTTTTTCGACCGACATATCTTTTCGTATTCTTCCGGTGAGCTGTTCGGCTGCCGTTGCCATTTCGAACCCCGAGACTCGGCCGCCGACTCACCGACTCCACTCGACGCCCGACGAAGCTGCATGCCACGCAGCAGGCACATCATACATACCTACTCCCACACGACGTGCCGCATTATTACTTTTTTCTCATTCTTTATTTCTTTTTTTTTCTCTCTCTCGGTCATTAATTCCCTCGACTCCGCGGTGCCTTTGTTTCGTTCATAGTCCTCGAATTTACCAGTCAACCAACTCCCGAGCATAATTACCTTCGTCTACCGTTTCGGATACTCCGTCGTTCAGGCACTTGACCCGCCGTCCGGAACGTTTTTAAATCTCGCCGAGTGAAAGCCACCCCTCCTTCCTAAACCCCTCATCGGTCACCTCGACCCCTCAATCGGCCGAAAGCATGGTTTCCGACGAGACGTTCGAAATCTGCCTCCCAGTGCTGCGGGACCCGGATATCGACGATGAGGATAAGACGGATAAACTGGAGGAGCTCCTCCGGGAGAAGACGAGCCTGACCGGGCAGGCACTGGAAAATGCAATATTAGACGCACTATGGAGATATCGAGAAGGAGGAGGGAGCGCAACGTCCCCGCCGCCAATACGGCAGACCATCCTGCGACGGCCGTCCCCGGCGTCCTGGCGCGGTTCGGGCACGCCGCTCTCGAGCTCGCCTCGGTTGGGCGTCAGCCCACTTGCCCCGCCGGGGTTCGTGCCAAACCCTTTTAGTCGGACGATATCGTCGACGGCGTCCCCGTTTGGCTCGCCGCGGCCGTCCCCTCGGCTGGCGTTTGCGGCCCCCGTACCGCACAGCCCGAACCTGAATGCGTACCAGTTTGCCCACGACGACACGCCGTCGCAAGAGGTGTTTGGCGAGTACCAGTCGGACAATGTAGACTGGCTCGTGAGCGACGATGCTATTAGTGTGACGTCCTCGGTGGGCGGGTCCAGCGGGCTGAATGTGAGCGCGCCCGAGTTTGTGTCAACGCAGCAGCAGACCGATATGACGCCGTACGACATGCTGCGGTCGATCCTCGGGCAGACCAAGTCGGACGACGAGATCAGCGCGGCGCTTGCGATGCACGGCTACGACCTCGGGGCCACGGTGGCGGCTATAATGGAGACGCAGGTGCAGGATAATCTCGCATTGGCGGCCCAGGCCGAGGAGAACCGCGTGGTGATTGGGAAGGCGATGGGCTCTGACGGGCGCCCTGGTACGCCCGGGGGGGATTCGCAGAGGTCGGGTGTGATTTGCAAGTTCTACCTGTCGACGGGCCAGTGTTTGCGTGCGGACTGCCGGTTCAGTCACGATCTGAGCAACCATATCTGCAAGTGAGTAGTAGGAAGAGGAAGACTGGCAGGCCTAGAAGTCTGGTTGATTTTGCCAACGAAGCATGAGTGTGTATTGACACAGATCTTCACAGGTATTGGGTTGCCGGGAACTGTCTCGCGGGCAGCACCTGCATCTTCTCCCATGACCCATCGCACCTCGTCAACCGGCTGCAGATAGACGGCTCCGACACGCCGCCCATGCAGCACGCCACGGTAAATATTCAGGATTACAGCAACTTCCCAACCCTGCAGCCAGGCTCACCCGAGCAGCTTCTGGCCACAACAGGCAGTTATCCTACGCTAGGGATCACCCCCCCTCCTGGGTTCAAAGCTCAGCATGCCCACCCCGAGCGCTCGCGCTCGCGGCCGGGCAGCCGGCATCAGCAGAAAGATACACCGTCTGCTCCGTCCCCCGATGACGCGGACGCGTTTCCGTCTCTTGGCGCTGCGATAGCAAAGCAGGGCAAGAAGCATCACGGTAAGCGCGGCGGACACGGCCACAGCCACGGGCCTAACAAGGACACCAACTTTGCGGCCCCGCCCAGCACGTTGGCGGACATTGTCAAGATGTCCCCTTCACCGGCGCCGGCTACACCTAGTCGGAGGGTGGCCCGCAACGGCAACTCACCCAATGTGCGCAACGGCGAGAACAGCGCTGCGGCGCAAGCGATCCCGAACCCGAAGCATATCCCATGGCTGGAGACGGGCGACAGGGCCAACAAGGCGTACCTGAAGGCGCGGCAGGAGGCCATCAAGCACGGTGGTCTCCGGAACAAGTTCCTCCAGAGGTGTGTTCTTGGTTTTGCTTGGAGGGGGATTTATTTGTTTTTCACGTAAGCAGGCAAGATAAGATGGCTAATGCAGAACAGTGCCGCGCAAGCATGGAACCGCAACGATGCGCGGGCGGCCAAGGCGCTGAGTCTGCGCGGACAGAGCGAGAACGACCTCATGCGAAAGGCGCACCGCGAAGCCGCGCAGCAACTATACGAAGAGCGCAACAAGGACCGGGCGAACTGCCCGGAGATCTACGTCGACCTGCACGGCCTGCACCCAGAGGAAGCAGTCGAATACCTCGAGGGCATCCTAATGGAGAACGCCATGGAGAGCCGGCCGATCTACGCCATCACGGGCACGGGACACCACAGTAAGAACGGGAAAGACAAGGTCGGCAAGGCAGTGCGCGGGTTCCTGAACGAGTGGCGGTATGCGTACCGCGAGTTTTCGGTTCCTGGCGACCGGAACAGCACGGGCGGGATCTTGGGGGTCGACGCGCGCAGCTGGGACCGGTCGCTGTCGCAGGACGGGAAGACCCTGTCGCGGACGCGGGGGTCGGAGGGGGAGAAGGAGAAGGAGGAGGTGGATATTCTCTCGCAGGGGGTGGAGATTGGCGAGGGGAAGGTCAAGTTGCTTGTGAGGGACACGTCGGGGGCCACGACCAAGGAGCCGCCCAAGGGGCCGTCTGGGGGCCGGGGGAGGTGATGGCCTTCTTGCCTTGCCTTGCCTTACACAGCGTTAGGTGGTGGTGGATAGTAGCGTTGAGTGGGTTGCCTTGTTTGGGCAAGCCCAAATTCCGTAGTCGTTTGACACCACCCTCCTCTGCCGAAGAAGTAAAAGATGATATATATTTCGACATTGCTTCGTTTGGTGATTCCATGGGAGTCGTGTTACTTATTCTAGCCCTCGCAATGTCCTACATGCAAACTAACTATGCATGCAAAGTAGATCACATGCCAGGGACAAGACAGCAGGGTGAGTTATCAACTTATCAGGAGAACGGAATAAATGTGGACCGTTGGAATTGGGCTCCTTATCCATACACAAACAACAACCTGGAATGACGTTTCGGGGAGTTTGGAGAATTGGATTGCAGCGCTGATCTTTTGCACGCTTTGTAATTAAACGTGAAATTGGGTACCATCGTAGATTCATTACGGTACTAAATAGCATTAATTACCCATTTGAGCTCACACTCTAACACTATATGTCTTCGTTCCACGCAACGAACAGCGCTTAACAGTGAGACGCCTCTGCCGCGCTGTGCCTTTAGACCAAATCGGTTGGTTCGAACTATGCCAACGCTCACTCATGCGCTAGGTGTCAGCATCCCGTTTGCTGTACTCCTTGTGTGTAAGCGGCCCAGCATTTCGCTCGGAGCGTAATTGCAGTATCAGTACCAGTACCAATACGGATTCGTTTGCGCTGTGGCGGAGCGTGAAGTCTGGACCCGCTGATCCCTGTCTGAGCTGAAGCGCGTGCAGGCATGGGCTGTCGTAAGTGGGCTGTTTGGGCTGGCTTGGCTTTCTACAGAGTAGGGGATGTTAGCTGGGATCGTCGGCTTCAAATCATCAGCTTACTTTTTTACTTTGCTTTTACTTTTACTTTTGGAGTGTGTTGCTTCCTTTTTTGAGGAGATTCTGTTTGCGACGACACGGATTGAGTACGGAGATACTTGGTGCGATATTGGATAGTACGGGTTCTTTTTTATTTTCTTTTACAGAAGCTTGACGATTCGTCATGCGGTAGCCCGAGTCTCGAGTCCAGAATCCCGAGTTCGCAGTTCGCTGTCTACCATCGCGCCCGGCTCCTCGAAACATCTGCGCCAGCCGCCAGTCGCCCAACCTCGCGCACGATGCCTCGTCCGTCGGGGGACGACCTCCTGAGGTCAACATCCCCCATCTTCACCGCGACCAACCCGGCCATCCCCTCCATCACCGAAACCCGACCATCCACCGACAACTACCCCTACAACCACGACGACTCCTCCTCCAACACCAGCTTCAACACCGCGCCCAACTCGGATAACACCCCATGGACCCCTCGCCCAACACCCCCCGGCGCGCGCCGTCTCTCCTCCCGCCGCAGCACAACCTCCACCAACCCTTATTCCCAATCTAGTAACGGCGGCACGAAACCCTTCCTCCAAACCGCCCTCTCCACCACCACCGCCCTCTGGCGCGCCTACATCCGCTGGTACTCTTCCCTCCCCGTCCCCCACCAACTCCTCGTCTCCCTCGCCGGCCTCACCATCCTAGTCCTCACCATCCTCCTCCTCCTCTACTCCCACACCCTCTTCGCCCACCTCGCCACCGCCGCCTCCACCTGGCGCGACACCACGGGACCCATCTGGGGCTGGATCCCCCTCTGGCTCGCCATCTTCGCGACCGCTTTCCCCCCCCTCATGGGGTACTCCTCGCTCCTAACCCTCGCGGGGTTTGTCTACGGGTTTCCCTGGGCGTGGCCGATGGTGGCGAGCGCGACAGTGGCCGGGTCGTCGGCGGCGTTTGTGGCGAGTCGGGGGTGGTATGGCGGGTATGTGCATCGGTTGGTGGGCGGGGATAGGAGGTTTGTGGCGTTGGGGCAGGTTTTGAGAAGGGATGGACTGGGGGTGTTGGTTATGGTGCGGTTGTGTCCGTTGCCGTATAGTTTGGGGAATGGTTTTTTGGCGACGGTCGGGGGTGGGGGGAATGTGGGGGTTGGGGCTTTTGCTGTTGCTACGGCGGCTGCTACGTAGGTTCTTCTTCTGCCGCTGCTTCTTCTTTCCTTGGTTTATTTACACTCTGGTGGGTGGGACTAACGACGGAGGTGATAGACCCAAACTACTAGTGCACGTCTTCATCGGCTCGCGGCTCGCCCTCCTCGCCGAATCAGGCGACACCATGTCCTGGGGCGACCGACTGATCAACTACGCGAGCATGTTCCTCTTCGGCCTGATCGGCTTCGCCGTCGGGTTTTTCATCTACCGGCGCACCATGGCGCGGGCAGCCGAGCTGGCTGGGGAAGGGGACCCCGATGGGACGCTTTTAGATGGGGGTGAGGATGAGGATGATGATGATCGTGATGTAGAACAGGGAGTGATCAGGGCGAGGCGGAGTGAGGATGATTTGGAGAATGGGAGGATGGTGGATCCGGATGAGTTGGATGCTGCGGCGCTGATGGATGATGATGATATTTCATTGTGGGAGACGGAGGGGGGGTATCATGATGCGTGGGATGATGAGCCGGGGACCGGGATTGGAGGTGGGCGGAAGTAGTATATCTAACAGGCTTCGTTCCCCCCCCTTTTTTTTTTTACTATTTCTTTTTTTTTGGGTTTGTTATAAGAGCCGGTCGGTCGGCTGCGTTGGTTTGCATGGACGGCGTTGGGTTGGAAAGGATTTCCGCGTAGAGCAAGATACGGATAGACAGTTCACGGCGGCAATTTCAATATCAAACATGCTCTTGCAGTTCAAACCATTGCATTCAACTATTGCATTCAGACATTTGCCGTGTGGCTAAAACAAATACCCCCGCCGAGTGGTATATCAATGCTATCCCAACGCCTTGCTCAAACTCAAAAATATCAAACAAAACCGCCCAGTGTCCCCAAAATACAACCAATGTCCCGATAGATACCATCACCGCCCCTGAAACTGCTTCATAAACTCCACCGCCTGCTCCATCGGGTACCCGATAAACACCGGCCCAGAGATATTAAACACCACCTGCGGCCGATCACCCTTATCCTGCGCCGAAGCTGAAGCGGTTGGCACATCTGCGAGGTTAACAAACGTCGGCTGCGCAGTGCTCCAAGGAGGGGGTGATCCGTCCGGCTTGAGTTTGATCTCAGGTGGCTTCGTAGTGCCCTTCTCCGCGTTATGGTCATTATCATTATTCTTATTATCATGGTCAGTCTTGCTGACGACCGGCTTGGCCCCGCCGGGAAACATCTTGGTGTGGTCGAATGGGCACTTTCGAGGGGCCTCTGCGGGCGCCCTCGCTGGTTCCTGTGTGGGCTGAACGAGACCCTGGGCCGATGGTCCGGGTTGCTGACTTCCCGCCTCCAAGGGTACCGAGATCCCCCATGGCCGGCTAGGCGACTCGCCGACTCGCACGTCTCGCATCGGGCGGTCAAATCGACCTTCACGGTCGTCATCTACGTTGGGTGTCTCGCCATCAGGCCCGTCCTGCCCGTCGAGTCCCTCGTTACCGGTGCCAGGCTCAGACCCGACCTCAGGCGAACTCCCAACAACAACAGTATTCGCCCAGTCCTCGACCCGCCGATTCGACGCCCGGTCAGCCTCGCGCTGTTCGGCCTTCGACGGCGGCATCATCGGGCGGTGCAGGTGGCTCAGGTCTTTCACCATGTTCACGAGACTACCATACTTGGCATCGAGTTTCCTGATCTGGTCCTCGTTGCGCTGGTACCGCCGCACGCACACCTCGTGGCTGCGCGGGATCGCGTGCTTGTGGGTTTCCACGTACTGCGCGATCTCCTCGGGTGTGTGCTTGTCGAGGTAGCGGATCGGGCACGAGGGGGGAACGGCTGCCGCGGCGGCAGATGTTTGATCGTTGAGCATCGCGGCGCAGATGGGGTCAGATGGGCGGGTAGTGGGAGTGGGTCGCTGGGTTGGACCGGCCGGGGTGGATGGGCTGGCTGGGTCCTGGGAGACGTCGACCCGCTCAGCTCCTCCGTCGTTGGGAAGGCCGTCGACGTCTTGATTCGGCCGGGCCGAGAAGGGACACGCCAGGTCACCCTTCTTTCCTTCGACGGTAAAGTCCTTCTCCAGGGCGGTCGACACAGACGTCATGATATCCATGTCAGGCGAGGCAGCAGTAGTGGATAGTTCCACTGAGCCTTCTGCCTCTCTACGTCTCTCTTTCTCTCGCTCTTCTTCTTGCTTGGCACTAATGCCCGCTGCGAGCTCCTGGGCGGCCCTGCGACCTTCCCGGATGACTAACGCGAGCTGGAGCTTGTTGTTGCCGGTCTGGCTACGCTTCGGCAAGGGCACGGCCGAGGTAGCGGCAGAGGGCTGGTGCAGGTCCGGAGGGAGTTGGAGGTTGGCTAGGGTTTCGGCGATTTCGGGAGCCGCGGGCACATACTTGTCCGCGAGGTATTGGTACTGTTTGGGTTAGTGCTTGTTTGCCTCGAATGGATTCGCTCTCAAACGGATTTGTAAAGTGAAATGAAATAAAAATCGCCAAATCAGAACGTATGTTGTCTCCATCTGCTGGTCTTGGGACGCAGCTCCAGATCTAGAGCTAAGAAATCATCACGAAGGCGGGTAGGGGACAATTGGAGAGAAGAGGAAGTAAACGGGAACGATAAAAAAACATACCTGCTCGTGGGCATACCGCAGCTTGTGCTCCAGAATGGTCTTGCGATCGACCAGCGACTGGACCTCGTCGGAGAGCGCGACAAAGGACTCGGCCAGCGTCTGGATGAGCTGGATGCCGTTCATGTCACATGAGGGCGCCCGGCATTGGTAAGCAGTACTGTGCTACGCAGGACTACACGTACGATCGTACGAGTAAGACTTGCATGACGAACGGAAGGAGAGAAGGAGCTGCAGGCTTTTCCGGGTTCGGGTTTTGGGGACGCGCAGGGTTCCACTCAGGCACCATGTTCAGCCGTTCCGGCTGGCCTCGCGGGTCCACTGGCTCGATCCTGGCAGGTCCGCTCCACAATTATCGAACGGTTTGGATGCCCCACCTTCCCCAAGTTCCCCAAGCATCACCCCTCTCGAACGACAGCCTTCATAGCTTCAACTTCTCTATTTTCATCTATTTAGACGGCGAAGACGTGTCAATCTAAGGCTACTTTACGGTATGTAAGCTTGTCTTGTAGCATATAATATATTTACACGAGGTTACTTTTCTTTTCTTTTTCTTCCTGAGAATCCATATTATTTATTATCGATATCGTCGTTTTCCGGCCTGAGTCTCATTCAAAGTCATCTTTCCCTCAATTTTCAGACGTGGAATCCGAATGGCCACTATCCAGGCTGCCCGGAGGCTCAGCAGCCGGGCCCATGTACTTCCAGGTAAACGCCACCCTCACACTTAACATTGGTTCCTCCTCGTAAAACTAAAACTCACACCAGGCCAACTCCACATCACGGAACTCTTCTTCGAAGTCCCCCTGAACCACGCCCAGCCCAGCGCGGGCACCATCCGGCTCTTCGGTCGGCGCGTGCGCAAACACGAGCGCCCCATCGTGCCGCTATCGGCCGCCGACCGCGCCAGCAAGGAGGACAAGCTTCCGTATCTAGTCTACCTCGAGGGCGGACCGGGGTTCGGCAACAAGGAACCGCAAAACCATTCGCTCACCCAGGTCGCCCTCCGCCGCGGCTATCAGGTACTCTTCCTCGACTACCGCGGCACGGGGCTCAGCACGCCGATTAGCGCCGACTCGGTGCTGAAGCGGGGCGGGCCGCAGGAGCAAGCTGAGTATCTGAAGCTCTTCCGTGCGAATAGCATCGTGCGTGACTTGGAAGCGGTGCGGTTGTGTCTGACGGCGGAGTTTGGGGAAGACAGCGAGACCGAGGAAGAGAAGGAGGCGAAAAGGGCGTGGTCGTTATTTGGACAGTCGTTTGGCGGGTTCGTCAGCCTAACCTACCTGTCCAAGTACCCGCGCGGGGTGCGGGAGGTGTTTCTCACGGGCGGCCTGGCCCCTATCCGGCGCACGGCTGAGGAGGTGTATACGGCGACGTACAGAAAGCTGGTCGAGCGCAACCAGGCGTACTATAAGAAATACCCCGAGGATGCGGAGCGTGTACGGCGGATCGCAGAATACGTCCAGTACCCGACGGATTTGGGCAACAGCATCTCTCTACCCTCGGGCGGCAGGCTGACAGTGCCGCTGCTTCTTTCTCTTGGCATCGCGTTCGGCACCCACGGCGGGCTGGACAACGTGCACTCGCTAGTCCTGCGGCTCAACACAGACCTCGACCTGTTCAATTACTTCACGCGCGCCTCGCTCGCGCAGTTCGAATCCCGCATCTCGTTCGACACCAACCCGATCTATGCCATCCTGCACGAGCCCATCTACTGCACCCGCCGCAGCGGCGGACCGGCATCCCGCTGGGCGGCCCACCGCGTCGGCACGACAGACGCCAGCCTGCGGCCGTACTTTGGCTGGCTCGAAGACCCCAAGGCGTTTTTGCGGTCGCGGTCTACGAACCCCGCAGAGGACCCGCTGCACTTTGCGGGCGAGATGGTGTTCCCGTTCCACTTTGACGGCAGCGCGGGGCCGGATTTGGCGCGGCTGCGAGATGCCGCGAACGTGCTGGCGGAGACGGCCGAGTGGGACGAGGATCTGTACGACGAGGCACAGCTGGCACGGAACGAGGTGCCCGTGTATGCGGTGAGTTTTATCGACGACATGTTTGTGGACTTTGGACTGGCACGGGAGACGGCGGGCTTGGTGCGCGGGATCAAGGTGCGGGAGACGAATAGGTTGTATCATGATGCGGTGCGGTCGCGGTCGGAGGATGTGTTTGGCATGTTGTTTGCGATGCGGGATGATTGTGTGGACTAGTTTGTCTAGATCTCACGCTAGTCTACCTATCTACCATACGTCCATCCATCATCACTCAACCCTCACAACCCTCGCGACCGCTTTATACGTGGCAACACCACGTTACCGTCCTCCCTCACAAAACACCCTGCCCCCACCTCCTTCAGATCATCCTCGTTTCTCTCCGCCATCTCCCTCAACACCCCCATACAAACCTCCGGATGCGCCATTAACCACCCCTCGACCATCTCCCCGACCCCCCCGGGCCGTCGCCACGGCTGCAAGAACCCCACCCGCGCCAACACCACCTAGAAGGGAGATTGCAGGAGGACGGCTTTGTGGGCCTGTAATTGTCACTCAGTCAGTACCTCAGGGGCTTGTGGGGTAGGGATACGGGAGACGGCATACGTGGAAGGTCTTGCACTCTTGCAGCTTACCAACATGTACCGGTATCAACGGCGAGCTGTAGCGTCTGTTTCCGTCAGTACTCATGTCCCACGAAACCAACAACCGCACACAAGAGACAGACTCAGCCATTAGCCATCGACGCCCGCAGATCCTCCCCCGAACCCAGCTCCTCCTCCTCTTCCTCCTCCTCCTAGATCAACTCCAACTCCTTCTCTGGCTCCGGAGACTCGGGCACCGCGAATCTCGGCGACGCCGACGCCGCCCGTGCCATCTCTCTCAACACATCCCCCGACGTGCGCGGTGTTGTAGGCGTATCCATAGCTGTGGCCGTGTCCGTAGCTATAGCCGTGGCTGTAGTTGCGGCCGCGGCCGTAACCGTAGTGGTATCCGTAGTGGTAGCCGCGGCCATAGCCGCCTCGGGCGCGTTTGACTCGTTAGTTCCCAGGTTCCATGGTTCATACCGGCTGGTAGCAAGATCAGGGAGGCCGAACGCCGGTCGAGCAAAAGACGGTTTGTCCTCTATAGAAGAGTCCCGGAGGCCAGGGACGCGAGGATAGGAAGGCATCGTTTCCGCCGTTTAAACCGGGGTTCTGGATTGTGGAGATCAGATCCAAGGGGGGAAGCTGTGATAATTAAGGAGAGGAAAACTCGAAGTTCGGGTCTAGTCGAGAGAGGTAAAAGGACAGGACAAATGTGGACTTGAATTACTGGCTGACGGGAGATGTAGGTTGGAATAAAAGAACGGATTTGGAAAGACAAAAAGGAAGGACAACAAGAGAGAGAAAGAGGAAAAAAAAGAGAGAGAGAGAGCCTTTTTAAATGACTAACAGATAGACAAACCGGATAAGTGAGGCAAACCTCTCGCAGGCGCGCGGGTGAAGCAAACGAAACTGAGCGAGTCATGTGTGTAAGTGTGGTCAGGTATGGTCAAGCAGGCCCCAGACCTGGCCTCCCTTTCTTCAGCCTTGCTGCTAAGTCACCCTCTTCTCTGTCTCGCTTCACTGTGTTAGCGCCCACAGGACGCGGCCTGGCCTGATTTAAGCAGTGCTGGGTTCAGGGCGGTTGGTTATTGTTGAGTCAGGCTGCTCAGGCTGCGAGACGAGGACAGTTGATTTCAGCGGTTGGGGAAACAAAGTCGGGCAAACCTGACAAACAAGGCTCATGGCTAGGGAAGGTCTGGGAAAGGGGCCTCGAACAGCGGCGCGTAAATCTTTCTCTTTATATTTGTCTTGTCTCTTTCTTTTTTTCTTTTGTCATGGACCCAGTATCAAACCAAGACCGTCCAACCCCCATGCCTATCTACGGCAACGTAGAGTACGTAACTACCTATATGTACATGTCAAATCCATCCTTTGATCGACACAGTGGTCAGGTTTAGTACGTATCCACAAAGCTGGCCGAAAGTTAACGTATTTTCAAAAAGTCCCGTTGCACATCGCATGAGTGATGATGGAACAACAAGCCCAAGGCATGAAAAGACATAACACACGGGATGTATACTAGAAAATGCCCCTAAGCACCGGTCTAGCATATCCATTACCTCTAACCCAAACATCATCCCGCTATCTATGCAAATGCAGCACATAACCCTCCTCTCTCACAAGCATATCTCTCGCTAGAGTCCAGATCCAGGCAACATGCCCGGCAGGCCCTCACTCACTCAACGTCTATCTCGGACGGCACCTCGATTTCTACACCCAACAATCAGCACTGCGTCCGAAACACAGAAAATAACAGCATCCACAAAAAAGGGAGAAATAAGGGGAGAATCGAGAGAGAGACTCACGCCAAAGCCGATTAGCAGCCTCACATATGACCCGTGCCTTAGCCCTCAATTTCTCACGGTATTTCCCCTCATCCTGGGCCGCCAGTCGCACCTTGTTGGGCTGGGCCTGCATCAGCACGGGTAGGAGGTCGTCGGGACCTGCGTTGGCGACGGCGCCGACTGTTTTGAAGCCGTTGTCCCAGAAGATGCGCCTATGCACGTATCAGTCTCATTTTACCTTGTTATATCTTCGACCTTTAGGCTGAGAGGAAAGTCTGCCAGGGGAACTCACGCAGTCCGACTCTTGACAAACGGGATCCTCGCAAGCGCCAACAGATCCGCTTTCGCTCCAGCCTTGAGACGGTCCGAGAAGTGATCCAGCACCGCAGCCATGGCCCTGGTTATCCCGTCAGCAACACAGCCCTCTTCCCCGTTTTCTCTTCCATAAACAGTCTTCAATAAACAGGGTAGAGGGGGTAAATAAGAAAAGAAAAGAAAACAAGACGCACTCCCACCCCATAGTCTGACAAAACTTAATCATCCCCGCCGCAAACCCCTGACACGTCTGCGCCAGCGTCTGCACGGCCCCGCGTGGCACGTCATATTTGTGTGCGACGCGGTGGATGGGCGTCTCGTCGCAGAGGTCGCGCAGCTGCAGCGCGAGGTAGAACCGGTGGTACCGCCGGGCTGTGTCGCGGTCTTCGGGGGTGGTTTCGCGGAGGATGCCGCCGTGGAGCCTGCCCCTCATCAGTTACTGGGTCAAAAAGAAAGAAAAAACGGGGGAAGAAAAGGGAGGGAAGAAAAAAAAAAAAGGGGGGGAGGGGAGAAGTACATCCGCTCAACAGTAACCATACTCAACCCGAGCAACCCCACCACACGAAAGCCGCTCTCGTCTAGCCCCCGCAGCTCGTTCCAAAATACCTTCCAGTTGATTGTCGCGTTGCTGACGTCGAGAGGCGTGAAACAATACAGGACGTGCATTTCGCCGTCCATGACAAACGCCTGCAGCGCCTTTTGCAGCTCGTTGTGGATGAAGATGCCATCGTCGGGGTTTAGCGATGAGGCCACGACGGCCCGGCCAAGCTGGGTTGCTTGGAAGGTGTGATAGTTGTCGTCTTCCTGGCTAAGCCCCGAGTCGACGGTGATGTAGCCCATCCTTTGTAGGTCGGCGAGGCTGGTCTCGACGTGTTCTTGTATTGCGCTTGGGTCGGCTGAGTATGCTAGCATGGTTTTGTTGACGTAGTCGTTGAGGGCGTCGCGGCTGGTGGCTAGGCGGATGGCGATGATTTCTAGCAGGGCTCTACATTTTGTTGTACTTGTTAGAATTACTTTCAACTACCCCGTTAAGATCAGGCACCCACCTCTGGATCTGCCGCTTTTCAGAGATCAAACAACTTGATATCGCCGGCAGGTCGGCGTCCATGAGATCAATCACTGCGTCCAGGTCGCTCGCCTTGCAGCACAGGTACGTCTCGCCCACCTCGTCCTTGCCTTTGCGCCCGGCCCGGCCACGCATTTGTCGGCTAGCCAAACAGTCGATTAGCCTTCTCCAAACAGTATTAATGATCTAGGTGAACATACAGCATAGCAGGCCCGACCAAATCCCGGCCCATGCGCGCGCCGTTGAGAATCACCCGTCGCGCGGGTACTAGACAGTCAGCCTCGTATCTACCTCTCTCAGGGGGAAGATCTTAAACCTACAGTTGATGCCCGCAGCCAGCGAGCACGTCGCCACACAGACCTTGAGTACACCCTGGTCGTACGCATTGGCGATCAACTCGCGTTCCTCTGTCGTCAGTCCGGCCTGGGCAGTCAGTATCACCCTGTGACCAGCACAGCTGGGTATCCAGGAGAACCTACATCTACACCAAGTTAGCTCCCCCCTAAATCAAAACAATAAACAAAGACAGTGAGTAAAAGAAAACCCACGATGAAACCCCACCCCCGCCAGCACCGTCACCCCCAATCTCGGATCCAACCCCGTCGCAACAAGACTCCTCAACTCCCCCAACAAATCCAACCTCCTCTCCCTCGTCTCCTCCTCCAGCTCCGCCCAAGCAGGCAGCACCCGGCTGATCAACAGCGCGTCGGCCTCACACCCGGCCCGGCTGCTCGAAAACACTAGCACGCCGTACCCGGCGCGGACGGTCTCGTTGGCGAGGGCTACGACGGCGTTGCGGAGGGGGTCGTGGAGTTCGGGGTGCGGGGAGGGGTGGATCGTGCGGAGGGGGGATGGGGGTGTTTGGGGCGATGGTGCTAGTTGGGAGGATGGTGGGGGGGCGGTTGTGGAGAGGCTGGTGGTTTGGTGGGCGGCGTAGATCTTGTTGTCGCAGACGAGGTGTTCTTGGATGGGGACGGGGCGGTAGTGGGTTTCGTAGGAGTGGCCTTGGAGCCATTGCCGGAGGAGGTCGATGTTCTAGTCGGTTAGCATGTTCTGTTTGCATGAAAAAAAAAGAGGAAAAACGAAAGAAAAGAAAAAGAAAAAGAAAAAGAAAAAGAAAAAAAAAAGAAAAAAAAAGAAAAAAAAATAGGGGTACACACCTTCAGCGTGGCACTCATGCCCACAATCTGAACCGGCTGCTCAAGACACAACAGCTTGGTCGCCAACAGCTCCAGTAGATACCCCCGATGCCCGTCATCAATCATATGGCACTCGTCCAAAACGACCGACCGCAGTTGCGAGATCGAACAGTCCGCAATGGCCGTGTTGATGAGCGAGTTTGCCTATACTGTCTGTCAGCCTTCTTCCTTCACCCTGATCACCACCTCACCACCTCTCTGTTATCAAGTATACTAGGAGTAAACATACCTTCTCAATAGTACAAACAGCAATATCAAAATCCGCCCACGTCGCACGCACCTTACTCCCCCCAAAAAACCCCACCACCCTCACCACATCTCGATCCGCCCTCGCTGCCCACGGCCCTAGTTCCCCCCTTTTATTACTCTCCCCATCCTCCCCAGAATCTCCATCCTGCCCATCCCCATTCTTCACAACCCCCTCAACAACCCTCCTCAGCCACCCCACCTTCTCCTGCACCAAAGCCACATACGGCAAAACCAACACCGCCTTCCCCCCTTCTTTCCCCCCTTCCATACCCCCTCCCCCTTCTGTGCCGTTCCCCAAAACCCTCTTCAACATCAAAATATCCGCCACAAGCGACTTCCCACCCCCCGTCGGCGCACTATACACCAAATTCGTCTCGCCCGCTAGTAACCCCGGGCCATGGAGGAGACATTGTTTCTGCCAGGGGTAGATGGAGCGGATGCCGAGGTTGGCTAGGTTGGTGGTGAGTTTGCGGGGGAGGGCGTAGATGGGGTGGGTGAGGGTTAGGAGGGGGTCTTGGATGGGCGTGGGGGTGGAGGGGTGGGTGTGGCGTTGGGTGTATTCTGTTGGGTGAAGAGTTGTGGTGAGGGGGTTGGTGGAAGGGGTGGAAGAGGTGGTGATGCGGCTGGCGGTGATGCGGCTGGCGGTGAGGGGTGGGGGGTCGTTGGGGTTGGTGGTGAAGGTTCGGGTTGTTGGTTTGGTGAAGCCGGGGCGGAAATGGGAGGGTAGTGGTGGTTGGGGGGGAGGTCGTGAGGGTTGTTGTTGTTGTTGTTGTTGTTGTTGTGGTTGTTGTCCGTTTTGGGACGTATCGTCGTATGCCCGCTTTTGACCGGCGATGGTGGTAGTAGAGTAGATCTGGTGAGACTGCTTAGCCGTTTGGAGCGATGTGGTGTGCCAAACGCCGAGCTTGGCTTTGTCTGTCATGATGTCCTTTTTGAGTTTATTTACCCAGAATGATCGTGGTGTTGTTGTTGATCAACCTAAACTCCGTCGGGTTTATATCAAAATCGGGCCCGTTGTGTTGCCAAGCAAACCCACCAAACAAAAGCTCAAAAAAGGGCGTGCAACCCAAAAGAACAGCAAAAAAGTTTGGGGTTATGCCGTGATTTTCTTCCGTCCCAAGCGGAAGGATCCAATCAATTCACCCAACCCAAAACGCTGCCCATTGTTGCTGTTTTGCTCTACTCCGCAACGCAGTGAAGTGCTGCGTTGTTCAACGCCTAGCTGCCTTCTCAATCGGGACGTCGCTACGTCGCGTCCAGCCCGCAACAGGTAAGCATTCAAATTCCCGGCCGTTTGGGAAAAAAGGCAACAAGGGTCACAAACACAGAAAAAGCCAAGCCAAGAAAAATCGATGGTTCCCGTCCCGGCCGGGTGCCCGTACACTACAAGGGCCCCACTCAAAAAACAAAAGAAGGTCCCTGGAGACTTCAGTCAGCCTCTCATTTCCGAGGTATTTGGCTCAGTGTCGCCCCGCTTTTCTTGTACCCAGCACTTCCACGTTCTCGCCGGTCTGTTTCTTGTCTTGTCTGGGCACCTCTGTCTTGTCCGCTTGCCTGCCGAGCCTGCCTGGTGCCTGGCTGGCTTCGGCCAACCTGGAACTGTTGGCTGTCACTGTCAGAAATGGACGACCGACTCCGCGACCTGAAGCTTCTTTCGAGCGCCTTGCACTCGAGTTATTGTCTGCTGACCCCCCTCTCCCATCCAGCCCAGCCCCATCCGATTTGACCGGTGAAAAGCGCGCGTATTTCAGCCTCGGGGGCAAATTAAGCGCTGATTTACCTTCCGACTCACGTTACGAAGTTACGACAGAAGAAGTCTCGTCTCAGCAGCGATGCAGAGCAGTGGCGGCTGCCAGACCTCAGACCCAAGCTCCAGTGGGGCCTGGGGGATCAAAAGCCAGCCAGTCGATCTGAAACACAGCGGACGGGATGCCGTTGATCGCCCGCTGGGGAGCTTGAGGGGGGGATCTTGAGGGGGGGAGAGTGGCGAGGAAATTGAATTGCATATCCGGCAGCTTCGAGGCTATTGAGGCTTCATCATCAAACACGTTCCAGACCAGACTTGACGAACTACAGGTAGCCCTCCACGGATATGCCTCCCAGCTCCTTCTAGCCCCGCGTCCAAACCCCCCCAAAGTGCGATGTGGGTGAGTGAGGCGCTTGACAAGAACACAGCCGAGAAAGCGTCCCTGACCTGATGTGCGACTTGCCTTGCTTGCAGGACAAGTCCCTGCAGCTGCTCCACCTGGCATGTCCGGCCCCAGCCGGCCCGGGCACTTGTCAAAGTTACCACGGGCGGGCTCCCTCAAAACGGCGGACGAACCCCCGAGGATATTTCGTAACTTTACTTATTTCATCCATTTACATAGGAAGACGATACCCGCCCATTATTTTTGTGAGAGCGATCTTTTTCTCATGAGAAGGATATATGCGCATCTCTTTTACCTTACACGATGTAGTCCTCTACCCCCTGCTCGGTTCAGCTCTCGCCCGTTGATGACGAGTAACGGTCGGATGTAAGATACAGACCATACAAACAAGCATTCCGACGAAATATCCCCCCCCAGGCGCCAGCCAATTTTAACCCACCTCTGTCTGCTGCCAATAAGAACCTCAACTTACTCCGCTCCTTTTGTTTCCTCGCAGTGCGACCCCCCAACAACTTTGAGAGTTTGCACATGGGGTTAGTTTACACTATTTCGGCGGGAATCTCGTGAGGCCAAAATGTCATTTACGGGTACGAATCCTCTCCACCCATCGAAATGGTGCACTAGAAAGTCCCCCAGGCTCCGCTTCCCATGCTGCCCGTTTCGTTTGCACGTCCCATGACGAAATGCGGTCGGTCGGTCACTGTGCCTGGGTGAGCTCCAGCGAGCTGGGGGGTCTGCGGCCGTACCGAGTCGTCGTTCAAAAAGGAGAGGGGGGCCTTTCTTTGCCTGTGGTGTTTCGTCTCGGCCATACCAGACATTGGATTTCACTTTGCCTCTTCCACTCGGCTTTCCGATCCAACAAAAATGTCCGCCCCGTGTTCCGGCGCAACCGGAGTTATCAAGCGTGTGGCGAAAGAGCGAAAATACTCGGTGGTAGGTACCTTGGCCTGTAGAGAGAGGGGGGAGAGCGCATTGAAGGCGTCGCTCAACCGCCGCCCGCTCCGGCCGCAGTCGCCCGGTTACATCCATCTAGGCGCAAACGTGTTCCGTGCATGCCGAAACGGCACACAACAGCCAGCGTCGCTTTTTTCATCCCGCGCGGCCTAGCCGCTCATTCACGAGGTGAACGGAGGCTATTTTTGTTTCCTCCCTTCCTCCTGTTACAAAACGGTGAGTGCTGCCCTCCACATCGTGAGGATCGAAAAGTTGGGGGTTTCATTTACCATGGCGTCTGAACCCTTCCTAGCGAGTTCGAGAATACCCTCAATGTCAGATTTTTTCGGCGACGCAAACCCTTCATGATGCCGTCACTATCGTAGGCATGAGACGTGAGATACCGAGCCTCCGAACATCTTTCGATCATGCCATGACCCTACCTCCTTACCCTGAGAACAGATGCCATTAGCAAGTGGGGATGAGGTCTGTTAGGCCCGTACAGTGCGAGAGAACTCATATCGCACCGTGATTTATCGAGAGATGCCAGGCCGCCTTTTCCTCGCCGGGGGCCCTGCCGTTTTGCTCACGTCATTGGCTCGGGACGTCCTCATCCAACTGCACCTCAAGGCTTCAGGAAAGAGGATGCGAGTTAAAACACACTACCCCTCGCCCCAATTCCGTCGCCGCCATCACGCAGCAGGACATGCTCTCGCTCCCTACGATGTGGCAGAAAATGACACGGACTGTGTACATCACGGGAAACCACTCATCTTTCACGGAACCAGGTCGTCTACCGTTGACGTCGCCGGTCTTCTGCGAACTGACCACATGATGGGAAAGCCTTGCTCGTCTAGGGGGGAAATGATCGAGAAGCAAATGTTGGCCGGGGGTTTGTCGGAAGTTTTGTGTTCCCGCCGCATCGAAGGGTCTTTAACGGACATCGGGACATAGGAGTTAACGTTCTTGCACTCGTGCCGCTCTCGCTATTCCAGCGCGATGAACGACTCATGTTGGGGGTTGCTACTTTGGGCCAAAATGTTGTCGCGACCGGCCCCCCGTAGGAGGGGATGATTATTACAATCAATCCCGGAATTGTCACAACCACGAGGAAGTTGTGGTTGATGCCATTTCCTTTCGTCAACCCCAGACAGCCGACTCCCCATGTTCTGGGACAGTCGCCGGGGTGTTGTCCGCCATTTTCCCCCTTGGGGGGTCACAGACCCGGGCAATGTGGGTTGTGCCAAGCCGTCGGCGACAATGTCCAACCCAGCCGCTCTCGACGCGCCTGCCGATCCCAAGGGTGCCAATTATTCGATTTTGCAAAGGTGACAAGCGCTGCGAGAAGCTTGTCATGAGAGAGGACGCGGTTTGTTGGCCTCCCCTGAGTGCGGTTTGTGGTTGGCGCCTCCAGCCCTACCGACCTCAACGGCGAGAATCCTAGAGGAGGTGAGGTAAGATGTCGATGTCGGCCGGGAGGGTGTGTGTGGGGCAAGGGGGGCCGCGGCGGTGCCACGATGCGTCGTGCGGGCTTCGGCAAACTCCCACGTCCTGGGGCTGGCCAACTTTCCTTGCTTGGTGCAGAAATCGGAGCACCAGCAGCGCCTTTCTCGTCCCATCATTTATTCATCGTTTCGCATGGGAACCTAGTAGGGCACAGTGCGGCAGCGACATGGGATGCCCTGAGGCGCCGGGGCTGGGTTATTGATGGGTACCGTTCAACCGGCGCAGTCGATGGCCGTTGACCGTTGGCCCTTGACCGCTTGCACCGGCCGGGCATACTGTGGGAGACAAAGGAACTGTCGTTTCGACCGACAGGAGTCAGCTGCACCGAATGCATCGGTCAAGGCTTAGATGGGGAGGGGAAAGGACATGAAAAAAAGACGACTTTCTTTGCCGAACCAAACGGGTCTTGACGCATGTTGTGGGTGCGCGAGCACGGGATGCCGGGGACAATCCCTGTTTGAGCAGCGTGGAACCTTACCCTGTTGGAGATCGCTGGGCGACGGCGTTCCTCGACCGCGAAGATTCTGATGGTCGGCTGCCGGCGTGAATTGAATTGATGGAGGGAATCATTTTCAAGCTTGAGCTGGCCGATGAAAGAAAGGAGTATCGCGGTGCCTTTTTTTCACTTTTGCTCACATTGGGGAATCCAGGCCAGGGCCGTGCTGGGAGTTGCGGAGATACCGAAAGGGAGCTTGCGAATAGAATCATCATCTTCTGCACCTTGTCAGACGTGAGATATCGGGCGAATATATCGCTCAGGCGACCACGAAAATGGCCCCTCAAAGCCCATGCGTCGTTGTCGACCCATACCATTTAGGAGCTCGACTAGAGGAGGAGAAAACACACTTTTGCTGTTCAATAAGTCGGCTGGTTTTGTATGCTAGGTATTTTGGTAGTTGCACGTTTCTCTCCACATTGCACGGCTCCTTCCCCACACCCATGCCCTTTCGTGCTTCCCGCTCCTTCCCTGAGAACTGCTCTTGCCATAGCGTCGGATGCCTGGGAAGTTTTTTCTTCATTATCGACAAGGTATTTCACGTGTCGCGTTTCACACTTTACCCACCACGCGCCGTCACGACCGACTGCAGGTGGGTTCCTGATATCTATTAAACATGGAGTATTAAACATGGGGATTGATAGACGACGACGGGGAGAGCTGTGATGGTGCATAGTATTGGACGAGCCTTGAGGCTAGCGTCGCGTGAGTGTTGTGCCTGCTAGCAAAAGACACTTGAGCAACAGCGGTGGCAGCGTTTGTGGCTCGGGTGGTTCGCCGACGTTGAAATGGATCTGGGCGATGCGGGAATGCAAATCCCTGCAGTCCGTGGTATCGACGCAGTCCTTCCACTCACATGGCCCCACAGTGCAAGCAACGGCCCACTCGCCCGGAGCGTGCTGTGCTTCGAACCCAGGCTGGATGGAAATGGAAGCATGGGGTCGCCCCCCGGCACACATCCGCAATTCCAAAAGGCGCCGCCTCGTCTTGTGCGCGACAGCCAAAGCAGCCCAGAGAGAGAGGGAAAAGGCCATGGCTAGGCTGGGCGGGCTGAGTGACCCGAAAGAGGAAGATGGAGGACGTGGACGGTAGGTACCGCAACGCGAGATGTACCTCTTTCTTTTTGACTATTTTCCCGTGCTGCTGCCAGGACCTGGCACCAAACCTTAACTTTGCCTTCCTGGCTCATTTTACGTTTTCTTCGCTGGTCCCATTAACGATTTCCCCTTGGCCTTCCATTTCAGCCCGCATATCTCGGGATCTCGCTGGTGCTGCGAGTCTCCAATGCCCTAGTCCACCCATCCTCTTCTATCCATCCACCTTCGCTCGGCCAAATCTCTTTCTTTCTCTCTCTTACCACTCACACACACTTACCTGCACCCCTTACCCACGCTGGTGTTTGTCGGTCTTCATCCGTCACATCCCGACTTTTGGCCCTTGCCATCTCTCACATCCGGGCCGCGCGCTTCTCGTACCGTTTCACTCATCCGGTACACCCATCCACCTTCTAGCCCTTGGACTTCCATCCATCGGTCTTGGTCCCCATCTCTCCCTCGCGCGCGCGCCCACCCCCCCAGATTTTATATCCTTCCCCCATCTTCCGCGCACCCACTTCGTCTGCGGATTCCTCCCCGGAACTTTTCTACTTCCCACAACCAACATCGCCTCGCCTCGCCTTCTCGCCTTCCACCCCCTACAGACCCAAGGCGATTCTCTTCCGTCTTCCATTCCTTGCGGTCTCATCGGCAACACGATATTACCTGGAACCGAACCTGGAGATACGGAGCGAGGTCGCTTCCCTTTTTGCACGGGGCATCGGGACCCGCTAACGGTTTCGTCTTATGGACCATCATCGCCTGGCCCACTCGCGTCACATCCTCTTTCGTGACTTCTGTGCCCCCATGCGATCTGGCGTCGCCATTCTCTCCGTCCCCCAAACTCTTTCCATCAACGCGGCCCCGGACTGCGCTGTGACGACGGCCATCCATCCCCCCTTCTGCTGACCAGCAGCGGACCACGTCACGCACATCCTGGCATCGGGCACGCTTTTCTTTCTTCACCCTTTTTCTTTTCTTTTCTTTTCCCTCCCCCCCGCCGCCCCCCCTTTGCCTTTTTTCCTCTCACGCCTGGCCCGCTATGGCCCAGAAATCCCAAGGCGTGAATAGCCAGGCCGAGGAGCAACAGGCAAACCCGGGCAGTCGCACCTCGTCTGCCAAGGACGGTGCAGGGTCACCAAGTTCGGCCAAACAGCAGTCGAATAATTCGGGTGCCGTGCCGTCCTCTAATCTGCCACGCACATCTGATCCGCCAGACACAACATCCAATTCCGATTCTCCCCAACACCCACAGCCGCCCGCCATGGAAAAGGTGCTGGCCGCTGGCTCACAGCCATCACCTTATGGCACGCGGTCGCGGAATCGCACCGGCGCAGCGCGCCCAAATTACGCCGAGGACAAGGATCTCGACTTGGATCTATACGATTCGTATTCACAGCAGCACAAGGACGACGACTCCAAGAAAGCAAGCACCAAACCGCAGCAAGCACAACAGCCTCAAGAGCAGGACGCATCATCCACATCGGCACCTGCCAATTCCACCACTTCATCCTCACAGCTTGCTTCACGCTCTGGTAATGGAACATCGAGACGGCCACTCCCCGATGACAGCAAGCCCCAGAACGGTGTGAAGATTCAACTGCAATCTCAAAACGCCAACCAGCCATCCTCAACGGCATCGGCATCGGCTTCAGCTTCAGCATCGGCGTCGGCCACCAACGGGCAGAGCGTGGCAAACGGTGCTTCAAAGAGCAAGAAGCGCAAGGTCGCTGACACCGCTTCGACGGCCAGCGGCAGCCAGACCCCAGCGGGATCAAATGGCGCGTCTTTGTCGTCGGCGCTGCAGAAGCGACTTGGAGTGAATGGCGGTGCTGGCAACGGCAGCAGCGGGCAGGCTAGCGGGGATGTTACGCCCAGCAGTGCCGGGTATGGCGAGACGAACCTGCTCACTTTTGAAGGCACCAAGTCTCGCACAAAAGACGGCAAAATGACTGCCGACGATGGCACAGTACTGGAGGTGAATGGTAAGTATCGATATGTTTGACTCTTATTTGTTTCCTTTCTCTTTTGGTGTTTGTTCATTTCTTGCGTTGCCGGCCCGGTTTTTCACGACTCCGAGATTTCTGACGCGCGACGCAGATCACGTCTACCTGGTGTGCGAGCCGCCCGGAGAGCCGTATTACCTCGGCCGCATCATGGAGTTCTTGCACGTCAAAAATGACCCGACGCTGCCCATCGATGCGCTGCGCATCAATTGGTACTACCGGCCAAAGGACATTGGGCGCAAAGTCCAGGACACACGTCTCGTGTTCGCCACGATGCACTCGGACATCAGCCCGCTCACGTCGCTGCGCGGCAAGTGCCAGATCCGCCACAAAGCCGAGATTCAGGACATGACAACCTACAAGCGCACACCGGATTGTTTCTGGTACGAGAAGCTGTATGACCGCTACATCCAAAAGAACTACGAGGTGATTCCCACGCGCCAGGTTATCAACGTACCCGCGCACGTCAAGAAGGTGCTTGACGAGCGGTGGAAATTCGTCCTCACCGAGCAGGGCCGGGGCAAGGAACTGACCAGCGCGGTCAAAACGTGCAAGCGATGCACAACCTTCTGTGCCAAGTAAGTGGCTGATCGGCTTACCCAAATCACCTTAACAGCCTTCTCCTCCTCTCCCTCTCCCCTACTCAAACTGTTGTTCGCCGGACTGTGAGTGAGAGCGCTCGGTGCAGTGCAGTGCAAGTGCAGTGCGGTACCAGTACAGTACTGCTGCAACAAGTGCTGCGGTGCAGTGGTGTGTCGCATTCAACCCAACCAGGCGGGCGGCCCAGCCAACCTACCAACCAAAACCGGCCGAGCGCTGTGATTTGGCGGGGTGGCGCGGGACCCAATGAGCAAGCAGTTCAAGCTCGTCGAACCGTCCGGGGGGTTGGGCTGCCTGCGGGTGCGGTGCGCTGCGCGGGAAAGAGCGAAGCGAATGAAGCAGGGGCGTGGAAGACCAAAGAATGACCATGAGTGGGCGCCGGGGGCGGGCGCGGGAGAGGGCGAGGCTCCACAACAGAGTGGAGACCTAAGAAAGTGGGGTCTTCAGGACAATTGCTGACACATCCTGCTCTTCCACAGCAATGATTCGGTCGACTGTGCCGTCTGTCAAAACACGTACCACATGAACTGCGTCAAGCCACCCTTGCTGAAAAAGCCTAGCCGTGGCTTTGCCTGGTCGTGCGCCGCATGCAGCCGCGCTCAGGAACGCAAACTCGAGGCGCGCCACACGCCCCACATTTCTGCCGCCGGTTCACATCATCACCACGGCCACCACCATGGGCACCACCACGATGGTGAGGACGATGAGGGGGTCGACGATGAGGACGAGGAGATGGGCGGGATGGACGTGGGGCCCGAGGGCGACGCTGGAGATGGCGGCGACGGCGTCAACACAGGGCGCACCAGCCGAACGAGCCCGGCCGAGGAGAACCCGCATCCGCCACCGACGGCCGAACAAATCTATCACGCCAGTCTGTGGCCCTACCGGTACTTTGGCATGCACTGCAAGGTGGAAGACGCCCTGGACCTGGACGACCGCATCTTCCCCCGCGCGAGCACCCGCCTCGGCCTACGCCATCAGGCCATCGTGGGCCCCTGGTTTGGCCAGCCCGTGGAATACGTCAAGCCGTTGGAGTTCAAGAAGTCGGGAAAGAACGGCAACAAGCTCACCAAGGACCAGCAGGCGGCCCTCGAGGCGGAGCGCATCGAGAAAGAGAAGCGCCCCAAGTGGGTCCAGGACGAACCGCCCGGATACATTGAGCGTGGCGGGGACGATACCGCGGAGGTGCTCTACAAGCCGCCCGAGGACAGCGGGGTAAGCATGTCGAGCGAGGCGGTCGACGACTACATGAACACGGCCCGGGACATGGACACTGTGCTCGGGCTACCGGAGCACTCGACCAACCTGCAGGATGTGGCCTGCCATGCGCTCTACCGCAACGGATTCGACCCTAGCAAGGCGCTGAAGGAGCTGGCTAAGACGCCCAAGGCAGACTTCGACGAGCCCGACTTGACACCCGTAGAGCAGAAGAAATTCGAAGAAGCCATCGCCAAGTACGGTTCCGAACTGCACAGCGTCAAGAAGCACGTTAAGACCCTGCGATACTCGACCGTCACGCGGTACTACTACACCTGGAAGAAGACGGAGAGGGGGAAACTGATCTGGGGCAACTTCTCGGGTCGCAAGGGCAAGAAGGACGCCAAGAAGGCCGAGGCGGCCGCGAACAAGCTGGCGGACGATGTGGCAGACGTACACGACGACTCAGCCTTTGACGCGGATAAGGCCCGCGAAAAGAAGAAGAGCTTCCTGTGCAAGTTCTGCGGCACCAAACGGTCTCGCAGATGGCGAAGAGCGCCCGCTGCGGCTGTGACGCCTGTGACGGAGAGCGGTGGCGGCGGTAACACCAACAGCAAGAACGCCAAGGACAAAAAGGAGCAGTACATCCAGGCGCTCTGCCGGCGGTGCGCGGAGCTGTGGCGTCGGTATGCGATCCAGTGGGAGGACGTGGACGAGCTGGCGAAGAAGGTCGCGCAGACGGGCGGGCGTGGCTGGAAGCGCAGGGTCGATGAGGACCTGCACAGGGAGCTCATCGCGGCCGACGAGCTGGCTAATAGCAGCCGCTACCCATCGCCCGACGACCCCTCGACTGGCAGCCCGGCGCCATCTCTGAACGGCCAGGGGGCCGCTTCCGGTGCTGCAGGCACTGGGACAGAGCCCCCGCGGAAGAAACTCAAGAGCGGGCTATTCGACAAGGACGTGGAGAGGACGCCGTCGGAGACGGGCAGCGTTGTTGGCGGGCCGACCGCGAAGAAGAAGACGCAGGCTGCTGCTGCTGCACCGCCCGCGCCCGAGATGCCGAAGCCCAAGACGCTGCCGTGTGCGGTCTGTGGAGAGCTGGAACCGCTGGGCGATGCGCATCTGTCGTGTCGAGAGTGTCGGATGGCTGTGCACAGGCATTGTTATGGGGTTGTGGATGTCCGGAGCCAGGGCAAGTGGACTTGCGACATGTGTTTGAATGATAAGAATCCGCAGTTGTCGATTGTGAGTTTTTTTCTTCTTTTCCCGTCTATGACACCGGACTAACTTGAGCCAGCACTACAAATGCGTCCTGTGCCCGGTCGAGGCCACGTTCCACGACTTTGTCGACCACCCCAAGGTCTCGAGCTCGCACAAGAAGAAGACGGAAAAGGAGCGCGAGCGCGAGAGGGTGGAACGAGAGGCGGCCCAGAAAGCAGCCGACTACTACCGCAAAAGGCAGGAAGATACGAACCGCCCCGTCAACCCGCGCGAGCCCCTGAAGCGCACAGCTGACAACAACTGGGTGCACGTGACCTGCGCCGTGTTCACGCGCGAGATCAAGTTCGGCAAGGCCGGAGCCCTGGCCCCCAGCGAGGGCATCCCCCTGATTCCGCGGACCAAGTACGCCGAGACGTGCAAGGTGTGCAAGCGGAACGATGTCGGGGCGTGTGTCGAGTGCCGCCACTGCCACAACCCAGTCCACGTGGAGTGTGCTCGCCAGGCTGGTTATGTTCTCGGATTTGATGTCACGCCTGTCAAGGGTTCGCGACGGGACCAGTCGCATATCGTCACTATCAATGGGGAGACCGGAGCCATGTCGGCGGGTGTCTGGTGCAAGGAGCATGTGCCGGCCAAGGTGGCTGTCCATGCGATGAGCGAACCCGTGAAGGAGACCGGGGGCAATGCACTGCAGCTCTACGTGGAGAGCTGCAAGAAAGCCGACCTAACCCTGACAGGGTGCGCGAGGAAGGCGAACCAAATCACCGTCGCGTCCAAGATGTCGATTGTGTCACCGTCCTCGGCTGCGAGCCACAACCATCACCAGAGCACCAGCAACAACCGGCGCGTGTCGATTGCGGCGATGGTCAATGGTAGTAGCAGTGGTAGTGACCACGAGGATACGCCAAGTGTGCTGCAGCCTGGCGGCAAGATCTGTCTGACTTGTGGGGTGGATGTTAGTCCGAAATGGTACGCAATCGACCAGGCGCAGGAGCGGGAGCTCACGAATGGGTACTACGGGAACATTGGATCGGAAGCGCAGAAGTTTGTCGAGCAGCGCAGCTTCCAGTGCCACAAGTGCAAGAGGGCCGGTCGACAACCCTCGCTTCACGCGCAGCAACCTCCAAGAGAGCCGACACCTCCGCCCGAGCCGGTCCGACAGGCTACACAGGCCGCCGCTGCGGTGCTTCCCCCGAGACTCGAGGACACGAGACTGCCCAGCAGAGGGCCGTACGGTTGGCCACCCGCTCCTGGGCCCCCGGGCCCGCCGCCGCAGCATACGCAGGCCCCGTTGCTACAAGCGCCCGCTCCGGGTCCGATCACGCTTCCGATCGGTCCTCCTCCTGTGCAGCCGCCCCAGGCAGTGACCCAACCTTCACTTCCACCGACCATCGCCCCTCGAGCTCCGCCGGTCCAGCCTCCGCAGGCGTACGCACCCCCCCAGCGGTCCTACGACCCGTACGACTGGCACCGGCCCTCGGCCAACCACGGGCCGCCCCAGCTGCACCCGGGCCGCGAGGTCAACGGACGCCCTTCTCCGCCTCCGTCATCGTCGATGCCCCCTCTGGCACCACCGAACCACCTTCGCCCACCCCCGATCATTCCCCATCCGTCCGCTGCTCAGTCACCCCCGCACAGCCACATGGCCCAGCCGCCCCCGTATGTAAACGGCATACAACACCCGACCTCCCCACGGCGTATCAGCGGCGGACCCCCTCCTCCACCGGGACCGCCCAGCAACCCCAACAACGGACCTCCCCCGCCGGGACCATACCATCCCCACCACGGCGGCCCGCCCCCTGGTCCCCCGCCCGACCTCCGCCCGCATCACATGGCACCCATGAACAGCATGCCGCCCGTCATGGCCCACCCCGCGGCCTCCGGTCCCGAGCCGCCAAACTACCTACGCCAATGGGGAGGCGGCGGTCACCACCACCCACACGGTCCCCCACCTCCACCACCACCGCCCTCAGGCCATCACCACGGAAGCCCGCCCCAGCCGCCTCATTCGTCTCTGTTACGCGACGGACCGCCGCCGTTGCGTGACGAGCCGCATGCACATGCGCATGCGCATTCACATCATCATAGCCCGCACTTGGCACATTCCCAGCAGCATCAGCAGCATCAGCCGCAGCAGCAGCCGGGTCATGGTCAGGGACAACCGGGACAAGGACAGGGACAGGGACAGCAACAGCCTAGACAGGCGAGTGGAGCGAGCGCGAGCCCGTCGTTGAGGAATCTGCTTTCTTAGGAAGGGGGTGGAGACTATTATCCTCCTTCGGCGCCGTGGATGGTGGGGAGACGGAGGGGGTGGGGTGGGGGGTTTTAGGTCATGGTATGGCTAGCTGGGAGTCACTCGAGGAAGACGTCTTGAGGAAGACGCTTCGAGGAAGGAGAACGAGGAAGAAAGGGAAAGAGAAAGATGGAGAGAGACAACAGAAAAGGAGGGTGTATGTGTGTGAGATTATTCAGCCTTGCGTTTTGCGTTTGAGTTTGAGAGAAAGGAGAAGGAGTTCAAGCCGGGGTTTTGTGTTTTGTTTTGTGTCTGGTGGAGTTTGAGCTTGAGCTTGGACTTGGACTTGGACTTGTGTATCAGGTGAAATGGATAGGGATAGGGGATATGGTGAGAAAGCGAGGAGGGGGTTGCATGGTATGGATGGTATGGTGTGGATGGGATGGGCCAGCACAGCACAGCATGGGAAATCGGACGGGGTGAGAGAGAGTGAGAAAGGGAGAGAGAAAGAGAGAGAAGTACCGGTGCGTACCGGCTTGTAGTTGTACAGTAAACCTTGTGTATCTGTAACGCTTCTCTTCTGTGTGCCTTATTTCTGACTGTGCTTTTTTGTATCTGTGCCATTCTGTTGTTGTCTTGTCTTGCGTGCGTAGGAGCATAGGAAGGGGAACAAGTAGCAGGCAGGTAGTTAAGAAGCTTCAGGACCACCAGATTGTGTAGTGTATTTATAGTTGTGCGGGAGAATGATATGTTTCTTCAATTTGATTTGTTATCTGTGCTAGGTTTTAACGTGCTCGGCTCTGCTGATACTATAATATATGTGATGTGGTAAGTGAGTATTTATCCTCTGTAGTTATTCTACCTGTTCAACAAAAGTTAGTTACATCCAGGTTCTCAATTTTTTCTCGAGATCTTATTCGAACTCTCGACCTTTCTCGCGAAACTAACTTCAGGCAACAGCTCAGAATTAGTTGGGTGGCGAGCTTGAGAGAAGGTTGGAGAGAAATGCCGTCGAATTGAGCTAGTGCCCGCTAAGGCATTCCGTTTTCGGTATCATCCGGTATCCATTTGGAATCAATATCGGGCTTGAACTACTATGTATTTCTGAGGCGAAATTGAAGGTGACAGGAGTCATGCATCGTATTGCTGTCATTTTCTCCCCTTTGCGTGGGAGGTCGGAGCAGGCAGACCGGCTGTATCCATAGTGGCATCCATGTGATTAATCTGATGCCATAGAGCTGGTCGTCTCGGATATGCACCTCCATTCAAAACAGATAACAGCCGTGGCGATATCAAGAACCACACACACTTATTTGAACGAGTCTTGCAAGTCCTAAAGTACAGACGGTCCGCGGGGATGTTTCATGTCAACTGAACATTCCTTGCTTCGTCCGAGAGTAGGACCAATGACTCGAGTGGACGTCAACTGGCCACGGCTTCTCTGCATGCGTGTGATTCTTTAGGCTGGCTGGCATGCGTCCATGCATCGCTTGCGTATGAATTCGCTAGCCAACCCAAGAGGCGATAACGAGCGAACGAGCCGGAATGTCGCTGCGCTCAAAACGATCTCACAAAGACCGCAAACGACAACAAAAAGAGGTTGATTTGAGAACGGAAGTCGCTTCACAAGCTTTCCGTCTAATTTTAGGGCCGTCAGTGGGCTGGACCCTGGCTTGCCCGGCGGTCGTAACTGAAACGACCCCACTAACAGTGCAGCCACGCCTGTGGGGGCGTTTCCCGAAGCAGGCCGGCCCCGGTGTAGGTTGAAGATTTCCATGTGCCTCTGCCTTGCTTGTCATAGAAGGCTGAGATATGAAGGTACATGGATACTGCACGGATAGAAGCGCACGGACAAGGTAACGCACTAATTCGGCAAGCCACACTCCAGAGTCTTCGATGGATTTCCATCGGGAGGGGCTGAATGGCCCAGCGCAGGGAAGGCGGCGACTCGATTGGAAACCCAAGAATTTCAGCCTCCCTCTGCAGCGCTGCACTTTTATAAGCACCGCATTCTTTTGGTCGTCACAGAGCCAACACCCTTGTTGGACAATCGTCCTTTTTTTGAGAACTAGAGTACAATAGGTTCGATCTCCAGCCTGGTTATCGCAGAAGCGCATCTGACGGCTACAAGACAAGAAATCTCACCCCTCGTGATTCCTCGGTGAGTCCGCTCTTTCCTCCTTTGCCCGTCCGTCTGCCTGCGCTTCTTTTTCCACGGACCCTCGGCAGCATCCCCAACTTTCTGCTGCGCCAACGCAACACCTTCCAACCCCCGGTCAGATCTTGAGACTTCCACACGTTTCCCCGCCAAAGGCTTTCCGGAATCCTTCTTTCACATCCCCGGAACAACTTTGTTCGTCTTCCGTGTGACTTCTGGAATCCGAGTCGCTGACGTTCGATCTCAAAAGACCACAAAGGTTTCGATCTCTTCGGTCTTAAACCGATATCCTACTGCCGATTCTCTCGATTCCGTCAGACCCTACCGATCTCGGTAGGCAGCCTTGCGAATCGCTCCGAAACACCGCAATCACTCCCACCTTCGATTCTTTCGAGTAGTCCGACAAGATGGTCAAGGACACCAAATTCTACGATATTCTTGGCGTATGTCGGCTCCAGTCGGGATGATAAAGAAATTGATCGTAGTGGCTAACACTTTTATGATAGGTTTCGCCTAATGCCACAGAGCAGGAGCTCAAGAAGGCGTACAAGACCGGTGCCCTGAAGCACCACCCTGGTATGTCCAGGCCTCTTTGCAAATATTGTTGGTGTGCGCTCTCGTGCTAATCTCCTTTGCGTGCAGACAAGAACCACAACAACCCGGAGGCCGAGCATAAGTTCAAGGAAATTTCCCACGCGTACGAGATCCTGTCCGATTCCCAGAAGCGTCAGATATACGACCAATATGGCGAGGCCGGTCTAGAGGGCGGTGCCGGTGACGGTGGTGGTATGGCCGCTGAGGACCTATTCGCTCAGTTCTTCGGCGGCGGCGGCCTGGGTGGCGGTTTCGGCGGTATGTTCGGCGGCATGAACCACCAGCGTGGCCCCTCCAAGGCCAAGACGATTTACCATGTGCACAACGTTTCCCTCGAGGACATCTACCGCGGCAAGGTTTCCAAGCTGGCCCTTCAGCGCTCCATCATCTGCCCCAAGTGCGAGGGCCGTGGCGGCAAGGAGGGCGCTGTCCGCAAGTGCCAGGGCTGCGATGGCCAGGGTACCAAGACCATGATGCGCCAAATGGGCCCCATGATCCAACGCTTCCAGACAGTGTGCCCGGACTGCAACGGCGAAGGCGAGATTGTGAAGGATAAGGACCGTTGCAAGCAGTGCTTCGCCAAGAAGACCGTGGTTGATCGTAAGGTGCTCCACGTCCACATCGATCGCGGTGTTCGCAGCGGGACCAAGGTCGAGTTCCGTGGTGAGGGTGACCAAGCGCCCGGCATCCTCGCTGGTGATGTTGTTTTCCAGATCGAGCAGAAGCCCCACCCCCGTTTCACCCGACAGGACGACAACCTTATTTACAAGGCTGAGATTGATCTGGTCACCGCGTTGGCTGGTGGTACTATCTACATTGAGCATCTCGATGACCGGTGGTTGAGCGTCGAAATTCTCCCCGGTGAGGCGATTGCGCCCGGTAAGTGACTTTTACCTCATGGCATTGATATCCCCCTCTTCTTGTTATCAAAATTAACACCTCTCCAAGGCACTCTGAAAATGGTCCGCGGCCAAGGCATGCCGTCTCCCCGTCACCACGACTTTGGCAACCTCTACATCCAATTCAACGTCAAATTCCCTGAGAAGGGTTGGACCCAGGATCCCGCCGCCTTCACAGCCCTGCGCAAGTTCCTCCCGACCTCTGAAGTCGTCAACACCGCCCCGGATGAGGCCATGACCGAGCCCGTCGACCTCGAGGATGTCGATAACTCAAGAGGCGGCTTCAGCGGTGCCACAGATGAGGATGAATCCGGCGACCACGAGCACCCCGGCGGTGAGCGCGTCCAGTGCGCAACCCAATAAAAGGGCCATACATGTTATCAAGGAGGCATAGTATCATTCTGTGTTTGCAGAGACTTGTCTGCATCGTTGGATCACGGGATTTCACGGGCAGGCCGGCTGGAATGGATGGATGGGAATGGATGGAACACGCTGGGCATGGTGTCTGGCGTACCAACTAGATGCGAGCATGGCGGGTTTTCCGATTTAATGAGATAACGAGCCAGGAAAGAAGGGAAGGGAAATGAAAGGGAATGAAAGGGAAAGGGGGGGTGACTTGGTGGGGAAAATACCCAGATGATGGGAAAGAGGGACACACCGCATAGTCTCTTTCTCTGGCATGCATGAAATGGGGTCTTCATTTTTGTGTGGTTTTCTTCTTTTTCTTTCCGGCCCCCCTTCTTGAATGTGCTGCTCATGCTTTCTGGGTTCTCTTTCGCTTTTTTTTTCACCTTCACCTTCACCACGACGACCACAAAACATCAACCACCAACCAACAAACCCCTTGGGCAAGGCGGCGTTCTCGAGAGGATAGAGAGGCATTTGGCTTGTTTTTGTTTCTTTTTTCTTCCTATGGCAGCAAAGAGAGTTAGTAGAGTAGAGAAGATTTGTTTTCAAATACTCGGCTCACTTGGCTGGCTGCCTGGGTCCTTTGATTTGACTTTTTCTCCTTTTTCCCTCGACGTGATGCTCTGTGGTGTTTGCTTGTTCTATCTGTCCGACAGCCTTTCTCGTCCAGTTAAATGAATGGAATCGGACCGGATCGGGCCGGGAAAGGGGGATGAGGAAAAGGGGAGGTTTGTGTTCAGAGAAGATAACCTTCTTCAACAGATAGCTGTCGCTTCTATGCTGCTGAATTCTAGGCTGTGAGTTGGTTAGCTCAGTTGTGAATTAGACCGCCTGGTTGTTCCTCGTTTGTATTGGCACTTGGTAAAAGCCGCAGAGCTCCATTGAGATGTGTGAACTAGCTACATGGTGACAGCGATCATGGATCACAATGCCTTCTCTATTTTACAAGTACCTGGCGGTTTCCATCTCTAACTCAATCGAAATCCGACAGTTTACGCAGGGTCTCAGTCGAGAAAAAGATCTTCCCCAGCTCTGTCTCGCTGATGTTCACATCATCTCCGACAGGCATATCCTCGATTGGCTCCCATTTCCAGCGCTCCTCACCGCACCTGCTCATTGTGATCACAGAGGAGTTGGCCATGTCCGATTTCATGCAGAGTGGGACGATGAGGCGGGGCTCTTTCGTGGTGGTCCCCGAGGCGTTGAGAACGTCAATGTCGAGGGGGTAGCCTGGGACGGGAATGGCCTCGCGATAGGCGAGGGTGTTGTCCGGGAGAAGTTCGTAGAAGAAGATAGCGGTGATGCTGCGAGGGGGGTTGTTAGCACATACGCTTAAAGCCACGGGGCCATACGGGCGGGGGCTGAGGAAGGAAGAAAGCGACTTACTTTTCAACCGTAACGAATACCCCAATACCATCATCCCATTCACACGCGAGAATCCGCGTCACGGCAATCTTGGTAAGCTTTTCACTTCCCGGAAACTTCTTGACATGCTCGAACACCGCAGCCTTGCTGAGCAAGCGGCTACCAACCCAATCCCAAACAAACAAATCATCGTCACCGCCACCAGAGATCAACACCTCTTCCCTTCCTCCCGGAGCCACACACAGTCGACTCACAAAATCCTCGTGCCCGAGACAGAACCCTTCGATGATGTGCGCCTGTGGCATGCCCCGCGACACACGAATATGCTCGTCACGATCGGCCGTGATGATGTACTCTCGCGTCTTACATTCCGCAGTCGTCGAAGGAGCAGTGCCCACAGCGATGTAAGTCAGCATGGAGACGTGACCGAGGAGTAAAGTGAGCTCGAACTGCGGACGGTTGAGCTGTTCTTGGAGGGCCCGGCGGCCGAGGGAGATCTTTTGGTTCTCGAGCGCTTTGAGATTGCGCTTGGTGTGCACTGTGAATGCATCTGCCTGTGGGCGGAAGGCGCTGGGATTTGGCGTTGAGGGGGTTTCGCTACGGGAGGGAGGCTGGGTGGTAGTGGGCGTGCCGGTGGCGATGGGATCTGGGGTGGTCTCGGCTGTGGGTGTCGAGGATGGGACCAGGGGAAGGGCGTAGACGTCTCCGAATTTGTCGGCCGCTAGGATAGTGAGGTTGTCGCGGGTGAAAGTGAGAGAACAGGGACGTTTGGGCATGGCTCTGGGAACCATATTTAGTGACACAAATCCAAGTAAATGGGGGTTAGTGTACGTATGGGCCCACCTCTGGCTAAGCAACTTGATGTTTCCACCGCCGCTATGCTCAAATACCCAGACGGTTTTGTCAGAGCCCGTGATGGCTACCAAATGGCGACCATCTCCTGTGGCATACAGCCCCTGAACGAAAGGCCTCTCGTTGGCAGGCACGTCGTACTGGGCGGCCTTCTTGCTTTTATGCTGGCCGTTCTTAGATTCCGTCTGGTGGCCATTGGAAGCTTTATCTTTCTTTGGCTCAACCCTTCTACGTTTTGTCGGCGGGCCGTCCTGCGCTGGCGACTCTGGTGTCTCCGTTGAGGGAGCTTTCGACTCAACAATTGGTTGTTGCACGGGGTACTTCCATGTTGAGACGTGTTCAAAATTTGAAGTGAAGGCATGAATATCGCTTCCTTTTGCAATGAATACTGCATCGCCGCACACCTTGACAAGGTGGTACGGGAGAATCATCGTGGCGTCCGAGAGGCTCGAGCGCTCAGTGACCCAAAAAACGAGAAGTAGAGTGAGGCAAAAGTGGTTGATGCTGGGGCGGTTTCTCGGTCCAATTCCGGCGCGTTTGTCTCAATTGCGTGCCTGTAATTAACTTAGCTAAAGCTTTTGATACCGACAAAAACAAGAAGCTTACCGTGACGAAAAATTGGTTATGTTTTAGATTAAGAGGTTTGAGTGAGAGTGACAGAAGTGACTTCCGTCGTGAGTCGAAGGAAATTTGTCGTCCTAGTCAAGCCACATGTGGCTGAAATGGTGATGACGGGAAACTCGGACAAATCCGAGTTGGGCATCGGGTAGAAGATCAAATATGGTGTTATTTTCAATGGAGATGGATATTTAGGTTGCCTTTTCAGCCCCCCTTGTCTTATTTTCATGAACTCGTCATTGCGCTTCACGAGGCTTGAAGTTGAAGCTTCCTCGACTTAGCCACACCTGAAGTTGACCTTCGGCCAAGAATAGTGGGTCCAGATGACGTCTCTTATTGGTCGATCTACCCAACCCTACCAAGGCCCCCCCACAGTCAGTTGCAGGCAATTATGCGAAATTCCGAGCCCTCTGTTTTGGGAAGTTTTTTAACCCAAGCAACATCGCGAACCGAATTCCGTTCCGCACCATAACCACCAATCGCCCTTAAACATCCTGCCTTCATAACCAAGAAGATATGGGGGGCAAAACTGGAAACAAGGCTGGGTACTTCGACAAGCTGAAGGGCTTGTTGGAGGAGTACAAGTCCATCTTCATCGTCACCGTCGACAATGTCTCGTCGCAGCAGATGCACGAGATTCGTCAGGCGCTCCGCGGCGACGGTGTTGTCCTGATGGGCAAGAACACCATGGTATGAAACCCTTGAGGTCTCTCCTATTTTTTTGATATTTTTGAAGGACCAGTTTCTGACCAACAATTCAATCAAACAGGTCCGCCGTGCGCTCAAGACCTTCCTTGCCGACGCCCCCGAGTACGAGCGTCTTCTGCCGTTCGTCAAGGGCAACATCGGTTTCGTCTTCACCAACGGTGACCTCAAGAGCATCCGTGACAAGATTCTGGAGAACAAGGTGGCCGCCCCCGCCCGTGCCGGTGCTGTTGCCCCTGAGGACGTGTGGGTGCCCGCCGGCAACACCGGCATGGAACCCGGCAAGACGTCTTTCTTCCAGGCCCTCGGTGTCCCCACCAAGATTGCCCGTGGTACCATTGAAATCACCACCGACCTGAAGCTCGTCGAGGCCGGTGGCAAGGTCGGCCCCTCTGAGGCGACCCTGCTCAACATGCTCAACATCTCCCCCTTCACCTACGGTATGGGCATTTCTCAGGTCTACGACCAGGGCAACACCTTCCCCGCCAGCGTTCTCGACATCGGTGAGGAGCAGCTTCTCAAGTCGTTCTCGTCGGCCATCACCACCATTGCCGCCATCTCGCTGGCCCTCAACTTCCCCACCCTGCCGTCCGTCATCCACTCGGTTGTCAACAGCTATAAGAAGGTCCTGGCCGTCGCTATCGAGACCGAGATCAGCTGGCCGGAGATTGAGGAGCTCAAGGACCGCATCGCCAACCCTGAAGCCTACGCCGCCGCTGCCCCGGTTGCCGCTGAGGCCGGCCCTGCCGAGACCAAGGCTGAGGAGAAGGAGGAGTCCGAGAAGGAGGACTCTGACGAGGAGGGCTTCGGTGGTCTCTTGTACGTTGCCCCGTATCTCTTTCCATTGGGTATGCTGCTAACAAAGCCGATAGCGATTAAATGTAACCACTTGATGACGGTGAATCTGGACGGCCATCGCTGGTTCTGGTCGGGAAAAGGCTTCGGCCTGCTCCCATGCCTACATAGATCAGCGACGGCTCCAATAAACCTGTGTCTGATGGCCATATCTCCGTGACTTTCTTCTTGTGACTTACTCGCCTAACATCTCACTTGTCCAGCAACAGCTGCACATCAGTGCTTACGGTTGGTCTCACCCTTATCTATCTGTTTACCTGCCCCCTGTTGCCTATGATTATGCAAATGATCAAAGAGCTTTTTAACCCTGAATCACCTTGATGAAACCCATCACAACATTATATGAGGCACAACCTTCACTCTATCATGCTGTTACAATATCTTACATGAGGGTATCAAAGCTAACAAGGCTTTCCAGACAGTATTGACCTGCGTCGTATTTGACTCATCCCCATCATCCTATGATGTCTCCATCGCCGTTTTTGTCTCTGTCCCCGTTTCCGTTCCGGTCCCTTGCAGCATCTGCTGCGCAACCTTGATCGCTTGCTCCGGCAGCCCAGCCAGACGCGCCACCTTGAGCGCGTGGCTCTGCCTATTGACCCCCTTGCGCAGCTTGTGAACGTAGGCAAACCCGCCCTGATCGTCCTCCTCCACATCCGTACAGTACATATCCACAGTCCCATTCAGACCCCCATCCTCCACGCGTAGCCCCCCCTTCGCCACCAAATCTGCAATATCATGAAAATGCGTAGCAAACAGCGCGCGACACCGGTTAACAGTAGCCAAATGATGCAGCGCAGCAAACGCCACGGCCGTGCCGTCCTCAGGCGTAGTGCCGCGGCCGACCTCGTCCATGATGACCAGCGACCGCGGCGTCGCCTGCCGCAGGATGGCGGCCGTCTCTACCATCTCTACCATGAAGGTGCTCTGGTCGCGGAACAGGTCGTCAGCGGACCCCACGCGGCTGAAGATGGCGTCGACGATGCCTAGCGAGGCGTAGTCTGCTGGCACGTAGCACCCGATCTGCGCTAGCACCGCGATTAGCGCGCTCTGTCGGAGGAAGGTGGATTTGCCCGCCATGTTGGGCCCTGTGATGAGCCAGATGCGGCCGTGGTGGTGTTGTTTCACTTTGTCCCTTGCTTGAGGCATGACACCCACCTTTCCCCCTTCCTCTTCTTCCCCTTCCCCTTCCGCATCCTCCTCTTCCACCTCTCTCACCACCTCCCTCGGACCCAACGGTCCCGACCCCAAAAACAAATCATTCCGTGTAAACGTCCGCCCTTGCTCCGCCAAGCCCCCCTCCACAGTCGGATGCCGCCCGCCCACAATCACGCTCTGATACGAAAGCGTCATGACGGGTCGCACGAGCCCTTGCTCCGCCGCCAGTCGCGCAAACGACGTCGCGATGTCCAGCTCGTCTAGCACACGTGCGTTGCGCCGCAGCTTGACGAGGCACTTAACCACGCGTGCGCGCAGCTGGTTGAACACGCGTTGCTCTTCGGTGCGGATCTGACCGCGTACCTTGTCGAGCGATTCGCCGAGGGCGGTCCATTCGGGGATTTGGAAGGAGCGGGTGCTGCGGCTGGAGCTGAGTGTGCGGATGGGGACTGGGTCGGGCGTTGAGGCTTCTGGGCCGTCCGGGGAGGCGGTGGTGGTGGTTGTTGGGGTGGTGTCGTCGGAGGCGATGGGCGCAAGGGCGGCTGGGGCGCTTCTCGCGTCTTTGCCCTTGACGTGGCAGATGTGACCCAGCGTTGGTGTCCAGCGGAGGGTGAGCGAGGTCGCCTTGAGACGGGTGCGGAGGGTCTCGGTGAGCTCATCCTTTTCCTCTCGGAGCCCGGTAAGTTTGGTGTGCAGGCGGCCTAGCAGCGCGGAGGCTTTGGGCTTCATGATCCAGACTTCGCTGTCTTCGCCGTAGTGCTCGCGGAGGGAAGGAGTCTTCCGCTTTGGCGAACCCGACGACGACGACGACGACGGCGGCGGCGGCGCCTTGGCCGTGGCGTTCTTGGGAATAACAGTGCCGTCTTCATCGGTGCCTTCGTTCTTAACAATTTCTTGAGCAAGGGCGACCATAGCGCCGGTCTTGTCATCCTCGATCTGGTGCTGCTGGACGAGGCCTTCTTCATCAATGGCGTCGCGGATCTGCTTGGCAAGCTTGAGAGGTTGCTCTAAGCTGATGCGGTCGATCATGGTGGAGAGGCATTCGAATTCCACGACGTGATCTTCTTTCGACAAAGAGAGAGCGGAGGCCTGCAAAGTGCTGACAATATCTTCTGTGGCCTTGATGGTGTTGGCCAGGCGGAGCAGATCATCGGGGTCGCCACGGTTGAGGGCAAACTTCTGAACCAGGCGCTGGGAGTCATGGCTTCGGCCCAGGAGCTCGATGATGGCGTCCCGGACGTCCTCGTCTTGGATGAAGCGGGAGACTAAGTCCTGACGGAAATTGATGACCGCTAGGGAGGTAGACGGGGCGCCTATGCTAAGTCAGACCAAATATCTCAGGCGGTTCGTCGGAAAAAAAGGGGGTCCTACTCAGCCACTCGTTTAGCAGCCTGGCACCGCTTTTGGTGACGGTCCGTCGGATAGCGTGCAACAAACTGCCCCGAAAAACACTGTCCCGGATCGTCTGCTTGATCTCCAGAGAACGCATACTGTTCTTGTCAATACTCATCACATCCCTGCTCTCGTGACGGAGCGGCGGTTGCAGCTTCATGCTCAGCCCCTGCAGCCTGTCTCTAACGTAGTGAAGCAGAATATTGCCAGCCTGAACCTCGTTATCGGTGAATTCATCGACGCTATGAGGTGGAATCTCCGACTCCAACATAGGGGCCCAGTCGGAGAGCTGTCGTAGCTCTCCCTCGGGCGAGTATGTCACGAGATAGTTTTCCTCTCGTAGTATAGACAAGAGGGCATGGCCCTGCTGAGACTCGAGGGTCCTATCAAGAACCACCTCTCGAGGAGAGACCCGTGAGAGAACGGACCCAAGAGAAGCTAGGGTAGTAGGCTGGGTGTAGAAATAGCCCGTTGATAGGTCTAGCCATGCTAACCCGAGCTGACCCGGAGCATTGTCAGATGCCTCAGCATTCCCCTCAGCAATATCATCCTTCTCATAGTCGTCCTTGTCACCCAATGGGGTTGACTCCGGCAAGTGAATCGCCAAGACATAGTTATTTGCATAGGGGTCCATGAAACTTTCATCAATTAGCGTTCCTGCTGTGATGATACGGGTCACTTTGCGGTTATGCATCAAGCCACCAGATTTGATCTTCTGCGAAGGATCGTTTGGAAACTCCTCCGCAATGGCTACTTGGCGGTTGAGATCTTGCACGAGGATCTTCAGAAAGCGCTCCAGCTGGAAGAAAGGGAAGCCGGCCTGGCAACGGGACCCATCAGACCATCAACGAACATCGATAGGTGAAACAGCATGGTACGGGCAGCAGAACAAGACCATACCATAGGGACAAGAGCAACGCTCGTTTTCTTTTGTGCTACCTTGAGGTTGAGGAGCGGCCCAAACTCCTCTGCCTGTTCCAAGTACAGCTCATAGAAGCCGCCAACACGCGTTAGCACCACGCAGTCGTTAAACTTTTGCATGTTGCGGCGTGCCTCCAGCACTACCGTCGGGTAAGCGGGCTCATCCGGTTCATCCTCGAAGGGGGGTAGCGGCCCCGATTGTTGGACCAATCCTTGAGGGACGTCATCGAGGTCGATCACGGTTTTAGTCTTCCTTCCGCCCTTCCTCGGCTTCTGGACCACCTGGCTCGACTCAGATAGCAGTGGCTCTAAGGGCGTGACAAGGCCTATGGGGGGTTCCCCGAGGCTGGCCACGGTTTTGGTCTTCTTTCCGCGCACTTGGCTCGACAAAATCGAGGGCATCTGTTGCCAGTGTGGGCGTTGGCATGTTGTGAGTGGCGGCCTAGGCCCGTTCCGGTGATCGCTTTCATGATTTGGTCGAAGGGCGGTGATTACACTCCGGAGACCGGGACGCCGAGCTGTGGCGAAACTACTGGCACAGAGCGACATGGGGCGAGAGGAGCCGAGAGACACGATCCGAAGCCGCGGAACCGGCGTTAAGCGTGGGGGCAGCATTAGGTAGAACCCGTCTTTCGCACCCCATCGCCGGTCCTGGCGAGTGGGCGATGTGCTGGGCTTGTTGATGTTCTGTCGTTCTCAAGATGCCCGATTTCATGTTGCTGGAAAAAGCAATAACGCAAACGGACATAACAGCACAAAACGCGAACGGCAATAATAATAGTCTTGGCGTGCCACGACCCCACGGCCCCGTTTGTGCAGGTTCAGGGGTAAAAGTGCTTGTTGGTGGAGGAAAACGGAGATAAAGTGTTCAGACAGGCTTAGGAAAATCGCCGGCTGGGTGAATCCGCAGAGACCACACGGAATAAAAAGGGAGAATTTTTCGTGCTTTTTCCTGGACTTTACGGAGATTTTCGGCTCCGCCGTTGCTCGCTCGGGCGGCAAGAGCGAGCGCAACGGTGCAACGGCGCAACGGCGCAAGAGTGCATTCCGTTTGAGGAAACCTCGCGACCGACCCGGGCAGCATCGGGCCATTTTAGTCGGAATTGGCAGGCACGGCAGGTTCGCTCACTTCAGGCTCTTTCCATCAATCATTTCACCTTGCAAAATCACCTCGGCACGGGCAGGGCCAGCGTGCACATCTTGCAAACAAACCGCGGATCGTTCAATCCAACCGAGTTTGTTTCTTCAGGATCTTGACAGCTGACAAAGCTGGATCATGTCGTCGCTGGAAAAGGCGTGGTGGCCCTGATTACTTTTGATTTCGAACAGCGCAGCAGCAAAGTTGACGAAGCCAAGTCCCAAGCCAGTGATCTCCGGCGCACCAGCTGAGCTAATGTGAACGTGAGCTGCTGGGGCAAATCAATCATCCATCCGTTTCTTCCACGATTTCCCAGTCGATTATGTAACCGGCGAGCTGACAGAAAGCTGATGACACCAACGACACACAAATCATCCTGGCCGCCCCCAAGCCACCCTGGCACGCCCAGTCGGCCGCTGATGGAGATTGATGGAGATTTCGACGCTCGAAACGCGGCGACGCGCCCCTTGCGACCGAGTGATTCCACAATTCCCGCACAGCACGCTCCTTGCGCACGAAGCAAGCGACCGAGGCGAGCTCTCGGGGAATGCGAGCTTTTTCGGGATATGGGGGTGCACAAACACGCAGGGCACGGCGTGCGCGGTATTCGGCGCTCGGAGGGGGGTGGGATGAAAAGAGAATGGCCCGATCCTGACCTGTCTTGCCCTCTTCCCATCGCTTCCCATGGGCGGGCCTCGATGCGCCGGGCGGTTGGCCATTTGCCAGACAAACTCGGCATCGGCCGATCTACAACGTACCAGTGGATGTACAATCACATTTTTGCATCGCGGTGGGCAGGTTCTGAGGCCATTTCCCACGAATCCCGGCGGCCAGACTCACTCCCAACAAATACGAGTGCGGGACGAAACCAGTTTGTTCACTGTTGCGCGCCTGCGGCCGGGCCATCGATCGCAGATTCGCAAATTGGTTTGGCGACAAGTCGGGCACATACACAGTACACTAACGCCGCCCCCGCAAAAACCCGCTGCTGGGAGTCTGTTAGGCCGCTCGGCGTTGCGTTTGCAGCGTTTCCCTGTGGCTGTTTGGTCCCGAGGCTGGGCATCAGATGCTGACGAACCCACTTAATAATCTGCGGGCCAGTGAGTTGTTGGCCCCGGTCCGGACTCCGGAGTCTTTAATGTCGCGTGAGGCGAGATCACTAGCCACCACCTGGAACGGTCTACCCGGGGGTCGTCGGTATAAAGAAACTCTCGCACCCGTCGCCACCGTTCAAAGGTTGTCCCTGCTTGAACCCGTTTCTCGTTTCTACTTTTTTCCCACGTCGGCGACTAGCGATCTGCGGTGCGACCTAAACGAGCGTCTTTTCTTTTCCCGGGGCTGCTCATCCGTCGCAGGCGCAGCTGTGAGTGACATTTAAACCCTCGATCCGTATCCGTACTTAAAACCGAAGTCCTTGCCCTGCACCACTCGTGGACAAAACTCGACCTCAGCCGGCCGTCGCACGGTGGACGTCGAGAACATGGCGGCACCAGTTCCTCATTCACTACAGCCTCGGCCTCCTTTCACGCCTCCGCCTGAACTGCAGCTTTTCCCGAAATGTCATCTACACTCTGCTCGGCCCCTTCCGGGAGGGCCGGAAGCTTGCACACAAGCGACATCACCAACCCCCAACGCCTGTTTCACACAGGGAATGGCATCACAAGCGGGCAATAAATATCAACTTCCTATTCCGACAAATCCGGCAGGGCCGTTACCAACCACTAACCTTAACACTCCCACTGCAACACCCCCCTCGTCAGCGATCCCATCCCCCTCACAACCACAACCACAACATCAACACCAGCAGCCGCAACAGCAGCGACAGCAACCACCCTGCTCAACTACCTGCCACCAACCCCCCAACGTGCCCCAACTCCCCTTCCCCCCAGGAACCGATCCCCAATATGTCGCCATGGCCACCCGCATCGCCGGCTACTACCAGCAGCGCAGCCAAGCCTGGGCCGCCGCCCACCGCAAGCAGTGCCAGGCCGCCATGCAGGCCGCTACCGTGGTAGTGGCCTGGTATGTACGCGATCGCCTAGCGCGGCGGAGGAAGCGGAAGAGAAGAAAGTTTGCGCGCGCGCTGGAGGCCAGGGAGCGGGAGAAAGAGCGGGAGCGGGAACGAGAGCGCAGGAGGGTCGCCGCCGGCGGTGTTGGCGCTGCGGGAGGGTGTGCGGCTTGGGAGTCGGTCCGGCGGTGGGTGTGTCGGCTACCTCCGCCGTCGTTGGCCCCCTCGTTGCCCCTAGTGGGCGTGGGTATTCCCGGAGGCCCGTTTGCCTCAGCGGCGGTAGCCGCAGCTGCCGTGGCAGCCAATGGGTCCGGTGCCGACGCCGCGAGGGACATGCCGTGGGACCGGGACGAAGCGAACTTCGACATGGACCGGGCGAGGGCGCGCGATAAGGACGCACAGCTGTACGATGTGGCGGACAATATCATCAAGAACCACCTGACGAGGACGGATGTGCCGCTATTGGGCGCGCTGTCGTTTGATGAAAGCGAGAGTGAGAGTGAAGAGGAGGAGAGCGAGGATGGGAGTATGGACTATGATGAGGAGGATGCTGAGGGGGAGGATGATGAGTATGAGGGTAATGGTTGTCAGGCGGCTGCTCCTCAGGGAGGCATGGCGTCGGGTTCTAAGGATGCCCAGTTGGGGACGCCTAACGGCGGGCGGTAACGGAACGCCCTTATCTACCTACCTACTTACCTAGGTACTGTACCTACCTCGGTTTATGATCTGGCAGCATTGGGGCGGTGCGGTTCAGCATGGCGTTTGGCAAGTTGCATTTTGAGCATTTTTGGTCTTGTCCTATTGCATAGCGGTGAAGAGCGGGGAGGGGCGTATTTGTTTGGTTAATGATAATTCAACTCAGCGTTTTGAGCGTAACATTGGGCACATCTGAACTAGTGTTGATTCTGTCTGTCGTCAAACATAATGTTGTCCTTCAACCCTAACTTCCTTACGAGTCTAATCGTGTTTTTACCCCGATGCCATAAGTTCAACGGATGACAAGGACTGCTGTACTTTGTTGCTATCACCAGTGATAGTGGCATTCGCCGTGGTGTAAGTACTGTATACTTCGGATACATTCCAAGATATGAGCTTCAAGAGGCGCCATTAGATCCAAAAGGGTTAACATACTGTAACGGATACGGCCCGGCTACTTAATAGATGTGCCTTTGCTCCACTATCTACAGGAAGTGGGCTAGAGGCTATGTTGAACAAACGGTATTTGCGCCTTTACGTTAGCAATAATAATTAATACATGGCGCCTGGGAGCCCCGATTATCCCATCACGTCGTCGAGCCCCCGCCCGGCGGTCATTGGATGTTCATAGGTCGCCCTCTTGAGGACGTGTGCATAAGCATCTTCACCGTGCTCACCGTGGGCTGGCGTTTTGGCGACGGTTACTGCCCGGTAGGGATGCCGAGGCCCGTTGCGTGTTGGGCCGGAGCCTTGCGGTAGGGAAGGACTCAAAGGAGGGGGTCCCGCGGTCGCTCCTGCCGTTACCGTTCTAAGAAGCCCGATAGGGGTGCAAGCTCTAGTCCTGGGACGTGTAGCACCAATCAGTTTTGCAAGGCGGGCGAGGCTTTACTGCCGCAGGCAGACGCGGGAGTTTTCAAGCCACTTTACACAGCTACCGCTCTCTCCTGATAAGCGGCCAACATGCAGACAAGATGGGTTCGGGGCGCAGCCCAATTTCAGTGTCAAATACCCCTCTTTTAACACCAGGCCTAGGAACCAGGTCACGTAGAGGTATTTCATCAAAACTCGATCTTACAACTCTTCTACCTCTTGTTCCAGCAACCCTCGGTCTTATCGTGGTTCAAACTACCTTATCCCGCCGAGTAATCCCAGGACTCGACCTCCGTACCTTAAGGTACCTACCTACCTGCCTCTGTCCTTTGGCCATGGTCTAAGAATTCGACGTTCATAAACTCTTCGCAATGGACCCGTTTCGCCCGCCCTCGCCTCCAAGGCGGCTCTACCAATATTTCATCCCTCGCGGCGGTATTCACTGGAGGGTTATCACTGCTAACATTTGCCGCTACCTTGGGAATGATGCTACGGCGTGTCCGGGCATCCAGGAGGTTAGTTCTCCAGTGGTGAATTACTCGCGTTTCGATGAGTATGAAAGAGTCAAATTTTGAAATGTGGCCTAATATTTTCTGTACTTATAGTCATCAGATGAGACACTGGTTCAAGGCTATTATATCACAGCACATCGAACTCTTACACCTGTGAGTGACATCTGACGTTTGGCCTAGTCGTGTACACTGCATATCTCAGATAACGCCATGGCGTTGCGGACCGCCCTAGTAACTAAAGCAATGCATAGGAGATGATCGCTGATCTCGAGGCGGATAGCCTGCCGCTATGGCGAGAAGCGCAGCGGGACCTCGAAAACTCTCAAGTGACGTCGGGTCGAGAAGAATTGCCAGGGCAGCGCCATCCACTGTTGAACGAGTGTGGGAGACATACTTCACCGGCACACCCCAACCCGCCAGGAACTACATGTCCTCCTATCGGCGGTAGTATTGAACCCTCGAGTACTCTAAAATCATCGCGTACCAGCCACAGGGAATCCGAATTGCCGCCAAGACTTGCATCCGACTCCGGATACGCATCCTTCCCCCCGGAGTCGGCCAAGGCGATTACGTCTTTTCCGCCGATTAACAAGACGTATGATGGTGATCGAAAGGAACGTAGTGCTATCAGCATGGGTAACTTGCCGGATCAAGTTTCCGTTGCGGACGACGCAGCTACGATATACTCGGCGGCTCAAGATCTCGACGGGCGGCAATTAAATCTGTACAAGTCTGAACTTGCCGATTGCTTGTGCAATCATGTGAGATCGCTGGGCTTAGAGGTCGAGGCGAAGGAGAACATTGTTGATGTCCTACCCGACTTACTCAAGAACTTCGCCCTTAGATTGGGCCAGCATGCCTCGTCTCGATCGGGAAACGAAGTCATGTGCTTTATTCATAAGTACAGGGGGTTAGTGTGATGCTTCGACATTCCAGGGGAAACTTATTGAAAGATACGAGCTGATAGTGGATACAATTACTTAGTGAGATCACACGGCGCTTTCGAGAAGCACTCTTCAAAACACCCGAGGGAGATGTCTCCTTGCCGCCCCGGAAGCCCATCGCCAAGGACGATCTAGAACATAGTGTTCAATCGTGGCTCAGCGACGTAATGAACACGCCCAAGAGGACTGCTGGAAAAGAATTAGTCAACAGTGATCTCGATGGCCCAGGAACGCCGGCGGACCTGAGCTGGGAGGACCTGCTTCATGACGGGGAACCGTTGACCGTACCCGACGAACAGAGCTATCGCGAGATTACCTTCCAGTCCCCGGCATTCAAATGGCTGCTCGCATCCTTGGGGAAGACCTCCAATCTCCGTCCAAACGCCCCAGACGATGCCATTACCAGAATGCGAGACAAAATCATGGACGCTTTCCCCGAAGCCCACTCCGTCAGCAGTCAACGCCCCTCGACTGTGTACGCCATGAAGTTCAACTGTCTCTGGGATATCCACCGTTTCCTCGACCATGAGTACCCGGAACTCCAGGGCGGACGAGCGAGGCTCGGTGAGGTCATTACTATAACGGGGTCTCCTGTCGATGCGCAGGCCCTTTCTTGCGCTGGCTATTTGGAGCAGACCTGGCCATTTACGGGCTTGGATGTGCTTTCGTTGTTGCAGAATGCCGTTGACAGGGACGGTTGTTTGGTGATTGGTAAGTTACTTTCCCACTTTGGAACATCACCTGCCTTAGGTTTAACTGTACTAATGATTCGTCATGAAGGAGACCTCCCAGATCGAACAGAATTAACAGCCAGGGCTCGGAAAGACAACAGAAGCCTCTTCGTATACGTGAAAGGCACCGTCGATGTCATCGCAGAAATAGGAGAGCAGATAGCCTGGATCACCACAGCCCTCAGCTCCGGACCGATGAGCGACGCGTCGGAAGCATTAACATACTGCTACCCTACCATCACGAAGATTACTGGATATGGGGATTCCAAGGTTGCGTATCTGGACTATTCTACCCTACACAAACAGGACTTACACGGTGACCTAAACGGCACCTGTTGGCGAAGCATGTTTAGAAATCCTGTCGTCGTGACGGGCTACCCCATACGACGAAGACCAAATGATGGGACCGGACTTGAAATCCCCCTCAACATGATGGCTGGACTGGTTCAGAGCGACCGTCTCAACTACTTTCTCGGGAAATCTTATATCAAAGGCTTCTCGTCCATGCTCGTCGCCGTCTATCATGTTGGCGGCACCTACATCTGGCATCATCACAGCAATTCTCATGGGAATAGGGTGTCTTACCTTGATGCTGGCGCTACAGCCATTGGCTGTGCTTCGCCGCATGAGCTGGCGACGGCACGGCATATCGTCGGTTGGTGTACAAAGGCCGATAGCCAGGCCGGTGAGTCTTAATCCCTGATAGTTCATTGACAGATACGAAGGTAACTGACCTGGAATGGATTGATAGGTTCGCCTCTTCTAAATTATAATATAAGAGGCTCAGGGTTGCCGCACGCAGGGCACGACTTTGCCCTCGAGAAAATGTCCCTGTCATGCGGTCAGATCATCACCGGAGGGTGTACGTTTGGAATTGGCAGAAAGGACGTTCCCATCCATATCTCCAAAGTCGGCTATATCGATAGACTGCGATGGATCTCACAAAAACATGTTGTCTTTTGGGACGTGGACGACAAGCGCGGTTGGATGGTCAACGGAAGCAATGCGCTGCTCCATCTCCTACGCGGCTCGCTCGAGCACTCCCGCACTGACAGGTTCTGCTCCCAGTTCCTCTTCGACTTCTCGAAGCTCAAGCAAGGCTCGGCCATTGACGTCCTTGTTCACCAGGGGCACCGCCGTCTACCGGTCTACCCGGCCAAGGAAGAGACCTACACCGAGACCTCAACCTCGTCTTTGGGCACAATCGAGACTGTGACCAAAACTAAAACCACAGTTACCACGTTGGGAGACAGGGTAGATGAACTTTACGAGTACCTGGAAAAGATGGTCGATCACAAATCCCAGGTCGAGAACCCGAAAGGCTACAACGCAAAGGTCCGCCTTCGCCGACATCTGGAAGGCTGGGATTTCAGGGACTTGGCGGCTAGTCGCGACCCTTTTCACCTTCGGGTGGCCACGCTTCCAACAAGCGCCTTTAGTTGGGTGGAGCTGACGAGGGTAGCACAAACAATAACAATCTTCGGAAAGCGATTCGGGGAGCTGGTGACCCTATCGATCGGGTCTACAAAAGTTGCGTGCCCGAGCTGGCGTTCCGTCCCTACGGGGAAGCACTACCTATGTGTTAGTCTGGCCGACATACAAAGCATCGTCGATGACGCTGGTGGGGATATAGAAGGAAGCCCGGCCCTCATCGGCCCGAAACTTGCCTGGGTGAATACCTCCAGGACTTGCCCCTTCGCGGCATGCGTGTGCGAAAGGCGCCATGGAGCCAACATATTATCACCATTGGCAACTCACGTCGATCCCGTCCAGCAGCTCATCCCCACAAGTTTGCCCCGCCGTTTGCGGCAAGCGATGTCGAAAGGCCCTCTGGATTTGCGGAACTGCGGCGAGGGCGCCGTTATATTCGGCCAAGCCTTTGGATTCTCGTGGAAATGGCCAGAAATCGGCGAGGCCAAGACCGAGCCCGAGCCCGAGACCAGTGGCGGGAGCTTAATACCTTCCTTGAGACATCCAATCGAAAGCTCCTCCGAGATACCGCTGACGGACACCAATACCTCAGGAACCGCCAACAGCGACAGCTCCTCGAGATCACGAACGGGTGGCAGTGGCTCCTCCAATCCTTTGACGCTAGTCACACCGGCGTCCTCTCGGTCCGAGTCAACGCAGATACAGCCTCCACACTCGAACGCACCATATCCGGCACCAGTGCCGTCGGGCAAGCCGTTAGTCAGTAAACCTCGGGCTGAGCCGACATTGCCCGGTATAATTATAGGAGCGAAAAGGTTATTCACGCAAACAGATGAGGTAGGAGTTGGCGAAGAGCCTAAGAGGAAGAGTCGTATGCGGCATCTAGCCTTCCGAAGGTCTTAAAAACGGGCATCGCAATGTTTTCATCGAGTGTCTGGGGACGTTGGGAACGGCATCTAAAGGTCTCGACCCAGCAGTTTGTGAAAAGCCTCAAGAGCGGGTAGTTCATCACCAGGGACATCTAGCCAAAACACCAAAACAGCAAAAACATACAACACCGGGGATTCCCCAGTCGTCACCGACCTGAGTACTAATCTGGCGATCAGCAGTTTGACTAGGGGAGAGCGGACGGGATCCCGTATTTTCTACTGTCTATGGTCGTATGTGGTAGTTTGGCCTCCAGAACCTGTTTAAGAATGCCTGTGGGAAGGAGAACCTGTAGGACAATGCATATGTGCGACGAAGTATACGGATCCGTACCGGGTGATGTTGGTGCTCACGCATCCGAACCTAGGCGAGCTCGGTTGGAGCTCCTTGAATAGAGGGAATCTGCATTCGTTCACAATGTCAAGCCGGCGTATGGTGCATGTGAGCAACCTATCTGCGAGGGTGAACCTCTCGAGGCCAGCTGAGGAGAGCGGGTGTTGTAAGAGACGGGAACGGTTTTCGCAAGCGTTGTTTCGGCAAGCATCGTATAGAATTTGATGACGGGATATTGATTCATTGTACGACGGATGGTACAACCTCATGATCTTCTCTTATGTGGTCACCCAATGTTGACTGGATATCTAACCCTCCAGGAAGACGGTCTCATGTTTGACGGCGATGGGCAGGTGAGAAACCAGCAGGGTGAATAAGTCTTATCGAAGACCATCCAGTTTCTGTGAGACTGTCCGAATGACCATCAAATCATTCTTTAATATCCAGGACATGAAGAACCAATATCAGATGGGTTGGACGATGAAGTCACAAAAGACCTGGACTCTCAGAGATGATCGGCGGGTGGTGGCGGAAGAGGCATCAGCCCGGTCTCTCATTGGTTCTGCGGGCTCCTCTGGGATTGCGGGGAACCAGCCGGGGGGTGTCACAGCAGCTGCCCCCCTGTCAATGCCGGCCGGGGTCCATTGCAGCTTCCCCAATCACCAGGCCACCACCAACCACCTCGCCTTCCGTTCCTGTGTAACTCACTCCTTCCTTGGTTCACGTACTCTGTACGGATAACTCTGCCTACTTCACCCAATATTTTCCCAGTGCCTAGTGTTTTAATCGTCCTCGGGTTTTCTATCTAAAGCTGATCCGCGATCGTGACCTCCAATTTCACTGCTCAACTCGTATTGAGAGTGGGGTTGTCGACCGGAAACTACGGGGTACTCCGTACACCGAGACAATCGACGGTGAACAGATACCACACAACTCCAGCTCAAATTAGTGAGCTTTCTGCCTCCGATTTCAAAGTTCTTGAAGCCAGTTGGACCTCCGAAACCTCAATCCTACCACCGTAACCCTCATAATCCAGTCCCTCCCCGAACGCAACCTCCTACGCCGGCATCATGGGTGGCGAAACACGAAACCAAAAGGGCCCGCGAAACGACTACCCGCTCCGGGCCCCCAAGCCCGTGGGCCAACTGATCAGCAAGATCTACAAGGACCGGATCAACCAGTTCTACTCGACCGGCCAGTACGAACACCAGAATCTCCTCGCCCTGATGAAGGAGGCGGTCGTGTCTGGCGAGCCCCACGTCCAGCTCTCGGTATGGCACGCCCCCGACCAGACTCGGCCGACCTTCAAGAACGCCACGTCTCAAAAATTCACAAAGACGAAAGTGGGCGAGTGGTTTGGCCCATCGTGGACAACCCACTGGTTTCGGGTGGTCATAAAGGTGCCCGAGGAGCTCCGTGAGAAGAGGCTTCTCGAGCTCCATTGGGACGGAAACAATGAGGGCTTGGTGTGGAGGGAGGACGGTCACCCGCTCCAGGGTCTCACTGGCGGCGGCGAGCGCGTGGAATGGATTATCCCAGACTCATTCCGCGATGGAAAGGAACACACCATCTACATTGAAATGGCTTGCAACGGCATGTTTGGCAACGCTCCCGGCGGAGACGCCAACCAACCACCAGACCCGAACAGGTACTTCCGCCTCGACCGAGCCGAGATCGTCGCCGTGGACCCAGACGCCCGCCAGCTTTATATTGACATCTGGATTATCGGCGACGCGGCAAGGGAGTTCCCCGAAAACTCCTGGGAGCAGCACAAGGCGCTCAAGACGTGCAACGAGATCATCGAAGCTTTTGAGGTTGACAACAGGGGGTCGCTAAAGACCTGCCGTGAGATCGCCGAGGAGTACATCGGTTCGAACGTCAACTCCGACAAGGTTTACAATAGCGGGAAAGAACCGGTCGTCTATGGCATCGGGCATTGCCACATTGACAGCTGTTGGCTGTGGCCTTTTGCCGAGACCAAGCGGAAGGTGGCCCGGTCGTGGTCCAGCCAGTGCGACTTGATGGACCGTTACCCGGAGCTCAACTTTGCTTGCTCCCAGGCCCAGCAGTTCAAGTGGCTGAAGGAGTTGTATCCCACCGCCTTCGAGCGGGTCAAGAAGAAGGTTGCCCAGGGTCGCTTCCACCCCATCGGAGGCAGCTGGGTCGAGCACGACACCAACATGCCGAGCGGCGAGGCGCTGGCCCGGCAGTTCATATACGGCCAGCGCTTCTTCGAGAGCAACTTTGGGAGCCGGTGCCAGACCTTCTGGCTGCCCGACACATTTGGGTACTCCAGCCAACTGCCCCAGCTTTGCCGCCTGGCTGGCATGACGCGTTTCTTCACGCAGAAGCTTAGCTGGAACAACATCAACAACTTCCCCCACACCACCTTCAACTGGGTTGCTTTGGACGGAAGCCAGGTTGTCGCCCACATGCCTCCATCCGAAACCTACACCGCTGAAGCGCATTTTGGCGATGTCAAGCGCAGCATGTCGCAGCACAAGTCTCTGGATCAGGATGCTACCTCCCTGCTCGTCTTTGGCAAAGGTGACGGCGGCGGCGGTCCGACTTGGCAGCACATTGAGAAGCTTCGCAGGTGTCGTGGCATCAGCGACACGGTCGGCCTCCTGCCCCGTGTGCATATGGGCGACTCAGTCGACGATTTCTTTGATAAAATTGAGCGCAAGGCGGACGATCTCGTGACGTGGTACGGCGAGCTGTACTTTGAGTTCCACCGCGGGACATACACGACGCAGTCGAACAACAAGCGCAACAACCGCCATGCAGAAGTGGTGCTCCGGGATCTGGAGCTCCTGGCTACCATCGCCTCGATCAAGGACAAGTCGTACAAGTACCCGAAGAAGGATATTGATTACATGTGGGAGAGGGTGCTACTTTGCCAGTTCCACGACTGTCTTCCCGGTAGCTCGATCGAGATGGCTTATCGCGAGTCAGACGAGGTATGTGCTAGTGGCAGAGATGATAGAGAGCCGAGACGCGGATGCTAACTGGGGACAGATGTATGCCGAGGTGTTCTCGACCGCCGAAAGCGTTTTGAAAGACGTCTCGAAAGTCCTCGGGGTTTCCCGGGTTCAGAGCACTACGGTGTCAGAGGGAGTTGCCCTGAACACGCTCCCGTGGCACCGCAGGGAGATTGTGAACATCTCGGACACTGAAGCCGCTGTTGCCTGCGGGAGCGGGACTGTGATGAAGCTTCGGACTCTCAAGACCAGTGAGGAGAAGCCCCTGGTGTCCGTCCAGGAGGTCTCGGAGAACGTCTTTGTTCTGCAAAACGATCAGTTGCGAGTCAGAGTCGAAGCCGGAGTCATCACCTCCCTTTACGACCGGGACGTTGGGCGCGAGGTCATTCCCAAGGGCCAGAAGGCCAACCAGTATGTCATCTTTGATGACAAGCCGCTGTACTGGCAGGCGTGGGATGTTGAGGTATTCCATCTCGAGACACGCAAGGCGCTCCCTTCGGGCGAGACGCAGATCCACGAGAAGAAGAAGCACAGTGTCAGCCTGATTACGACCACAAGGATCAGCGACAAGTCGTCCATCAAGACGGTGATCACACTTGCTGCTGCTCTGCCCGGACAACAATCCATCGTCGAGGTTGAGAGCGAGGTGGAGTGGCACGAGACGATGAAGTTCCTCAAGGTCGAGTTCCCCGTCGATGTGCGCAACACGGAGGCTTCGTACGAGACCCAGTTCGGTGTGGTGCGCCGCCCGACGCACTACAACACGTCGTGGGACATGGCCAAGTTCGAGGTCTGCTCGCACCGTTTCGCCGACTTGTCGGAGCACGGCTACGGCGTGTCGATACTCAATGACTCCAAGTACGGCTTCGCAACCGCCGGCAACGTCATGCGCCTCTCGCTGTTGCGCAGCTCCAAGGCTCCCGATGCCTACGCCGATATGGGCACTCACCACATCCGTTGGGCCATTCTGCCCCATCGCGGCGCCCTGTCGCACACCACTGTCCGCCGCGCCATCGAGTTCAACAGCCCGCTCAAGCTGCTTTCCACGGCCGGTCTGACGCCATCCGCCCTGGTTACCCTCTCCGAAGCGCCTGTCTCTTTGGTGGCTGGCTCTAGCGACGCCCTCGTCATCGACACGGTCAAGCGTGGCGAGGATGACGAGGACGTGTCGACGGACGACTTGCCGAAACGCGCGGGCCAGAGTGTGATCGTGCGTATCTATGACAGCTTGGGTGGCCGGGCTCGTGGCACGGTGGCTATCGCGGAGGCGTGGAATGTGAGGAAGGTGACCAAGGTGAATTTGTTAGAGGATGAGCTGGAGGAAGTGGCTTTGGTGGGGTCTCGGGGTGGTGGTGATGGGGGGCAGGAGTTCGAGGTGGACTTGCGGCCGTTTGAGGTGGCTACATATAGGCTACAGTTGGCGTAGGGGTCTCTGTGAGGATCTGGTGTGTTGTGTGTGTATTCTAAGAGCTGCCAGTGTAGTGAGGACCATGTTTATGTAGGCGATCAAGATAGGTGTGCGAACAGAATGACTTCACCCGAGATACTGTACAGTACAGTAGCCATGCTTTTACACAGTACCTTCCCTCCTTCCCTCCCAAATCCCACACAGGCCTTTATAAACCCCCCTTCCGCTACCAATTCCCAACAACCCCCCCATCCGGCAAATACCCAACCGCGGATGGCGCATTTGGGGGGATGCGGGCAGTACGCGGTACTGCCTGCCTGCTCCCCTTCCTGACTTCGACTCAGGGAGGGGGCACCTGAGAAAAATCCTTCGGGATTTTCGTAGCTGTTCCAATGGAGGAGGTGGGTGGTGAGCTTTTTGATTTTCTTTTTTCCTTTGGCTTTTTCTTTTGAAAAAACAAATATTGAGTAAATACCATCCTTGAAAACAGAAAAGTCAAAGGAGAGAGAGAGAGAGAGAGAATGAGACGCTGGGAGTGAGAGAGCAACGTTCATCATCAAGGGTTAGGGTTGTACATGCTAGCACACACCCCTGTCACCGGGCCAGCGGTTTAGACCAGTCGGCCAAACCTCGAGTTTGGAGGTCGAGGAAGGGCTTAAAACACGGCGACAGCACTTCAATTTGAGCGTGATAGCAGAAATATTGACGTGGGTGATTAAACGCCGTGTGGGCGAGTGGACTTTTTTGAGACGGGATTTGTTGTGGTTGTGGGGAAAATCTGGTTATGGAGGCGTTTTTTGCGAGGAGAAGCAGTTTTGTGAGAGACGGCGGTTTCGGGCTGTCGTGCTATTCTGGGGTGATCACCGTCTAGAGTGGATGTGTTGTAGCATGCTAAATGTAAATAGTCTCAGGGGTTTGTTTGTAAACAAAAGGGATAAGGGGGGTGAGGATATGATGGAGCATGAGGTGATGAAGCTTTGTTTTGGACGGGTAGTATATAGTAGACCTGGAACTCCAACACACCAACCAACCAACCACACATTCCGTCTCCAGACATATACTTCTCATTACTACCTCCCCCGTGCAGCCTTCCTCTTCCTGGCCTCCTTCTCCCTCGCATACTCGTTCGCCGCCTTCCCCTCCTCCCCCTGGATCTCCGCCACCAACCGCTTGTACTTCTTCTCGTACGCCGCATCGCGCTCCTTCTTGACGCGCAAATTCTCCCGCTGCATAAACGCCGCATCCTTGCGCAGCTCGCGCATCGCGCCCTTCCGCTCGCGCTTGTGCTCGGCTTTGAGCTTGGCCAGTTCGGCGCGCTCGCGGTCCGGGTCGTAGTGCTTGTCGGGGTCGAAGGAGTCTTCGAATTTGGGGATGTAGGTGCGGATCGCGAGGGGGCGGTGGTGATGGAGTTCGAGGGGCCGGCGGGTGAGGTGGGCGAGCCGGAGGAGGCGGGTTAGGTGGGGGGTGAGGGTGTCGGTGAAGGTTGTGATGACAGTCGGGGGGAGGTGGGGGGTGGAAGAAGAGGAGGTGAGATGGTGGAGGATGTGGAGGGCCGGGGTGAAGGTTTCTGGGAAAGAGGGCAGGGTATGCCAGGTTTCGGCGGCGGTTTTGAGGAGGGTTGTGGTGGTGTTGAGGATAGCGACTTTGAGGGAGGCGGATGCGGCCGGTGGTGATGATGAGGATGAGTTGGGTTGGCAGTCAGCGCAGGTGAGTTTGCGGATGGTGGTCTTGTGGGCGTTTTTGATACGGATCCCGGCTGCGGGTTCGTGGATGGGGAAGAAGCCGCCCAGCTTGCTGGGGGCTTCCGGTGCGAGAGCGCAGAGGGTGTTGAGGCAAAAGTTCATCAGCTCGGGCACGTAGCGCTTGGAGAACTGCTGATACTGGAGCGCGAGGATGGCGAGGTAGGTGCCCGTGGCGTAGTCAGCAAGTGTCTGGGGGATCTTTTGCCCAAGGTACCGCGCGATCGCGAGCATGGCCGGCGTGACGACTTGGTGGAAGTGATCAGAGGTCGGGAACGTCGTGCCGACGGCGGTCAGCACGAGGAGGTCCCCCACGCTGAGGGCCAACGGCCGTTCCTGCTCGATCTCCTGGATGTGCGCACGGTAGGCCTTGGCCACTTCGATCGGGAACGACTTGGCCAGGGAGTGGATATGGCGGGTTAAACTCTCCAGGGCCGGGAACCAGTGCAGCTCGAATCGGTCGCCTAGGTAGGCTACGTGCTGGACGAGGACTTGGGAGAATCGCCCGAGCCGCTCCTTGTTCTTACTGTCCAACTTCGGGTGGTACAACGCCCTGATCCGCTGGACGGCTACGGGCAGTTTCGGAACCTCGATCCCCTCGAACGCCCGGAGCATCTCCTCGTGGTCTTGCGGGCACGGGAACGTGTACGGAATACCGTTCTCGTCGTCTCCCTTGCCTTCTGAAACCCGGAAAATGGGGTCCTTGGTGACCGCCTCGGTTAAGATCCCCTTAACGAACTCGTCATCATCGTCGTCCGAGCCTGAGCCTGACCCAGCCTCGTCATCGCTGTCGTCCTCGTCCGCGTCGCTCTCCAGTTCGAGATCGGAGCCGCTGGCCACGAGATCGTCGTCGATCAAGAAATCGTCTTCGTCGTCAAATCCCAGTTCCGTCGCAGTCGGCCGATACTTGACTCCCTTGCCCAGCCCGAACTCGTCGTTTTCCTCGGTGTTGAACGGGTCGTACACCTCTTCAGCCGCCGCACCCTTGCCCTTCTTCTTCTTCTTCTCGCCCTTCCCGTCTTCCTCGTCGCCGTCGCCCTCCTCATCATCCTCTTCAATCGCCTCTCCACGCATGCGCCTTAACCGCTTCTCCTCGAGTTCCCTGAGCCGATTGGACTCCTCTTCTGCCACTTCCTCCTCCGTCTTCGTCCTCTCTGCCGGTTGCGCCCGCTTATCTGCTGCGAGCTGCTTAACCCGTATATCGTAATCTTTCTCCAGCGCAGCCTTCATCTGCCCCGTAGCGACGGTGGCACCCGCTGCGGTTGATGGCGGCTTTTGTCGTTGGAAAAGAAGGGCCTGTAACTCCGGCAGGGCTTCGTCGAGTTCGGCCCGAAGCTCGTCATCTTCGTCTTTGAGTGCTTGCCGTTCCTGAGAAAAAGTCAGAAAACTAGCCTTTGTCATGCCGCTGCCAGAATGAAACTTACATATTTGTGCTGCTTAGATTTGGCGATAATCTCCTGATAGATCTCATTCTTCGTCTTTTTCCGGTCCGGCTGGCCATCCTCCTCCTCTTCCGGTCCATCAGCAGCATCCGTAAGGCGCTGCCGCTTCAGCATCCTCCTCTCGGCGCGCGACCCGTCCGACTCATCTCCCGAAGGGAGGTCTTCCTCGTCGAAGTCATCCTTCAAAGGCGGTAGGTCTTCGGCGTCAAATAGAGGCTTGCCCAAGTGGGTCAGCCCGCCCATGGCCTCGTCGTCGTCCTCCAAGTCAAACATGGCGCTCTTCTTGTGATTACGCTGCTGCTCTCGGGTGAACCGCTCGATCATCTTGTCCTCGAGCGACATGTTGGGGTCGTCCTCGCCGAATCGCCTGTCGATGAGCCCGCCGACCTTGTTGCGCCTTTGCATTTCCACAAGAATCGTTTGTCGTCGCTGGTTTTGTACACGTTAGCAACCATACACTCCCATCGTCCCATACCCCTATAACATTGGACATACCCTCTCTTCGCCCGCGGCCTTGGCCACTCCCGGCCGCCCCTTGATCCCCATCGCCGTCTTTTCATTGACCGGTTTGTTGGTGGTGACCTCAAACTTTGGTCCGCGGGCGTTGGTCTTGAATTGAAAGGGATTGAACTGCTCGCGGATGCTGGCCAGAGCCTCGCCGCGCTGCAGCCGTTTGTCGGGTCTTGCCCGTTGCTCCTCGGCATTCTTGCGCTTCTGCTTCTTGGATTGTTGGGGACCGATAATTCCCTGGTCGCGCAGAGAGGCTTTGAGCCTCTTCAATTGAGAGCCGGCCATGTTGGTGGGATTGATTGGCCGGGTGCGATGCCGTTGGGGGGGTGTTACGGCTTGTCGCAAGAGTTGATGGAAGCTTCTAAAGTCCGTGGTTCTCAGAAATTTTGAATGGGCATGCAAGTTGCCCCACTAGTAGGGAAAATTTTGGCGGTGGTCGCCGGCAGTAACACTGCAGTCCAGCGCTAACGCTCCTTCTGACGCAGCAAACAAGGGTTTACTGGTGGTTGCTGTGGGGCCTCGCTCATACATCAACAATTCAACATCTCAAACCATCAAATCATTCATCACCACTACCGGCTAACCATGGCCACCGCCCGCTTCCCCGGACTCGCCCTCGGATGGCTCACCCGGGCCGTCCAAGATGACCGGGTCATGTACGGATATCTAGCCATACACACCGTCGGCTGGCTCTGGGGCCTGCGCTTCCTGCTACGCAAGTGGCGCGACGAAGCTGAGATTAAGCCGCCTCAGCCGAAGACGCAGTACATCACGCAGGAGACTGAGGACGCCCTGAAGCTGGACACCCTAGACACTATGCTTCATCACTACAACCACGCGATCCGCGAGACGGCCTCTAAGATTGTGTGCGATCGGGCTGTGAATGACCGGGACACGGTGGATAGGTTGTTGTGGGGTATCACGAGGCCGGATTATGACGAGCGGATGGAGAATTTGAGGGCGTTGGCTATTATTACTGATCCACGTAGGTGCTGGATTTGGATTTTTAAATGTTTTTTTCGTGTTGCTGGTCTTGGACAACGCCCAAAAATAGTGGGACTAATAAGTTCACAGAAAGCCTTGAGGCACTGCATCACTGGAAAGCCTACGCCGCCCTCGTCAGGTCACTGGAACTATGCCTCGAACCGGAGCAAGAAGTACTCGGGCAAGAGGACTGGGACGAGTTCCCATTGCGCGACATGACAGAGAAGCTCTGCCTCATCTTCATTAGCCAGCTCCTAAACAACTACGGGCCCCAAAAACTCATCAAAGCCAAGTTCGTCGAGAAATGGCTAGCCAAGCAAAACTGGGGCGCCGACCTGGACACACGCCGAAGCAACTTCTCGCACTACTATCGCACCCGGCGCAACCGCATCACCGACATCATCGCGTCGGTCCGGTCCACCGATATCGGCCTCGAGGCCCTGGAGATAGCCGGCCTCCAAGAGCCCGAGTCTCCGCCGGACAGCGACGTCGAGATCGAAATAAACGACGGCGGTCAGCCCATGATTGAGCGGTTTAGCGTGCTGCTGCCGAATAACATTGACGTCAACGGCCTCCGGGAGGATGAGCGGGCGCGGGTCTTGTTACGGTCGTTGCAGAGCGCGCAGTCGGTGGAGGAGCAGCGGGTGCGGCACCGTCATAGGGAAGCGATTGTGTTGAATGATGGGTCCCGGCCTTTGAATAGTGATGATATCATCCAACGACCGGAATCACCTACGAGTGGATGAAGGGGCAGGGCAGGAAGGGGACGAAGGAAAAAGCATATCTTATCACACCCACGCCGCGTGTCGATCCCGGGTTCAATCGCCTCAACATTCCTACACAGTACGAAGTACACTTTGTATGTACCAATATGTGAGCAGTCCACTGACCACACGGCAGCACGTTTTGCGTTGAGAAGGCGGCCCGAAAAGAATGGGGGATCTACAGCTGGCCCAGATAACCTGGGATCAGATCCCCCGTCCCGCGCGCCTTTTTCCAAGCGTGCGATCCAGGCACCGCTTGTGACGCTGGGCGGGTGTCGCGGGAACTGACATGGCATGTTCCAGACGCGCGGGGGTCGTTTGGAAAAACTGGGTGGAAATGCGACGGAAGATGCCGGAATCAGAGCCGGTTCAATGGGCGACGCTAAGAGGATGGACGTCGGACAAAATGATCATGTTTTAGTTGGTTAGTGTACTTGTGTTAGTGTACAGAACCGCGGGTACAACAGCAGGCCGGTCGTACGAAGACTTCCTTTGGAAGCACGGCAGGCGGGCTGTCCCGGCGAGCGGTACGATGGGGTTGAGCTGATGGATGGATGGATGGATGCGGGTGCGAATTATCCGGGTTTTGCTGAATTGAATGGGCCGCGACGGCTTGGATGAAGGAGAGGTAGATTAGAGCAGTTAGCTAACACACCCATCTTTTCATCACCGATATGGTCGGTTGACTGCGAATGGTTCCTCGCTCGGATTCGTGCAAAGAGCTTCTCGATGCTGATGAACGAACGTTATGCAACTGCGTGCCTGCCAGCGTGGCAGCGTAGCATTGATAGACGGGAACCAGGGCCGGACCAAGGCCCCGCGGGTTGGTTATTCGTTTCCCGGGCCACCGTTTGTTGATCCGAACGTCAGCAACAACATGGGAGTTGTTGCTTTTGTGATGTCCGTTTGTGATTGAATGCGAAATTTACGAATTCTAGGAAAATTAATGCCGTCAGAACTGGCGGGCCTTTGTTCGGAAATAATTGACTCTTTTTTTCCTGACACTGAGACAGGGGCACATGTTGTTGTCCGCATTCATAATGCCTAGTCAAGCCGTCAGTCAATGTCAGTGTTATGTTAGACCGCAAAATCTCCGAATTTGGAACACGGGACCCTGAGACCCTTTCCCCCTTTCCTTCGTTTGCAGCCCGCTCCGCGGCGGGAAACACTGGGGAGATCTTCCTCTGGGATTTAAAACTATTTGACCCCAATGAGATCTCGCAACGGAAAATACAGTTGGGCGAATGACCGTAGCACAAGACGTCTCTCCTGAACCGGATGACTGGGGCGCCTTGCTGTGTTGTCATCCACTTCGACTCTGATTTTCCCTTTAACGCCATCTTTTTGTCCTTTTTCTCTCTCCCATGTCTCCTTCCCATCCTGCCCGTCGATCTCTCTCGGACAGCCCCTTCCCGTTCAGTGGCAACTCTGCCTTGGCGTCACCTGACGTTCCAGGTTTCTGGATAACCTAAGGCCAACGGTGCAAAACGTTTTAAACGTTAACGCGGAGACCCGAGACGACGGCCGGGATCCGGGACAAGGAGGATTGTCCGTGTTCGTTCGTCTTTTCCAGGTTGTTTCCGAAACGAACAAAGCGACCAAAGCGGCGGCAACCCTTCTATCATTGACCCGAGTGGCTGGAGCTTTCGCTTTTTGTTTTCCCTCTCATGACGACCGCCTGACGACCTCCCGAAAGAAGCGAAACTGCGACCTCCCACCGGACCATTGGATTGGCAGGAATTTGGAATTGCCAACCGCACTTCCAAGGTTCATCAGAGCCTTCCGAAGTTGGATAGTTTGCCGTTGCGCCACTGCCCTAAAAGCCTGAGGAAGGGACGAGAGGTTTGGGTGGATTCTGCTGCTCGGACCGTGAGTGGGTTCTCTGGTTCGCTGGATCCCGACCACCTAGCCGTGCGTGGCTGCTGACTGGTCCAGGGGCACCACAGCGGGTTTTCAGCGGGAGCGCTTCCTAGGCCCGGACGTTCAGTGCTTCCCCAGCGCACCCCCCTGGGGAGGACCACAAAAACCAGGGCCCCTCCAACCAGCAGTGGGGTGTAAACAATTAAAGACGGGCGGTCGCCAGGGCGCCCAGCCGGCCGGCCCAACACACCTAACCTTCCAGGTTACTTTTAGTTAGGTGCGTGCAGCCAACAACATGTCTTTCACCACGACCACCACCTCAACCTACAACACCACCACCCGACACACCCTATCTCGACGACCCGGCGGCCGCTCCGGCATAGCGACCGCATCAACGCCAAACCTGAACCAGCTATACAGTGGGAGCCAGGCGCAGGCCCATCCACCGTTGCCTTCGCCGTCGCGCCTCTTTCCGCCGGCGCTTGCGCGCAAGGGGTCGGTTGCAGCGCTCACGCAGAACTCGTTGGCTGCGATCCCGGACGATTCAGAGGGTTACGCTTACAACTCAGTCTTGACAAGCGGTGACACGCCTCCTACCGTTACCGCGACTACCCCTACTACATCTACCATGCCGCTTCCACACACGCCGGGCCGCTTTAACAGCGGGGGTCCCGGTGCCGGGGCCGGTGCTGCTGATGATGGTGTCGCTATTGGCGACACGGTTGATGTGCCGGGGAACATGACGGGCACTGTCCGATTTATTGGCTCAGTCGCTGGGCGCAAGGGCAACTTTGCTGGCGTCGAGCTGCATTCTGACCATGCGCCTAGGGGAAAGAACAGCGGCGATGTTGACGGGTGAGTTTGCTAGATTATTGACTTGCTGTTTCTTGTTGCTATTTGTTTTGGTCCTCTCGGCCTCATGTTTGGCCACGGTAACTAACTGGGATACCCCTTGTACAGCGTCTACTATTTCACCACAGCCCAGCCTGGCGCTGGCATCTTCCTCCCCCTCTCGAAAGCCGTCAAGCGCGATGTGACACCCACAGGTCCTCCCGGGAGCTCATTCCCAATGACACCAGCCAGCGCCGGCGGTCTGCGCGTCGTGAGCCACAATGCGACCAACTTCACACCGCCCACGCCGGGCGTTTCCAAGTTCAGCCAGTCTGTCGGCCCGCCGCGCGCCACGAGCCCACTGGGCAAGAAGATGCGCCCCTCGCTGCCACGGCCGGAGTCGCCAGTCAGAAGATTGATGACCCCCGGACCGCGTCCCACCATCGCGACACCGGTACCAAAGGGCCCACCCTCGAGATTCGGCAGCCCAACATCGGCTAACAAGTTCGCACAGAGCGTGCGCGGAACAGCGGGTGATCCCAACAAGCAGCGGATACCGGGACACACGCGGAAAGGTAGTGTCGGCCCGCGGAGTGTTTCGGTTCTCGGGACCACGTCGAACCCGCACTACAACGACGACGACACCACGCCCATCGGCATGCAAAGGACTCAGACGAACGGTAGTATGGGCTCGGTCTCGTCCTTTGCGCTCAAGGTGCGGCCAGCGTCGCGGGCCATGTCACGGGCCGGGGGTCGCGAGCAAGACGAGGAGATTGAGCGGCTCAAGGCGGCGCTCGAGGACAAAGAAACACAACTCAAGGAGCAAGGGGCGGCGCTGGCCGAGATGGAGACCAGCCTGACGGAGCTGCAGGGGATCATCGAGACCTCTCCAGGCTTGCCGGGACCACCGCAGCGCGACGACCTGGACGACAAGGACTCGGCGCAGCTGCGGGCGCTTCTGCGAGAGAAGAACGAGAAAATCGCCACTCTGACAGCCGAGTTTGACGCGCACCGCGCCGACTTCCGGAGCACGATCGACACCTTGGAGATGGCGGGCAGCGAGACGGAGCGTGTGTACGAAGAGCGGATCGAGGGTTACCTGCATGATATCCGGGAGCTGCAGGACAGGACGGCGGACGTGGATACCGTCGCGGCGCAACTTAAGCAGTTGGAGGAGCTGGTACAGGAACTTGAAGAAGGTCTCGAGGATGCACGGCGGGGCGAGGCCGAGGCTCGTGGGGAGGTTGAGTTTCTTCGCGGGGAGGTCGAGCGGACGCGTAGTGAGCTCCGCCGGGAACGCGAGAAGGCTCAATCTACCATCCCGGGCGCGAACGGGGCCGTCAACGGGGGCTCCATGTCGAAGGAGTTGGAGCAAAAGGAGGACGAGATCCGCGGGCTCAAAGCCATCATCCACTCGCTCAGCCGCGACTCGGTACCTAATGATAACAACAACGCCAACAACAACAGCAACCACCCCGATCGGCCACCGTTAGCCCAGCGGCAGTCTTCGTTCCGCACGCACCAGGGCGAGTCCATCGAGGACCGCCTCACGCGCGAGAAGCTTGACCGCGAAGTCGCCGAGCTACGCGCCCTGGTCGAGAGCAAGAGCTCCCGCGAAGAGGACCTCGAGCGCGAACTCGAGACCCTCCGCCGTGGCAGCGTCATGACGGCTATTGGCCCCGGCCACCGCGCCAGCGCCGCTATGACAACGGCATCCAACGACCGTAATTCGATCCGCGATTCCAGGGCGACTGTCATCGCTCCCCCGCGCATCGACAGCCCTGAGCAGCAGCATCAGCACCACTACCACCACCACCAACAGCAGCAATCCCAGTCTTCCCACAAAGCCGGGTCGCTAACCAAGCACAACCGCGGCAGCACCCTCGACACGATGCCCGAGAGCGACACGTACAGCACCGCGACGGAGAACTCCACGCTGTGGTGCGAGATCTGCGAGACGTCTGGTCATGACATCCTCACATGCACTAATGTCTTTGGACCGGACCAGCAGCAGAAGCAACAACAACACCAACAACAGCAACGCAATACTACTGACGGAGCTGATTCCGGCACAGACAACGGCGCCCCGCTCACCTCCACCAACGACACCGTCGAGACAACAACAACAGAAAACGAGTACCACGATATCACACCCGGCGGTGGTGGCGCGCCGGCACCGTTGAGTCCCGTTAAGACTATCCGGGCTGCTCCCTTGCCTCAACCTCTGAGCCAGCCTCAGACTCAGGGCGGTCAGAATGAGGATGGAGCGGCAGTGGGGACGACACCGACGGTGAGGACGATTCCGAACCCGATGGAGTCGGGGCCGGTGGCGGGAAGGGATAGTGGGGTGGTGGATGCGGGCAAGTGGTGTGCGTTGTGTGAGAGGGATGGACATGATAGTGTTGATTGTCCTTTTGAGGATGCTTTCTAGGCTTCTTTCCTCGGTGGGTTTTTGGGAGAGAAGTGAAGTCTAAGGGAGGTGAGAGGGAGACATTGTGAGCAGCGGCTGTGAGATCTGAGGCGGGGGATTGTTGGGAGTGATGGATGTTGGCTGATGCTGGGCTATGTGGGTTATGCTGGGTCATGTGGTTCGATACATGGGTTTGATACATCCATCCCATGTCAGGGCACACCTTCTTTCTTCTTTTTCATTTTCATTTTTATTTTGCTTTATGTATCAGCAAAAAGGCAACCAAGCAAGCAAGCTACAGTGGGCGAGCGAGCTAGTTGACTGACTGACTCCAAACTCATGGGTGATGAGGACGATTTTGATCTGAGTACCTACTGTATCTACCTACAGTACATTACCCTGTTGACCTTATCTCCTAGAGTCACGGTGGTGGGTGTGCATCTGAGCGAGGTATGGATGTCCAGGGTGGATTGTAAGGGAAAATGGGTTGGTGAAACGATGGGATTGGTTCATTGTTATAATGATGTAGTAAAAGCTTGTAATCTTGTTATTGTTTGTAGGGTTGAAGTGGGGGTGGTTGGGGATGGTAGAGGGGGCCTGAGTAAATGTGCCGGCTATGTCAGATGAGTAGAGAGAGCTGTAGGCAAATGTAACTTTGTCTTGACCAGAGAGTACAGGTGGATAGAATATTGTCATGCTTCTTGTTGTGGTCGTGCTAACTGTTAGGATACTTCCCAGAATGGATGTTGAAAGTAGCCCCCCCCCTCGACGGCCTGCTAGGCTAGTTCCTCGATAGCTATTACGGCAAATTCATCCTCTCCTCCAGGTTGCTGCAAACACACAATAACCCTTGCTCGACCTCGTCCTTTTCAACTCCTTCGTGAGCCATCTTCGTCTGGGTTCACGTCTTGATGACGACGCCCCGAGGCTGAGGCCGGCGTCATGGTATACTGCCCCACTGTTCTTTGCTGTCCATACCCCTGTTCACAGCCACGTGATAGCGTACTACGTAAACAACGCCTTGAATTGCTCGGCCATTCGAAAAAAACTTGCGTCCGGATGTGGTTTAGGCTCGGGAATACAGCGATAACGCTGCCAATTTAATATAAACCAACGAAGTAAAGGTGTCAGTAGCAAGTACGTATCGAACACATTGACTGGGAACAGTTTTACGAGTTCAACAGCCAAGTTCGTCGCGCCAGAAGCTTGAGAGTGCGGTTTTTGCGAAGACAAACGAGTTCCTCGGCAAGAAGGTTGATATTGCGGGTTAGGGTTAGATACGGCCCCGCTGCAGCGCCCGCGTCGAAGGCCCGGCGGCTGGGACCCTTGCCAGCGCAGCAAACCAATCCCACCTCACCTGCGCCTGCGCCTGATCGAGCTGCGTACCCGTCAGCAAATGTTGACATTGACAAACCTGGGCTGTTCCCTTACTTTTTTCCTTTACAATTTTGAGGGCGTTGTTTATTATACCTTGACGGTAACGAAATTGGGCCGAGACGTCACGGGCATTTGGTGTTTCTCTGCTGTGATCGGGACATTTTGCCATTCCCATCGCCACAATAATTTTGCGACGAAACGGACAACACGGAACGGACGGCGAAGCAAGCAAGCGAGAACGAGACGATCATCCCGCGATCGAACGCTGAGTTGTTCAGCGCCGAGTGACGACAACGACGACGAACCGAAACATTGACCTCCCTGGTCAATTCAACTTTTACCGAGTATCTCAAACTCAACACCCCGCGCAACAGCAGCCATGGCGCAAGTCTTTTTCGACCTCATATCCTCCTTCGGGAGCTGTCTCAACTGCTTCCCTAGTTCGCCCACACTCAAGATCAACAGCCGCAGCTTCAAGATCCTGCGCCTGCTCGGCGAGGTGCGTTCTCCTCCCTAGCTTTAATGCCCTCAACCTTAAGAGAAGGGGCAACGAATCGCTAATAATCGGTCCAGGGCGGCTTCTCCTACGTCTACCTAGTCCAAGACACTTCAACCTCGGAACTCTTCGCCCTCAAAAAGATCCGCTGTCCCTTCGGCGCCGAATCCGTCGCCCAAGCCATGAAAGAAGTCGACGCCTACAAGCTCTTCGCGCACTCCCCCGGCGTCATCCACAGCGTCGACTACTCCATCGCCACGGAGCGCGGGTCCGGCGAGCAATCCAAAACAGTCTATGTCCTGCTGCCGTACTACCGCCGCGGTAACCTGCAGGATATGATCAACGCCAACTTGGTGAACCATACCCGGTTCCCTGAGAAGAGGTTGATGTTGCTGTTTTTGGGGGTGTGTAGGGCTATGAAGGATATGCATCAGTACCAGGGGGGTGGTGCTGCTGCTGCAGCGGGGCAGGATGGTGCTGCCGGGGGGGATACGCGTGGGGAGAGGATGGAGGTTGGTGGTGGTGAGGGGGCACGGGCGCGGGGGACTAAGGTGGCGGATGGGGATGACGAGACGGAACATCACCGGCCGTTGTTGACGGAGGATGAGCGGTTGCCGACGGCGACGCCGGGGTCGAAGAGGAGTTATGCGCATCGTGATATCAAGCCGGGTATTTACCCCCTTTTCCCCTTTCCCCCTTTTCCTTCCTAGCAAAGAAGACAAACTTATGCTAATACACCCCCAGCCAACATCATGATCACCGACTCCGGCACCGACCCCATCCTAATGGACCTCGGATCCGTCGCCGTCTCCCCTTTACCCATCACCAGCCGGTCTCTCGCCATCGCCACCCAAGACACCGCCGCCGAGCACAGCACCATGCCGTACCGCGCGCCAGAGCTCTTTGACGTGAAAACCGGCACAGTCATCGACACAAAAGTCGACATCTGGTCGTTGGGCTGCACGCTGTACGCGTGTTTGGTGGGGAAATCGCCGTTCGAGATGCGCTCGGATGAGACGGGGGGTTCGTTGAGTATTTGTGTGTTGTCGGGGGATTGGCGGTTTCCGGATGAGGGGCCGGGGGGGAAGAAGAAGGGGAAGGGGAAGAAGTCGGCTGGTGCAGGTGGAGGTGCAAACCCAAGTGGGGGTGGGGATGATGAGGAGAGTATTAGTGAGCCGATTCGGGAGGTGGTGAGGAAGTGTTTGAGGGTGGAACCGAGTGAGAGGCCGGATATTGATGAGTTGATTGAGATGGTGGAGGAGGTGGTGGAGGCGTTGCCTGAGGATGGGTCGGCTTGAGTTTCTCTGTGGTGGTTTCTTGTCTGTGTATCTGTGGGCGTGGCACTTCTCCTTTCTTCTCAAGTGGGCGGTGTTGGGCGTTGGCTAGTTTGACGGGGGGTTCACGTCTTTCTTGTTATAGCTTGAGGCGGCAATGTGCCTTTAAACCAGTGGTATCAGCGAATACCGATCAAAATACAGCGGGTTACAGCGGCCACTCTATTTATCTACGTGTCTAGTCATGACTCTAGATCTTTATCTCCCGCAATCTGAACAATCCAACCTATATATATAATCCCCAGCCCAACATGTTCTTCACTGAGCTGCGGTAGCAGCAGCAGCCTCATCCCTCGCAATCGCCTCATCCGCCCTCGCCACACACTCCTCCAACACCTTCCAAAACAGCGGAATATCCAAATTCCTCGGAATCCTCACCCCCTTCTCCCCCGGCGGCAGCAACCTCGCCTTGATCTGTCCCGTCTTGGTCTTATTCGCCCGCGCTTCCTCGTACGACCCCTCCGTGACAACAGTCACTTCGAAGCGTTCTCGGCTCGCGGGGGGGTGGTAGGCGTCGCTAGTCGTTTGGGTTAGGTTGGTGTCGCAAAAGGGGATCTCGTGCTGCGCGTGGGCGTGGTGGGTGTGGTCGGGGTCGTCGGCGAGACCGGTTAGGACGGCGGCTACGGCGAGGGGGTCGTGTAGGGGGGGACCGCCGGTTATGCCGAAGACTTCGCTGTTGTTGTTTGTCGTAGCGTTAGTGTCTCCTTCTTGTTCTGTTTCATCTCTCTCTCAGGGGTGGCTATGTATATCCCAGACTTACCTATACGTCCTCGCAAAAAACATCAACAACTCCACCAACATGGTCCTCAACCTCGTCTTCCCCTCTCCCTCCTTCACTCCCCCCCTTTTCCCCTCCGGCCCATACAACAACAACCCCCTGACCTCCTCCGTCGTCAACACCAAATGACTCAAATCCAACGGGATCAACGTCGTCTTCCCCGCCAACTCCCTATCCCCAAAAATCCCCTCCGCCGCCTCCGGATCCGCCAAAACATTAAACTCGGCAAACTGCGTCCAATTCCCCACCCTCGGCACCCCTTCCACAGCGCCCAACACCGCATCCGTAAACCCATCCCCCAGCGCCCCGCCCATCAGCGACAACCCCTTGATATGCCCGACCAAATCGGGATACCGCGCAAACAGACCAGCGACGTTGGTGAATGCGCCCGTGGCGACGACCCAGGCTGTTCCGGGGGGGCAGGCGCGCAGAGCGGTGTAGGCGGCGTCGATGGCGGAGGGGGTGGTGATGGCGGGGACGGTGGGGGTCGGGAGGAGGTCGGTGCCGTCGAGACCGGTGTGGCCGTGGATGTCGGTCGGGGCGTGCATCGGGGGGCGGACCAGGGCGTGGGAGGCGCCGACGTGGACGGGGATGGCGGTGGCTTTGTGGAGGGCGGTTAGGATGGAGGTGGCGTTTTGGGTGGTTTTTCTATGTCTTGGTATTAGTATTTGTATGGTGGTGATGGTGAGATGAGGGATGAGGGACCTACTCGAGCGAGGCATTGCCAAAGACGGTCGAGACGCCGAGGATGCGGATGGCTGGGTGGTAGGCCGCGAGCAGGATGGCAAAGGTGTCCTATTCGGAAACAATTAGAACTCATGAAGCTATTCACAAATCCGGCCGGCGAACTCCGGTCCGTCAATCCCGGCGCTTCCCCCGCATTCATCTTCCGGCAAGGATGTCTCGGTTTTTAATAGCACGAGCCGAGTGACGGACCGCATCATGGCTCGCGGGGTAAAAACTTACATCATGCCCCGGATCACAGTCCAGCCAGACCGGAATGCGCGTGTCTTCAATGGCCATAGTCGTGAAGTGAGATGAGAGTGAGGGATGAAAGATGAGACGGGTGGGTTAGGGTTGAGAATACCGCAGTACAGTACAAGAGAATGCTGCAGCAAGTTACAACGCGGTTTGGAATTGATCCTCCGCTTGTCTGAAATGCAGGCTAAAAGAAACAAGACAACAAAATAGCAGTCACAAAGAGTACTGGACAAAGCGACACGGCTTCAAAGAAAGTCAAAGAATGAAATCAGGGGCGGGTAATTGTTGTTGGGACCGACGTTTCAAGTGCCAGTTGCTCCGCTGCGTACCGTCGAGGGATAACCCAGAGGGTCCACCGGATCTGATCGCATGAGCAGCAGAAGCTGGCGCAGTTACCCAATCGGGAAGTTGGATGAGGTAACCAATTCTCTTCTGCTGACTGAGACTTGTCGTATTTTACAGTACAGTACTTGTCCGTCAAGTTCAACATTGTTAGAAGTCTATGTTAAACCCAAACTGACAGATTGAGCTTAACTGTCCGTGACCATTTTCGAACCCCAAAACTACGACGACTTCTGCCTCTGCATAACCCTCATAACATCCTCAAAATTATTCTTATCCCCCTTCCTCTTCTTCCCCCCTCTCTTCCTCTGCTGTGTCTTCCCACTCCCACCACCACCACCCTCCTCATCACCATCCCCATCACTACCCCCCCACGTAGACAACTTCACCTTTCCACCTCCCTCCTCCAAATCCGCCTCGTCCTCCACCCGACTCGACCCAAACCCCATGTCCATGTCCTCGTCGTCGCGGTGCAGCTCGCTGAGTTTCTGTTTGAGCCGGGCTTCGCGCTCGGCTGCTTTTTGTTCTTCTGCGGACTTTTCCAGTGCCCCTGCTGCTTTGGCCTTTTGGAGGGCTGCGCGGAAGGCTGGGTCGTCGAGGGAGGGGGCTTTGTAGGTTTCGGATGAGGTGAGGGCGGTTTTGGAATCTTGGAAGTAGTTCCTTGATGCGGGTGTCGTGGCGTTGTTTGGAATTGGTCGTGGTGGTGGGGGCATTGCCGTGGATGTAGCTTTTATCTGCGGCTTCTCCTCTTTCGTTCTCCCCTCCTCTGCCTCGCCCTCCTCTTCAGACGACTCATCCGACCCCTCCAACCCAGCAAGCGGATTATAATCCGAGCCAGCATCCTCAAAGATACTCTCAATCTCCTTCTTCCCCTCCTCCTCCGCCTTCTGCGCCTCCAACTTCTTCCTCACCTCCTCCGGCACCTCCATTCCCAAAATCTCCCCCGACGCCGCCAACATCACCCGTTCCCTCTCCTCCTCCTCCGCCGCAACCCTCGGGTCCACCTTGCGCACCTTCCGCCTCTCATGCCCGTCCTCATCCACGATAATCATCACCTCGCGCCCTTTGCCATCTCGCTCTATCCGCGTGCCGGGGGTCTTCTTCTCGCCGATTTTTTTGAACCGTGACCCTAGACTCGACTCGGCTTCTTTCGCTTTGGCAGCAGCTGCTGCTGCGCGTGCAGCTTTGAGTTCAGCCAAAATCTGGTTCCGCGAGCGTTTCTGCCCTGGGTTGAGGCCCGTCGTGGCGAACTGGCCCTTTTTCTGCACCTTTTCCCTTTCCACAGCCTTCACCTCCGTCGCCTCCAACCTTTCCAGCGCATCATCCGGATCCTCTCCCTCTCCCTCTATCCCATCTCCCTTCCCCCCGTCCCCCTCCTTCTCTCCCCCAGCCCCCCCACCATTGTGTAGTTCTCCATCCCCCCCACCCCCAAAAACATCCTCCCCCCTCCTCACCCTCTCCAACAACCTAAAATCCAACCCCTTCACCAAATGCGTACTCCCCAAATCCCCGCCTGCCACCTCAGCCCGTAACCGATCGTACATCTCCCGATCCATCTCTTCTTTTTTGAACGATTCCTCTAGCACTTTCAACCGCGCCGCCCGTTCATCGTCTTCTTGTTCTTCGCGGGTACGTGCGCGATCGACGTAGCCTTGGGCGGGTTTACTGCCTTTAGGGGCGAAGGAGCGGAATTGGTTTTTGTTTTTGGGTTTGTTGTTTTGATCGGGGGCTTGGTTTTGTTCGGCGAGTTGGCGGGCAAAGGTGGATCGGTTGGTGTTGGAGCCGGCGCTACCGGTGACGGAGCGGGGGGTCATGGGGATGCTGGATTTGAGGCGGGAGCCGAGCGCCGCGGTGGAGGACGGTCGGGAGGATGCTGGGGGAGACGACGCGCCATTGTTGTTGGGGGAGGGGTTGGATTGGGATTTGGATTTGGAGGTGTTGGCGAGGAGGAGCCGGCGGAATTGGTCGTTGTTCATGGTTGTGAGTACAGCGCGGGAGAGGGAGGTTGTTGGATGGGGAGTTGAGGTTGCGTTTGAGTTCGAGTTGGAAGTGGCCTGCAAGGTGCCTGCGACGATCGAGATTAGTTTTAACCCTAACCCTAAACATCAAAAGCAACGGTGTGGGGGTATTTGTCATGTGACTGCGCGTAAAAGCGGGGTTCGGGGACTTGCAGGGCGCGTTTTCGTCGCATTCCCATTTACAACTGCGTTTGCCACTGCAAGGCGTCAATGATAAGTCTTGAACATGGCACCTTGCGCCGCGGCATTCCCATTTCGTCACAAACTCAGTTTCTGTCTTGACCACCTCTCTTTACGATGAAGGTGTAGATATCTCGCTGAGTCTTGACCTTTCATGATGTCATTACCACCGCTGCCGCTGTCTAAGTACTTGTTCATCACCCTCGGTGCTGCCTACATATAAGCCAAAAACATGGGCAGCCGGCTCGAGAAAAACTCCGAGGCCGTGCGGAAGCGCATCGCCAACCACGAGTTCCACGATGAGGACGGCGACGAGTACGCGGCCAGCTCGTTTGGCGGCTTCGGCGAGTACTTTGAAAAGAAACAGCTGAAACTGCAGAATCTGGACGCCGAACTGCGCGCTACCCGGGGGGACACACCGCAGATCTTTAAGGGGGTTGTGGCTCATGTCACTGGCTACACCCAGCCGCCTCTGCACGTGTACGTTGGTCTCTCTCACTTGGCTTGTCACTTGGCCTGTCACTTGGTCTCTCATTCAGTCTGTCACGTAACCGGAATACATAGTAGACTTGACTAACACCCCACAGCCTGCACAAAGACCTCGTCCTCCACGGCGCCGCCTTCCTCCAGTATCTCGGCGGCAAAACCATGGCAACGCACATCATCGCATCAGCCATGCCGCCGCGCAAGACAGTCGACTTCGCCCGGTACCGCGTCGTCAAGCCGGCGTGGGTGACCGACTCGATCCGCGCAGGCAAACTGCTGCCGTGGTCGGACTACCGCGTGCTGGACGACGGCCCGCGGCAAAAGACGATCCGATTTGAGGGTGGGAGGTTGTTAAGTCAGGCTGGTGGTGGTATAGGCGGTACGCAGCAGCCGTCGCCACGGGGGTATCGCGAGCAGACGCAGAATAGCTTTTATACGAGCCAGTTTTCTCAGGGCGGGCAGGGCCAGGGACGGGGACAGAAAGCGGGTGGGAGGTTGGGCGGGCAGGGGTCGAGTAGTCCGTTTCAACCGACGCCGTCGAGGAAAGGGGCGTCGGTGGAGTTGGAGGGGATTGAGGATTTTGATGATCTGGATGTGGATATGCTGCTGGAAGATCCTATTCTGGCGGAGGAAGGCCTCGCGAAAGAGGTCCTCGCGGAGAAGCAGCCGAGTGTTCCTCCGGTCGACGCACAGCTTCCAGATTCAGGCCCAACATCCCCCCCACCAGACCAGGCTCAGCCAGAAGAGACTGGAGACACACCTCAACCACCGGAGAAATCGATGGCGGCGGAGAAACCAATGACATCGGAAGAGCACAACGCCCTCCTCCTCCAAGACCCCAAGATCCGCAAATCCTCAACAGCCAACCCCGATTTCCTCAAACAATACTATTCCGAAAGCCGACTCCACCACCTCTCAACCTGGAAAGCCCAGCTAAAAGCCCGCCTAATGAACATGGCCGCCGAGCGCGGCCCCGCCCCAACAAAAACCAAGCGCAAGCCCGGCACCCGCCGATACATCATGCACGTCGACTTCGACAGCTTCTTCTGTGCGGTCTCCCTCAACCAGCACGCGCCCGACGCCCGCGACAAGCCTGCGGTAGTGGCGCACAGCAGCGGCAGCGGGTCGGAGATCGCTTCGTGCAACTACCCGGCCCGGGCGTTTGGGGTGAAGAATGGCATGTGGATGAGGCGGGCCAAGGAGCTGTGTCCAGACCTAAAAGTGGTGCCGTATGATTTCCCGGCGTATGAGGAGGCTAGTCGGCAGTTTTACGATGCTATTCTCGGAGTGGGGGGTGTGGTGCAGAGTGTTAGTATAGATGAGGCGTTGGTTGATGTTACGGATATTGTGCTCAATACCACAGGCTCCGAGGGTGTGGGGGTTTCGGAGGGGAGTATGTACCGGGAACAGGCGAAAGTGGACGAGATTGCGACTAGTCTCCGGGCGGAGATCAAGAAGCGGACGGACTGCCACGTCTCGGTCGGCATAGGCGGGAATATATTACTCGCCAAGGTGGCGCTGCGCAAGGCCAAACCGGCTGGTCAGCACCAGATCCGGCCCGAGGAGGTACTCGACGTGCTAGCCGACCTGAAAGTCGAGAGTCTCCCGGGGGTCGCCTACAGCATCGGGGGTAAACTCGAAGAGGTCGGCATCAAGTTGGTCCGGGACCTGCGGGAGACGTCCAAGGAGCGGCTGACGACGCTGCTCGGGCCCAAGACGGGCGAGAAGCTGTGGGAGCACGCGCGCGGGATCGACCGCGCCGAGGTCGGCGAGCAGCCCATGCGCAAGTCGGTATCGGCGGACGTGAACTGGGGCATCCGGTTCATCAGCCAGGACGAGGCCGAGGAGTTTGTGCGCAATCTCTGTAAGGAACTCGAGCGCCGGTTGCTGGGGGAGTATGTCAAGGGGAAGAATATGAGTATGAAGATCATGCGGCGGTCGCTGGACGCGCCGCTGGACCCGGCGAAGCATTTGGGTCATGGGCAGTGTGATACCTTTACCAAGAGCGTCGCGTTTGGCGTGGCTACTAACGACAGCGCGGTGCTGGGGAAAGAGGCCGTGGCTATTCTACGATCGTACAAGTTTAGTCCTGGGGATCTGCGCGGGCTCGGCGTGCAGATGACCAAGCTGGAGCCCATCAAGGCGTCGGCTGCGCCCGAGGGCAGCCAGCGAAAGCTCAACTTTGGCGTGCCGCCGCCCGCGAAGCGGCTCAAGACGGAGGCCGTGGACGGCGTTGCTTCTGTCGTCAAACCGTCAAGTCGCCGCTCGTCCGGGCAAGAAGTCGAGGAAGACCCCATCTCGGTCGATCCCCTGACACCGAGAAAACACAAAGTACACCCGGCTCTCGCGCTCGCCAAAGCCAACGCGGCCGACGAGAAGGCCAACTCACCCCTCAACCTCACCGGCACGCAGTTCGTCCTCCCATCCAACGCCGACCCGGCCGTGCTGGCCGAGCTTCCCGACGACATCCGCACCAAACTCATGCGCCAAGCCAAACGCCCGCCCTCGGCCCCCTCCCGCAGCGCTTCCCCGGCTGTTCCGCCCCGGCCTGACAGTCCTGCCGCGACAGATGAGATCCCGCCAGACGTCGACCCGGAAGTGTTCCACGCCCTGCCCGAGGATATGAAAGCCGAGGTTCTGGCGTCTTACGGCCACCGGAAACGGCCGAGCACAACAAGCGCCGTGCACCAGTCGCCGCGCAAGGACAGCATCATCCACCGGCCGCGGGACCGAGGCACGCCGCCGAGGAGGGGGGGTGGTAAATCGCTGCTGAGTCGGGGGCGTGGGCGTGAGCGCCAACAGGATGCGGAGGCGGGTCTTATGCAGACTAGTCTTGCGCCTGTTCGGCCTGCGGTATCTAACCCGGGAAATGGCAACGGTAGTGACGCTGCCAGCGGGCCAGACGACGGCTCAATACCAGACCTCGACCCGGCCTTTCTCGCCGAACTCCCCGAGGACGTCCGCGCCGAAGTTATCGAGGACCACCGCCGACGTAAACTCGCGGCCCAACGACGCAGTCTCAAACTTCACGCCCCAGCCCGTACCACCACCACCAGCATACGCACAAACACAAACACAGGCCCAAGCACAAGCGGTACAAGTACCATCCCCCGCATAAAATTCCCCCCCAAACCCCCCCAACTCCCCTTCGCCCACTCCACCCAAACCTCCCTCCCCGAAATCAAAGAAACCATCGCCGTCTGGCACGAAGCCACGCGCGATGAAGGTCCGCATGCGGCAGATGTCGAGGTTTTCGCGCGGTATCTGCAGCGGGTGGTCAAGGAGGAGAGGGATATGGAGAAGGCGGGGGTGTTGGTGAAGTGGTTGAGGTGGGTTGTGGAGGAGGGCCCGGAGGGAGAGGGGAAGGAGGCTTGGAGGGGGGTTTTGAGGGGGTTGGAGGGGGGGGTTGAGGGGGCTATGGAAGAGAGGGGGTGAGGGGTGTAGACGGGGTGAGGGTTAGAGGGGGGGAGGAGGAAGAGAAGTGGGACGGGTATATACAGTTGGGTTGTATTAACGATCTGGGTATGGTACATCGGGTTACAGTACAGCGGATTAGCGTAACGCAAATGATACCACGCCTAGTGTAACCAACCCCGTTCGAATTTAGACAGGGGAGACGGACAGAAGGCTAAGGAGAGGTAGAGGGTATATGGGTATATACAATACAAATCGGTATATATCAATCGTCCAACTACAGCATCTCGGATTAAAGCAGCGCCAGTGATACCACGCCTGCTATGGCCAACCCTGTCCAGAATACTCGGATGGTCGCAGCGTCACTCGCTTTGTATACCTACAACTAATTGTCAGCGACCATTACCATTACCATTACCATTACCATTATCATTACCAGTCCCAGTCCCACAGTCCGTAAAGCCGCCATCACCAGGGCTGAGGACTTTGGAGCAGTGATAAACGGCAGATAGAGGGAGTGAGAGATGGAAGATGGGGAGATATGGTACGGGTGTCAGAGCAAGGTAGAGTAAGAGTAAACGCACCGTCAGCTTGAGATTCCCCCCGCATGCCTGGGAGTCGTTGCCTTCACAGCCCAGGTCGCAGTCGTTGTCGCCGAGCTTGGTTGCCAGGCTGGAGAGCGATTGGGCGCACCAGCATTCTCTGTTTGAGAGTGAGTTAGTAATTCTCTCTCTAGCCATCATCCCGTCGTCTAATACACCGAGGTTGTACAAAGTCGACTTCAACCTTGTGACACAACCTAACTCGACCCAAGCCCTCAGCTCAACTTAGCCCGACTCAACCCGATTAACCCAACCCGTATCAACTCATCTCATCACCAACTCAACCCAATCCACCCACACACCCATCCCCATGATAAAATCCCGAGAAACACAAAAACTCACCTAGCATACTCCAACCCGGCGTACTCAAACCGTCCACTCCTCCCGCCCTTCGCATCCCCCGCGCCAGTACTACAAAACGTCCAGCACTTCTCCACCGTCATCTGCCCCGGCACAGCCTCATTCTTCCCTCCATTCAGCGCCCTCGTCCCCGTCGTGCCGCGGATTCCGGTCGTCTCGTTGTAGCAGCCTAGGTAGCTATAGTGCGAGGCAGGGTCGGTGGGGTGGATTAGTTTCTTGTTGGTTTTTTTGGGTTTGGGGGGGGAGGTGTTGGGTTTCGGGGAGGAGGTGGAGGTGCTGGAGGAGGCGGTGTTGGTGGGGTTGGGGTTGGGGGAGTTGTTGTTGTTTTGGGTGTTGGCGGTGTTGGACGTGGTGTCGTCTTGGGTGTCGGTGTCGGGGGTGGTGTGGGGGGCGCCTGGGACGTTGATTGTGTCGGGGGAGTCGTTATCGTCGCCGCTGCCGTGGGTGTTGTGGTGGGGTTTGGTCGCCAAGGTTAGGGCGAAGAGGGTTGTGAGTGTGAGCGTGGTGAGGCGCATGGTGATGGTTGTGTGAAAGTGGTGGTGATGTTGTGGTGATAGATGTCGTGGTGTTGTGGAATTTTGACGATGTTGAAGTGGCTGTGAGACTATCGAAGTGTCGGGATCGCGAGGAAATAAGATAGCGGATCGCGTCTTAGATATCCTCGCGTGGAGTGGTAATTAATGAAAAAAAAGAGAGAATGAAGACCCAGAACGCGGAAAGCTGGATAAATGGAAAACAGCCCAAAATAAAGTAAAATAAGATGAAAAAAAAATAAAACCCCCAGCCGACGACCATTCGGATCACGGCCCGCCTCTAGACCCTCGCGTTTGTCTTGACAGCAACCTCATCTCGTTCCCCTGCAGCGCATCAGCATAAGGCTGAGGCAACCAAATATCGACCCACTTTAAGTGCGACCTCACTCTGCAGCGTACAATTAACGTTGCTGTCAAAGACCCAACAGCATGTACTATGTAGCATCTCACTGCGGCTGGAAGAACCAACAGCCAACAGCGCTGGCAGCAGCCGAATCTATTGGCAGATTCACGCACTCAGTAATTTAGAGTGCATTGGCCCTGTGCCGTCTGCCCGACGGCGAGAGGCCTCCCTTGCAGACTTCCATGCAGAAAGTTCACAAGGGTATTGATGAGAAAAGGGGGATGAGAAAAGGGGGATGAGAAAAAGGAGGTGATGAAAACACCATGTCACAATTTTCAAGAATTCTCACTTGCCATTGTAAAAGACCAGGCTCATAACTGTCGCAAAAGACAATGTTCCCTTGACCTAGCAAATGGTACACTTTTATGCTTGTGACACCTAGGTTTGGACGTGTCAATACCATCATCACCCGGTACGGTACGAAGGACATGCATTCCATATGCACCGTCCTGACCCCCTCAACAGGTTCCGGAGACTAGACCCCCACATACGGCCATAGACAGGAGAAAATTACGGGATTCCATCCGCTTTCCCCTAGTCAAACTACTGATCCCTTATCGTCGGTAGACTATCTTTTGGCAACGGGAAAACGCTGCCAAGCGGCGTCAACCTCATCATCAATTGTTAAGCTGGCCGTCTCAACAAACGCGCCGGCAGCGTCCGCGACCGTAGCGAGCGACAACGAAAAGCGGACGAGGACGATGAGCAGCTCTTAGAGGCCAAGCACCTGGCTGGGGTTGGCATACCGCTCCGCGCGAACCCGTACGGGTGGCTCTCCTTGGTAGGTACAGTACCTCTGGAACCTGTGGATGACCTCGTCGATGGCCTCGGCGCCCTTGTCCTACTGCCGCAGCCCGATCCAGCAGCAGCTGAGGTGGCTCAGCGCGTTGGACACGCGCACGTCCATAGTCGTCCTCCCGCGCCGCGTAGCAGAGCTGTAGCGCTTCCTTGAGCAACCATCTCTCCCACTGGTACCTAGTAAGCCGAGTCGCCGAGTAGGGAGCCAAGGACCTCGCCCTGCGCGGTGAGGAGGTTCCATGGTGCAGTCGGCGTAAAGGGCCTGCAGACGCATGACGTGCGGCAGCATCTCCTGGCACTCAACCCAGGAGGCCGTCAGAGGCTCAGCGACGTGCTGGGCGGGAAACTGCTGGCGGATGAGAGCGGTGGCTTCGTCAAAGCCGGGCCGCTTGAAACTTGGCCAGGTCGTCTTAGGTGTAGACGCAGGAGCAGGTCCCGCTGCAGCAACCGGTGGATCGAGTGCCGACGCCCCGGATCAGCAGGCTTCATGTGAAGGAAAATGGAGGGAGCTGCTGTGTGTACAGTGTTAGATACCGTAGGCTTACGGGGTGCTCTTTCCATCCGCCGTTACGCGACGGAGAGAGGGGTTTCCACCACCGAGGCAGGAACGATGAGGCTCGGTGCTGTAGGCTCTGAGCTGACAGAGACCACTCGCTTGCTTTGGGCTGTCCCCCCAGCGTGCCTTTTCCAAGACCGCCGCACCAGTCCAGACTTTAGGTCCAACCTAGCACCGTCGGGCAACTTTGGCGCAGTGAGGGGTATTCCCTAATATGTGGTCGGCACATCCCCTCACTATTCGTAGCCTGGTTACTAGTATCTGGCACCGACCCGCCGTTTCTCGGCTCCTTCCTCTTGTGCAGCGAAACCGAACCCCGTTGGTGTGGCAACGATTCTCAACAGCCGCCGTCATGGTGTCGTTCGACGTACGGACCGCGACCGCAAGTCAGCTCCAGGAACTGCTTCAAGGTGGCAGTGTGACGAGCGAGGACATCGTCGAGGAATACCTGCAACACATCGACAAACACAATGACCGGCTTCGAGCCCTGGTAGAAGTGGCTCCCAAGGACCGTGTGCTATCGATTGCAAGACAGTTGGACGAGGAGCGCAGGGGCGGCTCGACCAGAGGCCCTCTCCATGGCACCCCTATCATCGTTAAGGTAGGCTAGTCCATATTACCTTCTGGGAAAATATATAGCTAACCCTAGACAACAGGACAACATTGCCACGCATCCGGACCTAGGCCTCAGGACCACAGGCGGTTCCTTTGCCTTTCTGGACCTGGTCCCGTTCGAGACGGCATCAGCGGTCCGCCGACTTACCGATGCAGGATGCATTGTAATTGGCAAGGCCAATCTCTCGGTACGCACCACTGTTGGTCCACCCACGAGGGTTTGTTTACCTGGGCGCGTTGCTAACGGCAGAGCGAAGGAATTTGCAAACTTCAAGCATGTTTAACTAGCCACTTCCTATTGTTGATCCCGGGTACTGTACAGGGATAGAAGACTGACCAAGCCGATTTACTACCGCAATTAGGGGAGCGGGCATGCCCTGTGGCTGGTCAGCGCTCGGCGGGCAGACGCAGTCCCCTTACGTGCAAGGGGGGTGGGATCCGAGAGAGAAATTCGGCGGCCACAGCGTAAGCCCCCATGTCCCAAGTCTAACATCCTTCTTGTCTGGCGTTGGAAGCATATATCAAAAGGGACCTGGCGGCTCGTCATCCGGGAGCGCGACCTCTGTTGCGGCAGGCTTCGCGCCTCTCTCCGTCGGCACCGAAACATGGGGATCGTTGATCATGCCCGCAACTCGAGCCAACGTGTTCACGCTGAAGCCCAGCCGGGGGGTAGTGCCCATGGACGGCATCATGCCCGTCAACGACATCTACGACATTGCTGGCCCCATGGCTAAAAGCGCCAGTGACATCACAGTGCTGCTTGATGCCATGATCGACATCGGAGCTCCTCACCGGCCTGACGGTGGTTACGCGTCAAAGGCGACAGCATCTTGGCGTGGCCTGCGGCTCGGTGCCGTCGACACGGCCAATTGGCGACTCGACGAGATGCTGGCAGAGCCAGATGATAACTTGTTCCAGCAGCAGGTTTGGTCCCCACATTGAATTTATATATGCCGTTCTGACTGCGGGATAGGAGGAGGACCTGGCCAAGGAGTACTCCAAGCTCAAGGACGATGGTGTTGAGATCAAGTACCCTTGCCCTTTTGCTGAGCGCGGTCCAAACGCGGATGTTCTAGCCGAACTAATAGGACCCAATCTCACTCTTAGGCCATAACTTCGTCCGGGGTTTCGACTATTTTCTTTTGCAGATGAAGTCGAGCACAGTAAAGACCGTAGCGGAGCTTGTGGAATTCAACAAAGCACATGCCCATCTTGAAATGCCGCTCGGTGAGGCTCCCTTAGTCCAAACTCTACCTTGCCAGTCAGTGCTTACCCAAAATACAGAAGCTCCCAATCAAGACGTCCTACTCGACGCGCTCAAAGACCGAGCCCTGGACGGAAACGCAGACCTTGGGCAGGGTCCGGGAAGGGGAAAAGTGCGCTGGCCAAGAGGGAGTTGACCGCTATCTCGACGAGAACGGTATCAACATCCTTCTTGGGCCTGCCGATAGTTGGCTGACCGACTTTGCCTGCGTCGCCGGTGAGATAGATCAAACTTCCCAAAGGATGTGACCGAAGCAGCAGTAACAACTCAGCGCTAACTGTTGAGGTGGCAATGCTATAGGATATCCCTCTGCGTCGCTGCCCCTTTCGTTCTGGAAGAAGAACGGCCGGCCCTTTGGCGTCATCGCCCTGACCCGCAAGCACCGCGAGGATCCTCTTGTCCAGCTGATGAGCGCCTGGGAATCCGTGTTCCCCTGCATCACGCCGCCTACGCTGTGAGTGGAATGGTGCTCGAAATCGAGGCTGCGAAAGACATTTTGTTGTTTTCTCTGGGGGGTTGGGGGGTTGGTAGGATTGACCTAGTAGACCTTCGTAAATAATGAGAAAAGGAGGTGATGAAAACACCAACGCCACAAATTTAGTCTTGACTTGCCATAATACGGCCTGGAAGATCAAGGTTGTCCTGAAAGACCGTGCTCATAACTGTCGCAAAAGACAAATAGCAATAGCAGCAAGTGAAAACCCTGCTTTCTTTTGACACTAAAGATCTATGTTATATTTCCAGCCAGACCGATAACTACAATGTCATGGATTGCATTCGTCCACTATCCACCACATCCCCCGCCTCCCACAGGCATTCCTCAACAGCTTCTGGACATCAGACTAACACATACGACCATACCTGCCAGAAAACACGGGATCCCGTCCGCTCTCCCCTAGTTAAACTGGCAAGGGCCGGATCAGTACTCAGGTCGGTGACGACTGGGGAATCCCCGGTGTTGTATGTTTTTGATATTTTTTTGGTGTTTTTGGTCGATGATCCTGGGGATGAACTACCCTCCAATTGTACTCATCAGCCAAATTCAAAAGTCCACCTCTTAGAAAATTCTCCAGGAAGGCTCTCCGGTACTGGAGTGTCTTGGAGATTTGATAGTTACTCTCTTTTCGGTTGTGTCTAGGCCGGTGGAGGCGGAAGTGGGACTTGCAAGTGCACTGTCCATGCCTCAAGGTAAACACCGCACCTATGATGATACTTCTAACATCATTTTGTTCATTCTCATATACACATCTGCAGGATCTATCATCTATCTATACCCAGCGCATATGCACACCCATCGTACATCTGCTCATCTATACACCCCTTTTCTCTCTTCCCTTCCCCCTTCATGTCTCACTCCCGCACACATTCTCTTAATATATAACACCTCATGTATAGGCTCTCATGCATCATCTCTCACAATCTATGACCGTACACTCCACCAACTCCCCACCAAAGCCATCGCCTCCTCCCCACCCCCCGCCAACCTCTCATCCTGCAACACATCCGCCAAACACCGCCACGGATCCCTCCCTCCGCCCCATTTCAACAAGCCCTGCCTCAACCTTTCGCCCTTTTCCCGCGTCACCACTGCTCGTCGGCTGCCGTTTCCGTTTCCATTCCCGTTACCATTGCCATTTCCGTTCCCGTTGGAGGTTGATGACTGCCCAGACTGAAAAACAACCTCCCACACCCTCTGCGCCAGCACCCGATCAAACAGATAACTATAATACGTACTCCCATACCCATACAAATGCCCAAAAAACCCCTGCCAGCGCGTCCCGCGCGGATCAGGCGGGCAGCAGCCGACAGTGGCTTGGATATGGTGGTACACCGCGGTGGAATCAGTCGGGTCGATATCACCGGGCAGATTCCCCCCCGCCGAGGGGGTAGTATGCAAAGCCTGGTCGAGCATGGACAGGATAATCTGGTTTTCGGTCTCGGAGCCTTCGAAGCGGCGGGCCTGGAGGATTTTGTTCTTGAGGATGCCTAGGGGCACGGGCTCGTCGGTTTGGTAGTGGCGGGCGAAGCTGTGGACGACGCCCGGGTCGGAGGCGAAGTACTCCATGAGGGTGGAGGGGAGTTCGGCGAGGTCGGTGGCGCAGCGGGTGCCGGAGACGGTTTGGAAGGAGGTGCGGGCGAGGATGGAGTGGATGGCGTGGCCCATTTCGTGGAAGAGGGTTTCGAGTTCGTAGAAGCTGAGCAGGGCGGGTTGGTCGCTGCCGTCGCGGGCTGGGTCGGGAAAGTCGCAGATGAGGGCGATGGTGGGGAGTTGTTTGATGCGGGAGCCGTGTTTGGAGTAGGCCATGCCGTCGTTGGCGGCGGAGGCGGGGTTGCGGAAGAGGCCGGCCATGGAGGGTTCGCGCTGGGAGAGGTCCCAGACGTCGGCCATCTCGGTTTCGTCGATCTCGCGCGAGCAGCGGAGGGTGAAGTGCGCCGGGTTGGGGAGTTTGTCCTCGCGGTGGAAGAGGTCGCAGTAGAGGATCGCGACGTGGCCTTCTTCGTCTGACATGACGTCGATGCGCCGGACGTCGGGGTGCCAGGTCTCGCCCGTTAGGGGCTGGCGGGGCACGAACCGGATGCCGTAGAGGTCGGTGAATAGTCGCGAGAGGCCTTGCATCACGGACCCAAGGGATAGGTACGGCATCAGCAGGTCTCCCGCGGGACGCCGCGCTGTGTTTTGGAGCGGGCGGCGCACGAGTTCAGAGTAGTATTCCTTGTCCCAGGGCTCGACCGTTTTGGCCGACGGGTCCACGTTGCGCTTTTCCTTAAGCATGTCCGCTAGCTCCTGCTGCACACGCGGCCGGTTGGTCTGCGCCACGGCCCGCAGGAACTTGTCGACCGCCGCGGGGGACTTGGCCATCATGCGGTCGCGCAGCGCGAGGTGGCCGTAGCTCTCGAACCCGGAGAGTCGTGCCAGCTCAGCCCGCAGCTTCATGAGGTACTCCAGCTTCTCGACCGACTTCTGCGACGCCGTGCGCGAGGCGTAGTAGATCAGCTTGCGCGCGTCCGCGCTGTGCACGCTGCGCAGTGCCATCGACGCTTCCCCGCTCATCGTCGGCAGATACACCTTGCTACCGCGCGTCAGCTTCCGGGCGTGCGTCGGGTCCATGCCCAGCAGGTCGTTGCTGGGCAAGACGAGTGTCGGCTGGTCCGGCTCGGTCTCCTGCACAAACTCGGACCCGACCGTGCTGATTTCCGACGAAAGCTGCACGAACCGGTCGCGGGCCTTCTGCGGCAGGTTGACGGCCGACTTGGTGAACTCCAGCCGCAGCACGTCAGCCACGGCCTTCTCCTCCTCCGACCACACCATCGTCACCTTCGGATCGGCCATCGCCCTGGCCAGCTGGTCGTGCAGCCCCGTCATCGTGTTGAGCTCGTTCATGTACTGGTACAGCATCTCCCAGCACTCGCTCGCCCGCGACTGCATGGTCCGGCTGGGGTGGGCGGCACGCACAAAGTCGGCCATGTCCAGCACGCGGCACAGGACGTCGCTGAGCTGATCGAGCTGGCGCACAATGAGCCGGTATTCGGCCACCGTCGCCGCGGCCATCACCTTGACCACGATGGCCCGCGCCCGCCGCAGGCTGACCTGGGCAAACGAGATGAACCCGTCGGGCGTTTTGAGGTACGCATTGCGGAATAGGCCGACGTGGTAGGACCCGGGGATTGTGGAAAAGTCGCGCCAGAAGTCGGGCCGGTCGAAGATGGACCGCAGCACGTAGTCGTCTTTACGCTGCGGCGCCTGGGTTGCGGGGATAAACGTGGGGTAGCTCGGTCCTGGGAGAGCGGCGGGCTTAGGTGAAGTCGTGAACAGACGGCGGGGGGGTACTCGAGTCGGCGCAGCGGCCCGGGACAAGCAGGTTGAGCAGACCCATGGTTTCTGCCATTGCCGGGGCCGCGCCACGGCCCTTAGCATGCTGTATCTGCGTAAGAGTTGAGGCCCTCGTTGTCCTGGTTGTCGTCGTTCTCGTGGTTGTCGTTCTTGTCGTGGTCACAGCGCTCGGCGCTATACTGAGGCCGAATCAAGCATCGGAAGTCGAGATGTTGGGTATCCTTGTTTTGCTTCTCCCACTCTTATTCCTCCTCCATATGCCCTCTTCCAACCTTTTCGGGACTTGTTGCTTGACCGTCGTGCCGCGTGCCTTTGAACCGGAGCCGGGCTAAACTTGTCGTGGCCGAGTCACCAAGTGGGATGAATTGCAGACTCGGTGAATTGAGTGGGTTCCCGAATGCGGGACTGTGCTCTGGATTCCATGTCGAAAAAAAAGTTGACAGGGGCTCCAATTCCGAAGCTTCCCTTGACCCCACATCCGCAGCGGGCAGGCAAGCACGAGGCATCAGGTGGTCCGAGCGCACAGAGCAATTGACAACACTCTGGGAGAACTCCGGGAGACTGGCTCGAAACTGGGTCCTGCCCGGAAATAGCCGCAGCTTGCGCTTGTTCTGACAACCCGCAACCCGAAACAACCCTGGCAAGCCTGGCTCCGTCCATTTTCGCCCGCGCTTCCACCAACCTCGAACCTGCCATCTCCAAGCTCCTCGCCCACCACGCCCGGGACCTGCACCCCGCCGACGCCTAGAATCCCCGAGAGCTCGCGAGGCACGTCTCAATTGGGTGCACAATGGCTGCCAGGGTGCTGCTGCAGCGGGTACGTTACTGTTACTCTTTCGCTCGTCTTTTTTTTTTCGTCCTTTTTTCGCTCTCATGACCTCGGTAACGGCATATGCTAACGGATTTTTACCTTGAGCAGCGCATTGCGCCGTTAACGGCTGCCGCACTGGTAGGAGGTGTCGCTCTCTACCCCCAGATCGCACACGCCGAACCTCCCAGCGAGCGCCAATTCGTATGTCCAGAGTTTTCCCCGGGACCCCTCCTAACCCCCATCATAGCAAACTCTAACCCTTGCCTCGGCACTCCAGTCCCGAAAGCCCATCTACGAGGACGAGTTCGACTACCTCTCCGTAACCAAACCCGCGCCTCCCTCAGCACCTACCGCGGCCGTTCCCCCCTCCACTCCCCCGGCACCCTCCGAAGAAACCCTCCCAGCCCCGGTGCCCGACTCCTCGTCGTCCCCCCTCTCCTCCCTCTTCGGCTCGGAACCCACCACAACCCCCACCCGCACCCGCGCCCCGACCCCAACCGACCGCCTAGCCGTCGAGATCCGCCGCGCTCGCCTCTTCCTCTACACTCAATCCTGCCTCGCCGAAGACTCCATCAACAACGCCCTCTCCCACGCCTTCGCCCTCGAGCGCTCCTTCACCTCCACGCTCACCTCCCTCGCCCCGCCCCGCGAGTCCGGCGAACGCCTGATGCCGGGCACCGTGTACGTGCTCGTAGCCGGCATGGCGGGCAGCATTGTGGCGCGCAACCGGAACATCCTCTTCCGCGGGGTGGCGCCGTTGGCGTTGGGTTTGGGGGCTGCTTGGGCGGTGTTGCCGGTTACGATGGGGAATGTGAGCGCGTTGGCGTGGGAGTATGAGAAGAAGGTGCCTGCGTTGGCGGATGCGCATTTGCGGGCGCGGGAGGGGGTAGAGCAGGGGGTGGATATGGCTAGGGTGCATGCGCAGGTCGCGCAGAGGAAGGTGTATGAGGGGGTGAGGGATGCGAGGTTGGCGTTGGAGGGGTGGGTGCAGAATGTGAAGAGTTGAGGATAGAGATAATAAAATCACGTCTACCTCAGGAAAGAAGGGGGGTGATCGATCGATCGATGTATTGATGGATGGATGGGAAGGGGGAAGGAGACTGGCTACTCTATGCAAATTGCATGATAGACAGTAGACGGACGGAGATGTGTTGTGCTTGAGCGAGGCAGGCGGTTGCTTGTGTTCTCGCTCGGCTTTGTATGTATCATAAAGGGGTCAAGAACTGGTCGGATAGACAAATTTACTTTGTGACAGACAACGTTTTCCTTCCGTGAGACTATGTGTCAATTCATCCACCATACTAACCTGCAACTAACTTGCTCCTGGGGGTCCAAATATCAAACTCTCCATGCCATGACGGTGGTGGGTTCACCATGTGGAAGCGTCACGCCGGCTTAAAACAAAAGGAGTGCGTTTGTTCGTTGTTTGCGGGATCAGCTAGATCCCATATCCTCCGCCGAGGTTCGGGGATTGAACTCTAGTAAAAAAAAACACAATAAGTCGCCTCCGTTCTGTCACTTGGTGGCTTTTTATATCACCATTTGAAGTTCTTGACTACATAATCGAGCTGTAGTAGGGCTTGGTGGTGATTTTCCGCCGTTTCGTCTTCGGACTTAGTTCTTCGGGCTTTCTCAGATGTCTGACGAGGAGCTATTCTTGTTGGGTAGAGGAAAGGAAATCATATCTCGTTTCGTTAGTCTCTAAGTATAAGTACAGTCTATAGTCTAGGGTATCATATCCTCCGCCTCCCTCCAACCCGTCGTCCAAACCAACCATAATCAACCAACCCCCCCCCCCAAACCTCTCCATTACAGCCTCTCCTCCCTCTTCTCTCCCAACCCCATATAAAACCCCAAAGCCCTCTCATAAGTCCACATCGTCACCGCGCTCGCCGGCGCCGCCTTCATCAAACTAACCGTCAACCCCCGATACAACCCCCTGACCCCTTCCACCCTCCAAATCGTCCTCACCGCCCCAACCGTGCCCCCCACATACTCCGGTATATTCTTATGCACATACCTCCCCCTCGTCGGCCCCTGCACCTGAATCCGCTTGCGCACCAAATCCAACGGAAACGTCCCCGTCTTCGCCATCACACTCGCCATCGTCCCCGCTACCGCCCCGCCGGAACTGTAGGGCAGGTCTAACTCGCTGAGGTGCGGGCGGAGGGTCTCGTAGGCTGCGAAGAAGAGGCCCATGTAGGGGATGATTTGGGCGAGGCCGGGTCCCAGGCCGCGGAAGAAGCCCCGGATGCCTTCGTCGTGGGCGATTTGGCGGATGGCGAGGGTTAGGCCGGGGTAGACGCGGTCGTTGCCTTGCGCGGCGAAGCGCGTGCGGAGCAGGTCGAGCGGATAGGTAGTCGCGGTCGCGGTGCCGCCGCCGATGGCGCCGGCGATGAAGGATTCGGCGGATTGGGGGAGGGCGGAGCGGTTGGGGTTGTCGTCGTCGTGGAAGGCGGCGCGGAGGAGTTGGGTGGTGGTGCGGTAGGTGGTGAATTGTACCGCGCTGTAGCAGATGTAGAGGAGTTCGGCGGGCACGTTGCCTTTCCATAGGCCGGGGAGACCTTCGGAGCGGAGGATGTGTCGGAGTGTGGGCAGGGTGCCTTTGTAGATGGGTCCGCCGCGGAGGTCGCGGTGGGAGAGGGGGTCGGAGAGGGAGTGGGTTTGGAGTTGGAGGCGGATCTTGACGACGTCGAGGGGGGCGATGACGAAGCTGGGAAGAAGAGCGGTGTTAGCTTAGGGTCTGGGTCTGAGAGCCGTGGAGGCTAGACAAAAAGACCCTACCGTGCAATCAACCCCGCTGTGGCGCCCGCGGCCGTGACCTGCAAACGCGAGCCCTCATCCTTCAGACGGTCTCCTTTGAGTGACATTCATCCGATGGGGGCCGGCGAAGAGTCCCGGGGCTCTGTGCGAGGCGTTGTTGTTTGAGGCGTCAGTCAATCGGGGAATTGAAGTTGCATATGTCCAGGCTGGAGATAAAGCAGTTGGAAGTGGATGAGTTGTTGTGTTCACCACCTGGCACGGGCAAGTGTTTGGTGTTGGTTGGCTGGCTCGTGTGACACTGTTTTACTCGGGGGTTCCGCTTCGTGACAAATTGGAATTCGCTTTTTTCCCCTTTTCCTTTTTTTCTTGTACACCGTTTCAAGTTTTCGATATCGCGGCTATCCAAGGGACAGTCGGGACGCCCCGTGTGACGGGATCGGAGGGCCCGCTCGGACGGCTTGCGCATTCAATTGTCGTTAAAGAGGCACGAGATGTCGTTGACCAAGGTTGGTTACTTTTTTTTTTGGTTTGCTATGCGGCTAAGCAGTGACGACATTCTCGCGGTCGGATCTGCAGGGGTCGATCTCTGTTCCGCATCTGACCGTCGTCCCTTACATTTGTTACACCGTAACGTTACCATGGTCGTAATGCAATACATCCCGCCCTATCGAGGCGGCTCTTATCAGTTGGTTCCAGTCGGTCCATTTCAGCCTAGCGATACCGAGATGACCGATGACTCGCGCGGAAAAAAGAACGGATCAAACGACCTCAAAAAATCGCCGAAACTTGTGGACCACGATTCTTCTGCACCAGTCCTTGAAGGCAACACAGTCACGGGACCTTACGACCGGCCTCACTTGATCTTGGCCTATAGGCCCTCAAACCGAGCTGACCAGCCTCCCAACGACGTGAGCACCGGTCCGCGTCTCCGGCAAAAGATTCTCCGATGGCTCCAGTCCTTGCCGAAACGGCCAAATTGCCTCGAGTTGAAGAAGGTTACAAGCGGCTCCCCCACAAGCCGCCCCAGCTGCGGAATTGAACCAGCAGCCATTGGTGGTTCAAGGGTTCCTTCTGCCCGAAAAGAGCCACCTCGTAATTGGCTGAAATGCCCAGCCATGCACCAGTGGGTCAACGGCAGTACGGAAGGCCCAGCGCGGCCACTCAGACGGGCTCGTGAGACAGTGAGGGTCTGGCCATCGCGGGGTACTTCGCTGGTCGCTGGAGCTCTCGCAGTCTTCGGCGTGCCTTTTGGACCAGTTCCACTCCGAAGCGAACGTGGAACTGCCAAACCGAGCATCGTCAAGGGCGTTGCAGGGTGTAGCACAAAAAGCCGCCCACGTAAAGAGCAGCTGCCGTGGCTTGTTTTCCGTTTCACTCGCCTTCTGTCATCTCGTCCTCCTCCTTCCCCTTTTGCGCGTTTCTTTTGCTCGCCAGACATCGTCATCCATCCATCGACAAGCTCAAGCCAGCCCCAGCCTTTCCCAGTGGCGGAGTTTTCCCCCGCGCTGACCGTGCTCGAGCCTCGACGGCGCTTGACCACCGTCTCCAACTGTGACGAAATTGTCTCTCCATCATAGGGCCCTGCTACCTCAGCAGTTGGGGGTCGTGACAAGTCGCATGTGATCAACGCCCGCCAGCGCCTGAAACATCCCAGCCTGCCTAGACCTGCACTTATCATAGTACTCAGGCTGCAGCTTTTACTCTTCGTATTCTTTGTTATACCAGTCTCTCTGTCTTCTCCTAGTTCGTTTGCACTCCAACCTAGCTCTTCAACACGGCTTTCAACACTCTGAGCATAGCTCACGTTCAACACAACCACAGCAACAAACAACCTAAGCAATTAAGCAACACCCCCCACACTTACTATTCACATTCTGGCTGTCACAATGCCTGCCGCAATCCCATCCTCGACTTCCACCATCGCCAGCCCGGACGTTAGAACTATCGTTACACCCGTTCTCTCTGCCCTTCCCGGTGCGGCTGCCTCCCAAGAACCCCCCTCGGCTGTTCTGCCGTCCCTCTCACCCATTCTTCGCCAGCGCGTCCAGCTCCTATCGTCTTCCAACGCCGAGCCATGGATCCGGCTGCTGAGCTATGACCCCACCAAGGTGGCTCAACTAACAAGCATCGCTCAGAGTGGCGACTTGGACCCCCATCCCGTGTCGGGGGAGATCGAGGTGGACTGGGACTACGATATTGACACGACCTACAAGAGGCTCGACCAGGAAACACTCCAGGCCTTGGTCGTGCTCAAGGAGCGGAATCTCTTTTTCCGGCTCGTCTACTGCACCGGGGACCCGGACGGTGGCGGTGACGGCTGGCGGGTTGGCGAGGTGGGAGTTGCGGACTCGTCCACTGCGACCAACACATTCGGCGGTGCTTCCGGTGTTGTCGAGGCCGAGACGCTGTTCCGGGCAGCAAAATCGACCAAGACCACCAACGGCCTGGCTCCCACCAATGGCGGCCATACCAACAATGCATCCAAACCCATATGGGGCGCACCATCTACCACCAAGGAGGAGGCGGAGGAGGAAGACGATGATGACGATTACTGGGCCCGGTACGATGCGACCCCGTCTAGGACACCGGCCGTCAAAAGTTCACCGGCCCCACGAGCTGCTGCCGCACAAACTTCTCAGCCTGAAACCTCTACTGAAGCCGAGGATGCCTACTTTTCGCAGTACGACTCCGTCCAACCAGCTATGGACAACCACGATCCCGACGAAGAGGCCGCAATCCTAGAGAACCCCGTGCTCACCCAGCGACCTCTCGGCCTGGGAACTACCGCAACCGCACCCAAACCCCAAGAACAACCCACCGACGGCCCCGTCCTTGCCCATCCGGTCCCGCGCAAGCCAGAATCGGTGCGCTCCGCGGGCTCGCGCAACAGCCAAGAAGAGTCCTGGGTACTGGCGAACCCGACAACATCGGGCCGGCCCGGTAGTGCGGGCTCCAACTCGTCGCAGACGGTGGCCCGGCTCGAGGAGGTGGCTGAAAGCCGCGAGCAAACCGAGTTTGGCGTCAAGCAGCACATCTCGCGGAGCATCCGCAGTCTGTTCCTGCTCTCACGGGCATCGGGGATCGACAGGGAGGAATTTGAAAGCATGGTCCGACGGGAGTTGGATGTATTGGGTATGGTGGAGACTGATATCTAAGGGGAGAGAACAACAGGGGGAGGAAAGGGCAACAAACTGTACAACACTGCATGTGGGTTGGTTGGTTTAGTTGGTTCTTGCATCTCTAGCGCGGTCACCGGTGGGTTTGTGTCTTTTTTTCCGATGACCTATTGTATGGTTTACCGGGCCTGGCAGTCTGGTACGAGGGATCTCGGCGGCTGAGAAGGACAAAATCTTTGTCCGTGTCACCATACACCGCCATCTGCGGTACCGGGTTGTCGGGTTACCTCGACTGGTCGGCGGGTGACTCTTTTGTCTGTGCATTTGGGTCGGAGTTTCACGGCGTTTTCGGGAAACGAGAGGGGGGCGTTTGTTCGGGTCCAAGCATTATCATCATTCTTACGGTGGAGAACGGATAGTCAGTATAGGTAATCCGTGATTGGCAACCAATTAAGAAATTATGTTAGTCTCTGAGGTCCTGAGTTGTGGGAATGTGAACCTGGCTTGTGCTATTCTCCGTCGGTCACGTTGAGGGCTAGAGCCTTCCAGTCTTATTTATGTACAGTACAATACAGTACTCCGTACAAGATGACTACACCAGACAATGTGAATTTGAAAGCGAAGAAGAAGAGGGATCAACTGCCATGCTGATGAATTGATATGATTCATATCTAGGAGCCAAAAGAGCAAAACGCAAAAGCTCACCACCAAGCCCTATTCCCATCCGGAGGAATAGAGGTTGGTAGTTACGAAAAACCGGTGGTTTTTCTTCGCTAGTCCCGGGGATCGAACCCGGGACCATTTCGATTTACGACGGTAGTGGCGAGCCCAACGCCCCTCCCAATACCGCTGCGCCAAACACGCTGTTTCGCGAATTGGGAGGAGATGGTGACAGGAGCAGTGAGAAGGGCACTTATATCCTTGGGGTGGAGGGAAGGTGCGCAAGTTCAAACATATTGACAACAGGGTGTATGGTTTAGTTCTCAGGGTTGGGGTTAGGGTATTGTGTATGCCAAGACCCACCCCACTAATTGAAGCCTCAGTTGTTAGGCGAAAAAATGCAACCACCACCCGCCCTGCAGCCAAAAAAGTTCCCACGCGCCAAAGAGCGAAAGCAGAAAACGGAAAAACGGCGACAAACGACGGCGCAACACCACGCCCACGCAATTCACCCCCCTCCGGCCGACCGCAATCCCCAGGCCCGGGAGACGCCCGTTCGATTTCCTCCCAATTGCCCTCTCTGACCAACTAACTACCCACCCACCACTCACCCCCCACACATACACATATAGCCCGCCATGCTACGCCCGAGGTTAAGGATACCACTACGGCCGGGGGCCCTCCTCACGCCGGCGTTCTCGTCGTCGGCGACCACCAGCGCCGCCCTGCGGCCCATGGCCTGCCGAGCGCGGGCAATGCACTCGCTCACCCCCCTCACCTACGATCTGAACGGCGAAGTACGGACGACTGGCCTCGGCAAGCTGCTGTCGGTCACTGCCTACAATATTGCGTGGTACCAGTACCAGTCACACCTTCTTGCGAAGTTGAATGGTTTGATAGCGGGTTTGTCTACCCTTTTTTCTTCTTTTCCTCCTTGCGGGATCTCGGCTAACCAAGGATCCCAATAATAGACACCGACTACCAAAGCCGCCACGTCAAAGACATCATGCTAAGCACCGCGCGCGACCCGGCCGAAGCCTCGACCTTCAACTACGCCAGCATGATCCACAACAACCACTTCTTCTTCAAGAACCTCTCCCCGACCCCCGACGTGCCCATGCCCGACGCCCTCCGCCACGCTTTCGAAGCCTCCTTCGGCTCCCTCGAAACCCTCCGCCAGGAAATGGTCTACACCGCCGCCGCCATGTTCGGCCCGGGCTTCGTCTGGCTCGTCCGCACCAGCCACCCGGGCATGCCCCACGCCTTCAAGGTCCTCACCACCTACGCTGCGGGGTCCCCCTACCCGGCCGCCCACTGGCGTCGTCAGGATACCGACATGAATACCGCTGCGGGAGCGAACTCGGAGGCGGCTATTGCGAAGAGCAGGGGGTGGTTTGCGAATAGTGCTGCGGGGGCTGGGAACCCGAATGTTAATAACCCTGCGGATGCGTACGCGCCGGGGGGGATTAGTTTGCAGCCGATTTTGTGTTTGAATACGTGGGAACATGTCTGGTTGTGGGATTATGGGTTTGGGACGAACGACCCGAGTCAGGGTAAATTGGGGTTTGCGGAGCGGTGGTGGAAGTATATTAACTGGGAGACGGTGCTGCAGGATGCGAATATCAACCGGAAGCAGATGAGTACGGATGTGGATGGCGGTAGCGCGAGTGCTACTGGTGGTGCTGGTGCTGGTAGGGGTGGTGCTTCTCAGCCAGGGCCGGCGCCGGCGCAATGAAAGGCGCAGTCTTGAGGTTGATGGATATGAGCGAGCAAGGACCGAGGCTGGTGTCTGAAAGGGAGACCGGGCCGGAAGGGAATGGAGTGTGTGTATTATATACCGTATATCGTCCTGGACATTGGGGGGGATGGTTAGACCAATCGAGACCGTAGGAGGTCGGGACGGGGGTGTGCTAGATAGGGGGCCTGATGAGCACCTCCGTGTCATTCCCGACTGCTGCATACCTCTGCTGTCGGGTTAGCGGGCGGACGTCTAGACGGGATGGGGAATGAAGACACAGGACAAAGTATGAGGTGGTATGGGATGATGATGGGACGATGTTAGGATGTAGCTTGTACAAAAACAAAAATGAAGATGCCCATGTTGAGTATGTATGTCTGTATGTATGATCTAAAAAGCGGTTGTTTAAAAACGCTTATTGACTCGTGGAAACTTAGCTCAGCCGGTACGAAATACGTGATTGTGACAAGAATGTATTTAGTCGGGAAGTTAACTATGACCAGTCTTTTTCGTCTTGTTCTCACGCAAGTTTGCGTTTATATGCTCGTCTATTCTTCTGAGCCGTGCGTTCTGCTCCGTAGCCTACATATATATTCTTCCCTCACAGCCCTTCCACGTTATAACAATCTGTCGAGACTAGGTCTGTTTTCTTGATTCTTCTACATCAAACCATAACCCTTCATGCCTGTTATACCGTGTTCATGTGATTAAACCAGGGGAAAGGGGAGTGATAAAAGTCAGCGTGGCGACGCAGGATGGTATGAGGAACAACTTAGTATTTCACAGTTTAGTACCTCATTTAAGAAATCACCAAGTTGTAACGAGAACCATTTCTCAGATTTTAGGTTGATTTTACTGCCACAATCTAAAATGATGTCAATTGTAATACATATCCCATCCCATCACCAACGCAAAGAACACATCAAAATAAATGCAATTGCTTTTCATTTTCATCATCAACTAACAAACTAGATAGCTAATCCATATCCCAACCCATCAATCAGATCACATCGCGTCCACAACCATTCCATCCCACCCACCAAATCCCTTCCCATCCCATCATCATAGCCAACTAACCAATCAATAACCCACTTCAATCCCGCTCGGAGAAAAAGAAAAAGATAGAAAGGAACGTGATCAATATGTTGCCATATCTGAAAAAATTGCTCTCATCTAGCCATCTTCCCAAAATCCGCCCATACCGAACAAAGAAGAATAACCTATAACCCATAATACCCGGCTACGGCGTAAGAATACAATGGCACAAAAACAAACAAGGCTAAATAAAAAACCTCGCAAGAGACAAAAAAACAAATACCGCGCGCCAGGTCATGCAGGATAAAGGTATCCAAAACCAAAACATCGTTCCTCCGAAGTGAAGGAGGATGGAAGTAGAGAGTAGAATGAGAAGGTCGGAGAAGAAGAAGAGGAGGAGGGGGGGGGGGGTGGTTTGTGGAGGGACAATGAAGAAAGGAAGGAAGAAGAGAAAAAGGTATCAATCAAGGTATCATCAGGAGGAAATATAAAAGTAGAACGGAAGAAACCAGAGAAAAAGAAGTAGTCAAACAAACAAAGGTAGAGGAAAACGGAGAAACCGAAAAATGCAAGAGAGAGATGAGAGAAGAAGGTCACCCCCGAAGAACATCAATCCCTCAAATCATGTTCCCATTCACGCTCACCTCAAAGCCCTCACCCTTCTGCTTCTTCGCCTTAGCCAGCATCAGCTCACGCATCCAGTCAATCCGCTCATCACGGCCCTTGACCGCAAAATGATGCGTCTTGCCGGTGCCGTTAGTCGCGCCCTCGATAGGAGGCGGGACATCCTTGACACTGCTGCTGCCGCTGCTAACACTGTCCTTGCCAATGACACCAGCGGCGGCAACCATGGTGCTGCCGGGCAGGGCGCTCTCCCTCTTGCGGAGCTTAATGCCGCCCTTGGAGTCCTGGGGGATAAGCTGGAAGCTGAAGGCGGCGACGTCCTTGGCCTTGGCGTCGTCGCTGCCGCGGCGGATATGCATGGCCTTGAAGGCAGCGTTGAGCTTGGAGCTGCTGGCGCCGGTACCGCAGGCGATAGCGTAGTCATCAATGTCGATGTACTCGAGGGTCTTGTTCATGGCAGCCGTGGAGGCGGGCGCATGGGCGGCTTCCTTGTTGTGCATCGTGAGGCGGGTGCCGCGGATCGTGAAGAAGTGCTCGTGCCACTCGTGCCGGAGCATCTTGGTCTTGCGCTTGCGCATGAGGCCCTGGTACGAGATGGCGTTGCCGCCAGTCATGTCGACCTGGGGTTGGTCGCTAATGGGGGAGAGACGACCATTGATGTTGACGGCCTTGACGGTACCGGTTGTGATAGTGCCCGGGATGCTAGCGGCGGCACCGGAAGCCGACGCCGCTGTAGGCGGGACGGCCTTTTCGAGCGTTGGGCGCTCGGTCTGGCTCCACGGGTACTGGGCGCGAGGAGGCGCTTGAAGGGGGCGTTGCCCAGTACGCTGGGAAAAGGAACGGCCGTGGGTCTTAACCGCGGGTGTAACGATAGAGTTCTCGTCCAGAGCGGGCATGACAGGGAATGATGGCCGGCGGATGGTGTTTCGCGACATGGAACGAGGGACAGGGTTGCGGAAGTTCATGTCAGGCGGGACCGACTGCGAGACGTCTCGAGAGATCACGGGAATCTCTGTGATGGTGACAGGGACGTCCATCTCGGAGAACGGAGTGCCGAAGCGGTACGGGGCAGTCGGGGTAGGAGTACCCTCATCGGACGATGGGCTGAGCTCCCGGAATGAGGGAATGACCTGCGAGACCGGGCGTGCGGACCTAGCCTGGGCTGACTGTGGCTCGCGCCGGGTAGCAGCGGCGGCGGCGGCAGCAGGTTGCGAAGGGATCGCGAGCTTGGGAAGCTTGCGCAGGCCGGCATGAGCCCCCTTTTGGTTTCCCTGGGGGAAGATCTCAAAAGGCGGCGTAGGAGGGACTTCGCTTGAAGCGTTGGCGTGCGGCCGTTGGAAGTCGAGGAATTGGCGAACGTTCTCCTGGGGGTCCCTTGACTGGAGGTTGCGCAGTGCGGCAGCTTGGAGATACCCAAGAGGAGGCAAGCTCCCGGGGCCCATGACGTCCGACGAAGCCACCACGGATGGCACGGCGTCGGAGACTGGCCGGAAGGAGTCGTCGCTGGGCACGAGCGCAGTAGCAGTCTCGGGGTTGCCCGGGTCGCCCGCAACCATGATGATGCCCTTGTCGTCAACAAAGGGGTGGTCCTTCTTGAATGCCTCCATCAACCGTTGGTTCCTCTTCCACTTGGAACAGTTCTCGCCCTTAGAGCAGTTATGAGGCTTCGGCAAGACCTGCTCAATGCCTACAATGGACACAGACTCAAGGGGAGAGATGATGTCGTTGACCTTGACGCGGGGCTTTTGCTTGCGCGCCCCAGCACCGCTTTCCTGCCTTCGCAGTTCCTTCTTGACCTTCTTATCCGGCTCGTCTTCAATTGGCGTCTCCGGCATCGGCTCGGGCTTCTTGAGATGCATCATCTTGTGGATCTCGTCCCAGATCTGTGTCCTCACGCCAAACGAAGCGATCCCCAGCTCTTTCAGGTCCTCAAACTTGAGCGTCATGAGAATGGCGCCGTTGATATCGTTCTCGACGAATCTTTCCGACGCCGTGAGCTCGACCCCAGCGTTGAGCATTTGTTGGGCGACCATCTCTGGCGTCCAGTCAGAGAGTGCTGAGGTGTCGAGCTCCTCATCTGTGAACTGGAACGGGCCGGTGTCGCGCCGCTTTTTCGGGAGGGGAGTGAGGTGGAAGTTCTGTAGCTGCGAGTCTAATGTGCGCGGGTCTTTCGGTGTGATGGGCGAAAGCGAGAGGGCGTGCTGAAGCTCGATCGACTGCGCCGAGGACATGGAGCTGCGGAACAGGTGTGGCCCCCTGGGACCCTCGACTTGCTGCTTCGCATCGTGGTCGAACAAGAACGGTCGTTGGCGGAGCGAGCTGGGTGTTTGTGCTTCGTCTTGTGTCGAGAGGGTCGTGAAACTGGGTTGTCCGGACTGTGTGGTACGAATGAGCAAACAGCCTTTTTGGGTCTCCTCCCACATCTACCTCCCTGTCATTGAAGATGGGAGAAAACATACCGAGCCACCGAGACTGAGACGAGGTGAGCATTCGCCATCCTCAATTCCTTCCAGGTCCCCAAATTCACTGTACACTTCTGAGTCGTCGTCATGATCATCGCCTTGCTCGATCTCGGTATCCGACTCCATGAATTCCGTGTACACTGAGTACGGCCTATCCTTCACTTTCGATGCCGCAAAGAACACATCCCGACCCCGCGCCTTCTCGCGCATCTCCTGGGGTTGCGCCATCGTGGCGAATTGTATTGTTTCCTATGCCAATTGTCAGTGTACTGGGCACACTTCGATGTTCCCATTGCCAGCTCGAACCTACCATAATGATTGTATATCGTCCCGGACGACAAATATGATGTGAATGTTGCCGGGCTTGTTGCTCGTCTCGCGGGACAACGCCGGCGACCTGGTAGTTTATATCCACGCTATGCCAAGATCTCCACGTGGTGGTTTTGTGTGATTGTGATTGTTGTAAGTGATATGTTGCACCGCCACTTTCCAAGAGTAGACAGGACGAGGACCAGCTTCGTATGTCCACTCGACGATTACCGAGAGCCAAAATCCCGGAGGAGAGAAACGAGATGGTGGGGCCTCCGCAGAGGGGGCCAGCTTTTGGCGGTTACAAGAGGTTAAGTATGCCCGGGTTTCACCGCACTAGACGAGCAAGCGCCGGGGGGTGCTGCGAGTGCAACGGTTGCAGGTCACGAAATCCCGGTGTGATCCGAGCCAAGTTTGGTGCACTGGCACACACACACACCGACAGCGGAGTGTGTGTGTTCTGGGTTCTGGGTCTTTGGGTCTGCAAGAAGAGGAGAAAGGCGGAAAAGAGGAACGACAAGCAAGTGGGAGGGGTACCCTGCGGGTGTGACCGGCGGGGGATCGGGGCCAATATGTGTGATAATGGAATGGATGAGTCGGGAGGTCACTTCAAGCAGCATGACGGGACGGGTTACCGTTGCTAAGTGCAGGGCCCCAGCGAGTCGACGGATGAGCTCCAGGAGGTTACGCTTCGTAGGTTGTCGGCCGGCACTTGCGCTGCGCTCTCAGCGAGTGCCCTCGTCCATTTCTCCCCCACTTCCATGGTTTCGCAGACCTTCAGGCCCGCACCTTCCAATTTTCGACCACTGTGGCTCGTTCCCCCAGCACCTTCCCCCTGCCCTAGGCGGTATAAATTTAGGTTTATGTATGTGTGAAGGCGCGAGAACGACTGAGTCCAAGCAGGGCGAGCGGGAGGTCGGCCGAACAACGACCTCTGGTTGGGTAGAAGTGGGATGGCCGCACTGCTGCATTGCATCCTATGCGTGACTCGAAGCGGGGAGGGGGTCTTGGAGGTGGGGAATTGACCGGGGCGGGTAGCGCCAGTCTGCCAGGATGCGGACAAGAGAGGGTCGCCTGCAATGCTCATTGGATCGAAAATCCTGTCGTGCTTTCCATTATCGGACGGCTGTGCCATCTGATTGGTCCATTTCCTCGAAATCTGTTCGGAAAATAGACGGCCTAAGCGCCCACTTACACGCGCTAGCCCGATCTGAGATGTTGAGCTCTCGAGGGCCTGTGGAGTCAAGGCGTGCACGGGAAGGAGCCGGAGGCGGTCCCTGGCAGGCCGATCTTTTCACGCACCTCACCGGCACCGCTCTGCCCTGGGGGGCCCCCCAAGCCCCCCTTGTAAGTACGCTTTTTGCTGCAAAACATCAACCCCATCGACTTTCATTCACTCAGCCCACCGAGGACGGGCCGCTCAAGTGGCCGCCGCAACCACCGCTCCCCGGCCGGGACCACTCCCTATGACCCCACACGCAGGCCTCCGAGAGCCGATTGAATTGGCGGAGCCAGCGCCGACCTCAATCGCGGCCACCGATGACGACGACGGCGGCAAGTCTTAGACTTTTTGCGCCACTCGCTGCGCGGGCACTGAGAGGGAGCCGGTCACGATGAGCTGGCGTCGTCAGCTGTTGTGCTGTCAACTCACCAGCCCCCTTTGGGGAGGCAACTTCTGGGGGCCTCGGCGATGTCTGACCCCCGGCCTGTTCATTGTCTCTCGCGTCGCAAATCTGAAGAGCCGCTAAAATTCAACTTTTGTGCGCTGATTTGGCCCTGTCTTTTCAAAATCCCTCGGTTGAAACATGATTTGCCCGATGTGGGCTTTCCGAAGCGCAACTGAAAAGGCCGAGGACAGATAACGTGACCCGTCAATTGGCCGTTGAGAAGGATCTTGATCGGCAGCTAACTCGGCGGTTTTACTGTTCACAAAAGTTGCGGTCACCATGGGACGGTCCGGCTGACGTTGAAGCGGAAGCCAAAGCTCACTAAATTCAGTTATCAACCATTCACGGGCTCGCCCGGAAGCCACCGTTGCGAAGAAGCCCGCGGTCGTGCGGAGTCGATGAAAGTGCTTCCGGTCGCCATTCCCGGATTTCCCCCCTGCCCGGGCGATTCGGGCTTCAAGAGCTTACGGAGCGCAGTAGCGAGCCCCGCCCGAAACTCAACGCCGCAGCTGAGAGCGCGGACATGACCTCTTGTCATGAGGCACATGACAGGGAGCTTTGCGACGATCGACACAGTTTTTGGCCAAGAGAAGTCGCCTGCGATTCGGACTGGGCAGTTTGGAATGATATGAGTAGCTTGCGGCAAATGTCAGCTTCAGTATCCGTGGACTTCGTGGAAACGGACATGGTGTCTTTCAGCACACTAATCAGCTGATGACTACGGAGTCGTCTGTATGAGCAGAACAGCTTTGGTGGCGGACAAACGAGTCTCGCATGCCACAGCTGCGACCGAGCTTCCAGATTCGGCGGCCAAGATCCTTCTACAGGAGCTCGTCGTTCGGAAGATCATGCCCCGCCTCGGGATCTTCCTGATCTTCATGTAAGGTTCACGCCCCCAACCCATGGACTCAGCTCCACCAGACATTCATCGTTCGGCCGAACAAGATCCGTTCGCCGTTCGGCATTCTCTCACACATCAAATTAGACATGATAACCTAGGGCGGTTTGAAGCCTGACGGATATTTCCCCGTTCTTGGCGGGGTTCTACAATTCCAGTCCGCCCGAATCACAAATTCTCTTGTCACCAGTGGTCACAAGGAATTGCACCACGTGGGGACGCTGCAAACACCGGCCGGCGGACCGACGACCTTTCTCCCACGAGTTGTGGTGTTTGCAAGCTTCGAAGAGGGTTCCTTGTGTCTTCCCTCGAGAAGCACCAACTGAACATGTTTGATCGATTGTATGCCCTCCCGAGGAGACACCAAGAAAGCTAGTTATCGGCGTCAGTTTCATCCACAACCAACGGCTCTTTGCAGACCGAGCTGAAGGCAAGCAGATCTCGAAGAGGGGGGCGTGTGTCTGTGTGTCTCTCCATCACACGTTAGTCCAGGCATGCCTGTGAGACATTGAAGCACTGCATCCCGCGTGGGGCGGCCAACGGTCGGTCGGCCTTCCCGTGATGTCCTTGTGGGAAATGCTGCATTTTCAACGGCCCTTTGCAGCGTGCATCGCATTGTTGTGTCGTTCAACCGAGCGGAATTTCTTCCCCGAGCTCTGCAGCGTCGGATGGACGTCATTTGCTGCTGGGTTCGCAGGCGTTACGCAGTAGCGTCTCTCTTTCTTTCGGAGTTCTGACCGCCAGTTTGAAGGGTTTGAGGCGATGTCGCCTTGAGTTCATGCCCAACGGCTCCATCGTTTACGAGCGGGGCATCCGATGAGCCATCCTCCTCCGGGAAAAGTTCTTTTTGATCTGGGGTTACGTAGTCAAAGTCGGGCCCGACATCTGATGATCCGGCAAGCTGCCGGTGACCGGCCGACTTTCCCATGTCCAACATCCGATCAACGATGGCCAACCAGGGCAGTTGGTGGATCGGATGCTACATGTTACTCGCACTCCCGGCCGGCTGTTGAAAATCGTTCATGCATTCACGTTGTTTGATATCGAATCGGTTGGATGCTCCCAACGAAACCCCCATTTGTCTCTTGCAACTAGCAATTGACTCATTCACATGACATCCAGGGTCTGCGACCAGTCCGGCCAGCCAGGCGTGGGGATGGGCTCCAACATTTGATATCGTGACCCTCTTGCAATTTTTGCAAAATCGTAGTTGTGGTGTCTGAATGGTTGGTTTCTCAGAAGCTAACAGTCTTGGAAGGTTCGGAGCGTTACACCGCTATCAGACCCCAGTCCATTGCGAGGTCGAATGAGGAATCAATGCTAGGAGGGGGTGTTGCCAAATGTGAAAAAAAGGGTCAGAAGTTTTACTCTTTTTGCACTTGTGCTTTGTGTGGCCGAACCGAAGGTCCCGATTGCGCCATCCCGCGCCCGTCACAAAAGCATTGTTGAGAGAGGAAACGTCGAGTCTCGGAGCTTGAGCCTCGAAGAGAAAGAGGAAGCGAGGGAAAAGAGCGATCTTGGGATGAATGATCCCATCTGTTACCGAGATGTGATTGATATCGCATCTTTTTCGCTTTTTGGGCAGAGTTTAATCTCCTTGTCACACCTCGAGGTAACCAAGCGAGCCAAGCACTTTTTTACTTCTTCTCTTCCCCGTCTTACCCCCCGGCCATCCATGTTGATGTTGCGACCACACATCTCCAATGGCCCCACATCCGGATCTTGCCAGCAGCAGCACGATCCCATTCCGTGATTGTTCCCCATCACGGAAGCTAACTATCGGTGACGACGTGCATTGGTGCATCGTGACCCTGTGATCTCATATTCTTTCACTTCGTTTGCGATGGATACCTGAAGGTCGAAGTCTCGACGACGAAGGATCTCAAAATGAACTTTTCACCGTCTGCTAGGAATGTGATAGGAAAAAATTTGGCTGCGTACCGAGTCTGTAGGTTGCATTGTTGAATGCACCTTGAAGGATTGAAAATGAGGGGTTTTGGGGGCTGGGATTTGGAGATGACCCACTGCGTCCTCGGAGAACTGTCGAGAGGTCACTGTGGACTTCCCGAAAAGGAAGGGAGTCACTAACACGGGATCCTTTCTAGCATCAGACGGACCGACGAGCGTTTTTTTTTTTCTATCTTTCTTTCTCGGCAAGTTTGTACAGCCGGATGTAAGCACGTTGCAAAGACAGTCAATCAATTGATCAGGTGAGTTTATCCCAACAGCTGTGCGAGGGGGGCGCAGACAGGAGGCTCAATATCTCGCATCGGGCACATTCTCTGTCAGCCGGGTTCAAGTCCACAACCCTCCCCCGCGATTCTTCGGTTCGAGGTTGATCTTCAAACCAAACAAACCATGGAAATGCTTTTCAGCTTCTGCGGACCCTTTCCCTTTCCCTTGCCTTCCTCGCATCAATCATCATCGACATCAATGCAC